CACCGAAGATACTATACAGGCTGATAAACAGGACCGCACTGCTTATCAAATTTGCAGTGATGGTAAATTCGAATCATATTCCTGTCCTTATGGCCTAGTTTATATTCCTAGCAAAAGAAGATGTGAAAGAGATAGTGTTATTGATGGCGAAAGGTACGAAACTTGCAAGGTGCGAATTCTCCCTAAAAAAATTTTTAAAAATTTAGTTTTTAAAATCTTCATTAATTACCGATGCATAATTACTCTCTTAAAGAGGAGTGTATAATCCATTTAGGTATTTTTGTATTATTTGCGTTTAGCAATGAAAAAAAAAAAGGAATTTCAGGAAAGCGGTGGTCCTACTGGTTATAGAGCAGACCCAAACGACTGTCACAAATTTTACCAATGTGCTCATGGGAAATGGGTCTCCAAAGCTTGTCCAGATAAATTATACTGGAATATGGAAAAAACGACATGCGACTGGCTTCCTGATGATGACTCCTGCAAAAATCGTATTACTCATGTCTTACTGTAATCATTAAAATTCTTTTCGCTCGCAAAAATGGATTTCAGATTCAAATTGATTCTGAAAACTCCAAGTATTTTCCGATTTTTGACATTGACATTTAGCATATTGTATGTGAAATTCTTTTGCTTATTTCATATTTTATTATTTATGCTAGAAACTGAAAATTCTTTCCATTTCAGAAAAAAAAAATCCTATTTAGATTTTTTCTGGACGGCTTTTCCTACAGAAAGAAGCAAGGAAGTGATGCACAGGATGAAAAAGATCCTATATAAATAAGTCACACAAGCACAAAGCCAGTGAAAATGAGGCAAAACAAAGAATCGTGGTGAATTTAAGACAAATGCCATTAAGGCTTCTACAACATAAATGATCCGTACGTATTATAGTCACAAGAATATAACCAGAACTGCTGGTAAAATACTGGGATTCACAAATTTTAACTTTTAATAATGCAATTTGGGTAAAGTCATACGAACCAAAAGTAGGCCGGTATGACTTCATATATTTGGCATTTGCTGCTCATAGGTTCGTGTGATATATATTTTGCCCATATGCACCATTCATTTTATACAAACATAGGAATGAATTTTTTTTTCAGAAAATGTAAGAACCACAATGAATAATTTCTTTAATCAGAAAATTCTACTCTAAGCAATTTAAATTTTCCCTGATATACATAATAAAACCACGTTGAAAAAGAAACTTGAATACATAGACCGAAGAAAAGAGAGAAAGGATGCAGCAAAGAAAGAAATAAGCTAACAAAGGAATTTCTGATAAAATATGAATTTCTCCTCCTGCATAAACAAAAAATGATGGAGAAATAAAATAAGAGAAACAGAAATGGCAAATTATCACAGCGAATAATATAATCAGTGGGAAAGTTATATTTTGGCAATCTGAAAAGGTTAGCAATTCACGAAAACTAACATTTCTACCGGGAAAATGAAATAGAGAAAAAATGGAAAGATGAAACAAAACAAGGGAGAAAGATGAAAATAAATAATAGTAAAATCGGTTAATAGTAAAACGGCAGGCGCAGCAAATATTACACGTAAATATTGTTCCCTTATGTAAGTCTTTCCTATATTAGTGTGAAACTAGCGATTAATAAACTAACTGGTCAGAAATTAATTAATCAATTAATTCGATATAAAATCATCTTTATATATATATATATATATATATAGATGATTAATTTTCAATGTACACCTGCATACAGCATATATGACATGTATAATGAATGTACAAAATCCGTTGGTTCAATAAGATAAAGAAAAATTATACTGAAAAAAGCAGTATAATTAGAGCCCTGGTTTTATTCGACACAAAAAAAAAGTCAAAATTATACTTTAAAAAATCACAAAAAACACACAAAAAATCGAAAAATGAAAAGGAACCCCTGAAAATCACATTCGAGATGGAAATTAATAATACATACGGAAATTAATAATGAACACAATAATACATACATACATATATACCTATGGTGGGTGCTAGAGCAAAAGATTGAAAAAACGAGAGAATTTTTTCAAAATTACCACTTCTTCTCATTGCTGCTGAAAAAAGCAGCCATATTATAGAATGTTTTTTCCTACTACAACATCAGTTAATAATGTTTTCATAAACCAATAGCACTATCATCTATCTGTTGCTACTACTACCATTACCAATCCTACTACTAATAGAAATATTACAGTAACTATCACAAAGAAAATTATAAAGTTCAGCTGTGAAATGGAACGACACAAAGAATGAAGTCGAACAGAAATTACATTGGCATAAATTATTCCAAAACTGTTCGACAGTTGAGTGTGCATACCCCGAAAAGGTATACAATACCAACTATCTTTTAAGCATTTATACTAGATCACCCGCTAATCGCATTATTGGAAAAAATAAATCGATACATATTGCTTTAACAGATAGAACGTTACAAGGGATTCTTCTACTATACTTGCTACCTACAATCGAAAAACTGAACATAATTTCACTCGGAAGTTCGATGTGCCTATATTTTTTTTTAAAGTGCTCTCAAATGAAAAAAAGACTAATCCTTATAGAAATTTAAATGCCTATATAACAAACCCGAGTTGTAAATAAAAATATATTATTTCCTACTTGTAAAATTGTTTTCTCTGATTTGTTTTTAAAAGCTTTTATCCTTCTTTGTCCTAACTTATTTCTCTGCAACATATGCATTGCAGGCAATGCCTTTAGTTGGGTTTAACCCAAAATGATCATGAAATTCTCTTCTCTTCATAAGTGAATGCTAAAGAATTCAAACATATACACACGACAAACTATGTGCGCATTATTACCTATATTGGAGAAGATTAAAATGACAATGAAAAAGGCAGCAACTAAACAAATCTAATAATTCTAACCGTGGAAATACCGTTTTTGGAAATGAAAATATGCTTCTCCCAAATACTCACAAAAATTCAGTGTTTCAGAAATCTCACTAAACTTTTGAAGTCGTATTTCTCCTCTTATTTCAGATTCATGTACTGTCATCCTTCTGCTAGCAAAAAAGATGCAAAAAAGTAACCCGATACGAAAATTAAAAAACCTAACCAGACATAAGATCCTCGAAAGAAGAAATACAAACTCAGCTTGTTCAATGAAAGCAAAATGATAGAGTATTGTCCGCTATCTTTAATTCCCTGAAGGCGCATGAACCCCAAATCCCGCTAAATACACTACCCAAACATGAACACGGTAAGGCTATTTTTCTGAAAAGCTACTTAAAATGAAATACCATTCGATATTTTCGAAAATTGTTCAAAAAGTAATGAAAGACAGAATGGATTCGACAGAGAAGCAAATTTTGCTTTCTTGTAGGTTTTCCAAAAAAAAAAAAGAAAAAAAAATATTATGTTGAGTAAGGATGAATACCCAATTTTTAAAATTTTTGGAATTTCTGTTACTATTCCTCACAAATTTTTACATGCAGATAAGCAGATAGTATGCTCAATAATTTCATATGAACAACTATCGACTTTTGTTCATAAAACCTGGAACTAATAATATTTCTCTAATTAATTTCTGTTAGGAATCTATTTCTTTCAGAATAGAATTCGTCCCTTACAATATATCAGAACATTCTTAAGATAAATTTTTTAAATTTGTCATTAGATAAACACCTAACTGAAAAGAAAGCTTATAAAGGTAATCAATTAGTTCTAATCTATTAGTGGAATTTCTAATCTAAGCAAAATTTGTACTAAACAAAAAAATGAATAAGATAAATAATAAAAATGATCGAAAAATAAAAAGAGATGAAAGGAAAGTTTTATGACAATTTTGACTAATGTTATTAACAGTTATCAATTATCGTACAAAAATCTTATACAAATACATGCACGATTTCTAAAAAACAGCAGAAAAGACAAAATGATAAGAGCGGTAGAGCAATAATAATAAATAATACCCTCTTTTATTACTTGCCACAACAAATGTTTCCAGAAGTCCTCTGCAAAAACTAGAAGCAAATAACCAACCCTGTGACTGTTCGATCTTTAATCTCGCATTACAGCAAATGATTTAGAAGCCAAACGATGTGACAGAAACACTGCAAAATAAATGGTATTAAACTTTTCGCAAATTTTTTTATTCTCTAATAATGCTTTAGATTTTTATACTTTAAAATTTTCCACACCTATCTGCTTTCTTCAGAGGTAAAAAGAATATCTATGTCAATTTGAATTAAGTAATTGAAAAAAAAAAAAAACTTGAATTCTTTAAAAATTCATTAAGAGGAACAGCTGAAAACTGAATTTGCTCAGTCTTCTACATTGCTGAATCTTACTGTTTTAAATTAGCACAGATCGTTCTAAAATAAAAATATCCATTTTCACTTCACTTTGACACTTATCTCTTTCTTAGGTGTTTGTTGATAACTTCCTACTGTGATTTCTCTCTGACTTACTCAAAATCAATTAAATGATTTATAAAAAACAAATTAGTGAGGTTTTCTTGAGTTCCAAATATCAGATTAGAATTTCAAGAGATATTATTTGAGTCAAAAATGTCTATTTTGAATTTCAAGAGAGATCAAGTATGTACTGCAATGATCTTTGAAAAGTGAGCAAGAGCGTTAATGGGGAATGCTACATTCTTAAGAGATGAGATTATAAATTTTTGGATTAATAAAAACTGATTAATCAAAATACTTGGATTAACAAAAATTTGCTCAAACTAGTTATAACGGTTTTAAATACACGATTCAAAGTGCAATTATTTTTATGGCAACCTTTTATTCTTAATAAAGAAAAAAGATGCACAGTTTCAAATTCACAAATTATTTAAAATGGTTTTGGGGAAATTCAGAGATTTCATAGCTGCTAATAAAATCTGAGTACTTTGAATCATCATTCAAATGTTCAAAACAAAAAAAATGCATTCATTGAATGGAATTTTCGCTTGTATTAAATTATATCAAATCTAATTTATAACCTAAGATAAAAATTGTAGCTGTACAAACCGACTATCACAACGCTGATTTATGTCTACGTCGCTTTAGACGTCGACGTATGTCAAGCAATGCCAGCTCCTCGGTCGGAATTTCATGCGACGGTGCGGATCGAACACCAGGCCTTCTTTCAGCACGAATAACAGGTGGTAAACGTTGACGAGTTGCTTGTACTAACGATGCAGGTCGCGAAAATTGCTGTATGCCAGATGTACCTGGTACTGATCCTCCTCTACTGCTACTATGAGGACGAATGGTACTCCTGACACTTGTTCCGCTTGTTTCACCACCTTCCACATGACGTAATGTTATACATACATCACCCACCTGCAAAATATGTTTTGATGACACGACTAAACGAGTTCCCAAGTGCTTATTTAAGATACAAAACGATCGCCCTATTGTTGTCAAAAAACCAATTCAGTTCTCATTGCAGTGATCTCTTTCACGAGTATGAATAAAAATATTATGTTCATCAAAGCTAAGAAAATAAAGTGCGAAACCTAATCACTCAAAAGCCTTGTCTAGCTTTCATCGCTTCAAACATATTAACGAATACCTTGATATAACTGTATTAAAATAAGTTTAAGTATCAGTACTTCCTTTCCCGTGAGTTTGACATTAAAATTTCTTGAGTCAGTTGGGTAATGTACAGCGGTGATGCATTGCAATAACAATATAATTTTTGTAATACGTATCATACCGGTTTTCACCCTTTTTCACGGTGCTTTCATTATAATAAAAACTTACATTTAACTGTCTGCAAATTAATCCGTATGTAACACGCGTCCTTTCCGGGCTGCATGATGCCCAACCTTGGTTAACCACAAAGTAGGGATGCTCGATTTCTGCCTCTATTGTTACCTAAAGTATGCCTTACTTTATTAGACTTGCGAACAGAACTGTTACCAGAATAGAAGAAATACTTTTTGAACAGTAATGAAATACAACGAAACTGGCATGGAAAAGCAGCTTAAGACGTAAAAGATTCCACTGATTTTTTTTGAAAACTAATTTTTAAATGTGTTCCTTCAAAGACATTTTCAAAATCATCCAAACCCTTTTAAAGATTGAGTATCCAAAAAAAACATAATATTAAGAAATCGATGTCTAAGAACATAAATTTTTAATGGTACAGGTAAGATTATTTATGACTGCACCAGGTAATAATTGATCAGGTCTGAAAACCGTCAAAAAAAACTCAACGTGTAAAATAGGAAGAGTGTGTCTACAGCAAAACAACGACAAACGTTCATTTTTCATTTATTAATCTCGGAAAAAAACATAAGTGATTAAAATATATTAAGTTTCGGAAAAAAGGATAAGTGATTAAAATATCAACTGAAGTTCTTCAACGAACTTAGAGAAATATACTTTTTCAAAATCTGATTATTTTGGGAAAAAAACGTTTTAATGTTAGTCTGCGCCATAAGATGCACTTTCATAAAATTCAAACCTATTATTATGCTAATCAAATTTATGGAAAATATATTATCAAAATATGCTAAGCAAATCATTATTTGACCTAAGAAGCAAGAATTATAACATCTGAAGGTGGAAAAAATCACTTTCTTTGCAGATAACTTTTTCATCTTCAAATGGGCTGATCTAATACCCAGATTTGAATCAAATCTTGAAATATCCGTCCACAAATGATACCGAAATGAACAATAATTATCGGTCTCAGGAAAGTAAAATCACTGGCCATTCAGTGTAACTGGTTTCCGGTAATGGCGACTGTATTTCCCGTCACTCTTGTAAAAACTAATGCCATGACAATCTGTTCTTCAATATATTATTAGAAATTTCCTGAAAATCTTACCAAAATTCTTTGCTCTCCAACAGCAAAAGTAACGAGGACCTGACGATCTTTTTCAGTTTCTTGAATTCGGATGACCCTACTATTGCAAAGTACGAGATCCGTTTTCATTGCTGCAGATAGAACAAAGTCTTCTGTGCTCATTTCTTCAACTCTTTTCAACTGGCCCGACTGTAGCCGTATTACTGTACCTGCAATAATGACAGCTATCGGCTGAATTCTAGACAAAAGCTTTATTGACGAATTCGAAAAAATCAAACATTTTAAATTAGTTTTAAGACATCCATGATGGCTAAATGCACAAAAAAGCAGATGCAAATGATGTATTTGCCGTTTTAATTTTAAATTATATAAAAATTTTTTTCGTTAAGAAGGATCTTAAGAACTCGCAGGAGTTCTGTTTAATTTGATTTTCCTTTTCATAAGAGAAATTTTAAAGTGAATTACTGCATACTTTACCTACTCCTTTTGTACGTTCTTATTATAAACACATTATCCTTCTTACGTCAACCTGTAACGGATAATTTATACCTTGTTCGGAGCGGCAATAGAATCCAATCTCGTCCACTTAACTTTTCTATGTAAAATTTTCCGTACAAAATTTTGCAAAGAAAGAAAACAACTTATTTGAATCAGAAACAGGATATTATAAAACCAACTAACTAATAATTTTCAAACGTATAAAATGAATGCAGAGAGGTGAATCAGAAACAGGATATTATAAAACCAACTAACTAATAATTTTCAAACGTATAAAATGAATGCAGAGAGGCCTTTTTTTTTTTTTTTTTTTTTTTTTTTTTTAATATGGATGAGATAAATCCAGTAATATGTTTTTAAGAAATTTATAAAAGCTAAAACTGAATTCCATCAGCTATGATAAAAGAAAGTATTATTAAATGATACACCCAGTTTAAATTTAAATATAGTAAGGCATGATTAGAACTTTATACATACACTCTCTTTGACAATCACAAGTGTAGGGATTAAGTAATACACTCAATTTAATTACCGATCCAGAGCTTAGACTAAATAATTAAATTTCAGTTGGAAAATCTCTGTATTGAAAAAATTTTATTCCAGTACACCAGAAATATAAAACGAGTCAACATGGTAGTAACATTATTGGTTGACCTTGTAAAAGGTAAAAGCAACGTGTCGACAAAAGTTTGAAAATAACTTTGAAACACAAAAGAGTTTAAGCCAACCACGCATAAAGTGAGAAGGATAATAAGGTTGTGACGGCAATGTTCCCACTTGGAAAGACGATGGTTCCGGAACACCGGTAGAAGCAGCAACTGACGGAGCACTGGCCAGCGGAATAGCGGGCGTGGGACGTTGATAAGGAGCATATCTATAAAGTGACTTCGTAATTAATCAAAAAGTACGCAGAATTTTAAATAACGTGTTTTGTTCCGCACATATATTTCGACGTAAACGTTTCACAATTTCACAGAAGACTATTTCAGTGCATAAATCTGTTTGGAGAAAGCAAAGGGAAATGAAAAATGGCAGAAATAAGGTGATGGTAAGGAGAAAACTGTTACAATTTTATCGAGAAATATAGAGCTGAAACTGACAAATTGGACTTATATAATTGAATGTACATATTATAAAATATGCAGTAATACAAAAGAAGAATGAAGAATCATGATTTTGCAAGAAAGACCAGCAAACAGATTAGGTAATCAATAACAAACTGATATATCGCTAAAATACTTCATCTAATGCCATTCTTTACTTTATCAACTATTAAGATTCAAAAGACTTCAATTTTCCTGCACTTCGTGTGAATCATTTATTATCTATTAAACAAACAAGTTTTCATAGATTAATGCAATACAATTACCTGCGACGTTCCTGAGTTAAGACATGACGAACACGAGGCAGTGGAGGCGGCGGCATCATTACAATACGACCAAGAGCTATAAAAAATATTATGCAAGCGCTATTTTTGTTGTGCCATTTACTAAATTCCAATACTTTAAATTGAGAATTACATATCGCAGGATAAAAGTAAGCTCAAACAAAAGTAAACTTAGAAATTTAATCCCTTATCTCATAAACAAATGAAAGTGACGGTATTTTGGGACTGGGAGATCGTGCCAGGATGCATGCCAAAACAAAACGCAACAGCGTCGGTAACTTTCTTCGCCCGCAGTATAACGGAGGAATATCACCTCTGCGATAATATTTGCAATGAACTAGGCTTTATAACTACCAAAGAATGATCTCACAACAACACTTATGATTACTGATATTTTAATTAACCAATCATATACATTCACGAAGTATGTTTCTGCGCTTTCATATCTTATCTATCATTACTAAAAAATTCTTATTACTCAAAGATTTTAATTTACTGACTTCACTAGCCATAACATCCTGTCACTTTCTTCAAGTGACATTGATTTTATAATACACATTTCAATTTGCTATTCCTAGTAAGATAAACTATTAACCATTTTTAAAAAAAACATAGAAAATGTAACAAAAAAACCTTGGGAGTATGGTTGTGATGTAGAGAGTTGCAATGAAGATGCTGAAGGTGTGGGAATAGTGGTGACAGTTGCAGCAGCAACAGCAGCATGAGAAGTAGAAGCAAGTAATAAAGCTTGTCGCGCAGTTGCAACAGCAGCGCGCGAGAGAAGTGGTTGAGGCTGTATGAATTCAACCCGTGATGGACGTGAACTTATTTCGGCACTTAACGATGGCATTGACTGAGTTACGGCAGCTGGTGTTACACGTGGATGTGTAGGTTGAGCAGTTGTATGAGTCGGCAAGGCCTGCGGAGGTTGTGGTAATACTCCAACAGCAGCTAATGCAGCATGCATTTGCGTCATTAAAGTTGTACCATGCAGTGGTGATGACGGCAGTAAATGGATGGCAGTACCCGAAGCTGCAAGTTGCTGCTGTTGTTGTAACTGTAATAAATGTCGCTGTAAATTCTGCTCAAAAGATAATGCAGGCGTCGAAGGTTGACCTACACGCGATCCTGAAAATTGCAGAAGTTGAAATGATCATATTATGTTGATTTTGGAAATGTACTGTTATTTGATTTCAAAAATGCAAAGCAAGTCTTTTATATATGTTTTGTTAAAAATAAATGTCGCTGTACTGACTGAACTATTTCAACCATAAAAGCCATATTTTTAGCAGTATGTTGTTAATCCGAACCATTTTGCTGGCCATTGATTGTAAAAATAGGTTGAATAAACTAATACATAACTCAAATTAGCTGCGGACTTAACTCACGCTATGATATTAACGTAAATAAAAAATATCTCATGCCAGGACTTTATGTTTGAAAACATGCTAATATGCGACATGATTTAAATACGTCGTCGTAGTTTAGAGTACTGAGAGATGAAGAATATAATCTACGTGAATGACAGAAGCAACATATCCAAAAAATGATATACAAACAATGTACTGTTTAATAGCGAGAATGAAACTTACCAATTTGTGGTGAACGTCCACCAGATACAGCAGCTAATGTTGCAGCTGCCGCTACAGCAGCTTGGTGCTGTTGTGCAGCAGCAGCTAGAATGACCTGATATTGTGCCAAAAGAGCTGGATTCATTGCACCCAACATTTGAAGTGGTGATTGCCCAGATGAGCCAGGATCAGGACCAGAACTAGAACTAGGACCAGAAACAGGACCGGAGCCTGGGCTTAAACCAATACCCGTTAATAATGAGGCACTGGAAATGGAAGGAGAAGGTAGAGAGGAAAGTGGTGATACACCCACTGTTATATCTGTTCCAGATGGCGGTTGCTGGCTCGTTGATGGCTGAGAGTAGCGTAACCCAGCAGCAACTTGTGAAGAGGCGGACTGCAGTAGCTACAATATGTATTTGAATAAATTCTAAGAAATGAAATATGTCAAAGAAATAAAACTTTAGAATGGATCTCAATGAAGTAAATATGAAGAGAATCAGCCAGATGCTGCAATGGAAAATTATTAGACGGAAACTGAAAAAGGAGAAGGGACGAAAGCTAGAAAAACGGAAAACTACAAGTTATTTTTTGAGGTAGGGAACATTTAAAAATTAAAATTTAATATGAAACAGTGATAATAAAGAATAAAACTATGAAAATAAAGAATAAAACAGTGAATACAAAACATAACTTAAATAACTGCTCTGTTCAAAACCATTTCGAGTGTAAGAAAACACTATTAGTTTACATAAAAAGTAATCAAAGAATAATCAAATATGAAATTTTCCATCTCAGTCATTTTGTCTCATACTTTCAGAGAGCAACGCTACGAATGAAATTTCAAACAACTGTATCAATATACTAGAATCCGTTATTCAAAATAATACATACAAAATGTGCAAGATTATACATGCATCCATTGCTTATTATAATGCTAATTTTGAATTTTAAAACTGCTAAGCGCACCCTCTTTATATTTACCAAATAACTAATTTCCAATATAGCTTGCGATTACCTGCATTTCAAATTGTGGCGGCCAACCCATCGGATGCTGGACAGCGGGTGAATGTAGCACTGGAAACGATTCCCTCAATGCGGCCGATTGTTGCACGATACTAGGAAATGCCTGCGATGACGTAACAGTGCTGGGCTAAAATCATAAAAGTTATATAAAAATATTAGAAAAAGCTCAAGGCGATTCATAGTCCTCAAGAAAATGATAAAAAAAGACCTGACAGCTAGGGCCAGCTTCATTCTGTTGCGGAAAAAAAGCCACCGAAACAGCAGGTTGTTGTTGTGTAGGGGCACGAACAGTAGCAGATTGGCGGATAGGACCGCCTTCCGGCGGTGCTTTCTGCGATTGCCGAGAGCCCCCTGGCGCACCATTCATAGAAATTGCATAGAAACGATCGTACAACTATTGTTTTGGCCCCAGTATAATGTTTGTCCACCTTTCCTTTCAGCTATTTTCACTATAATCCTGCAACATATAAGCAACATTGCAATATTTCATATATTAGTTGTGATTCATACAAGGATCACGATTCATGCAAATAAATAAAAAAAAAAAAAAAAAAAAAAAAACGAAGCATTAGAATAAATATGTTAATTGTATGCCGCCAAACAATAGACTAAACTAAGCATATTCCAAAAAAAACTTTAATCTATTCACACCACTACGGTCCTGGTAATAGTAGGATTTTGGTATCAGAAATATCAAATAAATTACGATGCTATATCTAATTTAATCTTTCTGACTCCTAATTCAAATTCACTTCAATCAAGTTAAAAAAAAAACCATAAAAGAGAAAGACTTTTTTGAAGCGTTAATGAATATTTCTGACCTAAAAGCATCTGGAATGCCTGAAATTATCCAGCAAAGTACAAATAGTTTGATTTTCCGCGTAAATTAAAATGATCATCCCTTATTCTTCTCTCTTTCCCTCCTCTCTCTCTCTGCAAGATATAACAAAATATTCCCAGCTTGTCCAGTTTGAAACACCCTACCCCCTCCCACTCATCTCCTCTCCTCATTCAATAAGATGATAACTAGAAACAAATATTAGAAAGAAACCGAGCCGTGTTGTTTCTTTTACAAAACGGCTGGCCGGAGTGTTAAATTCGAAATTCCTTTATGGTGACAGGTGACAGTGAGCTGTCATCGTGCTATTGAACAGGTTGTTTCATTCTTTTAGTTGTTCATAAGAAGTAGGCGTAGCATATGCACGTTTATTTACACATATGTGATGTGCGTACACGTATCGTGCATAACTGCACGCAAAAAGCTGCTCGTGCAATATCAAAATTTAAAAGATATGAGCTTCAGTTTATATTAAAGTTGCTTTTTTCTCTATTTTAAAAAGATATGAAATATATATTGAAATTAGGTTTAGAAGAAACGATTAGCACAGAAGAATTGCAGCAATATAGTAGTAGCAGTAGTAGTAGTAGTAGTAGTAGTAGTAGCAGTAGTAGTAGTAATGAAAATGGTAATTTGAATGTTGGAAGAGAAATGATGTAATTTTTATCGATAACGCTGGTCTTCTTAGCCACTGCGCCATCGATCTAAAATTAAAACTGACTTACTTATCAGGTCGGGTTCTTTCCTCTCTCTCGCTTTCCCTGCCTCCCTCTCTTTTTCTCTCTACGTGTATGTGTTTAAAGTCGAGCTTCAAGTTCATTTTCAATTGCTATTGCTTTGGATTTCGACAGATCAATTTATGAATGCTGGATTTGCTTGCTATAGGAAAGATTATAACAATTGTTTCTTATAAAAATTTACAAAATTTACTATTTTTTATTGTCATACAAACAGATGTGATTTCTGACATTCACATCTTTCCTTCTTTTTTGTTCTTTTGTTTGTTTGATTTTATTTACAAATGGTGGTCATGTTGAATAGATCAAAAAAGTGGCTTAATAAATTTCAAACGAAAAAAAAAGAATCGAATGAAAAAGCAAAGACCGGTTGACCGGAAGATTAAGACAGACAATGATAGCCTACATAATGTGTCGATGATTACTAATGGTCCGCATCCATCAAAAGTTACTTCAAATCATTTTTATTTCAATTCTCATTGAATTGAAATGGTTTTCTCCTTTTTTTTTTTCTTTTATCAATAGTAACATATAATAACAATTATGCATTTCATATTTTAGTCAATATCTCCATGGATATTTCCTAGGCACAGTTGTTTCTTATGAAAATATGATATAAAATAATTTGGGCAAACAATATTTGGGTTAATAAAACAGGATTGAAATTTCTTATTTATTTCATTTCGTTTAATATGATAAATTTCCAAAATAATGCTGTTTATAATTTTAACCGACACCTTTCGCGAATATTTCATGCAGATTACCTTTGACGATATGATATTTGTATGTTAGACGAAATCGTATTCTGGATTTTCTACAAAGAAATTCACAAAATAATATGCACCACTAAATCTGCCAGTTTGATCTGGTTAATTGGTTACGCTTTTGATTATTAATCATGAATTCATAGTTATATCTCGATTAGATATTAGTTATACATTTAAAATGATGTAAAAGAATTGTTCCTGATTCTATGTTTATTCGCATGGAAATATTATATATTTCCAGCTAGCAAAACTATATGGGTATAATTATATTAGTTTGGTATCATTGCTTCACGGAATTCTTGCACCTGTAGTTATATTTGGATTTAATGGTAAAAAAGAATTAGTGAACTGAAATTAGTGAAAAAAAATAAAAAAGAAAAACTGAAAGATTTTAAAAAATGGAACTCAAAATTATAAATAGAAGGAATAAATGATTCAATACGAAAGTTATAAACTAATTGACTTGATTTCACTATTTATACAATATTTATCATACACATAACAATGAGAAATAAAAAGAAACAAGGTAATATTAATGAGTTATTAGAAAGGAAGATATGTGATGAGTGTAGTATGAATGATGAAAAGTTTCTTCAGTATCATTCATTGCTTTGCAAAATATTTTTCAATACAAGAAGTTGTTGTTATTGTTATTGTTGTTGTTGTTGTTGTTGTTGTTGTTGTTTAAGAAAAGGAGGAGGGGAGAAGCATTGAAAGTGTAAGGATCAAAAATAGTGTAACTTATGATGTGAAATGGACGTTCAGGATTAAAAAAAAAAGTGGGAAGAGTTTTTCTCATGCTGAAGCGTTCTTGGTGGTATTCTGCTTCTTTCTCTCTTATCACTACACCTTTTTTGCATAGTGCACCTGCACTATGTGCAACATACATAGACACACATATACATACATACATACATACACACACACACACATATATATATATATGTATGTATACACACACATACGTTGGCTGCGAAATAAAAATGCATAACGTTGTAGTAGCACAGAGAAATGCTTCGGAATAAAATTAGAAGGAAAAAGATGTATGCATTCATCACCAAAGGTTTAATTTAGTCTTTTTTTTGCTCAACATATAAATAAAAAAGCTACGCATGGTCATGGTGGAAGAATGGGCGTCTTAGCAAAGTGTAACAATCATGAAGAGAACAACACTAGCACTATAATCATCATGATTGCTTCGCTTGATGTCCTCGTACCTTTTCCGCCCAGTTACTATATCCATTAAGCGCAAAAGAGAAAGGAAATGAAAAATGAGAAATAAAATGTTCCAATTTTTTTTGTTTTAAAATAATGACAAATAGGTGATCATTTATCGCATTGATAGCATAGAAATAGAAACGAGCAAATATTTGGAAATAGGACTTTGAAATGAATCCTAATAGTTCAATTTTATTAAGATTAGTAACTTAAGCTGGATGAGTGGAAGGATGAACTAAATATCATTTTGGATGAATGGATGGATATCGTATTATCAAATATGCATTGATCAACTTATAAGTAACATGCAGAAAAAGAATTCATAGAAATGGGTTTTCTTTTCTTTTACAATATTTGAGAAAGCAAAAGAATGACAGTTCTTTTCATTTATTGTTTTTCTTTTTCCTCCCAGAAATGAAAATAAGTTTATGAGGGATATATTACAGACAGCAGCAGTTACGAATACATATTCTTACGATCTTGTTAGAAGAGATGTTACTTGAACTGTATGATTACTACATTGAAAATATTTTAGTATTATCATCATTTCGATTCAATCCGAACATTAAGCATTCTGTTGGCATCTGATCATCAGGTATTCCGTTTTATCCTAATGATCATAACCGTCATACACCGGATCATCTTGTTGCAATGATCACTGCTTCTTCAGCTACAATTAATTTCTCACTAAGTTTTCCATAAATATTATTAAGTCCTAAACAACAAATTATGTCATATCGAGAAGTAAACAAAATTTACGAAAGATTGATAGGTATTAACATCGTATCATCTATAATGATTAGTGATAATGACAATGAACCAATCTTCCATCCTACTTGTCGTGAAGTGTGCAACTGTGAAATATGAATGAAATAATAATATGTCTCTCTGTTGGCTTGTATATGAAATTACACAAGATGCTTTTTCTTCTGATATCTTTTTCCAACAAAGATTCAGTCAGTAATAGTTTATGCTTAGGAGATGTCGAATTTACGCAGATATATGTCTATTACTAGAAAGGAGAGAGAAATGAAGAGAGGGAGAGAGAAGAAGAAAGAGAAAGAGCCTTTTCCTTGTTTGAGAGAGTGAATAATGAAAAGGCATTCTCTCTTACTGAGGTAAAAAGACTTTCTTTTTCAGATGAAAAGGATACTCAAATGCACCTTTTCCTCCTATCTCACAAGCAAATGATCAAAGTAAAAAAAAAAAAAAAATCATGGAGACATTTAAAATTCACGTTAGCAACATTGTATAATCTAAAATCAATTTTGTTACATTGAGATGAGTGTGCTGCGTAGACAGTCTGCTCTCCTCTTTTCACACTTTTAAATGCCCTTTTTTTTTCTCTCTCTTTGAAATACTTTTATGCAAGTTACGTTTGAAATGAGATTCTTTTTGAGAGGACTAATAGCCAGGTAAATATCTTCTCATTTCTCACTAATAATCCATAACATTTCTCTTTCTCTTCTCTCTCTAGACATAGTAGTTAATTGAATGGGAATGAAATGAATGAGAATTTTTTATCCGCGAAAGTTCTTTGTTGAAATATCGTTAGCTTTCCCAAAATTTTATGCATCATACTCATACAATTCTAAATTTCTTTCTTTTTGTATCCTTTCTCTCTTTCCCTTTCTTTCTCTCTCTTCCACCTTCTCTCGAATTACTTTCTCCTAACTAGTATCGCCAAGTTTTGGAGGATACTACTTCATGAGTTTAAATAATAGCTCTAAAAATTAGTAAAACCTCACCTTGCTTTATCATACCTTATCTATTATCACTTTTATCAATGCTTGAATATAAGATTAGCGCAATGATTCGTTTAACTTCCTCCATACTTTACTTTTGTTGAATATGCGCTTATTGCTGTTACTAGATATCTCAAAAATATCAAACAACTCAACGTTTCTTTTACTAGACTAACTATAGTTTTGTCATTAAGTAACGTTACTTCTACTTCTATTTTAACCTTGCTTACTAATTAGTATATCCTCTCTATCGCTTTCGGCGAGGTCATATGAAAGGTGGAAATGGCACCAAGTATTATGTACAAAAGTGAATATATTTGTTCCTTACTAATTAAAACAATTTATAAATTACTTCCGAGATGTAGTTACTGATTCTCAAAGAAGGGATAATTTGTGAAGTAAAGTTGCTTGAAGATCAAATTATATTTAGTTTGTTTCTTTTGCTGATATAATCAAGGATGTTTCATTTTGTCTCGATAATGATAACGAATGATGTGAGGAAGAAAATTTCAAGTCTTTTAATGAATGCTTCATTTTTGTTTGATAGAATGAAACTAAATAAGTATATATCATTTAATTCCTCTCAATTGATACATATCTTAGCAAGCCATTAATATTAAGTGTTCATTTTCAAACTTTATTCTTTCAATTAAGAGTTGGAAAAGACAAGTTGTAATTAGATGAAAAATAGAGATGATGGGATTGAAGAGAAACGAAGGTGAGAAAATTTTTTGAACAAAACGAGAGAAGAAAAACAAGTTTTTAAAATTTTCTGCTACCTCCATCACTGAACTTTCTAAAAACTTTGATTCAATTAAAGCAATTTTGAATATTGAGTTTTTTTTTTCTTTTTATCTCAACTTGACTTGATATTAACGAATGCACAGCGCTCTTTATTATTAGTGAAAAAATTTCCAAAATTATCTTGTACCACTTAAATGTTCTCTGAATATATAGTCAATCGTTTATTTCTTTTTTTCGGCTAGTATACAGTTAATTTTTTTAGCATCTGATGATAATTTTTCTCTTCCGTTTTCCTCATGAATAGAAAGTATAACAGTGATAAATCGCATCATCTAAAATGATCATCATTCCGCCCAGCAAGGCTATACTGTTGCGGATAATCGATAGTTTGGATTTAAGATGGAATACTGTTAAAAAGATTATTATGTATGATTATTTTAACTTGGATATGGTTATGATATTGATATTCTTGTAGAATAGCACCTTATACTGTAAATGAAAATGACAGACAACACGTGTTCTACGTGTTTTTTGGATCTGACTGCTAGTGAAATTATGACTTTTATATTTTAATGCTACTAGCTTTAGTTAATATATGCTATAATTAGCTAGCTTAACTGGTACTTTTTTCCTAAAATTGTCATTACTAGACCAAAATTTAATGAACTATTAGATGATCACATGAAACATTAAATGATACATATAAAGATACATAGTTAGTTATTACTTATCGAATTGCCATTGGAGTTTAAATTTCTTATTCTCAGATTTGAACGATAGTTAATAAGCACATCATAAATGCATTATCCTGAGACCATCGAATAGCAGTAATCTTAGCAATAGGAAAATAAGAATGTCTCAAGTGAAAAAAAAAAAAAACTGAAAGAAGATTTAACACTAATACTTACCATATATTGAGTTAGGTGACTGAAGAGAATTAAAAAATTAAAGAGTCTAGTACAAGATTTGAATGAAGCAAATGAAATCGTAGTTCAGAAATTTTATTAATTTTTAATTTAGAACAACAGAATAGTTCAATACCTTTGCTGTTTAGATGGGGAATGAAGTGAGAGGACAATGTCCACTGTCCAAATTTACTGCACATATTCCAATTCTTATTTCTAATATTGCCAGAGATCTCATCAAGTTCGAATTTCTTTGGAATCCACGTACATTGTAAGAAATCTACGCTTCCTTATATTCACGTCACCAGTGAGTTTAGCTTTCGATCTAACATAATTATTTTTCTTTTCGACTGAAAATAAATTTCTGGAAATAAAAACATTTAAAGTACAATACATGAAAATAAATTATCAGCTAATGATTGTTTGATATTTTGTGCCCGATGTTTTTCGGACAGATATGGAATATTTGAAAGAGAAGCACTGCTCTTATCAGAATACTGAAGGTAAAAGTGAGTAAAGAGAGATGGAAAAGATGGGTGAAAGTATTTAGCAGTAATATATCAGTTGGGAATGAAAGTAGAAAAATGTGTAACATTGTCAAAAAAATAAAAAATAAAACAACGCACTGTGATAGGATCAAACAACAAAAAGACATCAGCAAAAAAGATTGGACTACAAAGAATGTTATAAATATCCTCGCGGTTGTTTTAAATATTGACATATATTATAGTAGAAGAGTGCAGCAAAAAGAAGGATCTTTTGCGGGGCATTTTGAAAATGAATTGGAAAAATAACAAAATCAAAAGTAAGTAGGAAGTAGTGCCATTCGTGCAATAAAATGTTGATGCAAAAATGAGAAATTTGACGTTTGATACTTGGAATACATTATTAAACAAATATTACTTTTACATTATTTTAATGTACATTGCGCACTTTATGTTTTTTTTTTTTTCCTCTCTCTTTTATTAATGAATTACTTATTTTATATATAAATGATAGAAAGAAAAAAAAATTTAAATAATTTTCTTATTTTAGTTTGGAAAAAAAATAATTTTTAGAAAATGAGGCATGATTGATAAATGGAAAATTGGGAGAACTACTGAAATTAATCAGTATTTTAATAATTATATAGAAAAAAATCCTTCAAAAAAAACTCAACGTAAGCTATTCATTCTACGGTAATTTGTCATTCGAAGTAAGAAAATGAAAGGATGAAAAGTTCTCCAAATGGACATCTCATCAGCTGGTCAACAATCAAAAAACTTTGTTATTTTATGTAGCATTTAAAATCTTTTGTTGTATGATAGATCTGATATGAGATAAGCAGCTTAGTGTGATTCAATTGAGACACTAAAAAATTTTTAACATTTTACTGCCGCTATAGCTTTCCAGGAGAAAGTATTACATTTGAGATTGAATCTTGTCAACTGACAGTGGTCAATAGATAGAGGGCATTCATTTCTTTCTCTAAGTTAGTGCGCTTTATGACAGCATTGGACAACCAATATTTCAGAGACAAAAGAATTGAGAAGAGAAAAATTTCCTTATTTTTTCTGAACTTCTCACTATCAATTATCAGTTATTCTGTTAATTATCTTCAAAATAATCTTTTCAAGTGGCATTCATAAAATCAGCCTTTTTTTAAAGTTTTGAAATTTCAAAGTTTTGAATTTATCTAGATTTCAATTCCTCACTGATATCATCATTCCTCTTTTAATTAACAACAACATCACTAAGTATAATTATAGAATTTAAAACTGACATAAATGTAAAAATTTCTCTATCCACCTAATATATGCAATTCCAATAATTTTTTTTTTCCTTTTTTTTTTTAAATTTTTTATCTAGCAAGCACTAATAACATACGAAAGAGATAGCAACAATATGAATGGAACAAATTTATTTCAGGTAAATAATAGAAGGTATTTATTGATATCAAGTAATGAACCATAAAGCTACACGAGAAAGAGGCATTATTCAATGATTAGAATTATAACGAAGAACAGAGATGGTATAATTAGCAATGGAAGATGAGAAGTAATCCATCATTTATAGCAACTTAATATGTTTAGGTTATTTTTATAACTCTGACAAAAGCGCCGATGATTTTATCAATAACTCTAGCAAAGCATATACCAACTTAAAATATATCCAAGTACGTTGCTACTCTGATTCTTTCTCACAATATATGCAATATCTGGAAGCTATCCATATATCATCGTGGCCAAAAAGAAGAACAATATTCATAAATGTGTCTAAGAAATTTGAAAAAAAAATTAAAATCCACAGATGAGCATAAAATTAGTTATATGAAATAATAAATACTAGTGGTTAAAATTAATAATAATAAATGATTATACTATATTCCGCATCACATAGCTCAACTGATAACTGTTAGATTAGACTAAACTAAATATATACATGTATATGTGATGAATATAATACGAGTAATATTGACAATAAAAATAAATAATAAATGTAAGAGAGTGAAAGAGATGAAATTGAGAGTGTAAAATAAATGAGTACAAAAATTCCTTTTTAAACAATCTAAGCTATTTTAGCTGGCTAAATGAATGGATAGAGTCATACATGAATTCTTTCAGAGAGCAATTATCTCTCAAGCAGACATACATGATAGACATACGTCGACATGCATGCAAGCAAATTGCTTGCATTTACGTGAACACATACACATACACACATATACGTTTGTGTACGTGTTACGTTGGAGAAACTGAAGAATAGTGATGAGTAGAAATGAAATGCATGTGATATGATTGCTAGCATCACTTATCATACTAATACTAAATTGATAGCATACGATTGCTATAGGTTCAATTCCGCCTGTTTCCTTCTATTTGTAGCAAATATTTCTCTGTCAGCTCTAAAGCAACAACCAACACCCACCAAACACTTTCACTTTCTGTCCACTTTTTTATCGTTTCACGCATTTTCCACTAATACACCATCCTACAATACATTTTTATATGTACGCAATACTCATATCATACTAATACACAGACATACAGACGGACGGATGCAGACGATGTCTGTCAAAGATATATATGTATGTGTGTGTGTGTGTGTGTGTGTATCGATCGCTTATAAATAAATGTATATCGTAGTTCTTGTTGTCTTCTAGGTGCAACTTTCTGTCTGCTTTGCCCTTTTCCGGCAGTGTTGCGGTGATGAATGGACAGACGTTGAGTGCGATGGATGAACGGATGAATGGATGAATAAACGGACCGAATGGAGGAGTGAAACGGATAAATGGAAGAATGATGCATGGATGGATGAATTGTTTATGAGAGATCCACGAGTATTGCAATTTAATTGAAGACGGATGTCTTACTATTAAAAAAGAAAAAGAAAAATTCAGACTTTTGAATGTAAATTATGTTACATCTTTTAACTTTTATATCGCATTCACTGAAATTTGAGTAATGAATTGTTTAATGAAGTAATTTGAGAAGCAAATCAGATTAACAAATATAAGTATTCCCGAAAAAGAAAACAAAAAGATTAATAAATTTAATATTAAAATTTTAGATATAAATATTTGGTGAAGTAATGAATTTACTAGAATAATATATTAAAAAGAAGATAAGCCAAAGCAAAGCAAAGGAATTTTTTGGACGAAATATGATAATGATGGTACGAGTTTGGAGAGGAAATCAGTTGTCTAAATATTCATCAGAAAGAAAATTGACAACTTTTTTGAAATGACTTAAAGATATATGTATGAGAATGAATTTGTAAATTTGATTTTCCTCTTTCGTTTTCTTTTTTTTTTTCTCAAATACAAATGAATAATGATTAGAAACTACGATTTGTAGTAAGCGTTTTCTGTATGTAACACAGAGAGTGAAGGAAAGTTTTTTTTTTTTTTTTTTTTTTTTTTTTTTGTAAAATTCGAAATACAAACTGTTATTTTCCACTTTTTTGACGAGTTACAACTCAAAAAATTAACATTCATATCCATCGAAGTTATCTTATCTTGCAATTTATACTATCAAATTTTCACTCCATTATCAGAATTTATTTGCTTGCTATCATCGTAAGTTTAAATTGAAGTTTTGAACTCTGAAATTATTGCACATTTATTGCATAAATTATAATTCAAAAATGAAAATGTCAAGAATGAATGAGAATATTTTGACTGAGAAACTAGAATAATGGGAGAAAAAAAAGAAGCAATAAGGAAAGAAGAGAATGTAAATGAAAGATGAAGACGAAAAAGTAGACAATGCAAAAATGATGCAATTTTTAAATGAGTACTGAAGAATTTTTTAAATGTGCTAAGAAGAAAAAAATAATTTTTGGTTATGATAGCATAAATGGGATAAAATTTTAGGCTACGAGGAAAAGTAAATAAACAAAAACAAAAAAAAAAAGGAAAAGAAATATTCGGATCGTTTTTCATTATTATAATTTCTGAAGATCAAAGTTATTTCCTTTTCTGACAGATCACATTTTTATTGAACCAGTTCCTCTTGCAATTAATTTTTTCGTCAAAAAATAAAAAATAAAAAAAAAATAATAAAAATGAAACCCGTTTAAGAGGGAAACGAGCAATCATGGCTATCTCATAAATGATGAATTGAAACTTGTTTTTCCATATGAGAAAATCATGTAAAAATAATAATTTCATATTTCGAATAAATTCAAAATAAAACATTTGATGGGGAAGAATAATGTATAATATAAAATGTTTTCGTTTTTTCTTCTACATTTTACATAATTAAATAATTAATTAATTAATATTCTTCTGAAAATATAAACAAACATATAATAATTATTTTTATACTTTTGTTGTTTCATAAATAATTTGTATGAATGAATGAATGAAAAAATTTGGTTGAAAATCTCTTACATGTTGTATTATTTCAATTTTTTTTCCTGTACTTCCATTTTTCTTTTTTTTTTCTCTTGAAAAAACAATGAAAGAAGGGAAAAGGAGAGAAGAGAAGAAGGTTTGTGATTTAATATAATGACGACATGACAAGTTAATGATAGATAGATGCTAAAAAATTCCCATATTTTTTGACGTAAATATAATTAACAACTAAAATTTGCATTTTGTTTGTTTGTTTGTTAACTTTTTATACTTTTTCTAGGCTTTTTTCTTTTTACTTAAGAACGAAATATTTGAAGTTAATAAATTTTATTCATTACCTAAACTTTTAAAATGAAATCATGATCAAAGATTGAATTCATGTGGATATGCAATTAGTAAAAAATGATATATTTGAAAATGCCTGAAAGTGAAAATCTTGCATCAATTTTATTCTTTTTTCAAAATAAAATCAAAAAATATAACATAAAAAAAACTTGATTATCTAAAACAAACAAAAGTATTTAATTTGATTAATTTCAGTTTAACTTTATAAAATTTACAATACTAATGATGAAATATTTAATATTCATTAAATTAAAAAACTCTCAGTGATTTGTAATTATTGTGTTATATTAATTAATAAATTATTGTGTTATGATGAATGAGTAAGTTTATTATTTTTTTTTTTTCATTTACATTTTTTTTTCAATCACTATTACAATTTATATGTTCAGTGAAAGTATGTATGAAAAGTAATCAACCAATCGTGTTCCACTTCCACATCAACACCAGTCTGATAAAGAAAATAGATTGCAATACGATGGCTTACATATCATATTGGTTCCTATCTTTATTATCGTAAATATTCAACAATAAATTTTCTTTAGCTTCTTTTAAAATGATTTAGAAAATTTTCTTTCCTTTTAATTTGAAATCTTTCAATGATAATTTGTATATAACACAAATTATAAAAAAGTAAAAAATAAAGCAAACAACTGGCGAAAGAATTATTACAATTATAGCAGTAATAATTTAATTTTTATATAAAAAATCAATTTCAACTAATAGATATAATATCAGGTAAAGTAAAAATAGCATAAAATTTATTCTATTAGGATGCAATCAATAGCATATTGAATACCGTAGAATGAATAATTGTGATTTTCTTTTTAAATATATTTTCATATAAAAATAAAAATGATATGGAATTAATGATTAGTTTCTTTGTTAAGTTTAATTCAGTTATCATTTAAAAAAAATTAGATAAACAAAAACAGATAAGTAAGAAAAGAATGATTTCAAAATGAATGATCTTTATTACGAACAGATTGTTACATTCTTCTTGTGCTTTGTTTTGTTTTTCCAACCATTTATAATTTAAAATTTTTTACATTTTATGTATTTGTTAGCAACTGAAATATAAAATTAGCTTACTACGAGCATTGTGAAGAGTATTTTTGATTTAATATTCAGAAAATTGATAAGTTGTGTTTGATAGCTAATTTTGCTAAATTTTCCATATTAATATGTCCTGTATATTAATTAGTATTGAAATCCCAACTACCAAATCCGGAATACGAAAACTTATATTACATCGATTATTGACTCAAATGAACATTATTATGTCATAAATATTAAGATGAAGTGAAAAAGAAGCCAAAATTTATGTAGAATAAGGTTAAAATAACTAATACTGATATTGAAAAATTATTCTTCCGGAAAAATTATTACTTTATTGGTAACATTAATTTCAACATCACTACTGAAATAATGACCAAATGAAAAAAATTTTGAAACTGGTCAGCTTTAACAGTTTCCGGAAGGACTGTATTTAAACCGATATTCATTAACTTCAGTCATATTTTTGAGAATGCGCATACAAATAGAATATCCCGGAAAAACTTGAAACAAGTTGGAGTTAATTTGAATTACTGTGATATTTTATCAATAATAATCGCTCTTTTATTAACTGTTAAGCATTAAAAGGAAACTTTAAATAGTAAATTGATAAATATAAAAAGATGATAAAATAAATGGAAGAATGGATTAATGGTGGTAAAATTATTAGCAAAAGCAATGAAAGACTATGAAATTAAATGAATACATATCATTTGTGTTAACAAACTCAACCAACCACGATGGCAAAGGTCAACATTGTGTGCAATATTTTGGATGAATAAAATAGAATGACGTAACATGCATACACATACAACTTGTCAACTTCTTAATTATTTGAATCCTTATCATCTGTGGATAATAATTTTAACAAATATGAAAAGTGCAGATATGAGATCTCACAGATTAATTTTAAAAGGTTTTTTTTTCTTAAAGTTTAATAAAGTAATACTAAATTCTATCACTACACAAATTACTATAATTGTAATGTAAAATGTAGTAAATAGGCACGTATCACAAGTATGAATTAATTTTAAAGAAAAGTTTTATAAAAAACGTGACGTTTTGCTTTATAAGATCTCATTGTCATTTGTTTCACTGCAAATATAAATGAATGTTGACAGTGCTTAGAAAGTAACACCCTTTTATTTCATTTGCTTTTTTTAAAATTATTTCATCCATTTATCACAATCAGTGTTCCATCTGAATATACAATTACAAAAATTCTCAGTTTTTCGATTCGTAAAATTAACAAAATTTTCAGAGGAAATAAAAAAGAACATTCCGCAACCAGCGATGACAAAACACTGCTAATTGATTCTTTCAAAATCAGCAAAAGAAATGGGTGATTACTGCCAATATTACCTGCTTTTAGTTCCAAACTTCTTGAAGTAAAAAGGATTCAAATTTAAAGGAAAAGTCTCATACTTATCACTACACTTCAGCATGCATAAATATGACTTTAGTGTGTGCTATAAAAGTATTCTACGTCCGTTTACTAATTCATTTGCACAAAATGCAACGCAACTTGCTAATTATTTATTTAATTAGTATTTATTATGCACATTACAGCTCGTCATAAAAACTTTTCACAGAGAATAACTTCTTATGGAATGATTTCGTCTTTTGAATGTTCATAATAGTTGCTTAAATGTTATGAGCGTAAAAAACGTGAAGCTGGATAAGTGAATATTCTTTCAGTTGACCTCCTTCCCTCAGAACTCTTTTCGAAATAAATTAACAAACCATTTCTTTCTATAACTAATGATGACGTATTTTTGGTCTCATCAAAATTTTTTTGATCGCATAAGGACGTTTCCTGCAATTTTTTCGTTGATATTTGAAAGACTAATGTACATGTATAAATACAAGAGTATCATAAATAAAACTAACCTTTTCGGACCTTCAAAATTAAACGTCTTCCATTTTTGTATCTAAAATTTATTTTAATTTTATTTTGCAAAAATTAAAGTTGCATAGTTTTTTTTTTTTTTTGTAACAGTCATTCAAGTTAACTATTTCGATCAAGTTAAACATATCAATAACCAATGTTATGTAATTCATATACTATAATGCTCCTCACAAGTGAGTTAATTAATTAAAAATAGTCTTCGATTGATTTAAGCAAGAAAGCAAAAAGTCATTACTCCTAGCCAAACCGAAAAAAAAATGCATACACGATTGAAAACTCACCGGATTTATACTTTGTAGTTGAACTGGAGATGTTGATCTGAAATAAAACGTGAAGATAACTGAAACCTACTTTGCTCCATTAGGATTTAAAAAATTATCAGGTACTAATATTTTAGCGACTAATATTAGACTATGACCTCTCTAGCTACAAAAACTTTTCGATGATAAACATAATATTGAAATGATTTTCAGCTTCACAGAACAATAGCCATGCCCAACCACTGTCTTCTCACAGTTATTCATTAAATGGATTTACTTGCTGCAATGAAAACTTTACGTTATTACACCTTTAAAGAACATTCATAAACACTAACTTTTTTGCAGAAAGTAATACACTATCTGGGAAAAACTCTTCATTGAGCATATTCAAATCAATGGTGGAAAGCGTAGCACTATTATGAAAATCTTTACTATCGCTGCAAAATGGAAAGACCGAAAAGTAAACAAATATTGCAATATTTCAAATTTTTGATTCAAATCTTTCAACCAAAAAATCATACAGCTTCAAATAATTTTTAATTTAAAATCAGAGAATATCTGAGCTATGACTTATGCATGAAGAAAGTATATGAACTATGCTTTCTGTTTGTTTGAAGAATATGTTTCTGAGCTATGATTTCTGTTTGAAAAAAAAATAAGCAGTATTTTTGAACTTAAAAAGAATCAGTAAAATAACATACTGATTAAAAATTGCGTTCTTTCGTCCTTTTATCATTGTCTAACACTGATAACGAAATAAATACTGTAAGATAATCAATAACTTACAAGTCTAATAAATTTTTTATATGATAATTTGTTATTTGTCGGCTATCAACTTGCTGAACAGCAGTCACATTTTCAGGCCATTCGTAAGTTTCCAAGTCTTCTGGTATTGCTGAAACATAAATCATCCGTTCTTTAACAAATTCAGAAGAGTCTTCTAACAGTCAAAGCGTCCTCAAGTTAAGCAAGCAATCTTGCAACAAAATAATATTCATCAAATTACAACAAATTATAATGCAACCAATAAATATCAAATAAAAACAATGTCAAAATTAACCCTCAACAGATTCTCCTTCAATCGAAGAATCTAACGCTTTTTGCAGACTCAACAAGAAATCTTTTGAACAATTTGATTTTGTTAATTTATTTTTCAGTCGCACTAAAGGATGCTGCTCGGAATTGATGGAAGAATGCCACTTCATTGCAACAAATTTAACTGAATCCTGGAAGTTTTTTTTTTAAAAAAAAGACAAATTTTTAAAGAAATTTGAAAAAATAATTAGATTATGAACCTCATAGAATGGATTTAAGATCAAAATTTACGTTAAGAAAGAGTCAAATATCTGAACTTGTAATCTTGGTTGGCGGAAATGTAACAGTCGCTTTTTAATTTATTTTAGTTTTGATCTGCAAACATGAACAACTCACAATAAATTTAAAAAAGCATTTCATATATTATGTCTTAAATGAACTAGAATTAAAAAAAAGCAAATACATTCTAACATAATTAAATTCAAAATCCACCGATAACAATTGTTTCACTTACTTTTTTTAAAATATTTTCAAAAAGATCGACGAGCTGAGCTGCGACCTCAAGAAGTAATTCGTCGATTGGTTCTCCCATCAAAAAACGATCCGTAAAATATAGCAGAGCACCCTCGTTACTAATTAAAGCATTGTTAACCTATATAAAAATATTTAAGCTTTGCAAATTTATAAAGTTGAGGATTTTCTAATTGGCCAGAAAATAACAACAGAAATTTTGACAAGGCAACCCATTTGACCATTCTGTGTTAAGATTTTATAGATTTAAAAATAAAAAAGACCTTATAAAAGGATTCATTATAACAGTTCAGTGATTTGAACAATCGTTTATTGATTAATTACTGGTGTGTCTGTAGACTCTATATGGACCTTCACAGAATGTGAAAAATCGAAAAAAAAAAAAAAAATTCCAAATAGTTGAAAAAATCTTAAATCTTACTACAGCACGACCAAATGCTGAAGAACGTCCTATGCTGCAAATACTTTCCAATGCCAGCATCATCGTTTCTATATTATGCTGCACGTTTCCAAAATGTTCCACAAGACTGTCACATATTTTGATATAGACATCACTAGGCAAACAATCGATTTTACCATCAATATTTTTGTCAGCAACACAAAGATTACGAAAAATTTTCTAAAAAGATATTCAAAAATTAATAAACCAGTACAAAAAACAAATAAAAAGCCATAAGATAATTGTCATTCAAAAAGAACTGTTTATATAATGCAAAAAAATATTACGTTACTAAAGATTTGAAGAAGAAATTTATATTTTCATAAAGATGAAAATTGAACTAATAAGTAACCAACTAGGCACATAGTCTATATTCTTTATTACGACAAAAAAAAAAAAAATGGAAATTTGAGAACTTACAATGACGTATGTTTGGAACGAGACGTGAGGTAAAGTTTTCGGGCTAGCTAGTTTGAAGAACATCAGCAATGTAGTAATATAACTTTTGCGCTGGGAAATTATGATAACCATAAAATTTCGAAGTACAAATTCTGTGGAACAGATAGCCAAGAATGCATAAAATGAGGCTGTCACAAGATCAACAGCATTGCCAAAACGAACATTTGACTCTTCCTCAACAATATCGTCGTCAAAAGCATCAACGATAGCCGTATGTGCCGAAGACGTTAACATTCGTAAGCTCTGCTTTATAAGAATACTATAATAAAGAAATAATTTCCATGATTGATTGCGTCAGAAAAGTGAGATATTTAAGAAGATAAAAATATACGTAAATGATGAGTAAATAAAAGGAAAGAATAAATAAATAAATTTCAAACATAAAATGTATTTCAAAAAACCCACTGTAATAAAACTGAAGAGTTGAAAAAATCATATAATAAGATAATCAAACAAAGTCTCTTAAAAAAACTTAATATGAACTTATTATATATATAAGTCTATCGATCCATATTTAAGTTTTTTAAAGAGATTTGATTACAAATTATATCATACAAAAGACGCATTTGTGCCAATTTATTTGATGAAATCAATCTTGAAAACAACAAAAAATAACAATTTATTAGTTCTTAAAAAAAATTTGCTTACTCAATTAAACGCAATGCATTACCCTCGGAACAATATGCCAAACGTTTACACAGGTCGAATATACGTCGCTTCAGTCGCTGCGAAGATGAGATACCTAACTGCAAAAAAAAAAAAAAGAAAAAACATAGCATTAATATTTCAAATTAGAAAACGCTTCACTCAAAAATCTCATAAATCCAATACATTAAACTTAAACAATAACCATAATCGCGAACTGCAACTGTTTCCCGTTTTCTAAAATACGATCGCTCAGCAATTTTTCCATTGAAGTTACCTCCTGCATATTAATACCAACAACGTTTGCCAGCATATCCGACGGAAGCGGGAATAATTTTAACAAAATATCCAACGTAGCAAAGAAATTTGAAGGTTTATCGAAACCGGAATTCAAAAAAAGCTTTAGAAATGACTGCTGACCAGTTTTCCGCAATCCCTGTCGATCTGACAGAGTTGAAAAAATAAATAATGAAAATGAATTTATAATAATTTCTCTAATTATGCGATCGCCAGATGCTTCATCCATACAACAGAGTGTATACGTCCTTAACAAGGTATCTATCACCAGCTTATCAGGATTTTGGTTGATAGTTTGTAAGGATAATAATAGCTTGCATATAATGCTCGTTGCTGAACGAACAAACTGACAATAAATGTATGAATCACCGGTAAGTGCGGTGCATCGATAACGCACTCGTTTGCTCTGTTGACAATTTGCTATCTACAAAACTTTTTTCAAATTAAAATGAATTTTTAGAAAAACTTGGAAGTTTTTCATCCTGAAAGTCATATAAAATGATTCACCTCAAAAAAAGCTTACATCTAATACGTGTGTAATTTTTTCTAATCCACCATCCCCATAAAATTTTGCGTAGTAATCGAAATGAATTTCATCGGGTGGAACATCAAATAATGTTACATTTTCCGGTTCATTCAGTATTGCATCTATTAGACGTAGTAGAGTTACCAATGCTAACGGCGGATCACCTTCCACATATTTTTCACTGTGATAAGTTAATCTAAAATAATGATTATGCCAACAAAACATTAATATTTTTGAAAAGAAAATTTGGTTGAAATTTATAATTTCTACAATTTTACGGTTGACGACAAGTACCATGAATTTGTATTCCTTCTTCATTTAAATTCCACTTGTCCTATCACATTAAACATAGTTCTACATAGTCGCCTAATTCTAATCTTTTAGATAAATAATTTAATAATCTAGTTTCTATCCTGGCAAACTAATTTTGCATAAATTTTTGAGATTTCAAACCTCGTCGTTAGGAAATCTAACGTATTTATATTTCTGCCAAGTGCTAATTCCTCCCGAAATGGTTCCAGCCAGTGTTTCAATGATGTTGCAGCTGAGATGAGGTTACAATCGATTAGTTTAATAATTTCTGGACCATGCCTTCTCCAAAATATTCCACTAGACTGATTTCGTGCTAAGGCAAATAGAATTTCACACAAATATCCGTAAGTAGCAGTTTGCCTAAACCTCGTTTTGATGTCATCATCGATATGGCTTTCGAGTATTAATACTGATTTTTGAAGATCACATATATGTAACAAATGTTTCAGATTATCTCCAAATGATAGTGCGGAAATCATCGCAAGACGTCCTTCTTCGACTAATAACATATGCAACATATTTTGTAGAACAGTTACACGCTCAGGTGCATCGATTACTGAAATACACCTGAAATTATTGAAATGAGATATTTTTTAAACTGAAGTTCCAGGAAGAATCAAGGTGTTAAAGAAATATCTAAATGCTTAAATTTAATCTAATTTTAAATTGAAGACAAATTCAAATACGAAAAAACCAAAACTTACTTCTCATCGGCAGCAATAAACTGATCAACTAATACGATTGCTCGCAATGCGTAAGGTAATAATGACTTTTCTTTGCTATCTTCCTTAAAAATAAATTTCCTTACGCCATAATTTTAGGAAGCCGATTTATAAATATTGAGATGAAATTCAAATGCAAATGAAATTAATAACAATAGAGTTACAGAAACTACTTTGCTTTGTAAATGTTTTATTTTAAAAATATTTTCAAAGAATCTGAAAGGTTCAAAAGGTTGTAGTGTGTGCATGAACCAGTTTTTAAACCGATAAAAATAAGTTTATGTAGAAAGAAAAAAACCAAAACTACCGAAATTTGATGTAATAATCGTCCAACTAATGATACTGTTTGTGTGCCCATATATGAGAGAAAAATCGCTCCAGTAATATCAGTACCATCGAAATCGCACAGCAATCGGAGACAACGAACTGCCAAATACCTTATTCTCGTATCTTGATTAGGTGATATAGCATGCACACAAATATGCGGAATTAAACAACTGAAAAAAGGAATATCATGCCAGGGAATAAAATTTAAAAAAAATCAGATCCAAATTTTTTAATCGAATGATAAATTAAAATTTGAAGCAAAAGACCATTATGCCATAGAACTGTGTATTAACGGTCGACCCTTTGATTTCAATAATCATAAACTCTTTATGTCAGAAATACTTTATTGAATAAATCTATCAACTAAGGAATAAAAACAAATCCGGTAAATCTTCGAACATAAAATGCATCACATTAGAATGTGAAGTAAAACTACCTAACATATTACTACTGATATATGCCGAAAGTTCGTTGGAGATATGAAGAACTTACGAAACTGCGGTGTTCGTAGGATTCTGGAAAATTTCTAAACTCATAACAATTGCATTAAAGTGCTAACATTAATTTTTACACGCCTTACTTTTTCACAATGGTCCGATGTGCAGAGCATGACATGTAGCTGAAATCATTTCTTATTTTCGAAAAGAAGTTGTTCAGAATGTTGAAGGATGAGAACAGCTGAGAAGTATCAACATCATCACAATCTTCCTCCATAAAAAACCTTCGTGCATGGTTTCTTACAATATCAATATTGTATTTAAATACAAAATAACTTGCGATTTTTTGAAGTACTCCTAACAAATCCAGCGAAACATCCTGCAAAATTCTAAGGGTAAAGGAAAATAATGATGATGGCTTATCTGTTTATGTATCTTCAGTGTACAATATAACCTTTATCCAAATCAAAATTTGTTCTCTTAGCTCTTTTCAAAAAATCATTGCGAGACAAGAACAGTGAAAGTTGTTATATATTTCCTAAGTACACTGAAAAATAAAACAATCACTTCTGAAATGATAAATGCAAACCTCTGGTTTCATGAAAAGATGTATGACTTGCTCGTATGGTGTATATTTATTCCCTTCAATTTTTGTCACCATGAATTTCCAGGATATTGATGGATGAAAAAGAATGTCTAGAAGTGCTTGCGCAGCTTCACATCGGATTGATGAACAGTATTGCTTGGAGGATATGATATTCATAATATAATTTAAATATTGGGGAGCCTGAAGACAGTTCCGTTTTTTACCACTTTCCTTTCTCACGAAATATTATAAATATGTTTCCACGATACTAATCAATCTTGACAATAAATTTAAGAGACTAGATTATGTGAGATCAATTAGTTCGACTAGTTAAATAAATCAATGTAATTCAATAAGCATACACAAAATGTCACGCTCAAATCCTTTTCATGCATAGCTGATAGCTGTTTGGTTAGACTACAACCGATCATAGCCATTTGACTGCTTCCTGCATACGATGTAGAACGACTTGAGCTAAGTCCAAATTCAACCCATCTTGCTAATTCAACATCCATCTCATGTACCTTTTCTGTAAGTTGTTTTAATTAAATAAAAAAAGTTAGCAATTATCAAGATAACAAAGCATTGAGTGCTTCAGAAAAATAAATCCTATAAACGCTGAAGTTTATTTGATGCTCAAGGTTTCTAAATTTGAGAGTTAATATTAAGTTACAAATAAAATTTGTTGCAAACACATGCCTTCACAGGATGCAGCTTTGGTATAAATTCGTATACTGCTTCGAATAGTTGGTAAGATAGTTTCCATAGAAATTGTCCAGTCGTCACTGGAAATTGAGAAAGCTTATACTGCTGACAAAAAAAAGTGTGCTGTCTTGATAATAAAGGCATGCAGTGGTACAGTGCGCATCAAATTTTATGAACAAATCAAACTAATTAAAAATGACTTACATAAGCTCAATCAGTGGTTTGGAACAAAATGATTCCAAAGCACCGCAAAAAAGTTCGTACTCCAAATCTGTCGGTTTCATATCTTCCATATCTTTCCATGGATATTCCAAATTCTAAATATCATTAATTTTAAAATCAAAATTTTGATCTGGACAAAAAGCGTAGAAATCAGAAAGAACCAGACATATCGCAAAAAAAAAAAAAAGAAAAATACAGTTTTGAGATATTGAACCATCAACAATTCGTCAATAAATTAAATGCTTAGAGATTTCATATGTGTCCTAGCAAATGCAAATAATTAAATGTGCAAGCTAGTTTCGAAACCCATCCATCAAATAATCCGTCTATCCTACTAATGGAAACATATAAAACAATGAACACCTCCTAATTCCAGTCACTTGTTTTAGATAATACAAAACTGTAACATATGAAAGCAGTGCATACTTACCTGAATAAGAACATTATCAATTTGCTGCAGAGGAGATGAGGCCAGTTCGTTTTGTATCGGTGCCTTCTCTAAACTCTCCATAAAATTCTCGTTATGTTTTTCCATCACTGTATATTACTTATCATATTGGAAATAAAATACATCTCTATTCTGTATTCAAAACCTAAACATTAGTTGAACCCATTACACCTGGAAACCTTTGACAATTAGTTCTTATGCTTTCATACGAGATTATATGCGTGGAAATACGTATATGGATGGATGAATGAATGTATGCATCACATTTACAGAACTAAATTAAATTATTTCTTGATTTTTATCATCAGCCGACTGTTGCCTAGTTGGAAATAGAATTGTTACACGTGTCCATGACAACAGTACGCCGTTAGGAAGGAAAATACCCGGCAGATAGATGCAAACACAAACGAAACTAGCAATGAGTTTCCTTTCCCAATATAAGATAACTTTCATCACGTTACCACGCTCATCTGATTACGTACGCAAACTTTTCCAGTAACACAAGAACGATTTCAAAATTTTCATAACGTCCTGAACTGAGTGATACGCAGACGTAATAATATAATTTGGCTGGTGATTTTGATTTGTCTTATTGATAGTTTAAAACCGGAGCTGGAAATCGGTTCTCTGAGTATAAGCGGAGGATTTCCGTAAAACACTTGTTACATACGGATTTGAGGTCAATATTTTTGAGTTGTTGTTAATAATTGACTTCTACGGCAAATTTTTAACAGCTGGCAAACCTCCAGTCAACGTTAGTGACGTCATTTATCTAATTTGAATTGTGGTAGTCCGCACTTTTTTTTTTTTTTTTTTTCTTTAAATATAGTCATTCCCATAGTTTCACTTCAGTTATTTCTTCAGTAAGTTAACGACATGTAAGTATTTATAAGTATTTTGGGAACAATTTGTTGTAGTGAGTAGTAGTATTTGATTGTATTGTATGGAAGAGCAATGATTTTTTTGTTGCTCTATTGCTATAATGGCACAACAGTTAATGAGATTTTTTCAATCATATGGAAGGTCGCAGTTAATTTTTTCACTTTTTCCAACTATAGTTATTGCTTAGATGATAACTGTTAGATTACATGAAAAGCTATATAACAGATGAATAGTTTATTTTTTATTTGTATTTATTTAAGTGTAATCACTGCGTGAAGGTTAGATTGGAATTGAGAATAATGAGTTGCTTTGCATATTCGTACAGTTTTGCTTTCTCACTCTTCATACATTTCATACTTTTGTTTTTCTTATCCGTTATTATCATGCAGATTATAGATGGATTGGATTAAGTAGTATGTCTGGTACAGTGACGCTTAATTGAGATATTATTGATAATGAGAAAGAGAAAGAAGGCGATATTTTCTACAGACGTTATTATCATTAAAACGTTCCAGTTAGTCTCAAGTTGTACATTAAATTCGAGAGAGATTGATGGGAAGCGTTGACAATAGTTCAACTAATGCTCCACTGAATCCCGTTGCTGGCACTTCAGAAATGGTGGACGATGGCGAAACTACTGGTTATTTTTTATTTTTTTTCTCTCCAAAAATTTTTCTACAAATCTTTTCTGAAAAAGAGCGAAAGTCTGTGAGCAGAAAAAAAATTTTTGCATCGTAATCAACAGTAATTTTCTCGAGAACATTGGTTGTCAAATATAAAGTTTCTTAAATATTAACATTGTTAAAAATTTGTGGTGCTTTCTTGATGCTTCATAAACATTTCGGAAAATGCTTTAGATTGAATAAACATTTTGCTTGAAAAGTGCTGTTTATCGAATTGCTGGGATAATCAGAAGAATAATGTAATGAATTAATGAGTGTAGTATCAGTGAAAGTATTGATGGCAAATGAAATGCATGTTTGTTAATTTCAGACATATGCCGAGTTTGCAGAAGTGCCGGCGATAGTGCGTTATATTATCCGTGTCTATGCACGGGAAGCATTAAATATGTTCATCAGGATTGTCTTCTAGAATGGCTGAAATACAGCAAGAAGGAAGTTTGTGAATTATGTAGCCACAAATATTCTTTTCAACCCATTTATCGATCAGATATGCCTCAAACATTGCCACTTTCTGAAATAATACGAGGTCCATTCTAATATTTCAAATGTTTTAAAAATATTGAGTCTCATGAAAAGTTTTGCTTACTTTTTTATAGTATATCTATTAAAATTCAATCCAGTTCTAGCTAGAATATGTATCCTCTTCATTTGAAATAAAATTTTTCCGAGTTTTAAGAATGCGTTATCCTGAGTCTTGTGGGAATTAAATGCGGTCGAGCATTAACAAAGTCTCGAACAATATCTTCCATATAGAAGGAAGATATTTTTTTTATTACAAAATGCATCATTTTCCCCTCTGTACTGCATTTTGCTACATCTATCGAATTGTTTTAGGCATTTTGCTTAATATGGGTCGTATATTACGCTGTTGGGCTATTTACACGCTTGTGTTGGTTGCTTGGTTAGGTATTGTACCAATAACAGCCTGTCGCATTTACAGAATAGTTTTTTCCGCTTCTTTATCCAATATGTTATCATTGCCTTTTCAACTGTTCTCACCAGACAATTTGCTGGTCGATTGTCTTAAAGTAAGTTGTCACAAGAAATGCGATTTTTAACCTAAAAAACTATGAGAAAATGTTTTACCCAACTACTACTGATATCATAATATAGAAATTGAGTTGAATAAGTTTGAAATTTCTATTTTAAAAGTTATACCTCTCTTTTCATCTGGTGGAATGGGTAGTGGAATAAGTGAGTCTTTCCTAGCTCGTTGCTTTAAGTGACTGAGATTTTTGCATTAATGTACGAAAAACTGTGGGTGTGACAGTACAGATGTTTCAGTTCTTTATGATTTTTGGCTTTTTTCCAGATAAAAGTTTATTGCAAAATTAGTATATTTAGAATTTGCAGTATTCATGAAAAGATGTGGAGGACACGGAACCGACATATTTGGAGTGTGAATTGTTTTGTAATGTTTGTAATGTTAATGTAGTTAATATGTGCTTCATATAACCATTTAATAATTCATTATCGTCGTATCTTCAGGGTTGCTTTATTGTTTCGATTTTTCTATGCGCTTTTATATCCCTTGTTTGGTTACGCGAACAAATTATTCATGGTGGTCCACAGGAATGGCTTAATTTAGAAGATGTTGCTAGAGGTGCGAATGCAGAAAATGCGTTGGATGATAATGTTGATGCCGTGGTTAGTTAAATGATTTTTTGTTGAATACAGTGTTCCGTTTTCAATGCATGAATTTGTGATTTTCGGTAGATGATTAAGCAGTTGAAGAGTTGACTCGGACCACGTTAATAAAGTTTTATATCCTCTAAAAAATTGTAACGTTTTTAAGAAGCTTTTAGGTTGCTGAAGCAAGGGTTGAAATTGCTGGTAACGATATCGAAGGAGGAGAAGTAGAAGAGCGAGGAGATGATGTGGAACAAGGCCAAGAAGATGTTGCAGTTCAGGATCAAGCAGATAATGACAACTGGAGAGAATGGGAAAGAGTAGCGGATGAGTTAACTTGGCAAAGGCTCCTTGGCCTAGATGGATCACTTTTGTTTCTTGAACATGTTTTCTGGGTTATTTCACTGAATACCTTATTTACCGTACTATTCGGTATGTGTTTCATGTTTTTTTATTATTATTATTATGTTGGAACGCTTATTTGAATTATCAAAAGGATAAGAGGACTCGGAACTGGTGTGTCTGCAATATTGTGTTTATATATGTATTGCATTTTTTATGACATTTCCAGCATTCTTGCCTTATCAGCTTGGTCATTTTTTTCTGAAAGCTATTGGATTATCATCTCGAGTCGCTTATTTTCCGACGCTTACATCTGTGTTACTCGGATATTTTATTCTTAGTTTAATTGTTCGCTGTCTTCATGTTACAGCGAAAATCTCCAGATTAGCTCCGTAAGTTGCTCTTAAATATTTCGGAAAAGAGGAGATCCTAGAAGAATTTTTTTTAACTCAATTTCTTTTCTTCAGAATGTATCGAATATTGGGAATGTGTTACCTTGTCCTCAAAGTTTTTCTTCTCGTACTGACCGAAATTGGTTTCTTTCCAATAATATGCGGTTGGTGGTTAGACATCTGTTCTCTGGTATGTTATACATAGTTTTAGCACTTTTTCTTTTTTAGCTCATTGGTCTCTACAAAATTACACTTTGTTACCTCCGTGAGAGAATATGAAATATATGATAATTGATCAAATGACATGCTCCTGTTTGTTTCTTATACAAGACAACATTCCTGGTATTTGTATCTTTTTTTATATTTTAGCCTTTATTTGCTTCAAGTCTGTCGCGTCGGATTGCTTCTTTTGTGGTCTCTCCAACATCATCCCTTTTTATGCATTGGCTTATTGGTATGGTTTATGTCTTCTACTCGGCTTCGTTTGTGCTGGTTTTGCGTGAAGTGCTTCGTCCAGGTGTTCTCTGGTTTTTGAGAAATTTAAATGACCCAGAATTCAATCCGATACAAGAGGTATCGTTATACAGTTATTTTTTTTATGCAGTTATGGAAAGCTATTTCTGATATTATTGTAATGTAAAAATGCGTTTTGAGCTACTAAAATTTAAAGAAATCTGTTCATTCAACTTTTCTAGTACTTAAAGTATATTTTTCTTAAATTATAAGTTAAATATTTAGATGATTGAACTTCCGGTCATACGACACTTAAGGCGACTTATTGCATCAACATCAATCTTCTTTACAACAATTCTTCTGCTGGTTTATGTTCCACTTTGTTTCATAACGCGCTATATACCATCTGTACTACCATTCAATTTGAGTTTGGCTGCCGAAACTCCTGTCAGCGAGCTGTCACTGGAGCTACTTGTTTTACAGGTAATTTGATTTATACTTCGAATTCAGCTAGTTGTTTGACGTATTTCCATGTAATGAATTGTAGAACAAATTGCAGGTAGTACTTCCAGCCTTACTTGAACAGACTCATGCCCGTACGATTTTGAAGACAGTTGTACGCACTTGGTGTTGTATTTTTGGACGATTACTACAACTGGAACATTATTTGTTACCGATGGAGGAAAATGAAAACGGACGCCAGCAACGCGAAGCACCACCAGTCCAGCCAGTTGCTGGACTAGGCTTAGCTGCTCAACACCAAGCCTTGCTCCTTGTTCGAGAACCGCAGGGATTCCAAGCTTATAATAAACCGTCGCACTTTTCGCTTCGAGTTGTTGCTTTGCTCATAGCTCTCTCACTTACGTCGATGTTTACCAGCATTATATTTTGTGTGATACCAGGTTGGTTTTAATTTCAGGTTATTTTATAGTTCTTACAAAGTGATTTATAGCTCTGGTACTGACGGAAGATGTTGCGGAATTGAAGATGCAAGTCCATAAGGCAACGTCATTTGTGGGGGTCGAAACTCGGTAGTTTTAGGCCCTTACATCCTTACATATGAAGCAGGATGGGTAATTTGGTTAACTTTACGTACCATCCGTGCTCCGGTATTGTTTCAAGGGGTTGTTAATGTTCAGGAAATGCAAGAGATCATGGTGTGCTAAACTATTGTTAGAAAAATTGATCGAAATGCATGTCGTTAAGCAATTAAGTAATTTTGTTTGCTTCCTTTCCCTAGTTATCTCTTAAAACTATTTAATGACAGTTGTAAGAAGTAAAAAATTCAATTTAGAGTTTTTGCAATTTGGCTATGATTGATGGAATTAATTGCAGTGACATTTGGTCGTTTCATAGTGCACAGAATATCAGGTCATACGAATATCCATGATTTATATACGGTAGCAGCTGGGTTGTACGGTTGCTGGATTCTGCTGAAATTATTTTTCTTAGTTCTCGAATATGCTCCTCAAGGGACATTCTTCTTGTTCTCAGCTTTTCGTAATATGGCACTTACAGCAGTTAAACTCTGTGCTGTATCTGTTCCGATTTTAATAGTAATTCCACTTCTCGCTGGAATATCTTTTCATCTGGCTGTAATCAGTCCAATACGCATTGCATTACATCAAACATCACTTCTTTTCCCATGGCAGCACTGGGCAATGGGTATTCTGCATTGTAAAATATTTTGTGCAGCTGTCATGATGGGACCTAATTGGTGGATGAAGCATGTTTTTGAGCAGGTAATGCTTTCCTCTTTTTGGACTGGATTCTTCAGAAACCAGCTAATTTTGCCTTTTAAATTTGATTACTTGAAAAGAATTTTTTCCTATGACACGCTAAAGAAGTTTGTTCTTGCTTATACATCTATTGTTCTTGGATTCTTTAGCTACTTATTTTAGTTATATGCCGATGGCATTCGTGGCTTGAGAGTTCATTATTTATATAAGCAGTTGGTTGCACCAGTTCTCGCTTGTTTGGCAATTCATCTTTCCGCACCACGTGTCATCTGTTCATTAATTTCTATGATCATAGACGTTTCAAATGAAGAACAAATTATATTTTTGCGTTATTCATATCCAGCTATGCTGCTTTGTGTATTTTGCGTTTATTTCGTTTACTGGCAATGCACCAAATTTAAGGCTTTGGCGGAGAAAATCCGAAATGACAAGTATGCTTCCAAATTTCCAGGAAATTTTTTGCTATCAGTTGAAATTAGGAAGGAGATAATAAGGAAACAGTTTTTTATTGATGTCGAAGTTATAAATATGTAGCCGGATGATAATATAATTCCAAGTATTAGATGGTAAAATTTATTATAAATAATTCGCTGTGGTTAGGCAATCTTTATCTTATTAAGAAATGAATTAAAATAATCTTTGTGAATAATTCTTGATGCAATAATTACCAGTATTGCAGGTATTTGGTAGGAACTCAGTTAGTCAACTATGAAAGAAATCAGGCTGAAGTCAGGCACTAAACAACTATGGGTACGTGAATGAACTTTTATAAGCGTACATGAGCGCAACGTTATCGTGATAGTGTGAGCAAATGAGCTTTACTTTTGGTATATTGTTGTGCAGCATGTTTTTATTTTTTGGCTTGAATCTTGCCTTTGTACTATGGCAATTTAACTGAATTTTAAGGTTTTGTATTTGGAAACATTGACGAAACTTTAAAATGTTCAATTTCTAAATATGTATATAAGGATTATCAATATTTGTTAAATTGTCATAGTTGAAAACGGCAAAATCTCGTAATTTATACTAAATTCCTGAACACACATGTCTTTTAATAGACCGGAATTTAATTCGTGGTGCCAGTGTCATATATTTCAATTTGTTCTGTACACTTCAAAGCAGTGGTAAATTTTCTTCTATTGATAACGATGGACAAACAAGAGTGAAGCCGATTTAAGTAAATTATAGGTCAAAATGTCACCACATATGAATGTAGTAAACTACATATCATCTACGTTCAAACCTCGAGCAGGTTTTTTAGATTCAAGTTTAGAGGGAGAAAGGACCATAGCACCTGAGTATTTTAGGATGTGTGATATTGTAAACATCGATGTATTTCATCTTTTATTAAACAAAATAATAAAATATAAGTAGAATGCTAAAATGCAATGAAAATGAGCTGAATTCATCAGAGCCGCATATTTCATTTAAGTAATTGTTTGAGAAATGAACATGTATGATTACAAACGGATTCCAAGAAATAGAATTACCCATTTCGATAGCTATCTTATGGTCGGATGTGTTCGATTTCTAAGGACCCTCTCAATCTCGCGAATAAAACTCTACATAATGGGATTTAAAAGATTGTAAAGCAGTATTAGCGTATCATGCTGTGACGTCAAAAAGTCTGTCAATAACCATGTCAAGCGACTCAGGTGTATACTTCAAGTGCTTTTCGGTACCTTTCGATACTGTGGAACGCATCACTCTGAAATAACATTATCTGCTTAGTAACCATTTCAGTGAGTCATACCTATGTAATATAATGTCCATTAGCTATTTTACAACTTGAGATTTTACAGTAAATGTAAACCCCACTCAGTAAAGGCAAAGCTTCAGGAAACAAACAAGACAAGGTTTGCTTTAAGTGACTATACAGGAGAATTTGCGTCTTGATCATCATCTGAAGTTTATAAAACATATGCTCTATTTTAGCATTACTCGATCTTTAGTCCAAGCCGATGAAGTGCACTAAATGGTTTTATGTAATGCGTTATACTGCCACGGAATAAATAAGGTCTTTGCTTAAAGCTTAAATGTATAAAATTGCAGAGGAATTACCGCGCATAGACTTCTGCATACGGCTCACAAATTAATGATTTTATTTCTGACTTGATAGCATGCACTAATCTGGCATCAGAAAAACAGTAATCTTGCTGTGCATTAATCAATCTTCCCAGTTCAGCATTGAATGTCTATAACAGTTTGATATTATTGCTTTTTCTTGAAAAGCTTATAATAACGACAAATGATTTTTTTAAAAACTAGTCAGTTAGCAATTATACAAGTTAATTACGCCAGTTTTAAGAAAAAACGTGACCGATTTCAAGGATCTAAAGACATAAATGTTGTTAAGATAAGAAGTTAATGGAGTAATTTAAAAGCGACTAGAAAAAAATAGACGACATGGTTCTAAAATAACACACGAAATTAAAATAAACTAAAAAACTTCTCTGCAAATAAAATATAAAAAATTAAAATTAATTTTCAAAAATGACCAGATCCTTAATTCAAATAGTGTTTATGTTTTCGAAGTCAATCATATGTTACGGTGGATATATAAGTGAAACAAACCACCAATGCATTTTTTAACGTAGTTCTGTCGTCGAAAGTAGACAAATCTACAGTTATGATTGAAACAACACGGTTCCAACTGAAATATTAAAATTTAATAAAATCGATTAAAAATCCTAGTACTGTTATATGGACCTGCCCGACTTTGTTAACCGAAGCTATTTGCAGTTTTCAACACTGCTTATGGTATTAATCACTGCAGAACTGATTTTAACTGCCATAATCACAAATAATAACAATACAAATAAAATACGAGAGAAATTAAGAAAATTAATCTGAAGGTTTATTTTTCTTAGAAAATACCTTTGGAGGTATTTTTTGCTGTATGCATTGATTTCGGAGCGGTAAAAAGAGCGCACTTGAGAGTTATGCTCACCAACTACAGCAAACATTCCATTAGTTTGAAGCGCATTGTGGATATAATTGCTATTGTTTAAGAGAAAAACAGCAGCCAATGTTTCGTCACTATATGTTCCTGCCTTGTTTTTCAGATTCAAACCCAATGCAGACAGTGCTCGTGCTAGAAATATTTTGGCTCAAAAAATAAGATGGCGGTATAAATTATGCAAAGGATTTTCTAATTTGTTTCTTAACAAACTTAAGTAGTAATTCAAGCTACTGCGAGCAATATTGTTTGCTGAATCGCTAAACCTTTTAATTCTACAACTGATATCTTTTTTGACTTATTATCAATGGCTAACATCTCCTTATTATCTAAAATCTCTACCTTAAATTACTACCATTTCTGAATTAATAAATAACTCCTTCATTGTAATGTATATGTTATTCTTTGTCAGTGAGATATAGGGGTGTCTCCCCCATAATATTATAAAAAAAAGAAAGAACTCACCGAAAAGACGCGGAAAATGAGTCGTTGGGTTCCCTTTTGCTCCTGTTGCAATTAACAAATTTGTTACTGTTTGCCGATAATCCATCAAACTATTCAGAAAATTTAGTGTCTGAAAAACAGATATTACTAATAAAAGAAATATTTTTGTCAAATCTAATGAATTTGATTTGGATCCATAGAAACCACTTACATTCGATGTAATTTGATGTACATTGCCATCTGTGGGCACAAATTTGTTGGAGTCATTTGTTAAATGATCAAAAAAACCATCAAGAGATTCCTTTGTTTTATCGTTAATCTTTTTCACAAAACTTTCATATGGGACATCTTCAATAGCGTTCTGCAACATCATAAACTATTTCATTTTGCATTATTAGAACTCTGCCAGTTCTACTACTTTTTTATGCTGTTTTAAAATTTGATAGAGATAACCAAATAAACAAATAGCAGCTTCATCCACAAATAATTTCGCATTATTCCTTGAAATTATTTTGTTAAGGACAGAATTGGCAATTCTGTTACGCTTCCGAAAAGGATTCACAGTTGGGATTTTATGAAAAAACTGATTTGTTACCCCAAGCTCCTATATTTGGGTAACTTTAAGGACGAGCTATTTCTAAAGATTCGATAGCATAGATCAAAGCAATAGAATACCATATGATGTGATTCAAACACACTCTTGGCATCAGCCATGCAGCATAATGAAAAATAGATGACATCAAATCCTATCATAAAATTTGATTGTAAACTATCGAATCTTAAATAAAGTATATAAAAGGATATCAAAATCGACAAAAAGTAATTAGTTCAGAAAGCTAAATTACGGCAAAAAAACATACATTTCCAAGAGATAATAACTGCAAGTAATGCGCATTAATATGCCTGAGAAGAGGTAAAAATGGAATTAGAGAACAATTGATCCCATCCATCAGAGAGCTTGCACGCTCCACAACATACAATAAAGGTCGACCAAATAATAACTGCTGTACTTTGGCCTCGGCACTCACGTCTGCTATCACTTTACTTACCAACTCTGCTTCAATCTGCAGTAATACTGAATGAAAAATGTGCAATCTGTGGTCAGAAATTTCTCCAACTATGTTTGCCATGAAATCTAAATATACATTTAAGTAAATATATTAAAAGGGAATAACCTCGATAAGCGCAAGCAACGTTCCAAATAAAAGCAAAATATTTTCGACAGCATCGTCTGATGCACGCCATTCCCATGCTAAATCTAGTAAGTACTACTCTATTCCACTTAATAATTTAAAAGAAGGAAATGTCACTGTTAAACCAAGTTTTAAATTTTGAAAAAAAGTCAACCAAATTTCTGTGGTTTCTTAAAGCATTAATAAGAAGAAATGAGAACCATATCTTTCAGAAGAACGACCAGTTGCCTTTCGTAAAGCTCTGAAATAATGCTCTGAAGTGTTACATGAAAATTTTCATCATTTATCTTCTATGAATTTTAAAGAATGAGGAACTGTACTTCAAATGATGGAAGCAAACCGATAACTTCCTTAATGAATTCAGAATTCTCAAAAGATTATTAAAGTTATAAATATATGATCGACAAATGCAAACTTACTGTCTCAACGATGCTGATTTCGAAGATAACGAAATATTGGTTTTACTATTTGAAGAGGATCCCTGTTGACTAGCAGCAGTTAGAGTTCGAAGCATATTATCACATCGAATACTAGCATATGTTTTGATCACAGAGCCTTCTGGATTATATATTAATAACCAACGAGCTATTTGAGCACATTGTTCAATATTGCGTAATGTGACCACCCCACGCAATCGAGTACTTACTACTTCTTAAATTAATTCAATTCAAATCTCAGTTCAAGTATTTTTTTCAAATTTTATGGATGAATATAGTTCTCATTACTAGTAATATAACCAGTGGATAAATTAAGATAGCTAGCTGGAAACTTAAATTATCAATCTCTAATGATGAATCTGAGTTCCATAAAACCATTAAAAATGAAATTACTTATAAAAAATATTTGATTAGAAAAGTCCTTCAAAATATTTACGAATTATTACTAATAATGGACTGTCACTGAATAATCTTCGCAGAACAGCCTTATATTGAATTTAGGAAATTTATTACTAGCCATATTCATTATCTAATGATTCGCTGATAATTGGTGCATCCAACATTACTGAATTTGCAAGTAACATATTCCGAAATTCTTTTTCAAGTGCACAACAACCAGATTCAAAAGTCAGCCTCTGAAAAGAATGTAATGAAATATGTAAGAGACCAGAAGAAAGATGCAATATTTAAATGAATTAAAACAAATTTTTTACCAGGAATAAGTTAATGCGCTTTAAAGTGAGCTTAATTCCACTCCATGCTTTAAAACAAGGTAACTGGAAAGAACCGATGTGTCTTTAATAAGTGATAAACGATGCGACCATTTAATCTAGTGCTGGTTTAATATGCCATTTCGTTCCTTTTGCTAATCAAGCTGCCGCAGTTTTGGGCTACAGATTTTAACATGCAAGTACATCATGGGTTTTCTCAGCTTTGGGTGTCCAAGTCAGATTGGAAAGCATTTTCGCTTAATATAAAGAAGACCTAATTAAAAACATTTTTGTGCTGAGATATATACTGGAAAAAAAACCATGCTATCGAGCTGATTTTGATATGTTGGATGGGAAGAAAAGAAAGAAATAGCTTCAGCTAGCTGTTCCATTCTTTCAATGAACTGCTCCCTTTCCACAGATGCATTCCCCTCACGTATTGAACATTCCAGTTCTGCAGCGCGACCATAAAACTGCTGCATTGCATCGACGGTTTTTAATACTTTTCGAATATCTGCAAATAATTAAACAAAAAAGAAAATAGAATCTATTGAGATTTATTAAGTCCATTAATCGTCAGGAACACTGGTTTGTTATTGTATCAAAGCAGGCAGCCCTCTTTTTTTCTTCTCACTCTGAATGTTCTTTTTTCTTCAGTAAGATAAAGTAAAATGTACAAACCAAAATTTCAGAAAAATTAATAAAGTAACTTACTTGCTTGCTTTTGTCGTAAGAGAGCGGTTTTTTCATACAGTGGAACAACGCTCTGCTCTAACTGCACTAGTCGATTTCGAAAACTTTCCAGTAGTGTTGTGATCTCATTATTCAAATTTCTACTCTTCTTCAGATTTTCTTCAAAAGTTTTTAACCATTCACTGTCCTAAATCAGAAAAATTAGATCTAGTACTGCAATGAAGAAATAAAACGAATAAGTAACAAGAAATTTTAATGACCAAACTTAACTAACACCGGTGGTAAACATAACTGATAACACTAATCTAGCTAACCAGTTCGATTAAACTAATTTATTAACAGACAAGAAAAAAAAAAAAAGAGAGAAAAAGACCATTTTTCAAGGATATAAAATATAGAAACGAATTAAATGAGAGAAATCTCACTTGTTGTAATTTAGCATCAACATTGCGAACAACATAATCGTCAGAATCTGCGGACATCTACTGAAGTCTGGAAAAGATTGATCATTTCGACAGTTAATACCATAACAATAATCTTCTCTCTTTATCGTTCTAAACTTTCTATTCCACCTAATACCATCACTGAAATACCCCATAATAACACCATATTCATGCTTAATTTCTCTTTAACAACATTCAGTGTAACAATACCACAGCTCTTCGTTATCTCAGGAAGTATTGAAGAATTAGAATTAAACTTGAAATTCTCACTCAAATTGACAAGTTTTTCAATTTTCACCAAAAATCGAACTAAAAAACCCATCAAGCAGTAGCACTCTCATTTATCCAAAGAATGTTGCAGCATTAATCAATTTCAAATGTTCATTCGAAGTGGCAAATCCTCAAAACTTTATTTGAAAGTAACTTAATGTTGAATAAATTCACGAATATTTTCTTAACTGACTACCCGAAAATAATGTGAAATATTCTTGGGTAAACTTATAAATGGAAGGTATATGTTAACAATGTTTGGAATAGCTCGTTCGTTACTGGTTGACAACGAGTGTGTCACCTCTCAGTGACATGCTAAAGCTAAAGGAATAGTCGGTATCGATATATGGAAGTGAATGGATATGCATTACTCATTGTTGAGAAGTTCTAAGAGAACTCGGGAAGACACCAGCAGATATATTGGAAGTCTCGAATGTCGGGAAGACATTACAGTCTTTCCTTCACACTGAAAATTGATGATGAATGTATAACTTATTGGAATGGATTGTTACATAATAAATTTTAGGAACAAAAGAAGTAACACATTACAGTTGATTAATCTCCTACAACGGAGGAGAAGGAAGGATGACAGTTGACACGATCTGTTGCGCTAATTGTTACGTACGTGGTTACGTTATATGAGTGAAAATATTAGTTTATTTCTTTCTTAGCTTCACTATTGCACTTATCATTTCTTTTTTGTTTTGTTAGCTTTTTTTTGAATTGTCATAAACACCAAGTATCCAATTTTTTGTCTTTTTCTTGAATATCAACGAAGAGATGCATCATTATTTTTATTTGATCTTTTGAAATATTTCAAAGATTGAATAAAATTAAAGTTGCCACTTCGAAAATGAAAGAAGTGCATACCACGGAACGTGTAATCCGGAATTGGATAGATGAAAATGAGGAATGTATGAAGTCATTGTGGTTGCGTAGGGATGGCTTTTCAGGTTTATTTTAAAGCAGTATGAATTAATACTTTTTCAATTTCAGAATTTTTTTCGTAATTCAGAATTTAATTTATCATTCTGATTTTTAGTTTAAAAAGAAAAAAGATTGAATTTCATCAATTGATGTGAAAGATCCAAAATTATGTGAACCATTTGCAAAACAAAAAAAAAATAGCATTCGAAAAATGAATTTTGGAAACAATTCAAACTGTACTTTCAATGTATCCATTAGTATTTGGATCTGTTGCTGATGGCTTAAGTAGCAAAAGATTTACAATTAATATTGCATACCAAATTAGTTTCATCGACAATCCATAGCGATTAGCTATATATAAAGTTTTTTCTTAATAACTGAAATTATGTGATCTTTAATGCTATAGAGGTATCGTTTCGATAGCTATCCTAGCAAGGGCAAAGATAATTTTCCTAGCTACAGTGATAATAAACATATAAATTTAAGAAAAAAAAATTTCTTTTTTAATTGAGAAGATCTAGTGAAGGTTGAATAGCCAATAATTCAAAAAAATCTCTGGGAAAACAAACATTTTTCTTTAGTTTTTTCTTTCTTAAATTAAGCTTTTATGAAATATTTTCCAATACACAAATAGATTTTTTAAATTATAGTCCGTCTGATGGCAAGGACGAAAGAGCCACCTGTAAGCTTGCTTTTGCCTCTTGATAGCTGCTTCGATGTGCGTATTTTGCGAATCGATTATGCTCATTTGTCCGCCCATTGGCGGAAAATGGTCATTATGAGGAACTGCGACAGAAACTGATAAAACATTCATCGGCAGAGCATATCAGAGCAGGAAATTTGAATGAAAGTATGCTGATCGTTATAGTTGAAATGGATAATATTTTCAAGAATATGCTTTTTCTTCAAATTAGTTTTCACTATGTTATGCAGACGAAATGGAAATATTCAGCAACGGTTTTGAGATTTTTAGATACAATGTATTTGGCATCCAACATCCAACAACGATGGTATATTTCGTGGAATTCTTATAGGTCAGCCATCAACGATAAATCTTGTAAGTTTTAAACTCTCCGAATCAACATATGAAGATTACGAGCTGTAGTTATCTTTCCTGAACAATTTATGTGGAAGTAGCTGAGGATAGTATAAGCGATAACTTTTTCTTAAAATTAACACTCACTTAGCTGCTTGCAACATCCGTGAAAAGGAAAAATTTTTTTTATTTTTGAATGGATTTTCGAAATATAATGCCAAATTTAAAATGAACCACCTTCTGACAAGAAATTTATGATCTCCATGAACGATTTAAAAACCGCTGGGATGTATTCTCGGGAGAACTGTAAATAGCTGAAGATTTCAGAAGTGATGACCAAAAAACGATAGTTCGACTCCTTTTTCAGTGAAAACTTGAAAATCTTTCTAATTACAGTTTTATGGAGTTGATGTTGGTGAAATGAAATTTGTGTATGGACAAGGTATCTTCCAGCTCCCTGCCGATCTTCAGTCAATCCCGCCACTTTGCTTTTGCGGTATATTACCCAGTTGCACAACAAGCCCTGGTTACGTAAATCTTTCATCAATAAATGAGAACAACATTTATTTGTGCAGAATATGTAAGTGAATGAAAAACTTCATTGATATAATAAAAAACATTTTGTCCCAGCAAAAAAGGTTAATATGGTTGGTATTTAAATTTTGATTGATTTTAATAAAGTGATTAAAAACTTTAAATTAATTCATGCAATTAGTATTATATAAATACCTTTAAACAAAATTATATATATGAAATTTTTCCAGACAAAATTCTTCCACCACATTTCTCGGGCTACTTTACTGTAATGTATCCACCAGTTGTGTTCCTCCAGTTGTACAAATTTATCAGTTATCATAACAAATATGATGAAGTTATTTTCAAACGAGTGAGTTTATTTATTTACCTTACCTAATTTTTTGGTCTTTTAGATTTTCGTTAAATCAGTTTGTTTATGTCAGAAGTCGAGGACGATAGTAAGTAATAATGAATATCTTGGTTGTCAGTATGCTGTTCCCAATGCAAATTTAGTCATGAGGGAAAATGGTCTGAGTATTAAAAAGAAAACAAGTGCTCTTCAAAGACCATGTAGGCTTTATGATGTAAGTTTCTACAAATTTTCTATTTTGATAAATTAATATTCAGCTTATTGCTGTATTGGGCAGTGAAAAGTATTACCTGTAAAAAGAATGGGTGATGGATATTGTCTTGATTAAATTTGAAATTCTGCTGAAAGGTCTGCATTAGTGGTTGGTTGAGTGATTGATATTTACTTCCTTCTTGTTTTCGTAACCTTTTTACCAATTGCGTAGGTGCATTTGTTTTGTCATTCAAAAAAAAAAAAAAAGAACTGCTAGACCTTAAGAAAGAAGATTTCATGATGTAATAGACAGCGATCAAAATAGCTTATTGTCATGCAAGAAGTTCTATAAACTATATTGCATTTCCATTCGAAGTTATAGTGTAACTGATTTCGTTGCAATTGTCGCGGCCTTTTACACTTCATGAGTTAGTGAAATAAACCAAAACAACTTTTCCAATTTTTTGTTTCCGTGATTCTATTGTCAGTTATCCTCGGAGATTGATTTAATTTTTGTAGCAGTTTTTTAAAGGAGGCAGTAATGGTACACGCACTGAAGTTGAGATTTTTACTTTTAAACCATACAGCTCAAATTGCCATCTCAGGTAAGAGCAATTGTGACCGCAAAAATCCACCGTAATGTTTATTGGATGCAGACATCTTGTCTATTTTATATGAGGTGAGGACTAATAGTGTACTACTGTATTTATTACATTTAAAGCAATATATCATTATTTTATGGGCAGCATTTTTTGTTTTTAGTTAATTAAATTTATTGCTAGTCATAAAGTCATAACTGAACAAATGTTTATAAAAAATGTTTTCTTTAAGGAAGGAATATATTGAAAAGAGTAGACCTAAATTCCAAGTTTTGTTAATAATAGATTCTAATTTCATTCCAGTCCTCATTATTTTATTGTAAAAAGAAGAAGTAGCCATAATTTCTTTCTTTGTTATGGATTTATTGCAAATCATTTCAGTTCTTTAATTCTCTCGGACATCTTTTTATAGCCGAATTTTCATTAGAAAAAAAGAACTCAAATTTGATAATTCCAGGAAGTGTTAGATTTTTCTTGATTTAGGAAAAACATCTGTAAATCATTAAATTCTAGTGCCGAAGCTTCAACTGCATGATCGCATCTAATATATGGTACTTTTGAAATTAACTTAAGATTCTTTAAATAGAATTTGGTTGATCCCGGAAAACATTCCAAATACAAATCGGTTAATTCAATGGATATGCATAACGATGGTGTGGTTGGCAAGACCATTTCGAAAGCACAGTCCGTACAATCAATTTTCTATTTACCGGTGTGTGTGTCTAACTTTTTTAGGATTATAAAAATTTTCAGCAGTATTTATGCTAATGTGTTGGTTTCATTTTCAACAGATTTTTAGAGAACTGATTGTCACTATCTAATGTCTTTTCTTAAAGTATTTGCCTCACATTAATGCATTTTTCTTTTTTCTTTCCTACAGAATAAATGCTTTTCAAAAATCACTTTAAAATTCAACTCCGTAATTTAGACGACTACGGTTCACGTGGTTATGATTTACCAAGAAAGAAAGCACGCTTCAAAAATCAATGGCTAGATAATGCAATTTTCATTGTAGAGCGGTTGTCACCCATTTTCATGAGGAGACCGATACATGTTTGGCATATCTTGTTGATTTTGGTCTACCAATTGTTTGTAACATCAAAAATTTATATAGCCGTAAAGAGCAGGTTCGTTTTTATACAATTTCATTTGCAGTTGTTGTTTATGTACGAAAAAAAAGAATAGTAATTTTAAATTAAAGCACAATAATTTCTACATAATTGTCTGATCTACGTAGATATTGGATACCGCATTTCTTGAAAACAGTGTACTTTTAGCCTGCGGTGATACGTGAGACTTCATCTGCTGCATTCAAGTGTCGTGTGAATCGAGTTTTGAGACAGGGAAGTGCTGAGCGTAAGACACCCAAAGCAAGACATTTTGCATCTTCTAACTTAAACGAATGCAATTTTAAATACTTTAAAATAAAATCTGGTTAACTTTGTTGAGAAATTCAGTAATCTCTGGAAATCAATTTAAAATCTTTAGAGGAGTAAGTGAGTCAATAGCATGCATATATATATATATATATATATATATATATATATATATGTACCGATTTGCTTCCATTTTTAGTTGCTCAGAGAAGAACTCTATAATATAAAACTCTCATATTTGCATAACGATTTTTATGTGTGTAACATGTTGCTTGGGATGCAGTATTTATGTGGAAATGAAAGTATTAAAAATTCAACAAATGCAAACATAAGCATAAAAGCTTCATCATCAAATGGAGTAAGCAATGAAAGATTTGAAATAAAACGGAATAATCAACAATGGTTTCAACCTCAATCGAATAATTTATGCGTAAAGAACAAATCGAATAGGTCGTTGATTTTTATTTCAATTACTGCAGGAGTTATTTCTATAATGATTTGTCAGATGAATGTCTTGTACATTTCTCAAGAAGTGTTCATTTAAGGAGTGAAGTAACGCTTACTTCAATAGAACTGGATATCCTGAAAATATCCGAAAAAATTGATAATATTACTAACGCAAAACTCGCTTCTTTGCATATGGTTAGTTGTAGATTTTTTACGTCTTTACTAGTTTTTAAATTAATCAAGGTAGTATTATGAAAGATAAAATATAGTCAAGATGATAATGATTGCCTGTACTAAATTAATGCTGGTCATTGTCATGGAACACGTTTCCAATCATATAAATGAATAATTTCAAGTGATGTTCTATCTAAATCCTTTCATTTGCATTCCCATTTTTAAATATAGTAGGATTACACGCAACGCTTTTCTACTAATGGATGATCAAAGCTAACGATGCCTGCGAAATTTTTTAGGCTATAAAAAAATGTGGCCATTGTGGCAGAATGTCTTCATTGCATCAGTGTTGTCAGAATAGTCAGAATCCTTCAACGCCAATGATTGAATCCATCCAAATACAACAGTTCCAGTATTTTTAGTCCATTAAATTAATTGTTCTATCGATTTTAACGACAATTAAAATAGAGTCTTTCAGATTTGCTGGACCATCGAGTGGTTCAGGAATTCCAGAATCTAGCTACAACTTGCACGGAGGAGTGGAAACAATAACGGTTTCTCTTTTAAAGGAATTTTTCTTCATGTTTTATTCTATAATGAATGAAACACTTTCTCATTTTAGTGATAAGGGGATCCTCTGTTTTATTTTCCCCTACGAATCAAAATGTAATAAGTTATAGTGAAATTGTCAGTTCAACAAGTGGAGTATTAGAAATTGGAGTATTAATGACACGTAAGGATTTAATTTTAAAGGGAATACGTCAAAATGGAATTAGCACAATTAGAAATCGAAATAACTTGAGGAAGTTTAGAGCACATCGTATTATGGGAAGCAGTCAACTTCCTTTGGGTATGTGTTTTTGATTTATATGCCTTGCTTTTAGTGAATAAAACAATATGATTGCTTTGTTTGAATGAAACTAGATAGTATAATTACTATGATAACGATACTTGATTACACTGAAGAAAATTAGAATTATAGAGCTGTTCTGCGGCAGTCAAGAAATTTGCAAAGTATAAAGCGACTTTGTTCAGATCGGTGTGCAAAGTCAAGAAATATAATTTCTTCTCTAATATCAGTAATTACCTGTTGCCGTGCCGCCGCAGTACCCTTTTGGCCATGAAAATCGAAATAGAGGTAAGTAAAATAATTTCACCACAAAGATGAGACGGTAGATTAGCTTTTCTGGATAATTCTCAGTAATATTAAGGCCTGTGGGCCCCGGGAGAGTAGTAATGATCTCTTTTTATCATACTTGAAAGTGTTAAAGGACACACCTGAGACTTTAAAAGTTAACCTAGTGCTGTAATACCATCAAATTTACTTCAGAGTATGCTGGACGTACTCAAAACCAATATGACAAGTTTGGATACAAACAGTTAAATGGTAATAAGTTAAAAATAAAAAGGACCAATTTTCATATGCAAATGGGCAAATGTCCATCGAAAAACAGTGCCAACATGGTTATGAAATACCAACATGATGAGTATCGCGAAGATGGTCCATTCACAAATAAGGTTTCTAGATTTTACCAGTCCATAATTTTATAGTTTAAAGAAGAACTGTATATTATAATATAGTAACTCTCATTTTATATTTCTTTTCATTGTTCTGTGCATTTCGAAGAAGTGAAACGAGAGAGAGAGAGATTAGTTTCTTTACGATAGCTATAATTATTAAATTAATAGAATTAAAGTAAGTGAAGTGTTTTTTTTTTATAATTCATCAGAAACAATGCTTTCTGTGCATTACTTTTGTTTTATTTATATGTTGTACACATAATTTTCAGAAAATTTCGAGAACCTTTTATGTACGGAAACTCCGCAACCGTGAAGGTAAATTGTTGTATACTTCCGATGAATCATCAGCAGACGAAATTTCCTACGATGAGGCAAGATGCTCGCTTATCACAATGGGATAATGGTGATGAAGATGTTTTTGTTGTTGAGGACAAAATTAATTTACACTCATATTTTAAGTAATAGGGGAACTCTAGACTCCAAAACTACTAGATATTTTTGTAGACAAGTATTTACAGACCAGTGTCACTGCTAATTTATTAGAAAAGAAGATTGCTTTGGACATGAATGAACCAGTAACCTCTTTTATACGGTTGAGAAAACATGCTCCAATTTATCAGGTTTTACCGTTTCTTTTGCACTTTTTGTTGGATTACTCATAGCCTTGAAAACAACTGACAGTCATTTTTTCCTTCAGTTTACCTCACGATCTTCATTATAAAATAAAACATTGAAACTTTTGGCACACTCATTCCAGGCTTTCTTTGAGTATGTGAAAGTGAGTGAGGTGATGAAGTATTAGTGAAAAGAAGTGATGATGATCATGACAATGAGAACTGGCCATTGTTCTTCGTACAGATTCAGCGTGATGATTTGCTTGATGTTTTGGAAGAACAACTTGATTCACTGCAACCAACTTCTTTAATTAGTGAAGAAGAATTGGTAATTGGTTCATAGTGTATTAATTTTAGAAGATTTAATTAGGTTTTTTAGGTTTTGTTAGATCCATTGCTAACAACTTTCCTATAAGTGCTATTTTCTTCATGATAATGCTCGAAAATGGTGACTTACCACTTTTAATGACTTGCATAGGTTGGGGACACTAAGTAGATGAATTCGTGAGAAATAAAAATAGTTGCAATTTCGGTCATGATGTTTGCTTCTATTCTATTTTTATTTTGGAAATCCAATTTATTTTGACGACACCATGATATCCAAATGTAAAATTGTTGTTTCGCTAATTAGTTCATTTTACGTGACATGCTGAAGGATGTGAAATTAGATATTATCAAGAGATATTCTGAACTGCATATAACAACTGGTCCTGTATATGAAGTGTCCCGCATTTTTCAGCAAGTGGGTACCTTATGTGTATCATTTTGTCGTACATTTGATTCAATGTTTCGAGCAGTCATAACAAACATAAACAATATTGGCATTGAAGTTCATTATGTTGTTTATGGCAATTATGAAACAGTGAACAGAGACGATCTAATGTCGATTAGTAATCTGGTAGATATTTCAGATATTTTTAGTAGTTTACTTTGTAATCCATTCGTGTAAGTAACTAACAAATGCTGATCGACAACTTTTTGTTGGAAAACTTTGGAATATCACTGTTGGAGTATGTCTGACTTATAGTCACACCGCTGTAGGTTGTAATGCATTGACTACAAGTTATGATTTCCAGAACTTATTGTTTATATACTTACACTATATAATAATAATATTAAAACTTTTTATCGATCTAGGGAAACTATTACTAAGATTTGTACTCATTTTAGTCTGATGTCGCTCGTACCTATCCAGGAATGGCAATCCCTTGCATGCTTTTCAATTCGCTTGTCTCATCAACTGTTTCGAATTCTGCGGAAACTAAAGACGAATTTATAACAAATTTGAAGGATGCCGTTTCATGTGAACACCATTCATTCCGAATTCGAATACTGAAAATTCGTGAAGATAGAATCTGCATCGTTGAATATATTTCATCGTAAGCATGCTTTATTTATGAATATACTTTCAATCAAATCTATTTCTCTCACAAATTGCCAATTATTTTGGTTAAAAATTTGTGTGCATGTTTTCAAAACTCAATATTTGTTTAATTTGGTAATATGACAAAGAGTTTGGTTAATTTGCTGTGCAGTTCTTTTTAAATGTCTTTATTCTTTCTGCAAGTTCGAATACAATTATGTTGCTTTCGAGTCACATCGATTTTTTATGTGATCCAGTAATTTAACTATTGAGTAATCTAATAAAGTTTTAGCATTTTTATTTTTACTTTTGCAGAGCATGCTGTGGATTAAAAACTGTCTTACTGTTATCTTTCGTTTTTATGTTTTAAACTGTTCGTTGGTATGGTTTATAATTTCACTGTAATCTGAGACCTTATTTACTTTAATTTAAATTTAAAAAATTTTAATTTTAATTTAAAAAAAAAATAAAATTATTTAACATCTTGACTTAACACACTAACAGTTATCTTCAGGACAGGAGAGCTTTGTTTCATCATTCATTTTCTTAGAAGGTTTGAGATTGTGGTGCGAATTTGCCCGAAACTGAGGTAGAGGTTCCCCCATCTTTTCTCTATATCTGCGAGGTTTTCTCAATCAAAGAGCGAAAGATAGAATTTGTTATATTCGGTTAGTACGCTTAATGAGACTTTTCGTGATAAGAACTTGAATAATGGTTAGTCCATTAGCGAAGGGTGTACCAGCTTTTTTTTTTTTTTCTAGGTTTTTTAATGCCCCGCTTTGTAGCTAATTATGTAGCTTGTACTTTCATTTTATGCATGTTTGGGAACTTTGCTAAATGATTTATGGATCATTTCGAACTAATAAAACAAAACGATAATTCTGTGAGAAATAATTCAAATCTCTGAAAAAGCGATATTTGCACACGAATTTAAAGATACAACATCAGTAAGAACTATACAAAAATATTGAGGACAACAATTTTTGGTCGAGTTTATTATTTAAAGCGATTTGATCATGAACAAATCAAATCATAGTTAAAATCTTCCACGCCACCTGTAACCTGTCCCAATTCTAATTTACATGATTTAAGAAATGCATTTAAAAATAATGTAAAAATTACATACAGGCATTAGAATGAAGGTATATTCGGGATAGAAATGCATTTTTGTTGCAGGTTTTTGGGATTTTTCATTTGAATTGCAAGAATAAAATAAGTGAAAAAATCGAAATTCGGAAGATTTAAAATAAAAATCACATTCCAAATGCTTCAGCATAATTTAGAACAACAAGGAAGAATACAAAATAAGATATGACCTGTTTTTTTCTTTTTTTTTGCGTAAGCACACTGAGTTTAAATAGTTGCCCATTTTCGGATTACAATTCTTTCCTGTCAATGAGCACTTCAAGATCTGTTATAACTTTTGGAAGAAGCTTCCAATGTTGACCATCTGCTCGAAAGAGTGAATCCAATACCGAATTCTTTATAAACGATAAATTAAAGTTTAGTAATATCAATTGATTGTTAATAAATTCATCAATTATTTTGATTTAACAGTTAACAAATAAAAATGCTTTATTGATATCATTGATTATATCATTTGAAGTAAACACATTTTTACTTATCTATGTAAAGTATATAAAGATTTAAAAATTTACCTTACAAAGATGTTCAAAAATCATATCCAAGCGTTGTTTGGATTTACCGCTAAGAATTTGTTCCACCAATGGCAGTAATCGACGGTACGTCTCCTTTAGTAATGCATTTAAATATGTATAGTCGTATGAGAATGCCACTTTACCAAATGAAATAACTGTGAGACAAAGTTGGCGCATTTGTCGTTGGATCTTTGACAGTTGATTTTGTTGTTCTGCGGTAAACTGTTCATTTCGCAGTATTACGCCCAATTTGACGATAAGTTTGATAATATTTTTCACCACCTAAAGACAAATTCAATTATTATACAGTTATAACTCATAGTATATTATTACTACCATCTTTCATTCATATTCATTATTTCAATATTGTAAATGTTTTAAGTTTATATTTTCTTTGTTAGTCGTTAAATTATTTCGCTGGATTTATCTTTTGTTTTATAATTTCGATCAGTTATTCTTAATTAAGAAACATAATGAAAGTATACTTCTTAAAAGATATAATTTTAAATAAATGACTTATCCCATTTCCGTCCCATTTTAAGCGTATCACTTCAAGCAATCATGATGAAATCTATGAATTAGAATTTATGGAAAGTTGATTATGAAATTAATTAAGCTAAGACCTTTTCAGCAATTATCTTGTTGTATGCTGTTTTCAAGATTTGATAGAGATAATCAAATAAACGGATAGTAGCATCATCCACAAATAATTTCGCATTATTCCTTGAAATTATTTTGGAAAGAATCTTCTTTTGAGCGCGTATAGCGATAGTTGCTGAACTAAACTGTTGGTGTTGCAAAGATGATTGTCCAAGACCACCATCACCTGAAGTTTTAACTGTGGCCTATCAACTTTCTGGAGACTTTTTTTTTATGAAATTTCAGAATTATTTCTTAAATATTAACATATTTTATTATCATATTATTACAACAAATATCTATAACGGATTTCATTTTAAATAAAATTGCTGCACAGTCAAAATTGGTGATGAGAAGTATATATTTTAAAATTTTACAAATTGAATTTAATCCAAAAAGAATCTATTTTAATTAATTTAAGACTAAATTTTAAATTTGAAATAAAATCGAAATGTTTGCAATCAATTTGTAAAATATCATTTAAAAATTAGTTACAAAAATATTACAAATATATAAATGAGAGGGACAAATAATAATAACAATAATATTAGTTGAAAAAAAAAAATTAGCTTAACCTGTTTCATAATGTTTCATAGTATCAAGATCCATAAACTAATCGATCCAGTAATAATCAATTAGTTTTTTCTGAAAATCTAAACTGAAAATTACTTGTAAAAATTGAAGTAGAAAAGTTTGCAACAATAACAATATCAACAACAACAACAACAACAACAGTAAGAAGAAGAGAAAGAGGAAGAACATTAAATAATATTTAGTTTACCAATCAGAAATGAAACAGTACCCATCTTCCTGTCAACTCTTTGCATGTCAAAATCAGATCGTTGCTGCAAACAATGATCATTTCAAAGGGCTAATCAAAGAGGACAAAAACGAAGGAAAGGAAAGGAAAGGAAAGGAAAAGAAACGTTTTTCAAATGGTATTGAAAGCGCGCGCTCACATTCAATGAATCAAATAAACAATCGGTGAAAAAGAGAAAAGAAAGGCAAAAATGTTAGTTGGAAATAATGAACAGATCATCCATCGCTTTTATCATTGATATTTTCTACTATTTTCCTCTAATACTTGCCCGACTTACCCGATACATTCATTTACCCGTTACATCGACTTACCCAATATATCTCTTCTTGTCACAATGTATCATCGTCTCTCTTAGCTTAATATTATTATCATCGATGTATAATTAATACATTAAATTTTTAAACAATGAAGAAGCTATCATAATTAATCGTTAATACTGATAAAGTGAGAGAGAGAGAAAGAGAGAGAGAGAGGGGAAAAAAAAGAAAGAAAAAATAAGAAGCCTGTAATCACTTTTTTTGTTTGATTGCAGGTTTTTTCTTTTCTTCTCTCATTCTCTCTCTCTCAATAATTTAAATATGCCAGTATTTTCTTTTTCGAAAGGTTTTTTTCTTTTTTGGATAGATACCAAAAGACTTTGTGATTGCTTCCAGTATTTGAATGATATTAGATTTTTATGGATGACATTAGCGCTTCGCAGAATATTCCTTATTTGTTGAAAGTGTAAAAAATGATATTTTGGAGTAAGAAAATTAAAGAAATTTGTTGAATTGTGAAGAAATTTAAATATTATTTATATTTGTTTATCTTTTAAAGTCAAAAAAAAAAAACAAATAATTAATGAATGATGAAAAAAAAATTTTAGTGAAAACTTTTCCAATATTTTCAAAAAAGAATATAAGAACATACAAATTTAGTATTTATCTTTTACAAATATTAAACTAAGAGATAAGTTTTTTCCTTTTTTCTGCAATCTATTGTTTTTTTTTTTTTAACTTTGAAATTTTTTTGAAAATTTTGAAGTTTTTAATAATTTTTGGAATAAATGAAAAATCATTGGTGAAAACTTTTCCAATATTTTCAAAAAAGAATATAAGAACATACAAATGTAGTATTTATCTTTTACTTATTTATTTATTTGTTTCTTATTATTTATTGGTAAATTAATTAAATTCAAATGGAATTAATAGAGGAGTGAGTGTATTTTAGTGGAACCAAACTAGAAATTTGACGTAAAGATAAATGATATGAAACGTTTCAGATTATCATACATATATATTTATATCCTTCATTTCACTGTTTACTCTTTAAATATTTATTATGAAATGATAGAAACAAATAATATCTCTTTCCTAAAATATTTATCAAATTAATGACAAAGAAGCTTTTTGGAAAATTTATAGTATGATTAAATGAAAATACTTTTGTCTATCTTTTTATCTTATTATTTTTTTCATATTTGCACTAAATAAAAATTTGAGAAAAGACAAGCTGGTAGTTTTCGTTACATCAAATAAGAAATTAGTTAAAATATCATAACACCATTTATATTAAATGCAAAAATTGTTAAAATTCCTAGCTACATTATCTCAATATTATTTCAAAACAAAAAAAAAAGCGAACAGAAATTGGAATGGAACCTTTCATATTTTATATAATTATATTTTATAACCAAACTACCAGAAGAATAATTAATTGCTCAAATGAGTAAGCGTAAACATTTGCATTATCAAAAAAAAAAACTCTCAAAAGGTCTTTAATTAGAAATGAATGATAAGTTTTCTCATTTTCTTGTTTCAAAAAAAAAATATTTGAAATTTTTTCTTCGTCATTTATTTTTTTTCCATCTTTACCAAATTTTCAAACATTCCATTTTTGTAATTTCAAAACGAAAAAGAAAAAAGAACAAAATTTAGTATCAATAAGAAAAAGATGAAATAATATAAAAAAAAAAAAAAAAGAATTCAATTTAAACTGTATTTTTGTTTTTTTGAGGTGACAAAAAAAAAAATTAATTATAATTAGTAGGAATAAATTTGATATTAAAATGAAATGGCGGAAGAAAAAAAATGTCCAAAATGGACAACCATAATCATTGATTGCTATCACATCATCAGGTGTGCAATTATATCTCGTACCGCTATTCAACATTGTGGGAATAATTGTGAGGGAGAGAGGGAGAGAGAGAGAGAGGGAAAGGGAAAGAGAAAAAAAGTCGGCTTCTTTCCATATTGTTAAAAACACAATTGACAAAATTTCTTTTTTTTGACCTTAACTGTGAGAAATAAATATCTTTTTTACTTTTTTTGAATACCTTAAAAACATATAGGAAAAATGAAAAAATGAGGAAAAAAAAATTTTTGCAATTGTACTGAGAACGAAGCACAATGTAATAATAATATAAGCAATTAAACTGGCGCAAAATGGCATTTATTTATAGATATATCTATCACTGTACAGTAATTTCAAGGTCATCAATAGTGAATTGCTAAATTTTAAGATTAAATTTAATTTATAGAATTAATATATATATATATATATATATATATATATAGGATTATCGTCGCTTTGCAATTTTTTAAATTAATTTGCATCAATTATTATATTTAATATTTCATTTTTTCATTTGATCTTTTCAATCTTAAATGTTTTTTCTTTACTTTATTTTTGCATTAGTATTATCTTAATTAAGGTAAATGTCACAATCTTTTCTTTCATTTTCGTTTTTAAATTTTGTAAAATACAAGAAAAGAAATTATTTGTACTAATTTAATTTTGCATATTGCTAAAGTTATTTTATTCAGAAACAAATTTGCATTATTACTTATTGAAAAATTTATCCAAAACACTTATTTTTAACATTGAATGAATGAAATCTTTTTGTTGTTATTAATATATTATTAATAAAGTAAGCCATCTAAAATGAATGCGTTGCTTAAATAATTAATCAAAAGTATCAACTCAATAAGCACTAATTGAAGTTTGTACCTCATTAATTATTAATATTTGAGCCTAAATATAGTTATATTATTTTTTTCTTTTAGTTCCACTTTAACATTTCTATTTTCATTTTCAATATTTCAAATTATTTTTTGAATCTTCTTACGTGAATGCTACATCTAATAAATTATAGAAATACGAATTTTGAAATTATTTAAAAAACAATTAACTTGTTACCCTTTATTTTATCTTCATTAATGTATGTCGAATCAATAAAGTATTATAATACAAGCAGTACCATAAATGTTTGTAATACAATATTGAATTCAATCTATGCTAACTTACTCCATGGAAAAAAAAAATGTTATAATAAAAATCAGAAAGAGTAAAGAGATAAAGAAACAAATAAATAACACTGAAATACGAGAATTTGTTCGACAAAGTGAAGTATAAACTAAAAATTCCAGTAATGTTTGATAATTTATTTAAAAAAAAGAAAAAGTTTTATCATTAATTTATACTATGCAAGAAAAAGAAAATTTTTTTTTTCAGTCAAATTATGAGGTAGGGGAGAAAATTGAAGCAAATGTCGATTCAGTTCCAGTTTTTTGCAAGTTTACAGGTGTTCGATTTAGAGTTCAAAAGTGTGAGGATTTCTTCACTAAAATTTTTCTGATTCCTTTTTTTTTTTGATTTTTTTTTAAATCTTTTTTTGAAACTCTTGATTTCTCTTTGAATTTATCTTTTTTCAGGAAAAATTTAATTTATACATACACATGTCACTGCTAAATTTTACTTTTAAAAATTACTCATTTTCCGACAAAATAGTTAAAATTTTAAAACTGATGCGTAAAAAATAAGAATATGAAGTAGTGTATAAAATTGAATGATTAAAAGAATTTAAAACAAAATCTAACAAAATAATAAATTCGGAATATTTGAGGAAGCATAGATATATAACGTCGATAAGAGCAGACTAGTCATCCATCTGTTCCAAGGTCATTTTTCGGTCATATTTTAAAGCTTTTTACAACACTAAGAAGTTATTATCGAAATTTCTCATAAAAAAGAAAACAAATTTTTCAGAAAAAAAAAGAAAAAAAATTCCTCCATGTAGACACTGAGGATGAAAAATCTAAAAAGAAAGTCAAATCTAAAAGTTAGAAGTAAATTCAATTAAGAACGATCAGTACCGTAATTTCAACGACTTTTTATCTTTCCATGATCAGTTCACATTTGATAGTCCCAAATTCATTTACTAATTTCTTCCTATTTTTTTTTTCTTTAAGAATAAATCATATTGGTAAATGAGAATGTGAACTGAACTAATCTTGGTATATTATAATGAAACCAGTAAATAGTTTCATTCGTTCTTTTCTTGAAACTACATGTCTTTTAAGAATGATATTTCAAGCACTGGAGAAAAAAATGTAAAATGAAGAAAAAAACGACAACACGAATAATGCAATGTTTTAATTTTTATTATCAATTTTTTTTTCTTTGAATTGATATATTAAAGAAAGAACTTTATAGTTTTCATTATTTGCTAACTTTTTTAAGACTTAATCACTTATTTACTTTTTTCTAATTTCTTTTTTCAAAAAATTATGAAGGAAATCTAATTTCTTTCTTTTTTTAAAAACAAGTGAGATAAAACTTAAAAAATTTATAAACTACGAAATATTATCTGTAACTTCAAGGAGAGCATCTCGAATTTTGCTTAATATGGAATTTTATATAATGAGTATATCATTTAAATTAAAAAAAGAAAAACTTTCGTAATTAATGATATCGAAAAAAACAAATGTTTTATAATGAGAGGGCAAACATTTTCATTTTAATATCAAGTATCCTGTGACAATATTATAAAGATTTATTTCAAGCGAAAACATCAAGATGAACTATATCAAAAGAAACCCTACATTAAAAATGCACCGAATTTCTCGTCACAATATTAGCTGTACTATACGAAATACTAGAACTACTCAAAATACTAGGAAGTAAAAAGTCATAAAATTATGTACTACCAGTTTATGAGAAACATATATCAGAGTAATTTATAAGTGCATTTAATGCTCTTAAATCAAACACACTAGCTTATGTACAAATTTTAGCGACTGAGAAAAAAGCAAAGTACAGAATCGCAAATATTTCAAATATTATGCAGATAACAATTATCATCTATCAGTGATTAAATACTGGATAAGTTGAGATCAGTGATCAAAATCACCCGTTCTATCTACGTAATACTACACTCATAAAAAGGTTTTGATGAACTACTGTTTTATGTTTGCTTGGGTGAAAGTTAATTATTTGGTCCAAGAAGTGTGCTATAGACGGCATACCAATGTAATGCTGCACCTAAAATGAAACATTTGTGTTTTTCAAGCAATTAATAAATAATAATCCAAACAGTTAGGCTTCAAATGTTCTAATGACCATCACCTTAACTATATTGTCAAGATATTAATGAAATTCACAGAAATATTTGGGTAATGTTCAGCGATAGTTTACTAGATTAAACAAAAATAAAATCCCATATAAACATTGCAGTTCTCATTCAAATTATTTAATTAGTGCATAATTGCAGATATAAATTAGGATCACAAATGTTATATGAAAAAAGCTATACATAACGAACTTACCAACAACAACATGAAGATGCCAAAGTGTATGCGCAAAAGGTATGATGCCGTCTGATTTAAAAAAAATAACGCCTATCGTGTAAACAATACCACCAGCTAGCATTAACGTTAGATCACTAAGGTCGCACTAAAATTGATTTTTAAAAAAATGACAAACTTTATGAATTCCTTAAAATTTATTGAGCTACTTTTTTTTACACTCCTAAAAAAAGAATGAAACATACCATACTGTATATAGCACTAAAAGGTACGACAGCAAAAGAAATATACAATAAAGTCTCGATCGTTTTGAATCTGAAATTGATCGTCGATAAATAAGGACATGAAGAATGTTACTTCCACTCTAATAGAATTAATTTAAATGAATCCCCATAAAATTTGAAAAATTTGTAAGACATAAATGGAAACTAAATATTGGAAATTTTTGAAGATGTGAGCAGAGAATGTACAAATGAAATGGCCAACTTTGTACAAGTGAAAGTTTAATCTACCTTTCGTGAAAAATATACTGATAGATGGTACCCAAAAAGGCAAACAACCAAACAAGCCATTTGAAATTATTTCCTGGAGATTCATACTGCCTCAACGTAAACCATGGCATGTAGGAAGCAGCAATAAAAAAATAGATGGCGGCACGATCAATTATATGAAGGTAATAACGAAATTTCCTGAATAATTATAGTAAAATTGAAAAAGGAAAGAACTTATCAAAAATAAGTAATTGTTTTCGAAAATAAAATAGATTTTGGACTGTTTTGATAAAACATACTTCTTGTCCGGACGAAAAAGAAGTTCACATGTATGATAAGCTGTTGATGTAGTGAAAAGCACCTTAAAAAATTGAAATCGTATAAAAATTAGAAAAAATAACTTTTATGAAAATGTGAAATGGGACTTAAAACCCATGATTACATCAAATTATAGCTACCAGTATCAGGGTTAGTTGAAATAGATGAATGTTGGAAATTTTTAATATGAATGAATAGATGTCTACAAATATACCGTAATAAAAAAGCAGTAAATTATGGACACGTTTCGCTCTGACTCACGACGTGACGCAGCAATTAAGCACTGTGTTCCATATATACTCGGAAGTATTGCTACCTGAATAATTAAATTCCTAAGAAAATAGCGTAGAAATGAACAAAATCGTTACTTAATTTGAAATTAATAATATAAAAAAACTAAGAAATAAAAACAGTGAAAGGACTTTCAGCTCGATCTTTAGTTATTCCTGTGAATTACTGCCGATATGCGTTTACGCAAGAAACACGTTCTGAGGTGAAGGAAAACAATACTTCAGCAACTCAGCTTCACTTTTCTGGAGAACTGATGTTAAACTACAATAAAAATGCGTAGCAAGAACTTTCGGTGTAATCTGAATTAAGGGTAAAATTTACAGTCAAAATTCAAAATTTAGAAAAGTTAACTTACTCCATGAGAAAGGATATTTGCGACATGTTCATAACGTGTCGGCTCATACGCTTCACCTCGAGCAGCTCTTTTGTTCATATAAGAACTAAAAAAGCATCATTTTGCAATTGCATGAAGTTTTAGAACTAAAAACTCTACCAATCTTTGTGAGGACCTATTAGATCAGCTTTTTGGATATGAAAAAAAAAAAAAAAAAAAAAAAAACAAAAGAAGAAATAATTTGTCAATTTTAAAAGAATTTAGATAAATCACTAAGACTAATACAAATGTAATTACCATTGATGTAATTTTATCTACACCAATAGTATTTTGCAATAACAAATAATTTCGAAAGAATGCTAGAATGATAAAGAAAATCTCAAACTGTTAATGTATAGCTTAATATTGTATCTGCAGTGGACCAAGCAGCTCCAGAAATTTAAACTGTTTTACAAGTCGATTCATTAAAGTTTGTAAAAAAAAATCAAAGAAAAGATTATTGCAAATTACCTGAAAATACAAGTGTTCATAACGTACCAACCGGTTTTTATTTGTAAAGAGTTTGAGAAGCGACAAGGAGTTTAAACCTGTCTGCAAAGTTTATTAAATAACCTCATATTACAAATATATATATATATATACTCATTTTTGTTCTATTTCTAAAATCAATTTCTTAAAACAAATTCAATCCAATTTCATAGAATAAATTTAATTGATAGCTAGATCAGTCCGGATAGCAAGACTCAAAGCTAAAAATTTTTAGCCTCCCTCTCTAGATCTGAACAGGGAAAATGCATGTATCTAAAATTCAAGTCATTGATCTCGAACTGAAACAAAGGCAAAAACATCAGAGCTTTAATCGCGATAATTTATATAAGTACTCACCTCTTCCCTTCTATACCTTCCGGATCTTCTTATTTAAACAACATCACTAACAATTATCAGCCAAAGATAGGACTCCAGCCAAATGATATTTTTCTAACCGGGTTTTAAACTACTACCTAAAATTAAAGTTTTGTGATCACGTTGGTCGTACACTAAGTTACAATAAAAGGAAGCAAAATACTGTAACCAATGAAATACATCATCACATTATTTTGTTTATTAAAACTTCATGGACTTTATTTTGATGAGAAACATTGTATGAGAACGATTATGAATGCACGAATAAATTCATTACTGAGGAAAATGAGAGCTCAGCTCAATTCCCACAAAGAATTTTATATTAAATCTTAAGATTTCATCTCATATACAATTAGTGTCTTTGATAACAAACTTAAGACATGATAAAAACTAAGATCTTATCAAGAGAGTTTAAAACACATGAAGTGGAAGCTACCGCGTGAAATGTAACACTCTTATACCACTCAAAGTCCTCAAGCCAGTTGTTGATCAGAATGGGCAAGAGCATGAATGAATTAACGCTTTGATGGGTTAGTTTTGTGAGAGGCCTTCCTCCTCGAATGCCACTTTTTTTAACAGATGAACACATGTCATGCTAGTTTGTTTATCATCTTTTAGATTGACAAGTTCCAAAGCAATCTGCAGATGTCATGAAAAACATAATTTTCTTGTGCTATTTCTTAAATCACTTCTTCCTTCCTCTTCTTCTATGTTTTCCTCCTCGCTCCAAACTTTATCCTCTTTCTCCCTTCGCCTTTCCAATTAAAAAGTTAAAATTGCCACATAAGCAAAATACGGAAAATACTGGATAGAAAAAATTAATAAAAGCTCAGCGTTATCCAAAATAAACGAATAAAAGTGATAAAGCTATTACATTAAAAAAAAATTTACAACAGTGCAAGAAATACTCGATACATTAAGAATGTGGAAGCGGTGAAATGTTCGCCAGAGTATTTAAATCTTCTTCGAAAGGGTCAGGTCGTGATGCTGATGCTGAGACACTATCTAAAGCAAGAAAAGTGTTAGTAACATGAAAAACTTTACAACAAAGAATTAGCAACTTAATGCGAGATGAATAGCTCAGAAGTGGCACTCTTTTGTCCATATAAAATTAGACAGTTATCACTTAATGAAGGAAATGAAAAATCTTAACACATAAGCAGTAAACAAGCTAACGATAGGAATAGATAACTGACTCTGTCAAGGATTCAAAAACATGCCTCAATATTAAATAAATCAGAGAAAATTAGATCAGTAATAACTCATCAAGTTAGATTTCTGAAAAAAAAAATTCAAAGAACAATTTATAAGATGAAAAAAAGTCTATTACCTAACTTTTCCATTCCACTGTCTCCTGAATGAATTAAGTTTGATTCACTTGCCATGTTGCAAAGATCCGCTTCTGAAGCTACGTCTGATTTTTCTGCGCTCCCTTCATTAGCCAGTGGTGTCCATTCTCGGATACTGGGAAAATTTGGTGAAGCTGAATTAATTGTAGGGACAATACTTCCGTCTGGTCGTAAAGATACAATCCTCAATGAAGGCCTACAAAAACTATTCATAATGTTGCATTCGTTAGCAATGTTTCTTGAGAATTTTTGATTAAAAGATTAGGCTCAGATCAGAAAAAATCATTCAGAAGAAATTTTTATTGCTAAGAAATCCTAATTCTACTTTAGCACAAATTAACCTTTGCAAAACAGTGTCAAAAAATCGCTTTGGTAACTGTCCGGCGCTATTATCAGATGTTGTATTTGAACTTGAACTACCATCCGCCATGTTGCTACTAATTTCTATAATGGTATTGACACCCACTTCAACCTTCTCTACTGATTGATTATCTATTAATACAGGATCCGTGGAAACAGCTGCATCTGTTGTTGGAATTTTTGTTGGAATATACTGCACTGTCACTTTATCCTCATCTGAACGTAAACTGACTGGCATTTCTGATTTTTCCTGAAAATCATATAAAGAAAAAATAGGAATTATTCATTTTATATTTCGAAGGCTTCAGTGCCTGAATCTTCAATACGGTCGCATATGAAATCTTAACTTGAAATTTTGCAGTGATAAAAAATTAATAAGTTTTATTAATTTACCAATAATGTGAAGCACATAGCACAGAGGATACTAACACCATAAAGACCATACAAGAATGTTAGGTTTAACTAGCAGATGGTTTTGAAAGGATAAGCGGACAAAATATATACAGGCATATTTGTCTTTCCCATGCCGATCGAAAAGTTGTATACGTATGCAACGCCCGGTTAATAAAACAAGGATTACAAGAAGCTGAACTGAAGATAGAGTTCAACGCCAAAACTCTGAAGAATTTAAAATGAGTGGATCGGCGAAGTTAAGCACTACAGTTCAATAATTATACAAGTTCAACAACATGAGCACTAATTCATCGAGAGCGACAATTCTAATTAAAAATCGATGGTAGCGTGAAAGCAGAAGCAACAGCAGTGAGGGAATGAAAGAACAATGATAGTTACAAAGGTGAACATTCATAGGACTTTCACAACAAAAAGCAATCAACAAATTAGAAGGATCTCTTCCCCGAAATGGAACAGTTATATTTTTAATGTTATATTTAGAATAAAATAATAACTGAGAGACAAACATAAATAATAAAATCTACTAAAAAAAAAAGAAAAAAAAGTAAGAGTATGAAACCAACATTTGTTAACGTTGAATATATAGTTGCTTCCTTCAATGGAACACTCGGTACGAATTTTTCTTTCAAAACGACAGGAAGTGAAACATCGGCTGTTTTTCTAATTTCTACCAAAACTTCGTCATTCACATTTACACTGCTATTACTTCTCACGTATTGAGATGATCGCTCAGTAACACTGCGCGATGAAGTAGCACTCGACTAAAAAAGTCACAGCGGCTCTTAAAAATTTTGCTGTAAAGAGTGCTTTTTTACAAACGAAAACATCATTGCTTATTATTTTTTGAAATAATGCACTTAGTCTTCCGTTAATCATTGTTAATTCACTGAAGAAAACTTTTTAAAAAAGCACATATACCTTCCTTCCAGGTAATAATTTTTGTTTGTGTTCGCTTTTCTGAATTGTTTGTAATAGCGAACCATTAGATGATAAGGATGAATTACTTGATGTATGTGATGTAGTTGAAGTACTTTTTGAGAAAGAAAAAGAGTTTGAATTTTGTGGATCTTTGGACGATTCTCGACGTCTCCCATTTGTATTGTCCCTAGGAATAAAGAAATTGTTTACAAGAAAACAAAAATCGAACATAGAATATTTCCGCACTGATAACAATTTGCTAACCTTGATGAATGACCGCTCGTAAGATTATCCAAACGCGGAATATCGATAGTTAGAGCTGCTGGATTAACTGGCATTAGAGGAGAAGTTCTAAATTCCTGCCAATGTTTGTGGATATGTTTTCGCGACGAAGCATTATCTTTTTCTAAAAAAGAAAAGATTATCACGAAAACAATAACAGCAAATATTAATTTCAGACCCAAATATTTTTATCCAATGATTCGTTACTACAAATAATTCAGAAAAAACGAACACAACAAATAAAAAATAAAGCATATTTTGTAGAAAATAAAAAACGACCTAGTAAAACATACGTAGAAATACAGGTATAAAAAATATACGCGTAAAAAAAATTTTTTTTTCTTGCTACTAACGCTTTGGATTTTGACATAAATTACGAAAGCTATCATACAATTCCAATGTCTCATTCTTCATCAGGAATAAAATTCCATCAATGTTGCAGAATGAGAATGAGGATTAATGAAAATAGGATATTATGACAAAATTTTTTGAACGGAATATAGCAAATTTTGGAATTGTGAATGATTTCAAAATCACGGCTTCACTAAATTCAACCTCTAATGACCATTTTTAAATAAACAACGCTTAATGTAAATAGGAAAGATCTTTATCTTCAGGTTATTGAGGACAACATAGCTTAAAGTTTAGCTTTATCAACTTATATACAGAAATAAAATATACCAAAACGTTGCACAATATCTTTCTCTGATTCATCGTTATGTTCGCTCAAAAATCTCAACACAGATTCGGACGATGGTGGTTCGTTTGAGGGTGACAATATGCTGTGCTGAAATATATAAACTAGCTAAAAAGCGTTATCGCTGTTTAAAGCATGATTAACATAACCACTAACATGAAATTTTGTTAAACATTTTTTTTGCCTAAAACATTGGCATGAAAAATTTCCCAAGTCACTACTCTTCTGTCCTCGTATTGCATAATTCCAAATACATCAGATTAAATAAATAAATAATGCCTGAAAACAAAATAACTAAAAAAATAATAAAATAGAAAAAAAAATAATAAAATAATTTCTTGAAATAACTACAAATAATGCATTCTGCCGAAATCAGAAAAGAAAAGTCTTCATTATTCACCTGCAAATGTCCATATATACTTTCAAGACGAGCTATAATGAGGCGCTGAATTGGTTCAACGAAATTGCTGAAACTTTTCCTGAGAAAATGATAACTGTTAGCTAAAACTCTTGTTGACTATCGCTAGCATAAATTAGTATGATCAAACATGAAAGATTAAACTTAATTGAAAATCCAATCTTTTGTAAACGACTTACTCAAATTTAGCATTTACGATACTTTCAACCGTTCGTTCCGGGTTGGCACAAAAGTCTGCAACTGCTTGACGTACTGCAAGCCGGATGTTTGATATTGTTACTTCTGAACATACATTCGCTTTTGGCATTTCTGTTTTCCTGTACATAAATAATATTTTTAAAACAAATTTCAATTTTCCACACTCAAGTAGGAGAAATCTTACTAACAAAACCATTAGAAAAAATCAATTTTTTATCTTTTTGAAGTGGTAACACATTTCTATCTCTAGCAGTGGTGCGCTGTAAAACACCGATAACGCTTTCGCTACAATTATGCATAGTTTACAATAAATTTTTCATTTAACAAACATAATTCACAGCTTTTCTCTGTAACTACTTCATTGTTTAGTGGGATCAACGAATTTTTAAATACTTGAAAGAAATAAATAATTCAGTGCATATATAAACAACATTTACTGAAAGTTTACAGCAGAAAATACTTACAGAAACCAGGAGTAAGCATGGACTAACAGTAATATTGATTGAATAGACTACACTTTTAATACTGATAGTGGTGCTACGGCACAGCAGTAATTCTATAATCTTAACCGAATATGAATAATATAGTTTGTTCACTTGTGGAACCAAATAAGGATAATTTATCAATTGAGTTCAAAAGTAATGAGAAGCACACTGAACAAATTTTCAGGTTTGTAACTAATAATATACCAAAGAAATACCCAACTGAAGAGGTTCAAGCGTTAAATTCCAACCTTCAGATAATCAGTTTCAGATGTAACAAAATGATAAGCAATGTATTAGCCCATCACAAATATTTCCAACTTTTACATCGTTACTGTTCTAAGTTAATCTGAAACTAGAATTTATGAATTTTGATAAATGGCAAACACAATTTATCATGAAATCCATGACTGCAGTTAAATGTTGTTGAAGTGTAACGCAGAATCTATATTGCACTTTCAGACTTTTCACAAACTGATCATTCTGTAATTACCCATTGGAATAACATATCAAAAGTAGCGACCGATCAGATGCAAGATTTCTATAGAATGTTTATTATATTGCATTATAATTCATACTTTCATAACTTCATGTTTTCAACTGATTTAAACGTTGCTCCTTCTTATAGCACTAATTTATAGCATTAATCGATAATTCAACTTTCAGTATAAAATCTTTTTAATGTTTAATACCCATAAAGCTTCCGAAATCATCATTTTGTCATTAACAATTTACGTAATTGAATGCTTGCGTCACATCACTAATTAAGATGAATGTGTATTTCACGTCATCGCATACGTAGTGATTAAATATCATCCACACTTATACTGATAAATAAGTGATAGACAGAAACGAAAGAAGCAGACAGACATGACACTGACCGTATAGATAAGACATTCAGGACGTTATTCTTTCATTTTCCTGGCTGAGTTACACATGCAAATAAAAAAATTGGACAAACATGAATAAGAGTGGCAGACATGAATAGGAGTGGACACATAGATATGAACGAACAGACGTGGATGAACGTGGATAGAAGTAGACGGACGTGGATATAAATAGACAAATCTCAACAGAAATGAGCAAACATGGATATGGATGGAAGACGTGGATATGGGTGGACATGGAGAGACGTAACACCCACCTGTCCCAAATATTGAGCTTGTCATAATTCAAAATATTGGTAGATCGCCAACTACCGTAATGCATTGCAATAAACATTTTAGTGTTGACTGAGAATCAATGCGATGATGCCGAGTAGCATCTCCAGAGGCTATCTTCCAATTTACGCATGGACTTAGTTTTTGTGCGGATGCGAGAATGGCACGTGTGATTCTAAGAGTGCGTACTAAATTCCCGTGGGTTCGCGATGAATTCTGTGAATTCACACTGTGATGCTCACCGAGTTATGTTAATTTCTAAAAATTCATCAATTTTTGTTAGCCATTTATAGTTATGGGTTTATTGATTGACTTTACACTACATTTTGTACCAAAGTTGTTTATCGTTTATGTGAAATCATACTGTCATTAAGAAATTTCCGAAATTTCTTTTTACTTCTTTCGGTGAAAATTGTAGAAAATGCGCCATACTTTCATATTCGGGCTTCTAGTTCATAGAAAAATTTCATAACAGCTTGAAATTTGATCTTGATGATAATATAGAAGTTTGGTTTTTGTCAAAAATGACTCTGATTGGTTAGTAGAAAAGATTTAGTGTACACAAAAGAGAGGGAATGACGGAAAAAAGATATAATCAATTGTAGAGTTATGGTACAAAATCATTTTAATTATTTATTCCGGAAAGTTATTTGGTAGGATTGGTCAAAAAGTTTGCGATCGCTCGTTTCATCTTTTCATGGCTTCCTTTACATGTCCAGTAAAAGAGTAAGGAAAACGGAAGGGAATAGAAAACGATAAACGGAAAGAAATCGGATTTGGATGTGATATCAGCAATTAACAGAATTCTTTCTTGAGATAACTATTTAGATTTGTTCTTTTACATTAAGCAATGAGGATAATGTGGTAATTTGGAAAGTTCGCAAAAAGTTCACAAATAACCAGTTTAGGCGCTTCTGTCAGTTAAATCAAGGTACTTCACGCCGACTGAAAAAAGAAAGTTTGTGTGATTAAGGTCAGTGAATTTTATAGGATAAAAGATCAAAAAAAAAACGGCATTCGAAGTAATAAAATCTAACTAAATTGAAGGGTTGCCTCTATTTCTTTTTTTCTGTCTGTGAATACTGCGAGATAAATATAAAATTTAGTTACAGTTACTTTTACCGAAAGCTGTGCCAACAAGGCAAGGACATTATTAGAGGTGCACTGAATTACTTCGTTTGTTTGAACCGCACAGTCAGATATGAGAGAAAAAGACAAGAAGGAAAATAATATCTGTTGAGATTCTCATAGTATTTCGAGCAAGATTTTAATTTTTGTCCTTCACAAATTTCTAGAGCATTTTTCGCAATTGAAAAATCGCTCGTTCATCTGCGCTTCTATAACTCATGTAAATATTTTTTGTTTGAAACCATGAAGAATGATTATTTATGAAATTTCAGCTATGGCCGCAATTGCACCTGCAGTACAAAATCCTAATTCAAGTTCTTTTCCAAATAGTGAAAGGTTAAAACTTTTCCATTTATCTACTTCAGTAAATTTGATTTTTTGATGCAATGGAATTAATCATATTTTAAAAGATGTTTAAGACTTGACAAATGAACTATGAAATGAATTCCAATTTTACAGAATTTAGAAAATATTAGACACCATTTGCATTTTATACCGATAATTATAAATTCGAAAGTAAATTTAGCTCAAATTGAAATGATTTTCAAACACAAATAGGATAGGCACTTGTAGTACAGAATAAAGTGATTCTCATTTTATATGCATTTGTCATTCTTGTAGATATCCTTTCGTTATCATGTAGTGTTTTTTATCTTTTTCTTCTTGCAGAACGTGTGCTGGTGTGTTGAATGAAGTGAAAAAGGAAGATATGTCTAATGACGAAGATATTCCACTGTCGCAGAAGGCACGAATGGTTATAGATGACGATGATATACCGCTTGCCAAAAAGTTGAAAACAATGAAAGATCCACCTGATGATGATGATGTACCATTGTCAGAAAAGGCTAAGGTTTTATTTTTCAAAATGTTTATTTTTCATTCCTTCAATGTAATCAAATATTTTCTCATTATCGTATATTCTTTTTGTGATGGAAGCAAGTAAATATTTTTTATCGTTGGTTGCATAACTTTATGTCTGTTTTCCTTTTTGGGAATGCATTTGAATTGAAAAGATATGTGGAAATGTATGCTCTATATTATGATAATTGCCAATTTCCAGCCACAGAAAAGATTATCCGAGGTGATGGGTACTGCATCGAGTAGTCGAATTAAAAAGCCATTGTCATCATCCGCCCTTTCGTCGACAAAAAAAATGCTTAAAACAGAACTGGAAAGTGATGATGATGTACCATTGAGCGTGCGAGCTGCTACATTGACCAAAAAAAGGAAAAAAAGTGAATCATATGATGAAGATTATAAACTGGAGGTCAGTTGCAATCCTAAAATTTTCCATATATTCATATACATTAAATGCTATAAATTTGTTCAAAGTTGTTCATCCATTTAGTTACAGAAGAAAAAAGAAAAACGGAAAAATTCAAGTGAAAGAAAAAAAGCTTCAACTTCGAATTCTGAGAAAATCCATATAAAGAATGAAAAAGCCAATGGCATTGCATCGAATAAACGGAAAAGACGGGAGGAAGACGAGGAGGAAGTTTGGAAATGGTTCTTTTTTTAACTATTTGAATTAAAACCAGATTTGTTATAAATGTTGCAATTTTATCAATGATAAAATAATGCCGCGCTTGAAAAACTGGCTTTTAACATTTGCTTTCCAGGTGGGAAGAGGAAAAGAAACCGAGTGGCATCAAGTGGTATAGTTTGTCCCATAAAGGACCCATTTTTGCCCCGCCCTATGTATCACTTCCTGAATCGATTCACTTCAAATACGATGGGAAGGTAAGCAAAAGTCGTCTGCTACTTGGTTTGTTGAATAGTGATGGCACGCTGATGTTCTATAGGTAACTTTTACAGGTGATGAAATTGGCACCACTGACGGAGGAAGTTGCGTCTTTTTACGCTAAGATATTGGAACATGAGTACACAACAAAGGATATTTTTAATAAAAATTTCTTTACGGACTGGAGGAAGGTTTGCACTTTTGTTATTTGATGGATTTACTACTTTGACAGATATTCTCAAATCACATTTTGAGTCTTTTAGGTAATGACTCCTGCAGAACGCGAAAAGATTACGGATTTGACGAAATGTGATTTCCGAGAAATGCATGACCATTACATAAAATTAAGGGAAGAGCGAAGATCTTTAAGTAAGGAAGAGAAGCAAAAACTTAAGGAGGTTCGGTTTGAAAAAATGTGATAAATGATTGCCAAGTCGGAGAAATGGTATTATTATTTTTATTTATTTTTAGATTAAGCAAGAGGAAGCTAAAATTTATGGTGTTGCTTACATTGATGGACATAAACAGAAGATAGGAAACTTTCGAATTGAACCGCCAGACTTGTTTCGCGGACGTGGTGGTCATCCCAAAATGGGTCGTTTAAAGAAACGAGTCAATCCAGAAGATGTGATTATTAATTGTTCAAAGTAACTTTTTCTTTTGAATTCTGCGAAATTCATCGGTGTCTTTTTCTTTTATATGTATTTTGTATTTACACTAGTTATGATTAAATATAACTTCGTTAAAGCTTATTTGCTCTATATTCATATGTTATGTTACAGGGATTCAGAAATACCAAAACCTCCGGAAGGTCATCGTTGGAAAGAGGTGCGTCATGATAATACAGTGACATGGCTGTGTTCATGGACCGATAATATCTTAGGTTCCATCAAATATATTATGCTAAATCCATCGTCGAAGATTAAGGTAATCTTTGATGAACTTACTGGAAATTTATTTAATACTTTGTAGGAAACTTTTGCCAATAAGTTAGATATAACAGTTTATTTTTCGTGAACAATTTGAAACACTTTACAAAAATCGATATTCAATTTCCAGGGTGAGAAAGACTACGAAAAATTTGAAACAGCAAGGCGATTAAAGGATATTGTTGGAAGTATCAGGGAAAATTATACAAAAGACTTGAAAAGCAAGGAGATGCGTGTACGACAACGAGCAGTGGCACTTTATTTCATTGATAAAGTGTGTAATTCTTTCAATTTCCATATTCATAATTCAATATGCTTTTTGTTCCTTCTTGTAAATACAAGTTTTAGTTAGCGCTTCGTGCGGGTAATGAGAAAGATGTGGATGAAGCGGCAGATACTGTTGGTTGTTGCTCATTGCGTTGTGAACACATTCAACTTCATGAGAAATTGGATGATAATGAGTAAGTTATCAGCTATCCTTGACATAGTGTTTTAGAAAAAAGTGCGAAGGTTTTGTGGATCAAAATGTGACTTATGATGGTGCTTGCTGCGTTCAATTGAAATTTGTAGAAGATTATTTGCAGTTACGTGGTTGAATTTGACTTTCTTGGTAAAGACAGTATTCGGTATTACAACAAAGTTCCTGTGGAGAAGCGTGTTTTTAAAAATCTGAAACTTTTTATGGAAAATAAAAGTGGTAGCGATGATCTTTTCGATCGCCTTGATGTAAGTTTCCTCGAAAATAAAGTGACATGTTTTTTTTTTTTTTTTCATTTTATTGCCATAATCTCAAATTTTACTGAGCACTTCTGAACTATTTTCGATAGTTTAGCGATAGTTTAGTTTCATCTATCTCCTCAACCAGGATAATCCGCTGCTGCTTAGTTGCTTATTATTATCAGGAATATATAAATTTTTAACTGGCTGTCATTTTGCTTAAATAGGATTAGAGCGGTAATTACGTAATTCAGTTCGATTTCATCGTTCATGTTGCAGACTGCATCGCTAAATAAATATTTACAAAGCTTGATGCCAGGATTGACTGCCAAAGTTTTTCGTACATATAACGCATCGATTACACTACAACAGCAACTCGACAAATTGACCAAAGGTCAATTGTTTTTCAAAGTGAACATTGACAAATAATATGTAGGAAATTGTTTTTCGTAAAAAAAACAATCTGATTTTGTTTTCTTCTTATAATGCTTTTTTGACTCCAAGCAGCTTGAATGACTTTTTTTTCTTGAGTTGAATATGGGGAGCTTATTTAATCGTTCACAAAATGATTGCATCTTGTTTTAATAAATTGCATTTTGAGATGATTCAACGGCGCCTGAACTACTACTTTGTTATAACAGAGCGAATCGTCAAGTTGCAATTTTATGTAATCACCAACGTGCTGTGCCAAAAAGTCATGAAAAAAGCATGGAAAATTTGAAAGCAAAAATAAAGGCAAAGAAAACGGAGCTGAAAGAAGCTAAGGTTAAATTTCTCATGGATTTCATTGTGAATTTACCTCAGAATTTATTTTTTAATAAATTTTATTATTCTGTTCTTGGATATTCATTTTTAGGAAGAGCTAGAAAAGGCACATTCTGATACAGCTAAACAACGTGCAACCAAACGTGTCGATCGAGTCAAAGAGCAGTTGAGGAAATTGAAAATCCAGCGTACCGATAAGGTAACTTCTCGGATAAACAATTTGCCTACTGAGTCATATAAGGTGGTAATATTGAGCAGACATGAAGGCGTTATATCTGATTTGTTCAAAGATAACTGGGATTTTTCTGAACACGATTGGAATTCTTGCAATTTCAGGATGAAAATAAGCAAATTGCTCTTTCGACATCGAAACTGAATTATTTGGACCCGCGGATATCAGTTGCCTGGTGTAAAAAATATCAAGTACCAATTGAAAAAATTTTCAACAAGACACAGCGTGAAAAATTTCGTTGGGCAATTGATATGGCCGACGAAAATTATGTTTTCTAATTCCATTCCCGTTCTTGTCATTAAGGCTTTATGATTTTGCCAAAATTATGCGGAAATTTAAATTGTTTCGGGACAAATTTGATCTCAGAGAAGATGTTTTTGATGCAGTTTAATATATTTTATTTGCAGCTTGCAGCTTGTTTTAAAATTTATGGGATATTTAGAGCACAAAAAAAATATTTGCATAGGTTATTTGCTGTAGTTTTCCCAGGAAATCTGAAAATAATTTTGCATCTGATATGAATATTTGAGTGGTTTTCGTTCCTGTTTTTAGAGAAATTCTTTTGTTTATCTGTCGTTGATTTAAATTAATTGAATATTCTAATTTTAAATCCAGCTGACGTTGTTTAATCCATATAATTCTGAACATATAAATTCTGATTTTTTTGTGATTGATTACTACTGGAGAATTCTTCTTAAATAGAATATTAATTTAATTTTTTAGGAAGAAGTAATGAACTTAGCAATTTTGTTATGAACTTTATTGTGAATTAGTAAAAATTTGGATTTTTTTTTAAAAAAAAACTTCGATTGGTTTTAAATTAAAATCCCATGTCTTTGACCCGAGAATTCGCGTGATATTTGTTCCTGAATAGGTTTTTCACTTGTTTCATGCTGTAATTTTTGTGGAAAGATTCAGAGAATGCTGTGATTTTATTCATATGCATTTGAATTCAGCCACCAATAAGTTAGTTGTTTGCGACAAAATCCAGAATCTTTTGGATTCATTTGAATTTTTTTTGTTGAATTTTTTGTTGAACATCTAGAGATTTGTCCAAGGCTAGAGTTAATTTAATTCAAGAGAAACATAAAATTAACGAAGAGCTATCGAGATTATGCGATGAAATTCATTTGAGCTTTCAAAAACTCGTTGATTTCTTTTATTTTAATTTCCTCTCTGATGTTACCATCATTGTTTAACAAAGACAAAAAGAAAGAGATTCACATTTTGTTTATTTTTCTTAATATCCTTATGTTTTTGTGTTTAGTTTTCCCTCAAGTTTGTCTGTCTGTGGTGTGTTTTATTGTGATTGTTTGCACACTAAAATGTGCTTAATTGGGTTGTTTCCTTTAATTAATTAATGTGTGTCTATTTAATGAACCATGTCAGTTCCATTGTTTGCTTTGTATTCAGCTGGACTACTAGACTTTCCTCATCTTCAGTAAGACTGCCGCATTTTCGTTCCATTTCCAGCTAGCAGGTTAATAGTCTTTCGAAATTAAATTTAAACTTTAATTTGTAGCACCTGTTATTCTTTTAGTGAAATATTTATGTATTTTTTACTAAATTTACTGTTTCTATCGATTCCTACATCTATTTCACGGATTATTTAATTTATATCTTTACATATTCTGTTGTATTCTTTTTATATTTTGTAGTTTATTTCACTATCTTTGATATCAATAAAGTTCCAAGTGAAAACGATATTAGCGTTTTTGTCCAATTTCACTGTTTGATTTTCTTCATCCGGAATTTACTGTTTGTCTCCGCAATAATTCTTTTATTGCTGAAGTGGAATTCCATTGGGCTGATAGATGAACTAGCCAATTTTTTTTATAATTTACTGGGTATTAATTACTATTCGAATATTTCGGTAATAAATTTTCTGGTCATTGCGATTATCAGTCAGGAGAAGAAGTAAAAATCAATGATGGAAAGTATTATAACGATATATTGTAAATAATAATTCAATATGGTAGTGACAGGAGTAAGTTGTCGAATTGGATCCAGAATACGGTCTTCATAATCGGTATTCCGCATATCAATACCGGATAATGGTAAGGTACCACGGCGAAGAAAATATGGAAGTTTGGTGGCAATTTTAGATATGACAAATTCATTATTTGTTGTCAAAAAATTGAAATCTTCGGTGTCATTGATAAATATATCTCTCTTCCTCTTTTTATTACTATAAAATTTCTTCAGCATTTTGTATTTTCCATATTTATTGCACTGCCAATGAAAGCATAAATGATTTGGTGGATTTCTCTTGACGCAGTATTTTATCAGTTTACTGCAACTACTGATAACTTCAATTGATAAACTTTTAAACAAATAGTAATTTTGTACATTTATTTAACCGAAAGAATTACTAGCTAAGAAGTAAGCCATAAAATTAATTGAGAATTTGTCACATTTAGGATATGCAGTATTTGTCATCATCTTTCATTGTTTTTTCCTACGGTCCTTTTTTCAGTTATTTTTTCTTAATTTTAAAAAATTTATTAGCAATGTATTAAATTTTCAATTAATAAAAAAACAAAAAGAAAGTCAATTTTTTTTTTTTTGCACCAGAAAAGGCATAGGGTATAAAAATTTGATAAAATAAAGTATGGAAATGACTTTGAAATAGCAACTGAGGAAAGTTTACTTGAAACAAGAAGTATTATTGAAATTAGAAGCATTGTTATAAGCGCAACCATATAAGAATAAATATTGAATTTTTTGGAATCCTATCATTTTCTTCTGAAACGAATTGTTATATTAATTCAGAAACTTGGAAAATATTTGGTGCTAATTAACAAGGATTTAGCTTAGAGAATTACTTTTTTCAATTAACAAGAATTTTATCAAATTAAACATAAGTATGAGGAAATCTTTGAATTATTTTAACAAATTGAAATTGAAATTATCTGATCTAGTATGGTAGAGAATAGCAATCAGTTATTCTATATATATTTTACATTAAATTTTTGCAAAAATGCTACTGTTTTTCCTCATTTATCAATGGACTAACTAAATTTAATTAAGTAATTTAATTTATTTAAACAAAACACGCCGTATTGGAATAATTCATATTGTATTTGCTGTTGCAATGTTGAAGAATATGAATAAGGCTTTTACTGAAAAAGTTGAAGTCTTCTCTTTTGACTACCTAAAATTTTTAAATTTCATTACTTACAAAGAGTTTTACGTCATACACTGTTTCTCTTTGTTATATGTAGCAAACACGCATTAATCAAATATCTTAAAAGTATCGGTCTATTTTATAACAAAGTTGAACTGATAACAAATATTTTCATAAATATTATTTTCAGGCCTATTTCTCAAATAAATCCTTTTCTATAAGACATCATAATATTATATATGCAGTTCATCTACCTATAACTGCAGTACATTTTAATTTCGCTTATTTGACAGTTAATCATTTTTTAACAAATTTAATGAAGCATAGAATGGAAGATGATTTGCATAAAATTTCCTTATATAATCGATATCACAAATAAATTTAAAGATGATTAATTAATTGTCAAATAAAAAACAATTCGAAATGTGCTACTACAATAAGGACATAATATAACAATGTTTCACTAGAAAAAATATTCTTTTAAAAAACAAGCCTGAAAACGGTATTCAACGTAATTTAATTACAATATCATTGCAGAAAACAATAATAGTTTTAAAATAGAAATAAAATTTACTTTGTTAGCTAAACATGGAATAATTGCATGTGTATAATTGAAGTAAAATTCATCAATTATCCTTGAATTTATACGCTTAACATCTAATAAGATATTAGCTGTTTGTGCACATTCTGCTAACCTATCGTAGCACCGTTTATCATTAAACTTAAGAGCTGAAAAAATTGGTGAAATAAGCAATGGAAAAAATGTTAGCAAAATAATTAGCATTAATTTGTTAGCAGACTGATGCTAAACCTTCTTCTCAAAACTTAAAATAATTGCAACTAACACCTTTATAGCATTTTCTTACAATTTTCGACATTTGCATAAAAATTCGTTTTCTAAAAAAGAATTAAAAGTTTTGTTTTTTGTTTATTTAAATGTACAAACATGTGAAATGGAAAAATTGTTTTGAAAATGTTAGCTAATTACAAATTTATAAAACATATTGTCAATTAGTAAATTCATTTCATTTCAGTATTAAAAATTCCCTCATTGTGGTATTATTTGTCAAAATTTTTTTTAGCCAAAAAGTTTCAGTGATACGATATTGGGACACATACAAAACATAAAATGGAAGGGAATGGAATCTGTTTCCATTAATGATTGAAATTACTGGGATTACTTACCTACGATATAAATAAATGCTTCACAATCCCTTTTTTTATCATTTTTAATTTGACTTTTAAAGAAGTTGTTAAGTTTTTTAGTACGTAGAATAATCTAAGCTAATGATAGCTATGATATGATTGATATCATAGCTATAGTTATGACAAGCTCTTATTATTCTTATCACATCGTTGGGAATTGGTCGAATTTATTAAGTAACTCTTCAATTAGCTTTGTTTAATTGGTGAAATTTTATAATGATTTATTTAACAAAGAGACTGATATTCAGTTCATTGATTCAATTCATTCAATTCAAAATGAAATATTTTGTGATCGATACAAATGCAATTAAGTAAACGGCAAATTTCCGTTTCATTATTTGACTGTTTCCGTTTGGAATGACAGAATTGTTTGTAATCTGAACTCTGTTACTCTTCCATTTCCCAGTTTTATGATCACCATCATAACTTTTTTCTTAAAATTTAGAGAGTAATTAATTTCATTGTACCGATTAGTAACTAGTATCAAACTTATCTATTTGTAATGAAAATGCTATTTCGAATTGAACTTTGTCAATTTCTTTCTTACTGGCTTCATTGTAATCTTCGTCGTCTTTATCTTCTTCGTCCTCTTTTGGAAGTATTAAATTGGATCGTTTAAGTGTCAGAAAATCTTGACTTTTACAAGGCCAGTAGTAACATTTACGAGTTGTTGGAATTTTTTCTACACAATTTTGAACCAGTTTACTAGAAATTTACAAATATTTAAATAAATAATTTCATTTTCATGTATGTGATTTCATGTATGTGATTAATTCAGAATTTCCAAATCTTTTTGTGTAATTTTACGCGAAATTTGCTGTCTTAATGCTAATTTTATAAAAACTGCTTAAAGTTGCTTGAAAAAAAAAAAGACGAGAACTGAAGATATAAACGTTTTACATAAAGCAATTGCTTTGCGACATATCTGCCATACTATTATAAATGCAGCTGTATAGGTATAAACGTAGAATTTTAACTGTGTTCATCATAATTCCCTAAAAATGCTCCCGCGTAACAATTTCGAAATACCAATATATCATATTAAAATTTCATTTCAATCTCATACCGAATCATTTTGTCTCGACAGATCATTTTCTACGCATTTCCGGAAAACCAGATACCTTTCACGATAGGTAACACCCGGCTTCTCATTCATCTGGAAAAATGAGTGACACAATAATGTCAGAACTAAGTTACATATCATATCTAACATATTATAATTTTGTTTCTCTTTCCCTCCTTTCTAACCGTGTTCATCATAATTCCCTAAAAATGCTCCCACGTAACAATTTCGAAATACCAATATATCTTATTAAAATTTCATTTCAATTTCATACCGATTTCTTTAAATAGTACAAATATTTAAGTCTTAGAACAGTTTTACTTGTGGGTATCTAAACAAAAAATAAAAGAAACAGACCAATTGATTAGCTATTATTATCATCACTAGGCGAGAACTATCGTTGATCATGAAATTAAAGTACAAAATAATTTTCTAAATTCGACAGAAATTAATCGCTGAATGGAAAAGAATTTGTATAACTTACTCTTTTTGCTAAACATGGAATAATTAATTGTGTATAAGTTTCACAAAAATGATTGATATTACTAGAATTAATCATATTGATATCGAGCAAATTACTATTACCACTGATGCATTGTTTTAATACATCGTAGCATTGCCATTCTTGTGCATGAATATCATTAATAAATAAAATGTCAAGTAAAAATGTTAAAAGAAAAGGTAACATAGCAAATGTTTAAAACAATAGGAAATGATTAATCTGAAATGAATCAACCGCTTATATACACATGTAATTAAAATATGTATTGATTATCACCAAAAGATAGATCATTATCAAAGTAACTCTCTTATTTTTAATTATTCATCCTTTCTCTTTTCTTAAAAAAATAAGAAACAAAAGTGACAAATAAGCAAAATTCAAAAAAAAAAGTCATTTATTCATCATAAAGGACATCAGTGGTAGTAGATGGGTACAAAATTTTTAATGCACAATAACACAAGGTGATCAACAATATGAAAGAGAAATGTTCAATTATTTGCATCCATGAAGAGTAAAAAAGAAAAAAAAAACAAGATGAGAAGAAAACACAATTGATAAGACAATTATAATTCAAATTTAGGATGAGTCTTCTTTTTCATAGAACTTCCAACCTATGAAACCATTTCATGGAATGAATACTTCACAACTTTACAACATTTAGTAAAATTAAAGTAGTGCGGAGATACCTAAACTGAAGTCCTTCACATAAGTGCATATAATAAGTTTGAAACTTCAATATCATATAACAAAGCCAAATAAATAACTGAAGTATCAAACAATTCAATACGCTTTTAACATGCGTGCTTTAATATTTAATGTAATGAATGAGACAAGCAAATTCTGAAAAGTATGAAAAAAAAAAAAACAGCCAAGGACAGCAAATGCCTACATAATAAAATTTTTTGATATTTTAAATGAAGAAGAGATGGTAATTCAATCAGAATCTAGAAAATCTGGAAAAATAAAAGCATTCGATTACATAAAGCAACAAAGTTTTGATTTCTTAGCCAGTCAATACGTTTAAGCAAAATTTAGTACTAAGAATATGGTGAGATATAAAATGCAAAATGCACAGTACATATCTTAGAAGAAAAAAAAAAATAATAACAGGACACGATAAACACGATGTATTTGAACTTAAGAAAAAATAGGAAAAGTTCAACTTCTATTTGTTAATCTCTTCAATTTCTACACCACTTAGTAATATGGCATCGGCAATCTCTACTATGTTTTTACTATTTGATATGATATTGTTTTTGACCTTTACATAAACTATGTAACAAAACTGGTTATAAAAGTTATTTGCTGCTAAATGCAAAAAAAAAAAAAATAGAACAAGGAAGAGACATGAACATTATGTACACCACTGTTATTTCTTCCTCAGATTTCAATTTATATTTAGATTTGCAAGATTTTAGTTCTACTTCAGTCGAATTTAACAATATGTTAGTAACAACGAAAAATCTCAACAACAAGGTTTTATGTGAATCAGAAAAAGTGGTTCACATTTTAATAAATCCTAGAGAAAATTTTTGAAAAAAAAAATAATATATAAAACAATAAGGCGCAGTTTCACGTCCTTATATGATAAAGCATCGGACAAGAAACGACGAGAATTCGATAAGTTTTTAGGTGATTTCTAAAGTAAAAAAAATTATCTGCATTGAAAAGGGCGCTGAAAAGAAAGGAAATGATTGTAAAACTGTTATAAGAAAATCAACTTGTTAACGGTCAAAATTATTTTTAGTAATTCAACACTATGGTAAAATGGATCATAACAAATTAATAAAGCGTAACCATTCATGGAGTGCTGCTATACGTTGGGATTAACACATATCCATTTAATAAAACACACCGAGAACTGAGATCGTCATCGACCAGCTTGCTGAAGGATTTCTGAGAAATTAATGGAAAGTTGAAGATAGCACTCATGTAACAACCAATTCAACAATACACAATCATTCATGTAGTTGCACTGAATTCATGTTGAAGCGCTTGCAAATCATCAATCATTGTGTCTAGATTTTCCATTTGCGCATTCAGTTCCTCTGTGGAAGCTGAAGCCTGAAACATGAAAACACTTTAAAGGAAGAGAAAAAATGTGGTTATTGTGAAATTAATCATCCTAGAATTTCATTAATCGGTGAAACATCTCTTGGATGCAATATTTACAAGCACATCAGTGAAAATAAGCAAAAGAAGAACCTGTAATGGTTGCGCTTCAATAACATTTTCACGTTGCAATGCAGCTTTCTCCGGCATCACACAAGATGCATATGGTGAGTAAATATTATTGACGTTAACACGTGGTTGTGCAGTTGCACGTCCCACAGGAACATGAGATGACTTCTGACCAATAACAACACCAGCAGGCTTTCCGTTCCTATTATTTGGAGATGCAACAACTAGCGGTCTAACTACATGCGCCATTCGCTCACCTGATCCTAGAAATATTCATTAATAGATAGTGCTTCTGATGCTCAATGTGAAATATGGAACAGGCATTAAGTAGTAAACAGTTTTTTAACTTAAACAAAATATACTATACTATTAAAAGAAACACGAATAATTAATGATCAGTTTTTTTTCTTTAAACAAAAGTTAACATGCCTGATGAGGGAGTGATTGGTGGTGGTGCTCCAGCAAGTTGTGTAAATGATTTTAACGGATTTGAATTGACAGAATTTCTGCGCAACGTCCGATAACCATCGTTGTTGAGCAATTGAGTGGGTGGAGCAACGGGCGGTCCTTGATTAGGTAATTGGGGCGGAGGTGGGGTCGATATGTGAAGTGCCTGAGACGAACTGTACGTCGAGCTATGGTCAGAAAAATCGATTTTAGCTACCTGGAGAAAATCAACATTCGACAATTTTTAACTCCTTTGATTTAAATTAATATCTACTGTTTATGTGAATCCATACTAAATAATACTACACCGTATAAACCGACTTTGTATATTAAACATTTCTTTTGTTTTTAATTAACCTCAAATATGTTTTTTAATTAACTTCAAATATATGACTTCAAATGTGCGTTAATATAAATATAACTGCAAATATTTTAAATATGTAAAAACTTCATTAAGTATTAAATTCTTCGACATTTTTTTAGATGATTTTCCTTTCAAAAATAATCGTTGTTACTTACTGCTTTTATTCAAAAATATCTCCCAAAATTGTTTACATTTTCCCTAAACATGAACTAAAGAAACACCTGATGTCGGCCTGTATTTGTATAAACAATTTGAGGCGTTCTTTGTCGTCCTTCAAGGCTAGTCGATGATTGATGATAACTCCGTGTTAAAGTACCATTACCTGAATTTATGTTTGTTGAGGTATTAGGAAGAAATGCGAAATTTTTAAGGTGGAGCTATGAAATATCAAAATTTATTTTTCTCATGAAAATGTGCGGTATATTGACGAGAAGTGATTACAAATATGCCTGGAAACAGAATTACTGGCATAATTTCTAGCTGTTTCTGAATATCTACAGTATCCATATGAAAAAGTAAGAAATAAAACAAATACCGTGCGAATGCGAAACCCCTTTTTTAAAAAGCTTTTAAACAGCAGGGTAGCATTAAAGAATCTAGCAAATTATCTACAAAACAGGATTTAACAGAAAAATTCCTAAAACTCAATTTTCGTAACTTGCATTCACAATTCAATTTCGTGTCTTTGTGCAATCTATGTGAAATTTGTAAGTGTATCATGGCATAATTTAAAGGAAAAATTGTGGAGACAAATAAGAGATGAAAGTAATCCATCTTTAAGGATTTGACTCGTGCTGCCCACCGCAAAGTAAAAAACCGCAGATAAAGGAGAATTTGATGCAATGAGAATACTTTGAGAGTCTTAACAAGCAATACAACAGCGCTACTACTGATACAGCCACACTTACAATCACCAGTTACAACACCGGGCAGTGGATTCTGTGACATGACGGTATGAGTTGAGATTAGCTCTGCTTTTCCCACAGGCCGTCGTCGTTGAATGATGCCATCATGAACTGACTGAGTCATTCTCGCTTCAATATACTCGGGATCGGTGAAGTGAGCTGAAATTCGCTGACCATCTATTGCATTGTTCATCTTGAAAAGTGCAAATATATCGACGGACGACAAATGCAAGTTGTGGATTGTAGATTATGAGGTACTATGAGGCATGCAACTGCACTGTATATCAATCACATCTAGCAAAAAACATCACAGCTACATTGAAAAATACCACATTGCCATGCGTTGTTGACATGAAATGCATTTTTGTCTCAAATCAAATTAGAACATGCTGCAAGGTTGCAAGTAATTAACATGCATATACCTACAAAACAAATATGAACATAAACTGTAAAAAATGGCAGAATTAAATCCAAGTTAATCCAAGCACGTCATTCCAATTATTTTGACAGCGAAGATCTAGAAGCAGCAGAACTATTTAGAAACTAAAATGGAATGGTAAGTTAACAATGATCAAATTAGCATACCATTCATTTACATGTTTTGTAAAAGATATGCATGCATGCATTTCATAAATATATGTGAAGCAAAATAAAGTCAAAATGCACTGCTGTCATATAATTTTTTTTTTTTTTTGCCCTTAAAATTTTCCTCAATAATAAACAAACAGTGAAAAATGGAAGTAAAATGAAATTTGTCAAAACGAAAAAGATGAACAAAAACACTCAAATATGCAAAAACGAAAGCGAAGCAGCACCTTGGACAGCAAGATATTGAGATCGTGGTGAATCGACCATTTCGATTACATCATCGCAATGATTTAAATCGTTTAATGATGTTGCAAGCGCTTCTTCAATCAGATTCTCTATAATGATGTACATTCCCGTTCTTAATTACGAATATACTGATTTTAAAGCGGTTCAAAATGGATGAATTATGGATTGTAGCCAACCAATTGGTAATTAGAGAGTTGCAAACTTCAAAAATGACATGACCTTGAGACTGGAATAATTGTTGCCATGTATTTTGATAGAAAAGAAAGATTACACACAACAGATACTCATAGTCTATTAGTTCTAATTCAAAGCAAAAGTAAGAAAAAGTGAGTGATTTTATCATGCGACTTGTTCCACTATTCAACTTACTATTCGAACGACAAGGTGCAACGTAACAGATAATTTTGACCAAGATTTATAAATAGAGAAAAGAAAGTATAAATACTATGTGGAAATACTGTTCAATCTACTGTGAAAATCAAAACGAAACAAAGTTAATTTCCTCTTCATTCTTTTCAAAATATCCTCTTCATTCTTTTCATAATTTACTTTACATATGCCACCTGTCTTAATCTTCCTGCCGAGCTTGCTTACAGCTGGAACAACGAACAAAATAAGCAAGCAGAAAGCAGATAAGAGTAAATAGATAAGCAAGTGCTGATAGCTGAAAAACAAAAGTAAACATATAACATCAATCAAAGTCTTATTTAAATTATATTTCAAAAGATAAATTAATTTGAATTTCGAAAACCACATAAAAAATACCCGGCTCATGTATTTGGTGTCCACCGCTATGATGATTAATCCATAAATCAGGGGGCCCTTTGCCATTTCTCACTTGTTTCCTTCCACGCACATAGCCTGCGGTCGTTGATTTCTTGCTATTCTTTGATCTTATATACCAAATCACGGTGATCATCAAGACCATGAACAGAATAACGATTGCCGCCGTGATTGCCAGATAAGCTGGCGTGGAAAACAACGCTAGACGAGGAGTTTCCAAATCGATGTCAACATCCTGAAAAAAAATTTTTTTAATATGTAAGCAATGCAAAAGTTATCAGGAATGCAATCATTATTAAGAAGCACTTCTACAGTTAAAAAAATTACTAAAAAAAGAAATTCGATAAGCAGTAAAATTCTTAAGAACAAAGCTGGTTCACGTGTATTATATTTGTAATTGGGTAACAGAAATAAATTTCCACATTTATTACAACTTTCAAATGATTAATGGTATAAATAAACTCAAAGATTTGAGAAAAAATGATTTTAGGACAAACCTGGAATAATCGTGGTGGTGGTGCACCCGGCACAAATTGCAGTGTTGGAGATAACGGACCATATCCTTTGATATTACGTGCTTGAACTTTAAAGAAATATGTTTGTCGAGGTAGTAAATTGGTCAACTTGATTGATAAATGGTCACCTTTTACCCCATCTAGAATCCAGTCCTTATCAGGTGCATCCGATCGATCTGCATAGTACACCAAGTACTCTGAAACAACCAAAAATCTCCAAAATAGGTTTATATTTACTAATAGTAATACAATACAAAATAAAATATAAAATGCCAAACAAATATATTTCAATAATTTCCCAATCTATACCTTCAATATCACCATTAGCATACTTCGGCGGTTGCCAATTCAGTATCAGTGTTTGTGGATCACCATCAGTGGGCTGCATGATGGTTAAATCACGTGGTGCACTAGATGGTGGTGCTGGAGCTGTGGAATTTACTGCAGTCATGGACCACATGGATGAGGACCTTCAAAGAACTCTTTTCAACAAAATCTCCCTGATATTTCAAAGCTGCATTTTGTACCGCAATACGAAGCCTCAGTAATGTTTTTTTTTTTACAACATGATTGATGGAAATAGCCGAACTTCCTTCATGATTAGCATGACACATTCATCACTGGCTTCTTTGATGAATGTAACGGATAACCAACTTTCGAACTGAACTAACAGCGCAAAACTATCAGACAGCACTGAAACCGGCTACGCCATTGCTCACTACATCAACTCAGTTTTGAGTTGTCTTAGAGACAACATGGAGATTTTTTATTTTATTAGAACCTGGAGATTTTATTTTATTAGAATTATTCTGTTCATTTTAGTCATTTCAGAGACTTTTCAAAGATTTTTTTTTTATCTAGTCCAGTTCTTCAATATTGATATTCTCTTCCCATGAAATTCGGTTAAAAGGAATAAAAGGAATTTGCATTGCAGACGGTTCCAATGTAGGATATAATTTAAATTTATAACAACGGCTTTTTCGGGATAAAGCAAGCATTCTTAATTCTTAAAAGAACAAAAACATTAATAGTATGCAACAGTAGACTGATCGACAAGGTAGATTTTAATTGGTTGATAAAAAGCATTATCTATTAATAATTTCATTATTAACAACTAAAATTATAGTATTTATATTATTCCATCCACAAAATACAAGTTTTACTTGTATGTTCAATCGATTTAATTTCGAAAATACTAAAATAATGGTGGCAAAGAGTCAATAAAAAAAGGCTTTCAAAGCAATTTTTTTAGACGATTCTGTACCCTGAAGAAAACACTATCCAAACCAAACAATGATTCTTGTAGCATAACGAAAGACAGCAGGTAATTAACCAAAATCTTTAGTCTTACCTTGAAAGCGAAATAACGAAGAATCCATACGAAAATTATTAAAACTATTTTCAAATCCATCTTTCTGATTAAAATATTGCAAAAATCTTACTTTCCAGCATTAACTCGTACCGCAAATTCGTACTGCGTATTGGGACGTAATCCATCGATAACTACTTCAAGTTCAGATGTATTGATATAACGCCGCTGCCCACCATTCTCAACACTGAATTAAAAACTATTAATATTAGACAGCAGAGTGTAAGACAAATTCTACTTTAACAAGTACTATTTTAAGACTTATATAATTATTAGTTTTCGTTGATTGTATGATATTGTACGACTTTAAATCTACTCCGTATTTGTTAATAAATGGAGTGACAAACAATCCGGTTTAAACCTCACATATGTATCTGAAATGGTTAAGTAAGCTGAAAAAAGAATCCGTCTTAAAAATGGTCCGAAAAATTCGTTATTAAAGAAATCCACACTTGGAACTGTATCGTACAGTGTACTGCCTTGAATAAGGTATATCCAATTCAGCATCAGTCCATATTACTCGGATCGATGATGACGAAAGTGTCAATGCTCTAACACCAATCGGTGTTTCACTTCGTCCCGAATCTTTGTTATTCTGTTGTCCACTTGCCATAGATTTAGATTCCGGAGAAAGAGTTCGAACTGTTTCATAGATTGGAAAACCATTCCCTATCATATTGTACGCACGCAGCGAAATCACGTAATCACGGCCTGGTTTCAATCCATTAATCGTATGGAGCCGTAAACTTGCTGGCACCTTCACTTGGTCCACATCCGGTATATTGATTCCCCAACCAATCTGCAGAAATTTGTAATTTTGAATTATTGAGCTCACAGAATTTATTCAAATTGTATCTGCACGAGCTGTAATCCTATGAAATACGTATGGACTTGAAAAAATATTTTTCACTCTTCAATTTTCTATACTTTGTGGCATTGTTCGTTAGAGCAAATAATGGTACAAAACCAATTCCTGTTGAAATGTAACATTTACCGAGAAAAAAAAAAGACTTACTAGGTAACCACGGATCATAACACTATCGTCTCTGGGTGGCAGCCATGAAAGCTGGATTGAATCCACAGATGGCTGAACTTTAAGCGAGAGTGGTGGTCCAGCCACTTGTCCTTCGTCTTTATCTTCCAGCGGTGTATCAACATGAAACCAATCCGAATTTGGACCAGATCCATTCTGAATTACAACAAATAAATCTTAGTAGCCACCATTTTGAAAACAGTAGGAAAAGTTGTGCACCATGATACTCCTGTTTTTGTCATCAGATAATTTCACTTATAAACTTCAACGAAAAACCTGATTAATAGCCGCAACTCGAAGCATATATTGTGTACCAGGCTCGAGACCGGATATAATGTATGAACTGTTGTTTCCATCTATCACTAAAGTATTGCTTTTTGCACCACGCAATTTCGTTTTATACTTTATTCGATACCCAGTCAGAATACCATTTCTATCTTCTGCTGATAATGGCATCCACTGTACAAGGATGGAAGTAGTTGAAATTGCTTCAGCTCTACAAGATAAATTGTGAGTAATCTAATATATTTATGATTTTTATGAATAGCGGTGGATAATTAAATACCAAAAATAGAACTATACAGATGCACTATCGTGAATCAAAACTAGGTAATACTTTGAAGATAGCAAATTAACATACCTAACGTCACTAGGAGGTAGTGACGGTAAATCGGACAATGTTCTTACAGTAATTGGTTCAGAGCTGAGACCAGCACCATTTACACCTTCTGCTTCGACTCGAATGATATATTCGACATATTTCTCCATGCCATGAAGAGTATAAGACGTCTTTTTCATCTGAAATCATAATTCTATACTAAATTCTTTTTCAATATCGAAAATAATGAATGATTAGTCTACATATTGTTAGTAGCTATATGAAAATCCAGTCTTTTGAAAAAAAAAAAAGCTGACAAACCACAATTTGTGTTTCCTTTTCATTCACTTCATGATCTTTCCGGATATAGAACAACTTGTACTGCACTGGCTCGGGTCCATTGCCGCCTGGTGGTTCCCAGGACACTTCGACAGTTTCCGGACTCAGAGCTGTGCCACGCAAATTTTTTACTTTACCAGGAACTGCCTAAAAATTTTCAATCTTCTTATCTCGTTTGAAAACTTATAACACATTGTATTCGAATGACTTTCCCGAACATAAAAAACATCCTAAGCTGTTACTAAATCTATAAATCCATAATGGCATCGTAAAAACCGATGACACTAAGCAAGACACTTGTTTCTCTTAGCCAAAATTAGTGACCGTAAAATAAGAAACCTTTTCCTCTGCTGTCGTAATAAGAATACGTGTACTTGATTTCCCCATACCAGCTTCATTTTCCGCAGCTAACCGAAAAACGTAGGTCGTATTCGGCTGCAAAGGAGTTACCGTGAATGATGCGGCTGTTGAATTCAACATTCGCTCCCTAAATTTTATCCATTTTCACATTCTGCGAAACATTGAAATACACAAATAAGATTCTGTAAAAACATTACTGTTACAATTTAGCGAGAAACAGTAGCAACCGAATAATCCAATTTCTGCAGCTAAAAATAAAAGATATGTAACAATTACCGTTAACTTTTCCACTTCATACCACAAAACAAAACCAATGAATAAAAACAAGTAGTAACCTTAAAGAATCTTGTTCCTTGTAGAAAATATGATAAGCTAAAACAGCACCATGCCGTTGTACAGGAGGATCCCAAGTCAGGACTACAAAACGACTTCCAACAACACTTGCACGAACACCTAGCGGTTCTGATGGCAATTTTGGCTGTCCACTTGAAGCAGCCATAGAAAATGAATCTAAATTAGGTTTGTCAAAACAAGAATGAATTTCACATGTAAAACTGTTACAAATGAGTATGACAGAATGAAGGGTTATGAAGAATTTCAGGCGTAAATGGCTAAGTTTCAACATAATTCTTAAATTACATTTAATTGTCGTAGTGAATCCTAGCTCTTACACTAAACAAAGTATTAGGTAAACATGAACAACCTTCGGTCTTATTGTGGTTAAGTGTATTAGTCGTGCATGGATAAAAATTAAAGCAATTAAGAAGTTAACAAACGATCGTCGATTACTGGATAATTCCAAAAAAATATTTACGCTTAAATTTGAAAAAAAATAAGTAAAACCTCATGAAAATTTGGAACTAGTCATCCTAGAACATTTTTTGAAAATCATTTTAAGACGAAGAACAGTAAAAAGTAATAAATTCATTAAAAGGAACTATATATACACTCATGCACACTCCTCTCACCCGTGTTATTAACATTCATAATTTCTTCCGAAATAGATGTCGTTTCATTCATTGAGTAAAACTTTAGGGCATAAAGCTGCAGTAGTTCCTCTATAAAGTAATATTGTTATTGCTAAAATTCTGAGAAAAAATAAAACCGGACGTAGGATAACCTAGAAAAACGGATTAAAACTATGTTAAAAAACTTGAAAGATCGAAATATTGAAAATTGAAGACTGTATATACAGTCGAAAATCACCACATGCACAAATTTTTGAAAGTTAATATAAATTTTGATTCGAAAAAAAAAATTTGTTCCATTTAAATTTTGAAAAGGAAAATTTTTTACTATGTCTACGAAGTAAACATGTGTAGAATAAACAGTATTTATATATAGTCTGCAATTTAAAAGAAAGGATAACTGAGAACTCCAACTACGGCGCAAATACAGCCATGCACCACTATGATTTAAAAAAATAAGTAAAACACATTAAAGATTACCGGAGCTATCAACAATTAACTGCGCATTCGATTGTACAGATCCAGCATCATTTTCAGCGATACATTGATATACACCTTGATCATTTCGTACTAATCCGAGAACCCGTAAACGGGTTGCTTCTATCTGAAGAAAAAAATTTAAGAAAACTATTGAAATTCATTTAAAACAAGGGACGTTGTTTCACTCTAGATTTATCTTCCCGATTTTATATAAAATCATAATATCAGTAATCTACCATTATCGAAGAAACTAAAGTTTTCGAATTCAAGGAATTTTTATTACTTTATTTTAAAAAAGGCGATATTAATACAAATCTTAAACTATCAAATAATATTACATCCTTCATGCAGAGAAAAACCAGAGAAAATAAAAGAAACTAAATCAATTTTTACCACAAAATATTCACTCGCGATAATTGCTTCGCCATTTTTATACCAACTGATCGATGGGCCGGGTTCTCCCGATGCTTCGCAGTTGAACTAGGAATAAATTTATTTTATTTTTTATTTTCATTATCAATTTACAATTTTGTCAGTAACTTTTAGACTTAACTATCACTCCCTAAAGAGTTTAAATTTTTTCAAAAAAGACAAAAAAAGGAACCTCGACATCCATTGTTTCTTGCGCCACAACGTTGTTTGGTTCGGATATGATTTTCGGTGCTACTAAAGAAACAAGACAAAGTCATAAAATATCACAATGCTGTCAATAATTTTGCATTTGTATATAACAAAATTTAATATAAGCAAATTTTGTAATTTCGTTTTTTGAAAACCTTATATAAGCAGAAAGATCTTATATCAAAAAAAAACTTCCTACTCTAATCCAAATAATTTCCAGGTCCATGATTAGAAGAGCCAATAAAAACCTTTCTGTAAATTCCTCAAAAATTTTTTAAATTCATTAGCGGGAGAACACTACGTACCTTTAACTTGAACAGTAGCTGACGCATCTAACGATTCCTGACTGTTACTTGCTCTACATGTATAAACACCCGTATCCACTGCTTTTGCTTTTAGAATCATAAACGAAGATGAACCTAACTGACGCATCTGAAAGATCCATAAAAGCTATATGTTTAAAGGATGTTAAAGCAGCAAAAAAATGCAGTTTCACCATACTTATTACAACAGCTAAATTTACACAAACAAATAACAATATTTACCCTGTCTCCAGTTAACGATATAGTCTCGGCACCTTTCAGCCATCGCACATTTGGTCGTGGCCATCCATTTACTAGACATTCCAATACTACCGACCCGCCTTCATTTACCACGTCACCTCGTGGTTCCAGAATAAAATTTGGTTCCGAAAACTCATTGCCAACTATAAAATTTAGTATTTTTTAAGAGTTTGGAATATTTCACCAAAGAACTATGATAATGGATGAAAAATTATCATCTGTACATATTAAAACAAACAGATGTTTAAAATAACTCAATTGCAATTTACGATTAAGTTAATAGAACATATCTCATAAAAATATCATATGATATAGATTAGTGCGATGGCTAAAAAGATTTATGTTGTGGAATTTACTTGACCATAAAATTAAATCAATAAAATTACCACTATTTTCAGGCTTAATCGTAAGTTGAGCATCACGACTGGCACGAGTTTTGCCCTCATTCGTTGCAACACAACGATATGCACCCTCATGTTTGGGTAAGACGCTACTTATTTCAAGTGTCGAAGTAACCGGAAATATTGTTAAAGAACTATCATCTCCTGCAACAAAAAATTTCAATATTAGCATTATCATCCGAAAAACAAGGTATCGATTTGATATTGAAACCATCCCTTTCCAAACGAAGTTATAAATTCAATTACAAGTGCGAAAAATCTGATCAGAAAGGTCGAAGTGTGAGTAATACCAAAATAATGAATATTTTTTCGTTCCTTTTTATTTCGTTCTGATTTCAAAGCCTTTTCAATTTTTAAATGAACCATTAAATCTGTATGGACGAAGGTAATTTCAATTTTACATTTCCCATCCTGTAAATTAAATTATGATAAAAACTGAAGCCTTTCTATTAACCACTTATAAATGTGCATGTAATTCAATAACATCAACTAATTTGATTTTGTTTTCAGTTTTATGTTCATATAAAGAAAAAATTTACGGCCACTAATACGTTTCCCGTTGAAAAACCATTCGATGTGAGCTGAAGGTTGAGAATCCTGAAACCAGTTATTATTACTCATCATTAACTCAACATAACTCAGGATTTAAATTGTACTAAGTTAATCTTCTATGCATTCGATGTATGATCTCAATATTAGCATTATCTTCTGAAAAACAAGGTCTGAAAAACCACTTAAACATCAAAAGTATTAATAGAAAATAAAAGTTTATTAACCAGGATGCAAGCAAAAGCAACACTTTGCCCGACATGCACTTCACGATCTTCTGGTTGTATTTCGAACCTGCAATAAATTCATTGAGAAAATCTACGCGTTAAACACTTCAATGATGAATAAACGATCACAAATAATGAATGCATTACTCGATAAAAATATTAGTGCAAAGGAATTTTAAAAAAATGCATTAAAACCTGCTAAGAGAAGGTAATCGAACAGCTGCCCTCCGGGAAAGATATGTCCAAACAAAACTTTTCTTGTCCGTTACATGAACTACGCACTGATATAAGCCTTCATCAGAGGATCCAACATTTTCGATAATTAATGAACCAGAAGACGTCACAAACCTTAATATGTTAATATCATTAATCAAGGAATGAAAATCCGATAAACAATGGCTGTGCATAAACAGTACACACAATTATGCTTCTTGCAAACAAAGACCTTTCTTATTTGATTCAAACTGACATAAAAAGGAACTCAGAAATTCAGTCCCTAAACAATTACTGTTTTTGCGAAAATATCACCATATTGAAGCAATCAGATGAACATTAGATGTTATTTCGGCATAAAGAAAATAATCTGTCAATACGTAACTTTTAAAAAGGATTTCAAGAGTGAACAAATTAGTTGTAAACACAATTAGTGCCTTCTGAATGGAAGAATCTTCAAATCTGCCAGAATGAGCTAAAACTTTTGTTTTCCACCTATTGAATAGCCGCGGGAAAAATATTTGACTAATATTTTATTTTCAAACTTTAAGTTCTTCATCCTCTAGAAATTCATTTTCATAGAAAAATTTGACCTTTCGATGCTTGGCACCTTCTATACTACTTGAATTTCATCCTTTTTTGATGATAATGACAAATGACAGAAAGATGAACTCTAGAAATTCCCTCTCTATACAGTTGCTACCCTTCTGAAAATACCACCATTATTCATGTCACCACCTCTGTCTGCTGCAATCATGAATATTCTAGAAACGTAAACAACGCTTAACCATTCCTTTCATTTCTGTCTGGACGTACATGTCAATGTTTGTTGTATAGATCGGCGATACATCAGACAAAAAAGTTTACTTTGTCCAGATGTGGAAACGATGTCCTATTTTATATGAAACATTTGTTTTACCTAATTGCTAGTGTCATCGAGCGATCACTTCATTTTAACGAAAATGATTATTTCTTTCAATAGTTTTAGTATTTTTTGCATTTCAACACTCCTAATACGGTGAAATGAACCATTAAACTATAACAGTAAATAAAACAGCCTGTAATTGACGTATTGTTCATGTAAGAGTATTTCGCATATCAATTATTCTGAGTTGCTTAATAAGGCACTGAGCTATTCAGCCACTGAATTTATTGAAATTGGCAATGTTTTGATTAGAATTTTCACAGAAAGGATAAAATTCAATTTTTGATTTATCAACGAATTATAGAATTCTTGTTTAAATCTGCATAGGAAAATTAATGACATTTGTGGTCAGATTTATTCCACTTGTAAGTCTGATTGCTTCCTTTTTCTTGTGAGTTTCAGTAATGGTCCATCCACTAGCGAATTATATGTAAATAAAGCAAGGATATTTCAGCAATGAATGTGAGGTATCGAAGGGAAGACGAAAGCACATTAACATTGATGAGCATTGTAATATAGCAAATTGCTGGACAAAGATGAAAAAAGAGGGACATTGTCATCTTTTTAAAAGATATTTTCCAAAGATAACTAACTAAGATTCAATTTAAAATATGTTTACATTGTGAATATAACAAACGTGTAAATGCAATCATATTTGCCAATCTTCTACAGAAATTTAACTGGAATGATAAAACTAAATATTTCTTTTTACATTTTATACTACCACAGACCATACATATTCATCATTCCTTCTTCAATTTACCGAAGAAAATTGGTTATTTTCTATAAGGCACGTGTTGTTTTCTCTTAATTCCTCTGTAATTATATTTGCGTTCAATTTGTTTTGATAAAACTCAATCTGTTCATGTTTTAGTCAATATGTATAACTGCACTAGTACATAATCATACTGCAGGTTCATTATAAGAGGCCCTGAAACGAGAGGAGAATTAAACTTCATTATAATGATATAAAGTAGTAGAAATCGTTCAAAACTTTTCTGTTCCATTGAAATAATCGACTTGGACCCTTGCCAATTGGCTTCTATCGTTAACCAATGATCAAAACTAGGATCTTATTATATATTTTCTTATTATATTAACAAGCATGTACAACCTACCACATAAGAACTACATTTTAAAAATTCTTCTAAAATTTATCAAATCCCTTTCCTTTCAATTTCCTATTTATGTCTGCTGTCATTTCTTACGAAAAAACAATCATGATTAATGTTTTCCAATTTTCGGAAAAAACCAGTACTGGAAATCTAATTTATCCCAATATCCATAACAGAAACTGAACAATAAGTACGATAAAATTGGAATGCAATAAAAATAAAACATTTAAATACCGTAAGGTAGGAGTAAAAAAAAAAATTAAACTGAAATACTGTAAATATGATGAAAGTAACATTTTTTGTGATTTATCCCAATTTTGTATTTTTAAGATTTTTTCAGGATATAAATGTGATAAATATTCGGTGAATCATTAGTCTATCCCGAGCAAAGAAGAATAGAATGGAATTTTTCCATTAGAATATATATTTGTGGTTTGTCAATCTGATGTTTAGATTAAGCTACTGATGCTTTTCGTTGTAAGAATAATATAATTTTCATAGCAATTGAGTTGTTCTACTTCATGTCCTTCTCATGCGATGTTAGAAAGCTTGATTTATTGCATAAACAATTTCAGCCTTCATTTTCAGCAATAGAAACGAAGTCTTTAAGCTTTAAGCTTCTATACTCTTGACCAGCCCTTCCCTGTCAATTGTCCACCACTGGATGGTCCCATTGTAGATAATTCCTCAAGTCAGATGACATAAATTAGACAACAAACCAACCGACTACTCAAGCAGTGTCCATTTTAAGCTATTTTATCCATTCATCACGAATCCCCAGCGACCCATTTTAGCGACATTCAGTAACGTGTGTCCCTTTGATTCTAACCCAATAAATTTCCATAGAAACTCCCTAACGCTATATTTAGATTACTAATCCAACTAAGGGTAGCTCTTATGATGCAGCAAAGACTTACCCGATCACTGAACGGAAATTTTTCGTTCATCAGAAAAAGCATTTGAAAATTAAAAAGTCGTAAAAGGAATAAGAGATTCTAGACGTAAATCAAATTAATAAATCACTTTAAATTTTAAATATACTATCTGAAAAAGAAAGCAGAGGGCAGGTGAATTCACTGAATAAATCTTCTGAACAGACAAAAGGCAATTAGAAGATAACTGGAAAATTTTTAATAAAAAAATTAAAAAAGCACATTGCAATGTTACTTTTGACACCATGTGTCCCAAATATAGAGCCTGACTCTTAGAAACCACCACCAAATTCTTCCAAAATCTCCTGTCTTAAAAATCTTCCTCTCTTATAATCTTCTTTTAAAGCATTCTTCCCATTCAACTCATTAATATCGAATAATACCTTCAAATTTTTCGCAGATAAATCTTCCATGATAAAGTTAAGGTCATGAGTAAGGGATTCCTAGACAAGAAATAATTTATATAACTATGGCGAGCAAAAAAATCACTGGTAAGCAAGATGTGGAAAGCAAAATTACGGCTTAACTGAAGAATAGCAATAATGTGAAATGATATGAAACAATGAATAATAAGCATTTGGTTAAGAGCAAAAAAGATGTGTTAAATATAAGATTAATCACGGTTCTCGTCATTAATCCCTAATAAACTTAATTAAATATTGCATATGTTAATCATATAAGCTTAACATCTAGTGATTAATTCACATACTATTCACTTCCATAAATAACTAACTTTCAGATTCTGAAAGGAATGATCATTCTAATAAACTAATAACACACAAATATACTCTTTCAAAGTAAAAATGACTTGCTAAAATTTGCATTTGTTGCTTTTCTTGAATAAAAACTTTTCCGATTTTTACCAAATTGTAAAAAAATGGAAAAAAAGAAACCAAAATTTATTAATTTTAACTGATTCAATGCAACTTACATTTTTCCTGTGGGCCGTAATGAAGCTAACTCCGCGCCATCTTTCCGCCATTCAGTGCGAGACGAAGTATTTCTCATCGATATGGCATATCGGCAATTCAGTTCTATCCGTCCCGCTTTTGCTACCGTATTTGTTGGTTCCTCAGTGAAATGAAATCCAAGAAAACGGTCACCTAAAAAAAAAAAAAATAAATAAAAAAAAGGACAAAATAAGTTTCCCATACAATATCGAATTCTAACAATTTTTGTTAGAACATTCTTTGCAATTATGCTTAACTATTGAAATTATTGTTAAATACAAACATCCACCAAATTCCAATTTGCTTAAAATTTCTGAAAATTTTAAGTACATTAAAAACTTGGTAATTAAATTAAACGAGCTTGTAATATTGCATTATTATGTGGTCCTGATCTTCGTTTTAATTAATCTACGGTGGCTGAAGCTGATAATGTGCGTACCACCGGTTACCCTCAAGTACTCTTATCGTAACAGATGTTGTACAGATGTGTCTTCAACATTAATTATATGCTCCATAATGCTGTCCAACATTTGTCTCCTTTCAAAAACAAAACTTTTCCACGCTTAAATTTGAAATATTACTAAAACCCGAGAACAATGAAATAGTCTCATCTGTCAACTGCTGGTGACAAACTGTGTTCCTTTCTTCATTAGGTAAAACACTTTTCAGCTATTAGAAATAACTAGTCCTTACCATTCCTGATTAAGTGATCTCAACTTATCTATATTAAAATCTACCCTTTACCTTCCTCTCTTCAACAATACCCAATTATTCGTCCTCTAATCACTCTATGTGCTGCCTATCACAAGCAACTTGAACACCATAACAATAATACCAGCAGTAAACAAACAAGTTGACAAAATACCATTTAACACATCCACTTCAATACCCATAACCATTTTTTTTTGCGCACACTTACAAAGCTCAGAAAACATAAAAGAGTTCAATTCATCATAAAAATGATAATGGCGCCACTTTCAAAAGATATAAACATCAATTTATATATATATATATGCATCAAATTATTTATGAAAAAAAAGATGGAATTGAGCGTGGAAAAGATTTACATAAAACATAACACGGTTTAATTTAGATTATCAATGAGATCTAACAGTATAATATGCGCATAAAACTCAATTTCACTGAAAAAAATCTAACTAAGCGAAGATAAATGGATTCTCAGTGCAAGAAAAAACTGAAAAAAAAATTTCTGAATTGCTTACTATACTGATGCCTACGGATCGAAATAATAGTAGTCGTTTATCGCTTCTCTAAATGACCTCTATTTCTATCTTTGGTATTCTCTGAATTTCCATAATTTCACAAATGACATATGTGTAGTCCATGAATAATGCTAATTTTCCCCGCTAGCAACTTATTTTAGACAAAAAAAATGTAAGATACACTTTAAAAACCTTTTGTTTACCATGTAACCTGCAACCATTTTTTACAATTCTGCATTTGAGTTTATGTTACCTATGTCTATACAGTGTTATTTCTAACTTTAGTTCATGAGGTTTTCATAAAACGAACTCATTTCTGTCTTCTTCTACCATTGCAATATAATAGATTCCCAAACACATCAATCTACACAAATGACCTTTTTGGGTCACTAATGTCAGGCGTAATTAAAATAATTATGACGACGAAAAAAATATATAGGAAGCATAAATGAAGGAAATTAATTAACCTGAATAGTGAAATTTTCAGGCCTAAACTAAAATATTTACTCGGCTATTTAATATCTTCTGCAGTTTTTTTTTCTACCCATTTATTCTGAGTAAAGAATAGTTCACCGATTTTTATGTCTTAGTCAGGATCTGTGATATCACAAATCATAGGTTTATACAATGTAAAAAATAGGTTTATCCAATCACTAAGTTCTAGAAAAAGAATTCTGTGATGAGACCACGAAATTATTCTTCCCTTATTCATGAGGATTTATGTAATCAGAGTAGAGTGCCTCAGCTAGGGGATAATTATTAACTGATAATAATTAATGATAAACAATAAAGATTGTCCCTATATTCTTCCATCTCTGGAGAAAAATCAAAATACCTATTATTTATTTACGAGGGAAACAAAGTTTCGTTTCGACTTCTTTTGGAAAAATTTTATGTATACTTTCCAGCATTTACTCATACATTTGTAACATTCATTTGAGAGAGAAAAGATGTCGTGAAAAAAAAATCTCAGTACTATCGATTCTCCATAAAAGAGGAAATAGATTAGCTTCCTTGTTAGCTTTTTCCTTTTTTCCTTTGTTTTTTGTAGAAAAAAAAAAAAAAAAATAATTCTGTGAAGGAATGAAAATTATAAGAAGAGCCCAATAAAACTAACCGGTTTCTTGTTGCAGAAAGTTACAGCCCAAAGTCAAAGACTTGTAGAAAAGTTTTTAAAACAAAGAACTCAGCCTAGAAAATATCATAATCCTGAAGAAATACTCATATATTCGTAACCAATTTGCATTTTTCAGTGATGCTCAAATTTAACCAAAAAAATTTCGTGAATTATGAAAAAAAATTATTACATTGAACATTAGTAAGTTCTGGATTATATATATATGATATTCCCAAAACTTAAATTGTCTTAATACTCATCTCAATAAATTCACTGAATATTTTACAGCAAAATGACCTTGGTGGTACCATGGCACAGTGTTGTACCACTTTTTTTCATTTTCAATATGAACAAGCAAATGGACGACCCAGCTCGCTCTTATGATTTTCACAATTTGTGTTGAAGAGTGATTTTTGAAAGCATAATTTGATACCAGGAATAAGGGTACTCGTTCACGAATGCATAGCAATAATTAGACTGTGAGTTTCGATCAATCTTTGGTCATAAACTTTTTTCGAAACCTTCAGATATGATGTATATATTAAACACTGATACTATCCTCTAGAGAAGATATGACACCTTGGTGTCAGCATCCTATAAGCATTATTGTCTGACAGGCAAGAGCAGAATAAACTTTCAGTGACAGGTGTTGAAAAAAACCAAGTACTTAAAAAATTTAATCATATAAATAAATTCAAATCTTTTGTCGACATAACAACTTAATTAAATGAAAACTTGTTTGTTACCTGAAATGTTTCTTTTGTAATATTTAGATGATTCTTTTATGGCTACATTATAAATATTTTAGTAAAAACTTCCACAAGAATACACGGGGTATATCAGTTTTTCCCCATTATTTAGAAAATCAAGGGCAAAAAAATGAAATTCTTATCTGTTGATGATTCTCTTCCAACATGTTTCTTCGTGTTGCCCCAAAGAAGCTTTATATTTGAATAATTTGGAGTTTTAGATTAAATGACAGAAAGTGATTATTAATGAGCAATAAGTGAAAAGTAATTTGTATTAAAAATTTTCAGAATCATCTCTATGTTATTATAAAGATTAAACTAAAAGAAAGAATGAATTTAAGCAATTGAACAGTAGTAGAATAACACTCGATGGATTTATTTTTAGTTATTTCAACCATTCAAAATATCGTAATCAAATGAGTGCTACAGTTTTCTCATTTGCTGTATTTATTGTCTATAACATTATCATCCAGTTATTTTCTTGCATTTACTATGTGCTACTAATCCAAGCAATATTACTGCACTTATTACATGAAATTCGAACAGGATGATAATATATATATATATATATATAATATATATATTATATATATATATATATTTGGCATCAAATTTTCAAATAAATTTTAAAATCGATAGCAGTGTGAAGTGGGTTTCAACTACACAGAGACTCAAAAATTCCCTAATCATGTTTCTAGAGCAAAACCATCTCACCCATCCACTAAAAGATTGAATTGGTTTTTTTCCCCTCCTTTTAAATGCAGGTGTAATGGGATTGATTTCATTCAGTGCATTAGGTTAATGTAATTGTTACTAACACAAGAGCAAATGGTTTCAAATGAGAGCTAACCATGAATTTTGCAACCACATATCTCCAGGAATCTTATTTTTCTATTCATTCCTTTATTTTTCTGTCTCTAGAAATAAAAATTTTTGATGTACATAATTCTTTTCCTTTTATTAAATATCACCTCCAAATAAAATTTCGCGATACGTCAACAAGTTTAAAAAGCATAAATATTACAAAAGATATTGTGATGAAAGAAATACCAAAAAAGGAATATGTAGACCTTGGGAGAATATATGCCCATCTCAAGAATCTCCGGAGAATACAAACAAAAGTAAGAGGATTAATGAATGGGCTTTCTAGAACTTTAAAAGAAAAAATTTTCAATTTTAAATTAAACTACTTTAAAGTAGTTAGAAATTTTAATTTAATTAAATTAAAATAATTAGAAATTTGACCACACACATCTTTCTCTCTCGAATCACAAATTTGATATTAAAATTTTATGGTAATAAAAACTTTCTTTCAAGTATATCATTATATGAAAATCCTATAATGGCCAAGCAACTAACAAATGTTTTCGGTCAGTTATATCAATTATTGAGAACATGAAAAAGAATGCAGATTACGCCGATTTTATAAATTATTTGCAGAATTAAGCAAAATAATTTTAGAAAAAAAAAACGCTTCTTTTAAAGCTACTTCTTTCTGATCTTTTAAAACAGAAATTTTCAAATCTGCATCAACTTAAAATTAAATCCAATATATCAGTCGAATAAATCACTAAAAACGAATACTCTTCGAAATTTCACTGTGACGGTGCCTTCTCATTACACTGATAACTTCACTAAATGGTCGATTGAACAGTTATAAAGAGCAAATGAAAGCACTGACAATGTCCTTTCCTTCTTTTTACAGTGTCAGACTTTTTTCAAAACAGATAATTTTATACTATTCAAGTTAAGAATATTGCATTAGGTTTATCGTGATATAAAGCATAGGGTCTTATATTTTTCTAAAAAAAAATGTTGATTTGCAAAGAAATCTCAATTAGAAACTTTGTTGACCTCTATTTCAAAACTATTAAAGTCTGAGAAATTTACAGAGTTGATGTTGTGCGCCTTTTCAACAAATACGCGAGAATACGTTTTTGCCAAAGTAATTAGAAAAAGTTTTACGAAGAAATAAAGTACTAATGTATGAAGTAAAAAACTAGATTAACAACATTTTATTATTTTATTTGAACAACGAAAAATTATTACTGATGAATTGTGTAGATTTTCTATGAAGTTGAATAAATCATTTAAAAAAGTGTCAAAAATTTTAATTTAAGTTTAAACTAAATCAAATTAACAAACAAATTTGAATGTGAAAAACTAACCATTGTCGGGTAGTGATCGTTTTCTGAAAATCCGAGATTTCTGGTCACCGACAATAGATGAATTTTTAACACTGTCTGCACTGCCACAGTGAGCAGATTTTGATAAGACAATAATAAATACATAAAGAATTAATGCAAAGGCTGCAAATACGATGCGATCATTGGTTATTTCATTTTCAAAAATGTTAACATAAGTTACACTTTTTATTGATAGTCACAGCTTAAGTGTTCAATAGTTACTTTTTTATATCAGTTCTTCCAGTACACCTATTGAAACTTTATCTGATTCTTGAGAGAACTCACGAAATAACCCTCCGTTAATAAGGTTGTAGGTAACCCACTGCCAAATTCTGAACTTAAGCTTAACAGCTAAAATACGTTATATTAAATGATTTGAACAGCAATCGAATAAAGCTTATTTCCAAAACAGTATTAACTTCACATTACTTTGAAAGCTTATTGAAAAAAAAAAAAACTTACACGGAATGATATCCATTCACATTCATACATTTATGGGTAACAACGGATTAAATATAATCGAAAAAATGTTGTATGCCCATACTAGAGTACATTCCAACTTTTAACTCTGTACCACTGATCATCCATTATTGAATCTAAGAATCTTCAAATTCAACTTATTTGATTTTAAAGAATTAATTGTCAAACATCAATATCGGTAAGGTTCGGAATCATGTAGAATTTAAAAATCATATGACGTATGCAGTTTAGTAATTCAAATAATACAGTCAAAAATAGATCAAAGAAAGTCCACTTCGTACGAGGGTTACCATACAATGATATATATAATAATATGCAGTTTCTGGCCTTTCATCTATATAACATAATCCTTATATATCAGAAGAGTAGAAGATCGCAAATCGTCACTAAATGGGAATAAATTCTGTTAACCCTACCATGAAAGAAAGCAGAGACAACAAAAGTTATCAAAAATTATTCCCAAAGAAATGATTTAAATATTACAATTTCCTGTTTTGTAAATTCTAGGTATTAACACTTCTTAAATAAATGTTTCGAATATGGAAAACCTATAGAAAAGACAAACAAACCGTAAATTTATTATCCAACTCTTTTAGGAATTTGATGAATATCTTATTCAAGAATACTTGAACAAGATTCTTAACAGCTGCTATTTAGCATTACATATTTGAAGAATGGAAAAAACACCGTAGTAATCAAAAAATAGGAAAATATGCATATACATAGCCAAGAAATTGCTTGATCAAGAATGTTTCCTTGAATTGGCTAATCGAGAATTGACAATGACGAATTTCTCAACAAGTAAGTTTACATCAAGATTTCAGGTTCTGAGCTTTACTAGATAAGTTGATAAAACAAGGGATTATGTCTTTATTTCTGATTATAACAAAAACTACTCATTTAACATTTGTCAGACTATATGAATGTCTATTAGTAATATTAACAATCAGAAATAATCCCTTTTTTGTGTCTCTCTTGTCCTTTCATAAATCAGAATTATTGAAATGGTCAGATAAAATTAACTGCTATTTTAATGCAACGTTAAACACTGAAAAACAGCAATAAAAATAGGAATAATTCTATAAATCTAAAATTTAACTAACACAACAAATATTTGCAACTAAGCAAGACAAATAATTTCATTATGAATAGTAAAATGCCAAAAGTAATATAATGAACGAAATGTGGATGATAAATGAGTGAAAGGAATAAATTCACTTACTTTTAGTTACTTATTCATTTTTAACTTCCAACCTGAACCAATGTAATCCCTTTCAACCTAACATATATCGATACTAGTTTAGTTTAATGAAAATGATAAAAGAATTATGAGACGACAAAGAACAAATAAAGGAAGGGATTATTTCTGACCGCTAATATCATATCACTAATATACATTCATATATTCTGGCAAATGCTAAATGAACAACGAGCAATCCAGCTGACAAACAAACTTATTACTTCTGATGTAATAATTTATTTATCATTACAAAATTATTTGTCAAAACTGGCATAGTGATCACTAAGCCGAATAATGGGGAAATATTAAATGAAGAAGAAAGACATTTTACGGAATTCTTCATAGCACTACTGCCCATTTCTATCAACGATTAAATAATACTGTATCAAAAGATGAATATGTTATATAACCATTCAAGTATGCAAGTCGAACAGAAAAGAACAGAACAAGAATTACTAAGGATAAAATAGAAGATAAATAAGCAGTAGTAATCACAACAAATACAATAGCACTTAGATGACGTAGACTTGATAATTGTCATGCAAAAAAATGCTGCGAACTATCTCAATGATTAAAAATCATTACTTAACAATGAAATGTGAAATATTTCTCATTCATATTCCACAGAAATGTTAACACAATTCCTTCATTACTTCATTTCATCATTCTATTCACACTGCTAAGAAGTTGATTTCGGGATAAATCCATAATTCCCACATGTACCCGGAAGCAATCATACAGGAAGGAAACTAATGAAACAATAATACTAGACTAATATATACTAATACTAATACCACTACCACTACCGCTGCCCGCCCTACCCAATGACCAGTTGTAACAAAGAATTGGGCGGGTACGGGCCGTAATTTGTTTTGGGCGTGGCCACCTTACTTCCTGATTTGCATGTTCGTCGCAAGCGCGCCAATTCAAGAATTTCTGTTGAAATAGTTGCGTTGCGCTAGTTGCGTTGCGGTTCGTGTTTTTTGATTTCTGGGCAAGTTGGGTAGGGGAGGGAAGGTTCCGATTCACGATGATGCCTTTGTTTTGCCCTAAGTTTTTTCTCTCATTTCATGTTAATTTCTCATTTATGTGTTAGTTTCATTGCTTTTTTCATATGATCATACATTGATGAGAGAAATGCGTCATATTTTTGATTAATATTTTCAGGTGATATTAATTAAGGTGAATATAATACATTAAATGAGTTGGCAGAAGTATTGAAGGAAGTTTCATCTCTTCAACTGCTAAATTTAATGCTGTTTTTTTACTGTCTTTGTTGTTGACCCTTGCTGAATCCTTATTCCGCAAATAAATTCAAATTTCTTCAGTAATTTGAGAAGATTTAAATGAATGATTGGTTTTAATTTGATTAGTGGGTGAATTAAATGCTTGGTTAGTTGATGCTTCTGTTCTAGAAAATTTGTTTGACATGCAAACATGTTTCTGTAAAAGCATTAAATGATCGATTATTCCTTAGAGTTCTATTTCTGAAAACTTTGTGATGAGTAAATCATTATTAGTGATAGGACCTGTGATATACGCTGGACGAAATATGTATATACGGATAAATATCGCTAAATATCGTGTTCACAAATATGGTAGATATCTTGTTCGGCTTTTCCGTTGTTCAGTAGTTTTGGATTTCTTTTTTTTTTTAATTCAGGAAGATGGTTTAAACATATCAGATTGTTCTATTATCTGATCTTAAGGGAAAGTTTTTTTCTTATTGTTAACAAAATGTGCGACTTGGTACTATTGTTGTTCGGGTGTTAGAATCTTTTTTAGTGTATGTATGGATTTATTCCGTACTTACTAAGTATTTTGTGCACTTTGATGATGAGACCATATTTTTTGTAATTTGACAGATAGGCTATCATAAAAAAGCATAAATTTATCCAATATGAGAGCCTCTAACTAAAATATATTGAATTCTCGCATTTGTGATTGTTTGTGCGCATTATGTTCCGAATAGTGTAGGGAGGTTAATATTAACGGGCTGCGTAAATGTGTAAAACGCGGCCCAGTTAGTTCTTTTTTCGTTTTTTGGTTTTGAAGGGGCGAATTCTCACGGACACTCAGTTGTTCTGTAATTCTTGTTTGTATAAGAATCACTAAACACTCGTTTTGACTTTCGATGGAAAGTAGTTGCCGTGTATGAAGCTCGCGTAATTTGATTGAAGGACTGGGAGGGGGGATTTTTCAGATTTTGGAGGAATTCGTTGCTAATTGTTACGTATTTGAAAAAAAAAAAACAGAAACTTTAACTATCAGACAATTTGTTTAGTGAATATAAAATGACGGAGCGAAAAACGGGTGGCTGGCTATCGTCGGTAGTTGATAATATATCGGGCCTTTGGTCACGCTCACCTATTGAATCCTCTGTTACATCGAGAGAAAGTACTGGTATTCAGAATTCCTTACGTGATAGCTCCTATGAAGAGCAATCTGAAAGTGATGTGGGTGAGGAGGATGATGATATTATTATCGAAACCGCATGTGCTGGGCCATCCACTACTGTGCCAACTACTAGTAGAAATCGTAAGCTTTTATTTTTAGAATTATAATTTTTGAAGCTTGTTATTTTTAACAACTGTGTCTTGACAAAGTAGTGTTATTCTTTGAAAATCTTTTCTAGTACTTTTATTATACTCAGGAAAATCTTTCGAAACGTCTACTGTTGTTTTAAAGCTAAGAGCAGATAATAAAACTGTGTAACCATTACTTTGAGGCATTATTGAAACACTTTTGAATAAAAGTAGAACGGAAGCACTATTGAATTCTTGAGTATAATAGAAGTCGTGCATAATTTAAGTATGTCATTCCCAAATTTGAAAGTTCTATATTGAAATGCGGAGTAAACGTAATTTTTAGAAAATGATATTGTACCAAAACAGCACACTATTCGTTATTTGAGTCCATCAGCAATCCTAGCGGCCACACGATCTGTTACAAATTCATCCGATAAAGAGACACTGACAAGTGTTACTGTAAGAAATATATATATAATGTTTTGCTTTTCATGAGAATATGTTATACAAAAGTAGTTTTCTTTTGATATTCCGCTAACTTATTTTTGATATTTTTTCGACGGTGTGATTTTATTTGTTTTCTAGTTCAATTAAATTTTGCTAAATTTGGTGAGCTTTCCCCCTTGCTTTATCTTTAATTAATATTATCAAATTCGAATGTCTCTGATTTCAGCGAAAAAGGGCTGCAACAAGTTGCATTTTTGAGGATGATGTAATGTGGTCGAGTACTGGAAATGCGTTTACCACATCATCTGTGATGGAACCTCTTTCTGGCCGTTCTACAAAACGCTCGAGAATCCAACGGGATTTCGGTGATGAAAGGGTTCTTTTCTACTTCTTTGAACTTGAAGTATTTCGTTGATAATTCACTATCGCTTCTCAGAGTGATAAATGTATGGCTTATTATTTGGGTTCAATGGATTTTATGTTTTGCAGGAAATAAGATAACGAAATGCATATATTTTCTTTGCAGTCATTCCTTTCATTATCTTCGTTATCTGATGTACCACAAACTGGAAGAAGTCATTTAAACCAGTCATTTGCTTCATCTTTCACACCATTGAATTCGCTGGTAATAAAACCAAGAGTATCACGTCTCCGTAGCAGCGCAACTTCGTCGTTAAGCAGTAAAACAAGAGCTATTCTTGAACAGTTAGAGAAAATTAGCTCACCTGTCAAGGTAACTTTTTTCCAAGATTCGAAAGAATATACAGTGTTTGAAATAATATGAGTACTTGTTTTAATACTATATCTAACCACGGATCCAAAGGATATATTTCTTTTTTGTTGCTTTTGTAGACATTTCTTGTTTGAATATGTGGAATAGTTAATTCTCACAGGAAGTGAAACGATTATCATCCTTTAATTTGGATGGTCCAGAACGTTGGGCAACCGACACCATTAGCAGTGCAGTTCAAAAGCCTCCAAGAAATTCCATGTGCACTTTATCACGTGCTCAACTAATATCCAGCATTCTTTCCACGAAATCGAGTTCACCGTTCTGGTTTTATATTTGTTCATTTTGTATTTTATAGTTTTTTTTTTTGCTTAATGTGTTCAAAAATGGACTTTTTCATAAGATCAGTAATGACATATCGTTTGACACAAAATTATAATTGTTATGTTTGTATTTATCTCGATTTTAAATTCTGTTTAGTCCTTTAATGACACCAAAATTTTAATCGTAGAAAAAATAGACTTGACACAAATATTTTATGTAGATATTCAACATTCTGTATATTCCCGTAATATATTTATAAATTTATGTTCTTTGTGTTCATCAGTCAGCACTTTCAGGAGTCGTCCGGCTTATTTAGCCAAGATGGCAGATTCTTCCAATACTTCACCGCATCCTGTTCAAATCCCAGAATATAATCAACCAGATGCAGACCACATTCGTGAATCCAATGAGGTTCTAACTACAGAATCATCTTGTTTATCGCCGTCTAAGAAAGCTGATTTTCTGAGTCCCCCAAGGAAACCCGACCGAGAGAAAGTTTTAACCGATGACAATGTGGAGAAGTCGACAGTGTCAGCGAAGAATGCAGCATTGCCCATGTCTGATTCTGCGGTTAAAACTGCAGTTACCGTATTACCCCAACGTTCTTCATCTGCAAAGCCGACTAATGTGTTCAGTGCTAGGGCTTTGGGCGTAGTAAGCCCAGTGAAGGAAATGATGAGAAATGATAAAGATAAACTGGTAAGAAGTTGAGAAGTACAATTTTCTTATAACTTTTGATCGTTCATCTCCTGATTGAAAGAAGTGGGTGTCATGTTTTGTTTTAGGGGATTTTTTTCATGAATAATTGCTGTTCCTGAAAGATTGGTATCATACCAAAAGTAAATTTTTGTTTATCTTCTTAAAGCTTTTTAAGTTTCTGATCTCCAGGTAAGTACAATAAAAGTCGATGGCGCTATGTTTGCTTTCGCTCCACCGATGAAACGGGGACCTTCAGCAAGTTTTCATCACGAAGAAACTGCTACAAATGTTAGATTTCCATGTTGGCAAGCAAATAAGGCAAAGTGTATTTCTCTTATTATAGTGACATATATGCATTTAATTATCAGAGAATTATCTTTCTTTTCTGTAATACTGTAATATTAAATATAGAATTACAGGAGCTCTAAACTTCATTTTACTTCAGATTTCTCGGTCTCTCCCGTCATTCACTGAAACGACATTCAAGGCTACTGCTGAAAAGGCTATGGATGGTTTTTCATTCTCGACTAAAAGTGTTTCGAAACAAATTAAAGGTACTTGTTTAATTTGAATTTTGTTGGAAGAAAAATGAAATGTATATAGTGTCTCTTCTTAGTGGCTATTTTCTTCACAGTTTTTGTTTTTTAGAGCAATCATACAGTACAGATAAAGATAAAGAGGCTCAACCAGTTACTGAAGTTTCTACAGTCGTCAAGGTTTGTATTACTAATTTGATTTTTTTTTTTTTTTTTTGAAACTTTTGGATATAGGGCAAATATCACATAATGATCCTTCATTTTAGCCTACGGATGCCAGTGCTGCAACGTCAGATGCGTTATCTGTGAAACAACCATTACAAAAGTCGGAACAATGGTCATGCCCAAAATGTATGGTTTTTAATAAAACGGATATTGAAAAATGCGTCTGCTGTGGTTATGAAAATATAGTGGAATCCAAGGTTAGCTGTTTATACTAACTTTTAGAAAATGGTTTCAGAGAAGTTTAACTTTTTTTTTGAATTTTCAAGAACAGTGCAATAATCATGTGGTCATGATATAAAATGCATGTTGATTAATAAAAGAATGTATTTGTAATTTAGTCTACATTTATATTTATTTTTAAAACTATTCCAGCCATGGACATGTAGTGAATGTTGGATTTCTAATAAATCAACTGATGACAAATGCATTGCATGCGGCAATCCTAAACAAAGTAATGGTAAAGGTGTAAAGCTAACGGATATAAATGTCAAAAGTAGTTCACTTACCAACGTTTTTGGTGATCGTACTTTCAAACCTGTATCTTCTAGTGGAGGTATCGATTTTTATATTCCACAGTTTATCTACATTTATGAGTATTTCACGAAATCTGAGGGGAACCTAAATTTCTGACAGTTATGCGGTATAAACTTTTTCCTACTACATGATTATTTTCCTTGATGCTTCTCTTAATATTTTGCTCTTGTGTGATTTCAAAGCGAGAGAATTGTAAAATTCAGCCTTCATTTTCAATTCTAGTTTTAGGCATTTCTTTCGGTTTTTCTATCGCGAAACCTGGTACTGACGGATCCAGTTTACCATTAACGACATCTCCAGCAACAACGAAAGCATTAAATCCAGCCACTGTTGTTAATGGAAATGCTAATACTGAAGCGTCATTGAAATTTGGTTTATCGTCGAGCACATCAGCACCAAATTTTGGTTTTGGAAAAGCTCCGGAGGCAAATTGTTTACCAACAGTAACTGAAGGTTCGTATGCTTAGGTGTTTGGAAACACTTGAACTTTACATCTTTTACAAGTTTATAATCGTTATCATATTCATAAAACTTTTTTAAAATATGTAGAATGCGAATAGTTTTCTTTAATTTTTATAGAACCTTCGATGTTACCATCTCATCATCCGCCAAGTGCATCATTAAATTTTGGCGTTTCCTTTGGTTCTGTAACAACAGCCTCATTTGTTCCTTCTTTGACTCGCTCATCACTTTCTTTCCCAACATTAACTGTGACAACATCAGCAGCTACAACTCTACCTCTATCCGAAAGCACTTTCACCATTCCAGTTTCAATAAATACAAATCTGTTCACATTTGGTTCTTCCAATACAACAACAGGCATGTGTTTCGAAAGGCTTTTAAATTATGAGGCTATCAAACACAGGCCTAAAGCAATTGCCTTTCACTTTTAATCTCCAAAATTTAATACAAAATTATTTTTCAGCCAAAGAGATTAAAACGGCGACTGCACCGTTGTTTTCTTTTGGTTCTTCATTTCCTGCTGTTACAACCGATACTTCTGCCGTAACCACTACCACTTCGCTGCCATTATTTGGTGCAGCTTTACCTGAATTGCCGACTTCCAAAGGTGAGGTTTTATTTCGTTGGAGTTTTAAAGAATTGAATGAAATTTTATTGCATTAAAATTTGTATAAAATGTTCGAATCCAAAAAGAATACTGAAGAAAAGTTGTGCTGAAATATTTAAATTGGGTAGTGTTCTGTTCAGTCTTTCAAAAATATTTCAATTTTGTAGTGCCGCTTTTTGGAGCCAGTAGCGGATTAGTATCAAGTCCAGAAGCAAGCCATGATGTCGTCGAAATGAGTTCACCGACAACCTCACCGGTAACCTCTTCGGCAACAGTTGGGTCCTTTGGTGTGTCTAAATCGTCGAATTCTTTATTCAGTTTTGGTGCTTCGAATGCTTCAAACCCAACTACTGGGTAAAGTGATACTTTGTCATATACTTCATTCTAGTTTTTGGACGTGAATTGATTTCATAGTACATATTGATGGTAGAATGTAATATTGAAGAATTTACTTTTTTTTAGTTACTACCAAAACTTACGTTTTGAAACACTTATTGTCGTTTTCGACATTTATAATACCAGTGGTATTGAGAGATTACCAGTGTTTTTGACTTGCAAACTGACTATCATGATCTGCCTGTTCCAGAACACTGTTCGGGAATTTGCAAACAACCGTACAAAATCCGGTCGCTGCACCAAGTACCTCTTTGTTTTCATTTGGACAGCAACAAACGCCGGTTGCGCTGAAGCCTTTTGAGCTACCGGCCTCATTGACATCATCCCCGTCAGCTTTCAATTTTGGCACAACATCGTCAAACGGTGCAGCGGGATTTGTTTTTGGTTCGACTTCGCCGCCACCAAGTTTTACGTTTGGTGCACAGCAACCAGTGAATAGTTAGTTCTTATTTCTGCATGTTGGAATTTTATAACATCTTTTGTCTTCAATTATTTAGACAGTGTTTTAAAAAATTTTATTACAATTTTCAATTGCTATGCTATTATTCGAGAAAAGTTGCCTGGAAGTTCGTTTTTTGGTATATCCTCTTTCTAGATGCAGCTTCAACAACATTCAATTTCACTCCTGTAACAGCTGCACCTTCTTTTGGGTAAGAATGCTTTCAGTGGAGTTAATGTTTAACAAATCTGAATTAATTGGACGTAAAGAGAATTTTTAAACAAATCGTGATTTATTATGAAAGGGAAGATGTGATAAAATACTGTCATCCTGCTCTCCGTTTTTTTTTTTTTTTTTTTTTTTTTTTTTTTTCTTTTTTTGAAAAATCACAATTTCTTTAAAGAAAAAAAATTTTTTTTTTTTTTCCCACCCCCCACGTAGTGTAAAAGTAAATCTTGTCTGCAAAAAGTTATTTCTCATTAAAAAAAACTTTTTCAGTTCCTTGCTTTTTTTATGATTTGTGCTTAATGAAAATTTATTTGGAGGAATATTCCGGGATCAGCACCAACAACCAACTTCTTCTCTGTGGGTTCAACATCATCGACGACTACGCGAAAGATGTTAAAAGCACGACGAATGAGGAAATAGTCATGAATTCATTTTTCATTTTTTTATGAAAAAATTAATTGGTTCGTCTGATATTTTTCGTGATGCCAGAATCTCTTACGTTCTTTTCTTTTATTATTATTATTTGGAATTATGAAGTAAGTCGTTCCTTCTTATTATCTTTCGAAGTAACGTAGATGAAACAAATCACGTCACCTATCTTTAAGGTGCAATTTTCAAACAGTGCAAATAATACAAGTTATTTTTGTTTTTCCTCATTCTGTTATTTCACTCGTTGGCCGTGGTTAGGATGCAGTTGATTAAATCTTAAAACTTGATGATAATGATCATTTTTTATGTAGCCTATTTAATTATGATTATGCAGATAGTACAGTCTGAAATCTGTCTTTTATCTAGATAATGCTATAAATTCCAGCGTAGATTTATAAGTGTGAAATATTTGCAGAATATTGCCATACAATATTGCCTATGTTTGACATTTTTACTTGAAATAAATAGTCTCTTTTGTGATATAAAAATGTTTTCGACAAACTCTGCGGTCAACGTATTATTGCGCGCTCAATGTGGTTTGTGTTACTATTGCATCGTTATTGAATTGTCTCTCCGGTATTGCTGGTTGATGTTTCTCAAATTGAAATGTTTGGAAAACCGTAGAAATAAGAGCTATAGTTCTAAATCTTTGATGCATCTTTCTGCTACAGTGGTTAGTTGGTTGCTGGATGAATTGCTAACAGCAGTATTCTACTTTTTCTCAATTTTTTCATGTTTGAAAACATCTTTGGATCTCGGGTATCAATTGTTGTTCATTCTATTGTGGTTAACTGAAGTTGTATTTTCGACCTTCATCCTTGAAAATATTGGTGTGTTTAAATATTAAAATGTTTTCAGTATCTTATATTGTATTCTGTCCTTTTTTTTCTGGTCACTTGCAGAAATTTAGTATTGTGCCCAGTTGCTTTTCTAATTCATTTCAAATTTTTACTTACAGTTGTTTTGTTTTTAATTTAACTACAGCAAGCCCTTTTTTAAATCAGAAATCTTGGAAGGCGAGAAAGGAATTCTATTGTTTTAAATCAAAGCAAGCATTTTAAAAAATCTTCAGACCTTCAGTCAGAGCTCTGGCCTATCCCAGTCATGATTTTTTTTTTGGAATTCTCACGTATAGAATAAAATGATTTCATTATTATGTAATAAGCTGCCTTCTTTCCTTTTAGCTGATATTTCTAATGGTTTTTTTATCTTTTTTTTAGACTGTGAATTTCAGTTTATTTCGTATCGCTTTATTTAGACATTATTTTAAGGCGAATGTTGTCCGATAATATTACTTTTATCATTCGATAATATGAATTTTAGTGTTAACTTTGTTGACGTTCATTGAATTTTGCTCCAACTTTTTTCCTTTGTCTTGAAGCTACTACAACTTGTAGTTCATCTTTTTTGAACAGTTTAATGTTTTTTTCTTTTTTTTTTTTTTTTCAAATTTGTTGCTCCATATTTTGCTACGAAAACAGTAAATATACTTTGGCTAGTTTTGACCAATATTCTCAAAGCATCATAAACGCTCTTTGATACCTCATACTTTATCGATGTGTGTGGTTAAGGTGTAATGAACAGCATGAAGGGATTCAAAATTTTTATTCCCTGTGTTGTGTGTATGTATGCATGAGATTTTTTTTTTTTTTTTTATTCCGACAACCTACGAACTTGCTGGTTTTGAAAGTTCTGTACGGTTCTTTTTCTGGCCATTTTTTAGTAAACTAATAGTGGTAATTTCTTGTAATTCTGTACCCGTTACAGAATCCATTTTGTTATATGCAGAACAATTTGATTTTGTGTAAGAATACTGTGGAATAAAGAATCGGAGAATTATGCGTCTGACATCGTTCCTACTGTAAATATCATTTCAGTGTGTTAGAAAATTTAATTCAAATTTTAAGGAAACTGTCACACAAACTGGCGATGAAGTTACTTACGCATAATTTCCTGTCATCAGTCTTTCTGAAAGGTGTTACGGAGGGTTATCCACTAATTTTGTCAGCAACAAGAAAAGAAATAACTGAACACGAATATAACGACTCGTTTATACAACGGATGATTCCAAAGCTAAACTATGGTGCTTTTCGAGAAGCAGCGCTAAGTATAGGTGAAGGTGATAAATTGCCTGAGCAATTGCCTGAGAAATTGGAAGATAAGGAGTTGAAGAATGAATTGCATCGCTTATTGGTGTGCTTAGAAGTCATCGAAGGTGAATTGAAATGTCCTGAAAGTGGACGAGTTTTTCCAATTCGTGATGGTATACCAAATATGCTGACAGATGCAAATGAGATCAAGTAGCTTATTTGTTCATTTTGCTGTTTATATTAGTTGTACAGCAATATATGTTATAAATCGGATTGTTTTTTTTTTTTCAATTTAAAGAAGATACTTCATATATAAAGTCCTAAATTAATCAATTTTGGATCATCGTTTGATGTTTTATTTACTTTGTTGTTATTTTGAAGTATTTGTGGAATTGTTTGAGTAGCTAAGATAAAAGCTGTTTATCTTTTATTGAGAGGAATATTTAAGATAAAAGCTATTTATTGAGAGAAAAACATTGCAATTTCGTCATTTAGTATCACTTTGTTGCTTGATCGGCGAAAAAATGAACCTCATCAATTTTGCTTAATTAAATCAAAACAGTACCAAATGCATGAGATATATTTATTTCAAAAAAATTCATGAATGCTACAGCAGATTTTGCCATTTTTCTCGTTCTAATTCTTCGATTCGCTGCTGCTGAAAATTAAATTTAATAAAGTATGGAAGATTGAAACGGAATGCGATGAGTAATATGGAAGCGATCAATGCGGTGTATTTGGGAACCTACATAGTAAGGATTAAGGTTGTGTACGAGTTGTCGGTGACAAAATTACTGGTTTGATACAAACGTGTAAGACTATAAACTTTTTGTTGATATAGTCTAAAATAGTAAAGCTAAACTACTTATAACCAAGATAACATCTATTGATCAAATTTCATTCATCGTGAAATGACTAATTGCTAAACAAATAAAAGGTAAATGCAAACATATAAACAATAACTTGTTGTTCGATAACTTTTTCTTTAGCCATAAGCTTATCGCGTAAGACAGCAACTGCACCACAATCATATTTTCGCTCATTTAATTTATCAGTAAGTAATCGAATCTCTTCACGTTTTTGCTCAATTTCTGTTTCCAGTTTGATTAATTGTTCCATTAAATTGTCAAACTGAAAATATCCCACAAATTTTTAAACTTTCTTTTTTTTTTGGTTTGAAAATATAAAATTATCTGTTGCAAGATAATTTTCAAGCATGAATTTCTGATTCATACTGATTTTGATATTAGAATTTCTTATCTTCCTCATTTCTCATTATCTACTAGAGATGAAAAATAAAAGAATAACTAACCTGTTCAGCTTTTTCTTTTAATTTACGTAACTCTTCATCAGGTATATTCCTTATTACATCTTTACTTATTTCAGTGGTTTTATCCTTTGCTTTTATGTCTTTTGATTTTTTTTCTCTCTCGCTAATACTTACCAATAATTCATTGCTTTCCTTAAATGAAAATTAACTATTTACAGAAGTATTTTCATTTAATTTGCTAATTTAATAATGATGATAGTAATCTAATTTTAATAATAATTCAATTTAGCTTAAAGTTCATTGAACATTCACTTGCTTAGCATCTTCATAGCATTGCTACATGTTTACGTATAAAACTTAATTTATGATGAAAGTTAAATATCAAAATAACAGAAGTGAAAAAAATGTAAAACATCTGAAGTCAAACTCCTATCTTATTTAAAGCTCAGTTACTTAAACCCAATTTCTAATTCTATAAATAGTATAATAAATTAGTGGAATCAAACAAGATAGAACCTTTTTCATTTGAACAATTTTTTGATTCAAATATATATTTGTCTCTTCTGACGTCTTTAACCGATCATTCATCATTTTCATTTGTAAATTGCTCATTTCCTTTTCATTCTTCAATTTTCTTATCATTTCTTGTAGTCTTTTCAGTTCGGTATTTCGAATATTTTCTGATTTATGCAATTGCATAATTTGTTCATCACGTTTTTTTAACTTCTCACATGCTTCCTGTTCACGTTGTTGCGTTTCTTTCAATTTTTTCCGAAGCAAATTAACGTTACTTTCACGTGCTTTCTTCTCATGCCATTTTGATACCTCTTCCTAATATTATACTTCAGAAATTAAAATAAATAAACTAGAGCTGATATAATTTAAACCATCAAAGAAAAAGGAGGAAAAAAAAGAAAAAGTAAACCTGTGGATTTTTAATGGATTGATTTTTCTGTAATCGATCAATGATTTCTTTTTGTTCCTGGCTCAATTTTTTTTGATTTCTAGCTTCTATTTTAAGATCCGAAAGTTCTTGCTGAAGTCTAAAATAAATTGTTGAAGATGTCAATTGTAAATCAAGAAGAAATATTTCATTTTCTCTACAGTTAATCAAATTCTTGGAATAATTTGTTCATTTGGATGAAAAACATTTATTTTCTTTTTTTGTTTTTATTTTAGATGATTGTTTACATAGTCGAAAAAGTCATTGTTTTCATTAAAAAAGAAAAATGAATAAACTAGATTAACTTTTTGCAGTATTAATTATTTGAAAAATAAATTAATTTTTACCTCATAACAATAGCATCCGATTCCAAATTAATACTGGATGTGTAGCTATACTTGATTTCAGATAATGCCTCAGTTCGAATACTTTCATATGCTTTTTCCAGTTCCTAAATAAAATATTTAACGTTAGGGCTTAATATTTCTAAATATGTCTTTTATCAGATTAGAGTGAATGCAAAACTTGATATCATTTCTCTGTCGCTTCCTCCTTATATGATCAGTACGTCGAATATATGTAATTTATGGTACTAATAATTTTAAATAAATAATAATTAGATCAGAAAAAAGAAAAAAAAACTTTCAAATGAAATGTTAAACCTTATTTCTAATATGCAATGCAGCATTACGTTGTTTTAAATCTCTAATTTCCATACGCATTATCATTATTTTTGATTCTTCTTTTCGTAATGCTTCCATTACGACATCATTATTTTGCGTTTCTGTCACTTCAATTGGCGCAGTATGCATAATCGACTGTGCTAATGATGATGTATGTAACTGTGTAACTGTTGATGATTCTTGATTACTAATACTTTGTCTTGATTTGTCTATCCTATTGGATAAGTTATTCTCTTCATTCAAAATACTTCCATTTGTGATCTCATCGTTATCATCATTATCACTATCGCTGATCACTAGCAAATCAGTTTGCGTACTAATTTCAGCACAATCCTTAGTTTGATTTTGAGAGTGAAGATCTCTTGTAAGTTTTCGATTTGCCTTAATGAATTGTTCAATTTCATTTCGTAATTTAACTATTTCCATGTCTTTTGCTTCAATATCAGTATTATAATTTTGTGATAAAATTTCGCTTGATGTTCGCAATTTTTGTTTTGCAATTGGCGATGAATTATCAGTGATTTCATGCACATTTCGTTCATCCGATACAATTTTTAACAATGATTTGTATTTTTCAATAACTTCATCTTTATACTTCAATCGTTCCTGAAAATTTGCATATGGAATGAGAAAGAAGAACTGGAATATTATATTGATCGAATTGGAGTGATTTTTCAGCTTTTTTATAACAAATTTTGTAATTCGATAAGTTTTTCTTCTTATTTAATGAACTTTTTGATCTTTTTTTTTTAAAAAAAAAAACTTAAATTTATTTTTTTTTAAGAAACTGTGAAATTCAAATGCGCACACAGCAATTAACCAACCTTATAATTTGCAATGCACAATTTTGCTGTTTCACTAATGTAATTCAATTTTTTCATATATTCCTCCGAATGAATATGCATAGTTTTTTGCGTAGCATCTGTTTCATGCAATTCAATTGTCGCATGATATTTGACATCTGATTCTCTGTTAGTAGTTTCTGTTGCTGTTTCAATATTTTTCCATTCTTCCATCTTCAACTTTTCTCTTTCATTACTAATATCCTCAAAATCATTTGATTTCAATTCAATCTTTGCTTCTTCCTTTTCTACATTTGAGTAAAATTCATCAGTAGCAGATTTATTAGTTCTTTCATTTCCATCGTCATAATCTGATATTTTGAAAGTTGTTGCAAATAAATCTTCAATTTCTTTTTGTAAACTATTTACTGTTTCTTCCAATTTTTGAATTTGTTCATCTTTTCTTTGTATCTGAAAAAAAGCAAAGATTATAATATTGAAAATTGAATGTTTTATTCATGCAAATCCATTCAAATGCACTTGTGAATTCTTTAGATGTCAATCTATTTTAAAATTTTATTTGTCATGGAAGTTTTTTTCCACAGAGGGAATTGTTGCGATAGAAGGGAAAAAATTTTGAACTTTTATTTTATGAGTCAGTTGATTTATCCTTGGAAGTTAAACATTAAAAATTCATTTCATAAGGATCGACTAAAGAATGTTTTTATTTTTTTAATAAAAAGTGATTTGTCGCCTCTTTTTTTTAACTTTAATGAATAAATAACATTAACAGAGTTTATTTCTTCATAAAATGCATACCATATTGAATGATCAACGATATATTGAATGGTCGAAAAGATTGATTGAATGAATGAATGAATGGAATGAATGGAATGAATGAATGAATGAATGGAATGAATGAATGAATGAATGGAATGAATGAATGAATGAATGGAATGAATGAATGAATGAATGGAATGAATGAATGAATGAATGAATGGAATGAATGAATGAATGAATGAATGGAATGAATGAATGAATGAATGGAATGAATGAATGAATGAATGAATGAATGAATAAACCTGTAATTCAGCATTTTCAAGTTGCTTCTTTGCATTTAGCATATTTAAATGGCTTGCTTGTAAATTTTTCCTCAGTTTGATCACATTATAATCGTTCTCTTGCAATAATTCATAACTTTTTCGTAATGCTTCGGCATGTCGTAATTGCAAATCTAATTCTTCCTTTTCTCTTTTAATCTACAACATTTGAAATAAGGAAGAAAAGGAGGTACTACAAATTTATACTTCAATTTTTTACTTCTACTTGCATACTGTTCTTAATTACAAATTTACACTTTAGTTTTACTCTTCTACTTTCAGACTGCTTTATTGGTTGAAAAATAAGTAAAAATGAAAATGCTGCTAATTTTATTAGATGCAAAACAATCTTTTTGATAACTTTTTGTAAAGACTTGAGAAATGAATAGTCTTATCTTTTCCACAAATAGCATATTATTATTTTCTGTATTAATTACAGAAATAATCGCATAAATTTGCCTCTTCTTTGTATTTTTGACTTTTTGCATAATTAACATTGATCTGAATAAATTTTTCCTTATATTCAACCATTTGTTGTACAGTTATTAATTCCATTGAATTTGATTGTATACGCTATAAGCAATAAATCGATTAAATTTTAATTGCTAAATTTAATGACTGCAACGAATGTCAGTTTAATCTTTCATAATTTATTCGTATTTATTTTTTATCACTAAATAATCGTTTGTATATTTCATTGCATACTTTCTTTTTTTATTTCTTATTTAGTTACTTGAATGAAATTACTTAGATCAATCGTTTCATAAAAACTAATTTAGTTTAAATTGGGGCATCACAAAGAAATCCATTATATTATTATTTTAAACTTACTCAAACGACTTAGCATTAAGTAAATGATAAAGGCTATAATAGATTAACATGAACATTTATTCATTGAGACTAAAGACCAAAGATTACATTTAACTTATTTTATATTTGATCGAGGAAAACTGTTGAAAGTTTACGTTAGCTAACCTGGAAGAGTGACTGCAATGATCTGATCATTTGGATTAATTTTTTCTTCTCATTTGCCCAACTTCGTTTTTTCCTAGCAAATTCATTTTGCTGATCTAGAAATTGATGATCGGTCAATTTTTGATTCTGTGAAAATTGTGCTCGATCCGAGAGCGCTTTTAAGAAACGTCGTTCTAAAGCAACCAATAAACTTTTCATCTGTGATTCACTTTCAACATCTTCCAGAAAATGTGTCATTTCGGTATTTTGCTCTCGAATTTTCTCTACTTCAATTTGCCAATATTCATTTTGACTTCTTAGCACATTTACCATTTCCTAAAAAGTTTCAAAATTAAAATATTACGAATTTAACGAATTTGTCTCGTTCGGAACTTACGATTTTGTTCTGCTAAGAATAGCGAATTTATTTCGTTAAGGATTTACGATTTTATCTCTTTACAACCTTTTTCAGTTAAAAAAAAGAAACATATACGCATAATATGTGTGACAAACATTTTTATTATACGTGATATGCTATTCATGCCTTTTATCTAATTATATCAGCTAATAACTTAATAAAATTTTAGTAGGAAAGTGAATTAATACACATCATGTGAAAAAAAGCAAAACGATAAGTATTCAGATCTTTAAAAATTCATTTTTTTTTTTTTAAAAAAAAACAAGAATACCAACTTTCAAATGAACATTTTCCGCCATAATTTCGGCACTTTTTGTCTCATCATTCATCTCTAAAAGATTTGCAACGATATAATCTTTGTCCTGAAAAGAGTTATACTTAGCTATTTACATAAATTAATGTCTCTTTAACATGTACGTCTTAAAGTTTCCTCAATTTATAATCTAATCAATACATAATATTATTCTTTTTTTTCTTTTCAAATTGTAGATTTGAAATTTTCTTATCAGTTACAAGTTCAATTATTAGTAAATGTAATTTTTTAACTTTTGCACTTATTCCTTTTTGACATCTGTTGGAAGTGTCATTGCTGAAGTTATTATGGAATGATAGCATTTGACAACTTGTAATCTAATATTTGCCATAATCTTAATTAAGATGAAATGTCTTCTCCACCTTTTGATCATTTTTGAAGTTATCATCTATCGATTTATAATTGTCATCAGAAGTTAACACTTGTTTATGCTGTGCCAATAATTTATCATAATCATATTTAGGTACAGAACGTAGTAAAAGTGTCTGAAGACGTGCTATCTCAATTGATGCCAAGTCCTGAAATAAAAATGTGCCAAGCAAATTTTAGCCATATTTACTCACCAAATTTTATTTAGATATGAAAATTCACGCTAAAACTTAACATAATGAATTGAATTTTCTAATAAATTTGTTATAATGTTTGTTTTTTTAATTTTATTACTTTTATTTTAGTTAAATTTAGAAAATGCTAAAGCTCTGTAATTTTGTTTCAAATGAAAACTATAACAATATTTCTTTCTTAGTAAAAAAATTTTGAGTGTAAGAAAAGTAAAGGTTAAATTAATTTAATTTAAAAAAAATCATTGATTAACTGATTCATAATTAGCAGTTTTGAGTTGTTTGAGGTGTAATAAACGCTGTTCCTGATAGTTCTTTTCAATTTTTCTATATTCAACATTTTCATTGTTTCGATTACGTTCAACAATTTCTAGTTTTCGTATGAGTTGAAGATTTCGTAGTCGTTCTGCAATCACTTGTCTATTCATCTCTTCCACTTTTTCTTGCATCTCATTTCCATTTAAGTGTATCGAATTGGCTAATTTCTTCAAGTTTATTAAGAATTATTTTAAATTAAACAGATTAAGTGATCACAGAATATTACCTATTTTTAATTTAATCCATTCATTATTGATTATTGAAATAATTGATGTATAAGAAAATAAAGTGTAAAATATGAATGAATATCTAGACCAGATGAAATTTTTTTCTTTTTTTTGGCAGATGTGATATGAAATTATGGAGGGAAAAAATTATAACTACAATTTTTTTTCAATGATTTCTTAATTTAGGATTAAATTATGATTCATTTTTACTATAAAAATTAATTTCTCAAATTTTTTTCAATCAAACTTTTCGACAATTTTCTTCCCCAAACTTTATTACTTAAACTCTTTAATGGTTATTTAAAACCATTTATAGCTTCTTTCTCACCTGATATTCCTCAATTTTGATCTCATAACATTCCATTTGTTGACGTAACTCATCGATGGTTTTATTATGATATGTCGTATCATTCACGGATACTTCTTTTTGCAAATTGAAATAGTTCACTTTTAGTTCATCAATGCTGCTTGCTGCATGCTGCATGCTTTTCTCCATGCATTGCAATTGACGATCTTTCTCGTCTAATTCCTTTAAAACGAAAAATTTGTCGGATTGAATACTTAATCAATTTTAACTAATTCAAACGAGAAGGAAATTAAACAATGAACTAGAGCTTTTAATCATTGTAACTTTTTATAGTTTACTAAATTAAACTTTGTTTTCTGATTAAATAAGCATTAATATGGTTTTGTTTTAATAATTAAAATAAATAATAAGTGATAGAAAATAAAATTACAACCTGCATAAGTAGCATTAATTCATGATTGAGTGATGAAATGATCATTGCACTAGCTTCCAAACTTTCTAAGCTTCCTTCATATTCCTTTTTCTTTCTTCCGGATTTTATAAGTCTTTTATGGATTTTTAATAAATTTTCTGAATTTGGCTTGCATTCCACATCATTTTCTTTCATTTCATGTAAAATGTTAGCGCTATCGTCAGTGCATTTTTCCACTTCACTACTACTTCTATCATCTCCCTTTTCGAATTCTTCTACCAACAATTTCTCTACGGAATTTGTTGCAGAAACGGAATCTTCCAGTTTGTCTTCAGATGTATTAAAAGCAGTGCTCAATTCAATTTGTAACAATGAACATTTAGCCGTCAATTTTTCAATTTGCTGTTCTCGAAAGTTAATTTGCTTCTCTAAGCGATTAATTTCACTTTCTGCACTACCAAATATTTCCTAAAAAAGTTTACAATTCTTTCAAATTGAATTTGGAAAATAAGTAAAATTTCAAAGTATCTTCTAAAATATTGCTATAATTTTAGTGATTCTTTATGTGCTAAATTAAAATAGAAACACTTGGAATTACACTGAAATTAATTTTTGCATAAATAACCGAGTAGTCCGATTTATTAATCAATTCTTTTTTGTTACTGCACATCGTAGTCTTGTCGACAATGTTACTTCTCATTCTTCGAGAAATTATTTTCTAACTTATCTGACTTTAAAGTGTAAAATTTTTCAAGAACTAAAAATTGAAATTCACCCCTCGAAGTCGTTTCAATTCAGCGTTAATCTTCTGATTTTCAGAATCTTTCATTTCTATATTACGTATAAGTTCATTATTCTCCATTTCACGTTGTTTAATTTCAGTATGTAAGTTGTCAACAATCTGTAACACTTTTCTGTTTATTCTCTTATTCTAAATTTATTTCTTTTTTCAAGGAAATATTTTCAAAACAAAAATATTTGTGTGTTTTTGAGAGTTTAACAAAATTCAGAACAGTAAAAGAAGATAACCTCGTTGAGCGCTGTAATTTTACATTGCATTTGCGCAATTGGTGTATTAACTTTATTATTCGTTACAGTACCACTAAAAAATTGTCGAGCTATTTTGGTAGCATCGAGAAGTTCCGCTCGTAATTTTTCCATTTCTTTGTCACCTTTCATATTACTCTCTAATACATTCTGAGCTTGCAACTCTTGTAACTCAACCTGAAATTGCACCTAAATTTTAAAATAGTCTCCCTGAACTGTATTTGAAATAGTTTTCTTTGAATGCGATTTTAAAATAGCTTTCCTGAATATGAATTGAAAGATAAAATTTTAGCAGAGCTATTTGATCAGGAGGGGAGGGCTTCATTGATTGAATCAGTATCTAAGTATGTGCAATATCGCAAGTTTATAAATTCTTTTGAAAAAAAAATTTTTTTTAGCATCTCTTAAGAAAAACTTATAGTTAGAAATTTATGGAAGAAAGGAGATTTCCGGAAATAATCTATCAATTGTTTCTTGTTTTAATTTTAAATAAATGAACGAATCTGCTCTTGTATGATTGAAGTTTTAAAATTTAGAAACAAACTTGCAAAGTTTCAAACTTCAATTGTAACGCTTCAATTTGCTCATCTTTATCCTGTAGCAATTCCTGAAACTTTCTAAATTTTACAAATTATTTCAGAATAATTCCTGAAATATGCTAAACGTTATTATATATGCGTTAATTGATGGTTGATATGAGATTATTTGTTAAATATGTATGTCATACATCAGTTGCAGTTCTTATTAATTACATCTTCATAAATGTAATTGCATAGAGATGGATGATCAATGCTTTTTAAGTTTCTTAAATCTGTTTTATGTTCCGTCGTTTGATGACTGAAATTATACCTTATAATGTTGAAATGAGTTTTCATCAACATTCTCCAACTTTCCAGTTGTCGTTTTTTCATTTTCAAGCTGAAATATGGTCAAAATCAGTTATGTGCAAATTTCCATTTTTTACATAAAGAGTTATAGGATTAATCAAACTCAGTTATCAATTATAATGGATGAAGTTTGAGTATTATTTGACTTATCTTTAATTTATCTTCTTTTCAAATATTCTCTATTTTTACTTCAACTTATCTATTCTTTCCGTTCAATTTCTCTATTGTATGATAGTTTGATTTTTATATTTTTATCCTCGAATTATCAAATTGCTTTATAAATTGTTCAAGAAAGTATTGTATGGAAATTGCATACAGCAACAAATAATTATTATTAATAGAAAAAACGACAATAATTATTAATAATAATAAACAAATAAGTGAATAATAATAATAGATAAATACTAAAGACAATAAATGATAATAATACCAATAAGTAATGAAAGTGAGAACATTTGAATTTGAAAACACAAAAAGCTGCATTAATTAATTTCATAATATTAGTGGTTAAAACTGTTAAAAAAGATTATAAATGTAGAAAACTTTCACTTGCTCTAACCTTCTTGCCCAGTAATTCATTATCATTTGTTAAACGCTCGATAATTTTGTCACTTTCCAACAATTGCTCATATAATGACTGATAATTATGAGCCGTATCCTCGATAAATGTTGTTGCTGAGGCAAGCGCTGTTGACAGTTGTTCAATTTCCGCCCGAAGTTCATCATTTTGTTGCGCAACTTCCTGACGATAATATTTTCCTCTCTCATTCATTTATAATTATCAAAAATTTAATAGAATAAGCTGTGACGAATTTATTTACTTAACTACCTAAAAAAATGATTCGAAGCACCTGAACTTGCTTGGAAAGTAACGCAGCTTGTTGGCTTCGTTGTCGCAATTTCAACGCTTCAGCTTCATTAGTCGCAGATCCTTCTAATTTATTTTCAAGCCGTCTACTTAATTCACGAACAGAATCATCCAAAAACATTTGCTAGAATAATTATCATATTAAAATATCTCAAAGTATGCTGTCAATATGTATTTGAAGCTTTACCTGTTGAATAAGTTTAGCACGTTCATTCTCGAGTTGTTCAATGCGACAATTTAATTTCTCAGCTTTGTCACTTTGTTCGGCCAATTCACGATCACTAAATAAGCTTTTGTATTTATTTCTCGTAAAACTGTTTTGAAAAAAAAACAAAAAAATCTCGGAACAAACGGAAAACTTTTCATTTTCTTTCTTCATTTCATCACAAATTCTTTTCTTTTGATGTTTTACACTAGAAAATTAAAAATAAATCGAAGTTAGATAACCGTTCTTTATTTCTTTCTTTTAAATAAACATTTTCTTCCGTTAAACTATTAATTCGTGTTCGAAATGTTTCACTGAGATCGGTGCTGTTTGTTGTAGCAGTGATGCGTTCACGTAAAAAATTGAGTTCAAGCTATAAAGTAAAAAGAAATTGAATTTCTAGCAGTAAATTGAACTTTTTTTTAGACTTTAGAAGTGAAGAAATGTAAGGGAACATAAAAATTTCAGAAAAATTTTACAAAATTAGCTAAAAATGACTTGTATCTTCGGAAATATTTGAAAACTTAATGATTTGATAAGAAAACTGAAGTTATCATTTAACAGTTCTTTTTGTAATTGCTAATATTGCTCATGAAAGATTAATCATTATTAGAGGCATACTACAGAGGCAGATTCTTCCGGTTCTGAGTAATTAACTAATAGTTGAATTATCCGGACAGTTGGCATCTCTCCTACTATTATACTGACTAAATCCTAGGATCACAATAATTAAATACTAATAATTGTATTAATTCTTGCAGTAATTAATTAGCGTACATTCATATTTTCCTTCTCTTCCTCCCAGTTTTCTTGTTTTTCCACCATTTCCGCAGCTTCCTTTACCGCCAGCTCTTTTAACTCTTCCGCATTTGCATGCTCATACTGCATGATCCACTGCATTGCTTTTATAAGTGGCTTAACTGATTCCGATATTTCGATATCTTCCAGGTCACACTAAATTATTAAAAAGTAATTTGGATCCAATTGTAGGATCTAAAGAAATATTATACTGAATTGAAATATGCGCATGAATTTTTCACTTCTTATAAGCAAAATACACATGTTAAGTAGATTTGTTTATACTAATTGATCTATTCTATTTCATTTTTATCGAATAATTTTGAGCACAAATGAAAAAAATAAAAATAGAAACTTTCTAATACTTAAGTACTTAAAATATTTTAAAATATGACATAAACACTGTATTAAATTGTATATTGTAATTAGAAAATTTTAACTGAAACACAATAATTATTATAAAATGACATAGAATTTATCACTTTTCCTTTAAAAAATAGCGACAACTTTTAATATTATACCGTAATGTTATTGAATTTTCCATTTTTAGAATTAAATATAAATTTCCATCAAACATAATGTTATTTGAATTTTCAACTATATCCTAACAAATATTTGCACTAACCTTTGATAATTGTTCATACCATCGATTTACTATTTCAGGATGATCACTACCTTCTTCAAATAATTCTCCCAATTCATTCACATTTAATGGTGCCATTTTTGTCTTCACAAATACTTATAAAAAAATTTTTGAAATGTAATCCAAAGTGAAAATGAAAGAAAAAAAGAAATGAATCCTTGAATGATACAAAGAATAGAATATAATTTAACAAGCAACTTACTTTTTTAATTATACTAAAATAGATATTCTTGAAAAGAATGAAAGTAATAGACAAAGGTCATTTACTTGTGATTTTTCTCATAATGTAGTGTTTCTATGGCAACCGTTATGTGAGTGTAATAAACAGATAGTATAAACAAGTATTATAATTCCAATATTCTTTTTATTTAAAATAATTGATATGTATAGCAAATATGTGTTGATTTTACCTGAATATTCAATATACACATTGATTATTTACCTGAGTATTCGATATGTTAATACGTCGAATGTATCAACTCTTAGATGATAGAGTAATTTGAATATATGCATTTGCAATGATAAGTTTGCTTGCGAAATTTGAATGATTTTGTGGAAAACAAAAATGAAATTATATTACCAGAAGGGAATTTCTATTAGTCCGATTAACGACCATCTATGTGTGTGTACATATATTGCTGTGCACATCGTTAAATTAATTGGATTTAGCACTTCACTTTCGATACAACATTGTAATTTATTCGATTTTATTTGCATTTTTTTAGTAAATGAATGATTCAGGAAGACTTTTTTTTTACAATTGTTTTTTCTTAATAATTGCTGCAGATTTTGTTTTCCTATGAATTTCATACAATTATCACCTTTATCTAAAACAATGTTATGCAATATAAGTACCATATGTATTACTATCATCCCCGCTATATCACTCCTCTTCTGATGTTACGCGGACTTATTTTCGTGTTACTTACAAGACACAGTATCTGAGATACAAGTGTGATCCAGCAATAATCCCAGCTTAAAAGATTACTAAAATGATTTCGTGGGAAGTTAAGCATCCGGAACTTTGCTTCATCAAGTAAACTTTCTGTAATTCACTATGAGAAGTAAAATGACGTATCAATTGCAGTTAAACAGCATTTTATTTAGCAAAGCTATTAAACAAAAGATCACAACTGCAGAAACCATAACACATCTGTTATACTGCACATTCAATAAGATTAATCAGCTCTTTCGTTTACCAATCACACCTTTCTTCTTCAAATTTTGTTGCCTTCTGTAGGACTGATATGATTGAATCCTTGCTTTCCTATTTCTCTGCTTCAAGATTTGTTCAGAAGTTTTAAGTTCAGAACGTGGCGCTTTTTCATTTCCCATCTTATTTCGCCTTCGTTTTCCACTGCCACTGCGTACCTAAAAGCAAAACAGCATGATTCATAAAAAAATATAATTCAATTATAACAAGGATGGCCTGCTTTCATTGTGAACTCCTCGTTGTTGAAATATGATCATAGTCGTGACAACTATACCGACATATTTTGGATAGTCCTCTCCAACTCCGGTCTGTCACTTCTTCCACAAAAACAAATCATTTTCTTAAAGACTCTATTCCAAAACAAATACAAATATATTTGATCAAAATCCAATATGAAGCATGCTTAGACGAGAAAATACGTCTTTGAAAAAAAAAAAAATTAGAAAAAGGCGAACTCTAAAATCATGTTGCTTTACTCCTTGATCAACAGTCTCATCATTATCGCCATCATTATTTTGGTATTCTAACTTTTGCTTTTTTTGCCATTTCTCATAACGACCACTTTTATATGTCGCTGGCAGATAAGTTCCATCTTCTGTACGTATTTTCTTCTTTGAATCATCGCCATTACTACCAACAAACCTTTTCAGCTTTCTATCCCTAAAAATGGCATTTTTTTTTTTTTTTTTTGATATCTTGAAATAAGTTATGCTAAACACTGGAATACAAAGCAAAATTTCTCAGGAAATTCAATACTAGGCCACTTGATGATAGTGCAGTTCAATCGTTGAAATAACAGTTCTAAAATACCTTCGGGGACTTATATCAAACAAACGAAACATCAAAACGGGCACTTTAAAACATACTACCAAAATATCCCACGACACTAAGTTTGACAACATTTAATTACATCTGAAATTCCTTCAACACACTGGAATTGCGAATTTTGGAGGCAATCAAAACAAACCATTTTTTGCGTTTCTCTTGTTTATAGAAGCCAACTTCATCATCAGCAAGAATTTCTATAGCGCTTGCTTTAGCTAAGGCATTGAAATCATGATCTACTGCCAAGCCGCGTTCTGCATTTGCTTCCACAGGTGCATAAGCTTAACGAAAGTTAATGTTTATTTTTTTTTTTGAAACTAAACCTTTTAACAATTTTGATTTCTACAAAACAACAGCATGAACATTGGAATACAAAATATTAAACTGAAAAGAGAATCCAAAAATCATTTAAAGATACTACTTTGAGTTTGTTTTGACGATGTGAAAATTCGAAAATAACTACCAATAAAATGCTTTTTCTTTTCTTCTAACAATTCGTTAGCTTTTCGCTTCCTCCCCTTGTACTTTTTTTGCATCAGAGCATTTACGGCTGAAAATTTCGTATTTCTTATTACCGCTTGGAACGTATCTTTCTGAAAAAATTAAACAGTTCAAGAAATAATTTTATTTAGAAAGTCCAAATATATTTTGCATTCAAAACAAAAGTTCAAGTCATAATGAAGGCATATAATATGGAGAAAATTGAATTATTTCAAATTATTACTTTTATAATTAAGCACAAATAAAAGCTTAATTATAAAAAGATAGCGTCAATACTATTGCAGTTGAAGGAAATTAAGAGTGTGGCACATATGATCTGTAACCATATATTGCACTCGAAGAAACAAATATGATACTGAATGAATAATCCTAAGTGATACAAAATCCTACATCCTATATTACTTACATTTATCATTTCAGTCTGATAGAGTGTACATTTCAAAGCTTTGAAAATTATTTATTTTTATAAGGATAGAGTATTTATTAAATAAAATGTGGACTAATTTATATTGATGAGGATGTGAATAGAAACTTACCAAAATATCTTCGCTTGGTTCAAATGTAGAATCTGTTATTTCTGATTGGTCGAGATCCGTGCACTTATCCGAATTAGTTTTAGAGTGAATATAACTTTGATGAGCTTTACGTTTCTCCTTCATAACAGCTGCTGATAAAGCCTTGCTACCACTTTGAATTTCAAAGATAGTCTGTAAGCATAAATTACGTATAAAATGGATAAATCTTTCAATAAAAACAATAAAATTCCTCTATTTCGAATCTGAATAAGTGATTCGACTCCAAATGAGGAAAGTTTCGTTTCCATACCAAAAAAGAAGATAGAACAGTTTGTTAAGGAACAGAAATGCCTAAGCATATGCAAATTCATGATTTTATAAAAGATAAATTTTTCCAAAAAATTTTCTTTACCCTCTGCATTATAATATCCACACAATTTAAAAAAGTTCTACATACCGTTGTCGATTTAAAATTGTGCAAATCTCGAAGGAACAATTGCCTAACAGCTTCTTCTGGTGATTCCTGCTGTAGAAATGGATGAACTGAAGCTTTGAATAATGCCTCCTTGACCTCATCTTTTGCTCGACGTACTGATTCTGCTGATGGTTGCGGACGAGTTTTTTTGTATTTCTGCATAGCATTTTCTGATTTCTTCAAAAGATCGTCCTGAAATTTGAATTTAAAGTAAGTCACGTAATTGAGTGCTGCTGAAAAAAATGTTGAAGCTTACCAGTTCATCCGAATTGTCATGCACATTTTTTAGAAAATCAATTTCTCTATCAATGATACCATCTGGAAATATTCCAATCAACGCCTCATCTGTAATTTGTAAAATAAACTGCATCAGAAGCCTCTACCACAGTAAAATCATTTTAATACGGACCCTGACTAATCATGTATATTGTATCAACTAAATTGTTAGGGAAAATTTTATAACTTCAAAAAAATAAAACTGTTAAAATGTTTACCACTGCTGACTGAACTAGTTGTTGCGAACTTTAATGGACGATTCAAAAACAAGAACAGATCGATTACATATGGCACTTCGTCTGCACCGAACAAGCTAATGGCTTTTCCGGAACGACCAGCACGAGCAACTCTACCTAAAGTAAATAAACAGATCAAAGTTTAGAAGAAAGCCATATTGTTATTTATAAAGAATAGAACAGAACTCACCAACACGATGAACAAAAAGTTTTGGTTTCGAAGGAAAATGATAATTTATAGCAACATCTAGCAGCGGAATATCGACTCCTCTAGCAGCAATATCCGTCACAATTAATAATGAACATTCTTTTTTGCGAAACCTGCAAATTTATTTCTTGATATTGGAAAAAACCTTCGAAATTTTCTCATTAAAACCAACTGAAGTCGTGTAAAGACAAGAAGGCACATGTGACACAATAACTTCCAAATAACGCTGGTACAAAGGAGATTTTCACAAACAATAAGATGAGTAGTACACAGTTTACCTCCCCATAATTATCATATCACTGTCGTAATTAACTTACTTCTGAATATTGATATTCCGGGCCACAGAATCTAGTTGACTGTACAACACTACGCAATCAATTCCAGCTTTTCCCGCAACTGCTGCCAGATATTCTACATGCTTCATTGTTGCACAGAAAACAATCGTTTGCTCATTTGCTGCTACGACTTCACGAGCAAGATGCAAAAATGCTGCTAATTTATCATCTGTACGACAGTACAAGAACATCATCGACAGTTTGTCGCTTATTTTTTCAGCGAGGTCCAGTCGAACTAAAAAAGACTTTAAACTTCCTTTTGTTTATACCTTTGTGGCGAAGGTTACATAAATATTCATTAGAAATAACAAAGTACCTAGGACTGGATCTGAAAGACCAGCCTTCGAAAAAGCAATAATACTCTTTGGAAGAGTAGCTGAGAAGAGCAAAGTTTGTCGATTTTCCGGTAATCTTTTCAATACTTCCTTAAAATGTATTGCAGACTATTATGATGACTTCCGTACAAATGAAAGTGATTTTACAGATGAAAAAGCATCCTAACTTCGACACTGCCCAATTATTTTCTAAAAATCTTAAATTTCAAGAAAAAAAAATGGCATTACAACTAGCATTACTGCCTATATGGAAGGTTTTTATTAGAAACTGCCCACATATCAATTGCATCAGCTACACACAGATAATATGAGTTAATTTGATAAGTACAGAAATAAATCAATTCCTAAAATTCTTAACGGTAAACAATTTCTGTAGCGAATAATAACAACTTACGTGAAGTTGTTCAGCAAAACCCATTTCAAACAAGCGATCCGCTTCATCAAACACAATAACTTGTACTGCCGAGAGACGAAAATCCATTTCAACAATAACGTGAAGCAGACGTCCAGGTGTTGCAATAACGCTGAAATTAAGCTTTTAAATTCCAAAACTTATAAACGTTTGTGCTGAATATCTTAATAAATAAAGAAGAAACTTACATATCGGGCTTTTCATGGACAGTTTGAAATTGTTCCTCAATACGATCACCGCCCACCAAAACTGCACAGCGTAAACCAGTAAACCTTCCTAGCTGCAAGCAAAGAATTAATCCGAACATTTCTGAGCTTTAAATCGTTTTGAAAAAATACAAAAGAAAAGAATTCTAAATCACATCATATTGCAACTCCAAATTTATTTTAGTACAGTCAGTAGCATCCAGTGCACTTACTAGAAATTATTGCACATGTCAATCTCTAATCAATGAGATCAGTAACATGAAGTAAGAATATGTCTTCTCAAAAACACATAAATGATCATTATTTCTTCAAAAACACATAAAACATCATTTAATTCAAAATTAAAAATGTTTGGTATTTGAAATATTAAAACAGAATTAGTATATGCAACTTTAGGGATATAGTCACTCATTTTCCTCTTTTGCTTGGCATTACACCACTGTAAACAATCAGAAGAAAATTAACCTCCTTAACTACAGTGAACGTTTGCATTGCCAGTTCCCGTGTTGGTTCAATAATCAAAGCGCGGATTCCTTTCATATCGCGGACCTTTAATTTTTGCAGGATTGGAATGACAAAAGCTGCTGTCTTTCCGCTTCCTGTTCTTGACATAGCAACGATATCTGCAAATAATAGCAAGGCAATGCAGTTCGTACAAAGACCAAATGAATAAATCTCTAAAGAAGTCATTAAACTAATGGTTCTAAAGAATGAAACACGACTGTTTCGTTATTCGCTTTTACTAGTGGAAATAGATTAACAAAAATAAATAACTAAACAACCCTATGTGAATAATTAAACAAACATTCCCATGTGAAAAGAAAGTTCCTAAGCTTCTAATTCTTTTTCTTGAGCTTTGAAGTTCATTTTCAAATAGTAATAAAAAAGAGCAAACAAACAAAAAAAAAAAAAAACGAGAGACCAGCATGAACAAATGAAACTTAAAAAGTGAAGACGACATTTTGACCTTTTCCATCAATAATTATCGGTATCGCTTTACGCTGAATTGGTGTAGGTTGACGAAATCCTTTTTTCTGAATTCCTTTGAAAAGCGTATGATCCAAACCTATCGAAAAACATTTTAATAGCTAAAAACAAAAGTCAATCAATATGACCCTTGATGAGATATTCGATTAATTAATATCAAGTTACAGCCGTTTTTTCAAGTAAATTCTATAATTTATGACATTAGGAAATAAAATTGACAAACTTTCACAACGATATTCATCAATAAAATATACCTATCGTTTGCCATCCACCAGCATGTCGTTGCTTTCTGTTTTGGGCACTTTTCAAAGCATCATACAATTCTTCTGTATCCGAACTGCACTCCACTTCACCACTATGCATCTATATCTTTACCAAAATTATAATGTGAATGCTTGAAATAACAACAAATTACACAACCGCATCACTCTATAATAATATTAAATCCCCATTTGATCTTTGAACCGGAGCTGGAACACGAGCTTCAATGCTGGCTGCCTTACATCACATGCCGCAACGTGACTGGGAATGATCAAATCGGAAAAACTGTTGGTAATTCATAAATATGCCGGATCCAGACCGGTACTTCGTGGTCTCGGCCTCTTCTGTGAACTTCATTCCATATCCTAAGCTAACTTCACCTTTCTTACTCCAAAGCAATTTCTCAACGGGAATATTTTCTCTAGTAATTCTCAGTTATTATCTAATCGTTGTCCTTAATATATTACTCATTCATTATTCTTTAATACCATCTTTTCAAATTATATTGTCTTTCCTACTTTCACTAATTCTTTCATTTATTTTTGGCATTCCTCTCGAATCAATCACTTATTATCAATCCTTCAACTACTAATTTTAATCTCATTATCATAAACATTTTACAGTATGGCTGTACAATATAAGACAAAAGCACTAAGTGATGAGTGCAGATGGATATGTATTTATCCGTTGTATATGAATTCTCGAAAAACCGTTGCACAGGGACGACGAGTGAGCAAAAATAAGGTATGATATATTCTGCAGACTTCAAAAAGATTTAAAATTTCCAAGTTTTTCTTTCTTTCTCGTTCTCACTTTTACTTCTAATCATTTAGCACATTGATATTTTAAGCATACAATTTATTTTTTCAAAATTCTTTTACTACGAAAAAAAAAAAAAAAAAACTCTTTCTGTTATTAAATAAAACTTTTTAAAGGCAGTGGATTCGCCAACAGCACAAGAAATCTTTGATATCTTGTCGAATGCTGGATTGAAAGTCAAACTTGAGGTAATTTTATGTTATTAAAGTAATATCATGTATCATTTTGTTTGTCTATTTCTACGTTGTAGCAAATTTCTCAATCGATTTGTAACATTCAAATGCTAGCTTTGATTCTTTTACAACAGTTCCACTTCAATTACAGTGTGAACAAATTATTATTTCCTGAGATTTTTTTCCTTTAAACTTTTGCGATTTATGACGATTTAGTTAGCTCACTTGCTTAATTGATTTATTTTGTTATATTGTTTCATTTGTAGAAGCAAAAGATGCATCCTTTGGATCCGAATCGTGATGCTAATTCTCAAGGAAGAGTACGAGTGCAGCTACATAATGATGATGGCTCTCTATGTGACCAAAAATTTCCAACGAGTAAGTATTAACGAATATTTCATAGATTAAAAAGATTCGAGTTTACGAGCTTCTTAGCTATCCGTTTTGATTTTTTTGGGCTTTTAAGTTTATTTTTTAGGATTTTTTAAGCTTATGCATTATTATTGCAGGGATGTCACTGATGTTATATGCATGTGAAATGGTACCAAAACTGAAAACACGTCAATTTGGTGGTGGAGCAACATCACAGCCTTCTTCGGGTGGCGGTATAGGCGGTGGTAAGACCAATAAAAAGAAAAAGCGATAGGATTCTTTTTAGTTATTTAGTATATTATTCAATCAAATCCATGTGTTTCAAATACAATGCTACTGATTAATGTAAACGAATTTCAAAAAGATCAAGAAGAATCTTTAGTCAAAGTGATATTGGCCTTTCTACGATAGAAAATTATTTCTTATAAACCTTAGCTTTCATATCCTTTTAAATGGTTTGATCGTTATGTTCTTTGTTAAATAAGAATCTCCCCCTTCAACGACAAAAAAAAACCATATTACCTCAACTTTTTTTTAAAAATTATCTTACTGAAAACTCCATCAAACTTTAATCTGTGAAGCGACATTTATCCAAAAGCTTAAAACTTATAGAGGGAGACATATCTATGTAAGTATGAGATATACTAAATATTACATGATCAAATTAACTAATCCAAACTTTACATTCAAAGATGATTTGATAGCATTATTGTTTGCTAAGATTGACAGAATTTTAACAGACGAATATTTATATTTTACGTCTGTAATGCGTATATTAAAAATTATAATAAACGTCAAAATCTTTTTTTCTTTGAACAACCAAATAGAAACAGCACTCTTGACTTCTCCATATAAATACCACTTATATACAAGTTTAGGAAATGGATTCCAATGAAATCAGTTATCAATTAGTCCTTTAACTTTAATAATTTTAGAACTGTTGAGTAAATTCTCGTTAGATTATCTTGTTTTTTCACATCTATCAAAAGTTACTCCTAAATTGACTTATCGTTTTAATTGTCTTACTTTCTTTAAGTGCAATGGTTTAGTTGATGATAGATCCTTTAATGTGGTGTAATTATTGCATTTATTTAAAACTTGAATTATTTTATTGCATACGTGAAAATGATACGACACATTGTTATAAAACGTGCGACAAATAGCAGTAATAATAATAATAATAACAGTAGCAGCAGTGATCATAATAATAATTATAATAATATTGATAGTATTAGTAATAATAACAATAATAATAAATAATAATAGTAACAGTAATGGTAATGATAATGATAACAATTAGAATAATAGTAGTGATAATAGTATGAATAATAATTTATCAGTTCAATAGGCCATTGCAGCTTCTTTGTATTCTGTTGGGTCAGTGGTGAATAAATCTTCCAATTTCCATTGCAGTGTCTCAAATGTAGGCCTTTTTTCTGGTTCTTTGTGCCAGCATTGCAACATTATATCATAGAGAGCTACCGGACAACCTACCGGACAGGCCATCCGGTAACCATTATCTACCTGTTGCAATACCTCTGCATTCGTCATGCCTGTAATTTATGATAGCAAGAATAGCGATGTAATAATTGAATTGAAAAAATAAGATATTGAATGGGAATATTTCTCAGTATTCGATGGAAAAGAGAAGGATGAAATATTTTTCAGCTGTTTGGATTTTCATTTGAAAGAAATCAATTAAGGTAATTTAGAAAAATATATTCTTCAAATAATTTTACAAAAGTGAATTTGAACAATTGAAAATGATGGTTAGTTTTTAGTAGTTTCCTAAAAATTTTACCCGGATAAGGCAATCGACCATAAGTAACAAGTTCGGTAAGTAATATTCCAAAACTCCAAACATCTGATTTAACTGTAAATCGATTATAACTAGCTGCTTCTGGTGCTGTCCACTGCAATATATATATATATAATTACTGGTAAATTTAATTAAAAAAATCTATCGGTTGGGAGAAAATACTAGAATTTCCTTCTTACAAATGGAAACAAAAATTAAAAAAAATTTTTTTTTTTTAAATTAATACTTTAATAGGAAATCGTGCACCAACACGTGCTTCATACTCATTTTCTCGAATTAATCGAGCCAATCCAAAATCGGCAATTTTAACACATAATGTATGTGACATGAGAATATTACGAGCAGCTAAATCACGATGAATGAAATTTTTCTCTTCTAAATAACTCATTCCTGATGCAATCTGTGCAGCAATATCCACTAATTGACCCACTGCACAATTCCGTCCTCGACCCTTCAAAATTTTTGAAATTTTAAATTTATTCAAAAGAAAAGGAAAAGCTCTTCTAATCAATTGTTAAGAAATATTTAGAGCATTAATCGTTTGTTCTATTTCATTTATTATAATTTATACGAAATAATGTTGATGAGTTGAACTTTTTACACTTAAAATTTTTAATGAAGACTAAGTTTTATTTCTCATTTGCACTTACTCTTCGGTTCGGGTATTACTTTATTTTTGTGCAAGTAAGAAAAATGAAACAAATCAAATATGGAGAATGGAAATAAAAAGATGAATTAATTCTGATAATTTAATTAGAAGAATAAAAATCGTTATTAATGAATGATTTTTGAGGAATTTGAGAATTCTCTTTACTGTCAATTGCATCTTCAACTGTATCTCTTGGTACTATCTGATATTCGATCATTCCCCACCAATTAAACTTATATTGATTGATATAGATATCCCTGTCTAATTCTACAGTTCGAAAAATCCGCCCAAATTTTATTTTGTATAAAAACTTTGGATAAGGCAGTAAAGGTAGCAAAGAAAAGAGATATCAATACACTTCTCAAACAAATAATGACAAAGGTTAATCGAGGTGACAGAGGTAACTGATACCAGAGTTAAAGGAGTGAAGGATATTGGGGTAACAAATAATTAAAAATAAAGGATACCTGAAGGAAATGCAATAAATTTTGATCCATTAATTCAGTGATAATCAAGATTGGCTCGTCCTTGGTGCATACTGCATACAATTGCAATAATTTCGGATGCCTTAACTTTTTCATAATTTGTGCCTCTGATAAAAAGTCATTAGGATCAGTTGTGCCACTTTTGAGCATTTTTACAGCGACTGGCGTTGAATGATTCCATCGACCTTCCCATACCTACCATACGTAATTTATAGAAGTTTTTCAATTATACTTTTTGTTTGCATATGTATTACGTATTTGTTTAAAATATAATCAATTTGGAAAGATTTCATCTTAAAAATTATGAGAAATTCTTGAAAGTAAAGGTAAAATGCTCTTGAGCTGAGAAAAGAAGGAGAGGGAGAGGTGAAAGAGTAGAAAATTTAGAAAGCAAATGATTGTCCAACTTGAAAGCCTGAAATGAATGTTAATCGACTACGGAAGTACATTTCATGAAAAGATTATTTCATTATGAATGACTTTCGCTTTCTAACTAAATTCAGTAAATTCTTTGAATAGTAACTTGCTTTAAAAGCTTATACAGTTCCAAACAAAGATACAGCAAAGTTTAATTTTATGCATGACCAATTCAACATTTTATTCCGGAATAGTACGAACGCTAAGTCAATGTTTCTTGGAAGTTATTTTTTCTGAACAATAAAATGATTAAGTCCGGGTTAAGGCATTTTTAGAAAAAAAGACAAAATGATTAATGTAAATAATGAATAAAACTGGGACAAAATGATAAATATAAATAATGGATAAAACTGGTCTAACAAAATAAGTACAATTGTTAACCTTGAATAGACAGGTCACATATATATATACATTTGTTAGCTACTAACAAAATAGAATAATTTTTCAAATTTTGAGTCAAAATTAAAATTCCGATTAGAGACAACTCAGGATGAAATAAATATATAGAGAGAATATATGTTTTGAAAAGGTTGCATGAAATAAATGAAGAAATAAATATATTTTTTTCAAAAAAAATAGTTAATTAATATTTTTCAATATATTCAAATTTTGAAAAATTCGACAGATTACTTCCTGAACTTCACGGAATGCTTAATTAATAAAATATTTGTTAAATTGATTTTTAAATTGAAAAAATTACCTAGTTCAATTGAGCTAATTCTGCTCGTTTTTTTTCACAAATATTTGAAGATTTGAAATAAATTAGAAAAAATAGGAAAAATTAAAAATGGTGAAAAAAAGAGAAAAAGAAATCATTAATAGTTAAAAATACTTTACTAACCTCACCAAACTGTCCAGCACCAATTTGTCGAACTAATCTAATTGATCGTCGATCAATTTCCCACTGATCATCGTACGTAAACGTACACGTTTGTGGGGTATCAAGTCGTTTACACGGATGTTTGAGTAGTACACATAACCCGTCTTGCTCTCGTTGATAATGCGCAATTAGTTCGACAAGAGTGCAAAAAGATCGCCTTCGAGCTATATAAAAACCACCTTGATCCAATTGCCTAACTCGATAATGCTTCACTGCATCACCATCACGCACTATAATCATAATTTCAAATATAACATCTAACTTTAAGAAGTTCTTTTTTAAAAAAAAATTCAATTGATTTTAAAATTTTGACGGTTCTAATTAGCACTTAAATGTTGTTGCAATAAGCAAAATTAATTAATGATTAATTTTCAAAGAAAAGCGGAAAATCTTGATGAATCGCAATTAACCTGATAATGAGAAGTCATTCTGTCTACTTTCAGAATCGCGCACAAGAAATGCACCATGTTCATTATTATTCAGTAGCAATAATTTCTCAGCATCAACTCGTCGAATTGGCCCAAAATACCATCTAAAATCTTATTAAATAATATTAGTAATGAATTTTAAAATTAGATTAATTCCGTTACTAAATTGCTGAAAATCAACAAATTGTATGATTTATTTATAAATTAATAAAAATTGTAAAATTAAAGTTAAAAATTCAATATATTAAAGAAATATCCCTATTTGATCGATAATTTAAATTCGAAATTTTGAATTTATAAACAAATTTTTCAAGATTAAAAAATAAAAAATCTAGATTTTGAAAGGAGAGAGAGAGAAATGATATTAATGATTCCAGCACTATTTGGAATTGATATGTAAAGAGGAAAGAAATCAAAAAAAAAAGACAATGTAAACGAAGAATAAAGATGTCTTCTCCCCATTTCAGTTCATCTAAGGAAGGAAGATGAATTTCTTCATTTAGTTGTAACAATTATATTTTGTTTGCTCTGAGGTATCGCGAATCAAATGAATAACCAGGCCAAGGTAACAATTAATGCCCAATTCTTTGTTGTTATATTAAATAGACAATAACGAAATATTGTATTTTGTACATGACCCTTTCCTAAAACTAACAATTAATGAAAATTTAAACTATGAAGTAAAATAAATGAAATGAATATGAATATATATCCGCAATTGAATAAACAAAATTCACAATTGAACAAACAAACGTAAAATGATGGCAATGACCGCTTGATTGGGTCAGAAAAAAAAAGAAAAAAAATGATTTATTGGTAACAAATATTTTTTACAATGAAAATTGTCATGATTTTTTTCTTTTTTGTCATAGAATTATTTGATTCTTATGAATCTTTGCAGTTAATTCATTACTTCTCTTTTTTGTTGTTTTACTATTTCATTTAATTTTCCGCTAACAAAATAAAATGATTGTTTCAAATTTGTTGAAATGTTGCAAAAACTAAGTGTGAACTTTTTATATTTGTGTGATTTAATATGAGAACCAGATGTGATCATCGTCCTTTTTACCTTTTTCTCCTTCCTTTTTCGTTCCTTCCAATACATTTACGAATTTACGATTGAGTTTTCCAAACAAAACTATTTTTAAAAATGATTGAGAACAAAAAGGAGAAAAAAATGAAAAGTTTATCGTAAATTTCCAAAAATTAATTTAATTTTCATCAATGGAATTAAATAATCGACATGACGTCAATTCGTTAAAATGATAAGGAATAAAAGCTCAAATGGAAATTTTTGGCCATGGAAATAAAGAAATTAAATGAGTAAATGATTACTTCCAACACGTATTTATAACATTTCCTTCATTTTTTTTTCTTTTTTCATTCCTCAAATTTATTTCGCTGTTTTACTTAATGATTCGGAGGAAAATTATGCTTATCATAAAGAATAACAGAGAGCTAAAATGTGATTACACTTGTCGAGACAATTTGAGAAACATAAGGTTAAATTTTAATCAATATCAATAACATAAAATAGATTCTGCTATTATTAACAGCAATAATTATAAGACCAAACAGGTGAACAAATAAATTCTTCCCCTTGTAAAGGGCAGCAATTTGAAAAATTTATAAAAATTTAGGGGATAGGCTTATATGCATAACATTTGTAAAGAAGAAGGATATGACAATATACATTGATCAATTATCAATAATAAACAATTTTCTAGGTCACAGCGACATCTGCGCCATTTAATGATGATTGTTCCTAGCAAAGTCTTTTTTTCCAGAATTAACAACGATTTTGTTATTAGAATACCACAAGATTCAATCGTAACTATTTAACTTTACCAACTTTTTCCAGTCAAATATTATCGTCTTCTTTAGAACTTTTTTCCTTTCTTTTCATCATCGTGAAATAAAAGAAAGAGTAGCCCAAATTTGTTATGCCAAATAGTTTCCATGTTTTTTTTTTTTTTTGTAAAAAAAGTTTCCTCAAATGTGACTGTTACTTACTATATCTCTAAATTAAATTACACTAAGTCGTACATTTATTTTATGCCATAAAAAAACTGATGAAATTCGTTTCGGTGAATGTTTTTAATGTTTTTTTTTTTTTTTTAGATGGCTTGAAAAGTTTCCATTCATAATAATCTTTTATTTTAATCTTTCAAAAAAAAAAAATAAAATAAAAAGGAATTATTAATGAAATGACTTATCTTTTTTCCTGTCGCCAAAAATTGATTTGGATGATGCAATATGTGATTAGTGTTGAAATTTCTAACAAATTAGTGATAAAAAAATTAGGGTTAAATTTCATTAAAGGTTTATATTATTGTTAATGAAAAAGAGACATAAATTTAATAAACTTAGTTAGATATTCTAAAAGGACAAAAATTTAACTAGATTTTTATTAAATTTGATAGAAAATAAATTAATGAATGGCATTGATTAAGAATTCTTGACATACAACTAATTGCTAATCTTAAAACAAATGAAATTAGAGGATAGTATGTGGTGGCGAAATATATGAATGAGTGAAAATTTAGACTGCGAAAAAGGTCAGTTGCAAATGTCTCCAATATCAGGTATTTCTTCATAAATTCGTGATTGGATCATAGTTTTAGCCTTTTATCTCATGGTATGACATAAATCTTGGTCCATAAATTAAATGAATATCAAAGGAACGGTTCGGAAATGTTTAAAAATTGAACTTGACTTAGATGACCTAATTTTGATACCAGAACTTTGTTTACATCTGTTAATTTCATCTAAATAACATGGAGACATTTCCGTTCACACATATATTCCGGTAAAAGAATAGACAAAGATAGATATAATCGGATTTTGACAACAATTCCGGATTCCAAATCACTGAAAAGTTGTTCCCATCAAAGTTTTAATAAACTACATATCTCCTGCACATTTCTTTTTTAAATGTAAAAAAAGAGCTTTACAAAATACTTTTAACTTCTCCTTGTCTAAAAAGAAATCTAAAAATATATGTTTACACTTCGGTAAAATGATTTGAAGACGAAGCAAGCAATGAATAAGGAAAAAGAAAATGATGTTAACTGTCCCGGTGCTGTCGTATGAATATCATCGAAGAAAAAGAGATAGCATAAAGAGTTGATGGGATAACAATATCAGCCAAAAATGATACTTATTTGTAATGGCATTGATAAAGAAATTGCTTGAATTGGACATTTTTAATGAAGAATCAAACGGATGATAAAATGGCTAAATTATGCCCAAGCCAAGAAATATTTGTAAAATACTTTTGTATCAAAATATTACAAATATTTATTTTTTTTATTGTCCGATTAGTGATAATAAGTGATCATAGAGTCAGAAGATATCAGTTAAAATGTTATTATGATAAAGTGATGGATGATAGAAGAGGAGAAATGACATTTGAATAAATGCGACCGGAAGAAAGGAGAGGAAAGTTTAAAGCTTACGCTTGTGCATCCAGACTTTTCTCTCGGGCGACATAGTTGGATGGAATATAACCGGATAAATTGGTCGTTTTACTCTTGGCATACCACCAGTCACCCTGCATATCGTTCAATATGTACAATAGCTCATCCTTCTTGAAACTTAGATCCTCGTCTGTCCGTGCGTCATAATCGAATAAAGCCACAAATAATGGTGGACTGTTGGATAGTTTTGTTGCACAACTTGTTTTAGTATGATTTCCGGTTGACGGATCAATAATGATTGCAGTAGGAGTAGATATAGAGGTAGTGGAATCAACAATAGGAATTATTGCAGTTGGATGTACTGCTTCCAGGATAGTCGTTGATGATTTTTTACCCAAACAAGAACCCATTTATTGCCCAAAAGCCAATGTAGTTATATAGCCATACAATGATTTAGGATCGAAGAAGCACACAATTAATACTTATCACTGATTTTTTTGAATGATACCTTTTGAATACAGAAAACTTTAGGAATCACTATAGTAACGTTTGTCGTTTTTCACCAGAAAATGAATGATTTGATTGTTATTCGTGTCAGATGTTACCATTCGAGAATCAAAACTCTTGCAATAAACATAGATAAAGAATTTGGTGATGAAAAAGTCTATGCAACGTACCTATGCACAATGCAATAGATATATACGATCACGGAGTACTTGCTTCCCTATTCACCTTACCTGTCGCTACTGCTCTACCAGCGACATCAGCTAAGGCGGTTTTTCAAAATGACAGCTCTTCTGCTGTTGAACTAAACTGAACACAAAACCAAAATTGACTGTACCCGTCCACTACCTATTCCAATGACTTACATACACGAACACGCAGACACACACACACATATATATATCTACATATGTACACACATATACATACATACGTACACACATACACTCTTTGCCCAATGCACTAACATTAGTAAAAAAAATCCGAAGAGCTTGTGCACAGTATTTCACCATATTGCGCAAAAACCCTCTCGAAGGCCAACCAACGATTGCATCGTTGTGTAGTGCTCTAACTGGCGATGAATTTGGACACTATTATCCCAATATAACTGACACTGAATGTGACGTAGGCCACCGTTTTTTCTTTCAGGTCAATGTTTGCTTTGAATGCTGCAATGTACGATTTTCGAAGCCCAGTCAAGAGATTATCTAGATGACGAACAGTGATTTTATCTTAACAAAAGCATTATCACAAATAAAAATGTACAAAACGACAACCCACAACACAACAAAAATTTATCAGTTTGTTTCCATCTTTTCTTCCATTTTCTGCTGAACTTCTTCAGTACTACTGGCCTGCTTTTTCGATTGCAATGGGGCACGTATCAAATACACCTTCTTTCGAGCCTTCTGTAGATCACCAATACGTTTAATGGCCTTACCGGGTTGCAGAGTTCTTTTGATATGTTCACCATAACGTTTCTCACGCAAAGCTATTATTTCTTTGGCGGCATCAACTGCAAAACAAAAGATTATAATTGCACAAGAAGAACTAACAAATTGTAGCCAAAGGGAGGGAACAAATCTATATTTGTATCTGTTAGATTCCTGAAAAGAATCACTGAATAAGATAGCGATATATTTCAAAAGTAACAGCTGTTTTTTCAAAGGAAAAGAGAAAAGTAAAAAGCTTGTATGCTGAAAACAAGGTTATTATTTACTGCACACTACAAAAATATTAAACTTGAATCAGTCTTCGACTTTCGCGCACTAGATGACAGAACAACTTGAAATTCTTTGAGATGTACTAATAAAACAGCTTGAGCAATAGTCTTTTAAACGACTTTTGTCACTAACTGTTGTAACTTTTTAAAATACACCTGCTTCATGCCACAACTGACGGTCGTATTTCAGTGGTTCATTACGCCGTGCTTCAACGTTAAATGTGCTATCATTCTTGAGCTCTTTTCCTCGTGCCATACGCGAAGCTTTCGTCCATCCAGTCTTTCTTGGATTACGCTTCTTCTTGAACAATTTGTGACATTTTGAACGACAAAATCGAAACACCTAGAGAATTCTTAGACTAAATGTAATCCTTATTTCAGTCCACAGCAACAGACTACAAATGAATAAATGAATACAAATCATTTATTCCAATCTAAAAAAAAAAAGAAACAATATAAAAATATTTTTTTATTCTAGCTGGATGAAGAGGTACAAATTGCTAAGATCACTGCGAAAATTAAAAGCAGAGTTAGTGCAAATGTGATCCGATCCTGCACCATATTTCACAATGATCCTTTTCCACATCTCTAATTTACACTAACTTTATGATTTCGCTAACACAATCAAAACTTACGGTACAATCATTTCTGACGAATGTAATCCCGTGACCGGGGTAGATATTAGAAGAGCAAAAATAACACTTTTCAATCCTCATTCTCCACAATTTAGATTATTTATTCAAGTTGAAATTTAACTGAAAAAAAAGTCCAATCAAGAATATTGCCTTCACAGAGGACCTGAAATTCACGACTCATTCAAGGATCAAAAAAAAGCATAATTACACGACTATTCATAGTTACGACAATGTACAATAACAATGTCATTAAAGATGTCATTAGTAGCCAAAAAAGTTAGTCATACATTCAACTAAGCTAAGCTATCAATGGAAATAACTGCTATGCATGTATACACAATATTACACTTTAAAATTTATCCACTGATAAATTTTAAAAACTCTGAAGTTGTCCACACATCAAATACCTGTACCTTCCTCCGCCTATGCGAGATCCTTGGAATTAGGAAAAGTCTGAATCTTTCCCAAAAACAAGTAAGAAAACATCTGACTTCACGTGGCGTTCTATTTTAATATAAACGCAGCGAGGTAAACTGCCAAAAAAGATCTGGGATTCCGGTTTTCATGTCGCTCCCTTTTGTGACGGAACCAGACAAATTGTAGAAGCAGTCGTCGTTGTTCCGTGTTAGTGGAGTATTATTGTGTGTGTGTGTTATATATATATATATGTATATATATGTGACTGTATGCGTGTGTTAAGAAACTATTAAGTAATAATAACATTATTGAGAACATTATTGTTACAAATAGCATTATTAGTAACATTAATAGCATTAGTTACAGATGAACAGGAGGAATGCTGGAAGTGACGAGTTTGGAAAGATTAAAGAACAAAGAATGCGTCACTGATAAATCTTTACTGGTTTTGATATAAAAGAAAGTATAAAATATAATTACCAGTGAGGATGAGCAGGAATTGATGGAATTTGCACTGTTTAATGTCAGAAGTAAGAAGAGAAGTCAGAAGTAAGAAATCTTTTAGCAACCAAACTGACACGTGAAAGCAAAAAGTATTTGAGGGAGAGAATATATAATAAGTGTTTCCGTATTGCAGGTGGTATTTCCAGAAATGTTTCATCAAATTCAACCAGATGAAATAATTATAGAGGAAGATGGTGTAGGAGGTAATGAAAGAATGGAATAATTTTTGCAGGCTTTGATGCTTATGTATCGTCGACAAATAGAACATAGCAGAAGGTTGTCGAGACGTGGCGTGGTACGTGAAATTTGTTTGATTTCTGATGTGTAAAAAACTTTAATAATTAAGCTTTGAACAATATTTCAGTAGCGAAATCAATAAAAATTTCAATTACTCATGATTTTAATTAATTTTTACAATTAAAATTATTGGCATCGTTATAGGTACCAGTGTTAGAAAGACGAACTGTTTGGCGAGATCGCAGTTTGAGCCCTGCTGCTGAAAGAGACCAATATGTGACAAAAAATACGCTTAGTTATCATCAGAACCGTTTCGAACGACGTGAAAATTTCATGGTAGATAAAGTTAACGTCAAAATGTAGTTGAAGTATTTCATTAAGAGAATTTTCCTGTTAAGAGAAGAGAACGATGGAAAATTGTGTTCATTTAGAAAAAAGTGTTTCTGTGGTAGTTTGTTATAATACCTATTCTATATGCATCTTCAAAGCAGAAGAAATATCAAAAACGACGCATATTTGCAAGAAAGTTTACTTTCACAAGTTCACATCTTTGTTTTGCTTGCGGTGATTACGTGGAAGTTTACTGTGATATCAAATCAGAATATGTGTAGAGCGAAGGCGTGGTTAGCAGCGGCATCATTTTATCGTCTGTCACGTTCACATTTGTAATTTTGCATTAATTTTCCATCATTCGTCTATCGATCGGGGAGAAAACTGAAAGCAACATTTTAAAGGAATGAAGTTAGGCATCAACGATGTGTTGTAGAAGATCTCTTGGTGGTTCTCAAGTACGGACTCGTGATGTCTCTTGTCTCTGAATTACTATTGTTTGGTTTCAACTATTATGATATCTTTTGCTGCTCTACGTTCTAATTTTACGACAATATTTTCCCTCGGTGTCAGTGCTGAAGCTCATCGTTTGTCATTTCGTCGAATTGCAGCAATTTTGTAATTGATCATTGCTCTCGATGGATGAGGGACATACTGGATGTTTTAGCAGTCTGCCTTATCAAGCTAAGTGCAGGGCTTTCCATTGCTTATATCATCCCACGGCTATGACCGTTACAAAAATCTCACGTTGTTATTTTAATTGATCGTGTAATTTTGAAGGAAAAAACGTTTCTTAGTATATACGTTGACAAAATCAGATAGTACATCGTGCACTATATGCAGTTTTTATGTTTATACCAGATGTGCAAGTTGGAAGCGATGAACATATAATTTGAATCATCGATATGGGAGTTTGATTGGTTTTGATGATGCACAAGTACTTATTGTTGATGAAGGCAGAATACGGAGAGGATTGGAACAATTTGCATATGGATTATAAGGGAATACTGATACTTGGAAATGAAGATTTGTGTATAAGACTAGTTATTATATTCTGAATTTGAATATAACTAATTATTTTTTGCTACAAGTTTATGGTGGTGGAGGCGTATAGCTTGTACCTTTGGCACTCTAACATCGAGTAATATTTAGGTTTGATGAGATTGCTTAGCAGCGTTATTTCATGTATCATAATTGTAAATATTTTTCATAATTATTTTTCAGCACTTTGTTTTTTAACGTCCCAATTGTTATATATGTGCAAAATGCTTTACGGAGATATCAACAGCGAAAAGTCAAAATTTCTAGTAAAAATTTTTTGTAAATTAAAATTGAAATTCAATAAGGATTGAAGATGAAAGAAAGCAGTTCACCAAGAGGCCATCAAAGACATCGTCATCGAGAACGCTTGAATAGCAACAGTGAGTTAAGCAGACAGGCTACCAGGATTGCATCAGTTAGAACTGGACCAATGAAAAGTCGCGAATATTTGTATGTTGCACGTTCTGCTTTGATTTCTGTTAAGTTTTCTGTTTTTTACATTCATGTCGTCAAAGGTCAAACGGCTGTTGTTTCATTCGTGCTTTTCATTTTTAAGAATGTATTAGGCTAATAAGCACTGTATTTTTTGGAAACACGGTAATATTAGGAGGATAATTTAAGATAGGACTCTCTTAGCTTGACAGCTGCTGCAGTAGATTTCCTATTCGTCTCACGCGAATTATTGTCATATTGTCTAACACTTACAAGTGCAACTGCAAAGTATCACATTTTAAAATTTCTTGTCTTACATTACTGCTGCTCCTCTTCATGATATTTGCAAATGAAGTACTTTCTCTATAATCGAAGGAGAGACATTAAAAAGAAGACGGGAAAGCGGATATGTGAAATAGGATAAATAATGGCATCTGTTGGTTGGCTTAAAGTTATCAGGATTATTTGGTAATTGTCTCTTATTGTGGTGGAAAAAGAAAAGGTTGGAGCGACTGAATTATGAACTATTCTCTTCAATTTTTGCTGTTGATAATTTCTCATTTTGACAATTTGAAGCTTCGATAACGTCAGCTTTTAGTTCCGAAACCTGTGTTGTGCACATTCATGATATGGTTTATTATATTCTGGAGCATTTTGTTGAACGAAAAACCAAATTATGAATTTAAAGAAGACTATATCGAATGATTTTTGCATTCCGAATAGCATTTGTCTTCCTCATATAGCTGCATCCATGAACAAGAGGCACTTTCTGCCATTGACAGATCTTTTTTGAAATTATTGCTGTTTTGTTAGAACGGAATGGATTCTGAATGAAATTCTGTTTTTTTTTTTTTTTTGGATATTAATTTTGTTCTCATTTGAACGTTCGTATTAAGCTAGAGAAAACACTGGAATTATATTTCTTGAATACTGGTATGAAATATGGAGTTACTTTTCATGACACTAAATAGATCAGCTACAAGTATTTCTTAATGGCTCTTTGTTGCCTGTTTTACATTTGACTACTGTCGCTACTATTTCAATATGTATTGCATATTTTTTCCTTCAGAAAAATTTCCCAAATGCTTGACTTCTGTACTGTAATGCACAGTAATCGAAAGCATTCCAGATCACTTTTATAGTTTTTGAATAAATCAGAAATCGAAAAGTGATATTGCTGGTACGTGCGAGATTTATTGGAGCTTATTCAGGGGAAATATTAAGGATGCGGGACTTCAATATTCAAATAACCTAATTAGAATGGATTGTATTGAGGCTCTTTGAGCAATTTTCTTATGGGTGACGAAATTTTATAAGAATGCTAATCAAGTGAAAAATCAAGTGGAAGATTACAGCGAATAGATTCTTTCATGAATTTTTGTGACTGGAATGCACTCAATTATGCCAATTGGGGTGAATGATTTCGAAAACCTTTGTTATGCATTTAATGGTCCTCAACATCAATCATATAGTGAGTATTTTATATTTTACTGGACTTAGGTGATGACCTCGGGAAAATCAACATTGTTTCATGGAAGCGATGTAATGCTGTGGTCAATTCAGCTAAATGTGACGATTCAGCTGAATTGTTCGATTTTATGAATTTTGGAAATCATAGTTTTGCATATTCAAATATGCTTATACTGAAGTGAATGGAAATGGTATTTTATATAAGCAGTTCAGATTAAAATAAGCAAAATGAATCCCGGAAATTGAGGTTATTAAAATAAAACTTAAACAACAGCTTAATGCTATGGAGTTTTAATCTAGCTGTATATGCAAGATATTTTATCTGAAATAAAAGTGACGGAATAGAACACATATCTCGTCAAAGTTAGACAGTTACTTCTCAAAGCACGAAATTACGTGGGAGGTTATTAAGATAAAGAAACCAAGGAACTGGAAAAATCACTAGGAGTTATCTCGGTTGAGTTTTTGTTTCAAAGGCATTGGTAATGTGTTTACTTCTTTTTTTTTTTCATTTTGGCTGAAACATTTTCCTTTAGCAGATCATTTTAAGGGAACGTGAATTAGCAAAGCACTATCGAGTACGCGATCGAATGATTGCTTTGGAAAGAGCCAGAAATGAAGAAAATCGTTTACATGATGAAACTAATCGTAATGCTAGTCGAATACAGCCATCAGGATATGGCAGTGGGCGAATGCCGAGCTATTTTGTGCAAACCGAATCTCAGCTTGTCACGGAAGAAATTTCTGGGAAAATTAATAACAGTGGTTTTTTCTTTTCTCTGATTGTTTTGTTTTGTCTCAGATATTTATTTCTTATGGTACTCTTATTTCTGCTGCAGGGGAAAGTTTACTTCATGTGAAATTTTTACATCTTAAAAAGGTTCGGCAATTATTGTTTGACGTAAACGCTTCAACATAAATGCTAGTTGTTCCATCCGGTTGTTCCATCAACATAAATTGTTCCACATATTCAGCGCTCTGTAAAGCAGTGATTAGTTTTCTAGTTCAGGCTTGGCAAATTGGCGTATTGAGGATTTGCTAGGAGGGCAGTCAGTGCTCAACGCAGATAACATACAGAGTTTGTTTTTGTATTAATTTTTTTCCTTAGTGACTGCTTTAGTGATTTAGAGATTGATTGACAGCGAGAAATAATGTGGTTTCGAAACAACGTTTAATTTATTCGTAACATACTTTTTCTCTGCAATATCTGTTGGACCAAAATGTTGCTCAGTGTTTTCTGTCTTTATCTCAATAATTAAGAAGTACCTCATTAATTTGGCTTTCTCTAAGTGCAAAAGTAGGTCAACATTCCCGTCCTTCCTGCTCCATTATGAGGGTGCGATTTAATTTTTGTAAGTTTCTGTATACAGCTATGCTTTTCATGGATTTAGTAAAATTCGAAATTTAGATGCACAGACATGGATCGCCAACGATAACAGTTTAAGTCCGGCACAAGTTGTACGCGCTCGTGAACTTCTTCAAGAATTGCTGATTACAATTACGACGAAACCAAATGGACCGATTGCTGGTAAATTTTATAGAAAATCTGCCGGATAGTTTTTTATAATGAAATTGCACTGATTTATTGAAATAATTGGATTTTCATCAAATACAGTAGAATTTTGGTGAAAATATTTCTATTGTAATGCATCAAACTATTTGTATTGCTAAGCGTAAAATTTTCAGAAGATAGATCGCTGAATTTCATTACTGATTGTCGAGTTTCTGATTATTCTTCACCACGTAGTTTTTCTCAACAGAACACTGAATCTGCACTGCGGAGTGATACTGCAGTACATGGCCGAGAATTGCCGGTTATGCAGAATTCCTTACCTGTAGATTTACCATTATCACTTCCGCAGAATTGGCGTGATGATTCTTTAGCGGCATATTCTGATGCCGGTGAAATGCCAATGAGTTCCCGAAATATGTCCGAAATTTCCGATTTTCGTATGTTTTATCATAAAATAATATCCATCTGATTATAGTTTTGATGATTTCAGGTTTAGTTCAATTACAGGTTTCATAATTCCTGTCTTCAATTGCGAATTTTCTTTATCTGATATCATTTATTGTGCTGCAGGATAATGTTCATTAAATATACTGCATTGAGCAACTTCTAAAACTTCACCTAGTAAATATACTCTACAAAAGGTTGTGGCTCACGAATTGATTATCCAACCCCATATACGGAAGACGCTGAATTCGGGAAGAGGAATGCCAGAGAACATTATCCGATTCATTTAGGATCAGAAAGGCGGAGGTCATACTACCATGACCGTCGTCAAATATCTCGATCTAGAAGCCGTAGCTTAGGAAAAGATTATGGTTAGTATAGATATATTTTCCATAAAAAATGGCTTCCTGGAAGTTACAAATCACTGTATTTTTTTTTTTTTTGTTTATACATTTCATTTACTGAAAAATCTTTTCCCTTCCAGACACACGCATTGGAGAACGACGAGTACATATGAAATCTGGAGGTTTTATTAGCGTTGGAATAAATCATCCACAAAAGGGATCTCGAAAGACTTATTTGTCATATGAGGTTTATGACTTAATTAGTGCAGTACTTATGAATAAAATTGAGGATCAAACTGATCAGAACTTGTAAAAGCTGAAGTGTTCTAGAATAAAAATAGTGGTAATTGAAAAACGCCTTATTGAAAAAGCCCTATCTTATTTGTTGGGAAACTATTTTAAATACTATCTTTTTGTGGTTTCCAAGGACGAGAGCTCATTTTTTGGTTTGAGTATTTATGCCTTGTAAAAATTTCAGACACGTAACAATCACCACAGAGGAGTTAAAGGTGAAAGAAGTTTGCGTCGTTCGTCACCTCGTTTGGTTGCTAAGAGAAGATGCAAAAGATAAGAATGTAAAAGAGGACTAATTCTCAATATGTCTAACTTATAATATCATCCCGTTTTTCAATTAAAAACAGATTGATACTATTTATTTTCAAACATGAGGTGTAGATGGTCTTACATTGTTCTTTGTAAGGTTACTACAATGGTATTTGGAAGTAAGATTGATGCTCAGGACTTTCTAATTTGTTATAATTCTTTAATTGGCTTATGTATATTCTCTTTTCTCACTTGCTACATCCTTCTTCTGTTTTAGTTTTCCATTCTTTGTTTCCATTGCTTTAGTGTTTTTCATCACTTTTTAATATTTTTTTCTGGTATTATTATATAACTAAAACATCTATAATGGGAGCTTTCATTCAAGTTTCTTCGAAGGAATCTTATTGTTGTATTAAGCGGTATTTTGTCCAAGACTTCATTTTTTTGTGATGTCACGACATACTGCTTATAAAAGATTTTTTAATGATGTGACTTACCTTATGCAGTGGTTATTCGAACTTTTACTTTCACCTGTCAGATTAAAATATCGAAGAAAGAACGAGTATGTAAAGTAAATTAGATAAGTATTTTTATTGAATCAATCAAATAATTATTGTATTCTGATGGGATATGACATGAAATTTTATAATTTTTGCTTTTATTAAAAAGGTAAATGGGTTCATCTAATTGATGTCATACCGGTATCAATGACTGGATTAACAAATGAAATGGAGAAAATAATAAGACTGTCTGAGTCAAGTTAGTTTCTTTTTGTGCTATCTTTGATATTGATATAATTAGCAAGTACGGAAAGCATAATGTAACCGTGAAATCTTCTAGACATTGTTTTAATGAGTTCGGTGGAAGTATGATGCTTTATTAATCTAATACGTCAGTGAGAGGTAACCCGCTAATGAAACTTTAGGAATTACTTCTATGAATTGTCAGTGTATGCACATTTGTTTATAGCCTATAGTGCGGCGATTTGTCGTTGCTTGCAAATATTTGAATCGGGTGGTATAGTTGCGTTACCAACAGATACAGTATATGGTGTAGCTACAGCATTACCTAATTCTGATAAACTTTATAAGTTGAAACGTCGCAGTCGTTTAAAACCTCTTGGTCTGTTTGTTAGCAATGTTCGAGAAGTTCAAAGGTTTGTTAGTTTGTTTAATATCTTCCAGATTCATAATAAATGTTGCTAATAAGTAGCAGTGAATGGGTATGAATGGTAAAAATAAGTGTTGATTTTATTGTTAGATGGTGTCATCAGACGATTGATAATAATCAACTAAGGACACTTTTACCGGGACCTGTAACGTTAATCTTTGAACGTTCTACTTCACTTCCAAGCATTTTCAATCCAGAACATGGAACAGTCGGTATTCGGATTCCTGATCATGATTTTGTTCGTTCATTGATGACTCGCTTAGATGATGTTCCACTTGCACAGACCAGTGCTAACATTTCCAATGATCAAAGCAGTCCAGTATGCATTGAAGTATGTTTGAAATAAGTTATGCATCGTGAAATTTACTTGTTTAATACTTGTGTTTAATTTTTTTAGGCCAGTGATTTTTATATTTTTTTAATTTTAAATACAAGTTCCTTTTTTTTTTCTTTTTTTGTTTTTTTTTTTCTTTTTTGCTAATGCTTCCTTTATTTCTTTGTTGAATCACTCAATTGATTTCAAACGGTTAATTTTCGAAGAATTTGAATTTAACAGTTTAGGAGTACTGCAATTTCAATGTTTAGGGATTTCTTTTAGGAGGTTTAAAATGCTTAAGAGCTGCCATGTCAGCATATTTTTCATTTATCTCACTAAGATAATTATAGGATTTCAAGGATTTATGGCCAGAATTAGATTTGATAATAGATGATGGCATAGTATTTCAACGAGATGGTAATGTGAATCGCGAAGGAAGTACAGTGGTAAATCTGAGTATACCTGGTACCTATAGCATAATTCGAGATGGATGGTATGTTTTGGCGAAATCTACTATTATTGATTTCCTTTATCTAAGGGAAAAATTATAAATAATTTTTTAGTGCGAGAACCGCGACAGAGGAAAAGTTAAGAGACTGTGGACTAATTGGGTCATCAGATGGTGATTGCATGCAATGAAATGTTACTTGGACTAAAACCTCAAACTTTTCATAAGGTTTACGAGGTTTTAAACTTTTGCATCACATTTGTCTTCTTTATCATTACGAGAATGCATGATAAGTAGTAAAAAAATTTCTGAATTTTTCTTCCAAAATGGTTTGCTAGGGTCACTAGCATGAAATTCATAAAGCAGTAATTTACGACAGCATATCAATTACAGCATGATCGCCACTTCAAACCGAACTTTCTTCTTTTTCGTTCCGGTGTATAATGTAGTCTTTTGATTGTTTGATCATCCTGAGAATATGGCACTGCATATTGACCACTCTTCTTTATTTCAAGGATCTGTAAATAAATTCGAAAAACTCCAGTTCAATTTTAGTATTCTGAATGTTGTACATTTAGTAAGAAATTTGAGAAAAGAAGCGATTTAATCATACTTGTTCTGTTAGTAAGCCAAATGCATCTTCAATGCCATAATTTGATTTCGCAGATGTTTTCAAAGCATTCAAGAAGCCTCCTTTTTCACGATACTCCTCCAGCTTTCCACTTGTTATTTTGTTGTCAAGATCAGCCTGGAAGGAAGGAAGTGAGGAACAATCAGGAACAGAGCTATGAGCCAACAGTTTATAAGACAATTTATTAACTATAAAATTCCCTAAATCATGTATCATGTCAAAAATTTCTGTTCTGAGAAGTAATACTTTTCATATCAATGAAACAATCGTATTTGTTGAATAAAAATTTAAAAAGAATCAAAAATAAAAGAATTTAAACAATAAAAAGAATTTTTTCTTCTTCTTACAGGAAATAATATTCAAACGTTAGCGCCGAAAAGCGTAACTCGAAATCCTTATTACAATTATATGTAGTTAATCCATTGAAACTTCTCATAATAATCTTCAATTAAGATATAGGAATGGAGAATACCTTATTAGCAACAAGTATGCAAGGTAATGGTTTTCCAGTAGCAAGAGTAATTTTACTATCTAGATCACTTTTCCAGCGCAACGCTCCATCATAGGTATTTTGACGAGTGCAGTCGAATACCACGATAGCACCATGAGCATCTTTATAATACACTCGTGTCATATTACTGAATCGATCTTGACCTAAGTAAAAGTAACATTTGAATATTATTTAAGAGAAATGTTCCTTAAGAAAATAATTTGTATATTAGAATCTGAAATTCCAAAAAAAAAAATTAAATTTTAATCGCATACACTAGTATTTCGTAATAATGTTATGCTAAACATACAAGAGAATGAAATATAGATGAAATTCAAATATTTACCTGAAATATCCCATAGCTGTAATCTTAATGTCGCCTCATCACTCCATATCAAAGTTCTTGTTGCAAAGTCAACACCAACCTAAAATTCTGAATTTCATCTTTGAACTTTTTTCAATGTACGAAGAAGAATGTCTCTTTAAAAAAAGAAGAAAGGAAAACTTTTTATGAAAATTTTTTGAAAGGTTATCGCAGCTAATGGATATATATGTTCTAAAAGTAAAGATGCAAAATTCACATATAAAACTCTGTTAACTTTAATATTTTATGACAAACCGTAGCCTTGTAATGTTGTGTGAATAGATTGTGAGCATAGCGTTGCACGATGGATGATTTGCCGGTGCCAACGTCGCCAATAATTAAAATTTTAAATAGAAATTGATCTTTAGAAGATCCTACATATCCATTTGATGATGTTGATGGCTAAAAACTGGATTTTATCTCTTTAACAATATAAATAATTTATGTGTATTGTTCAATGAAGGTAGGAATAAAATGAAATGACCTGGAAATTTTCCGAAAAAAAATGGTTGATTTGTTTTTACTAAAATTCAATTTAATGTTTTTATTTTTTCATTTCATTGAATTATGCTTCATTTCCTGAAATTCTTACTCGAATTTTTAAATCATATTAAGTTCTGATTTTTTAGACATATAAATTAAGTTATATTGTTTTTTAATTTATATTAAATAATTGTTTACGCTATTGCTTACCTGAGATGAATCCATGAATTAATCTTGATGTCCGCAGAAATTTTAATTTGAAAATCGTTTGCTTTTAACAAATAAGAACAAACAAGAGTGAATGGCTTATAATTGGACGACTGAAATGAAGACTGATAAGGTAAGCTACGATAACGATAATGATAAAAAGGTATGCGGCTCACCTGTTGCTATTACCATTACTTTTTGATAACTGATAAGGAAATATGTCGATGGCACAGTTTGTAGAAAATAGATAGGACTTGCTTCTTTATGATACACATTACGATTGATAATAGTTGTAATCTTTTGAATGAAATCAATGAGAGATGTCTATGTCTAACTATTTATTTCAAAATTTTCGTTTATTAAAATTATTAATTTAATCAATTAATTTTTTATGTGAATAAAGGAGGGAATCAGTTTGTGTGAGAATGTGGCTTACGCAATAAATTGATGTAAATAAGAGGAGAACTTTAAATTATAAGTCTGAAGTTTGTAATTTGATTAGGTAGTGCTGGTCACTTTTTGTTGAAATAACAATTGAATATCATTTGAAACTTTATTTTTTCAGTATACTAAAAAAAAAAAAAACAGCAGTTTGAAAAAATTGGAACAAGAATTTGAGACGGTCCGAAATTGATGCTTTAAATTTTTTAAAATTAATTCTTTGCTTTTCATATTGAAAAAGAAAATATATATATATATATATATATATATAAACAATCAATATATAAAATAAAATGGATCGAAGGAAGCATTTCCTTAAAACTGAACTTCATTTTAGCTTAATTGTGCTGAAACAATTTAGAAGGAATTTTGCGCTTTTTAAATTTGAGAAAATTTCAACAAATAAACGTTTAAATTCTAAAGTTCTAAAGGAAAGAATTTCCTTCAAATTAGAAGCATACACACATAAGTTTCCATTTTAATTGTTATTGCAAAGGAATGATTATTTACACTTTTTAGCTTATAAAAGTGGAAATTTTTAATTTGCTATACTATTTGCTCAATTAGTGATGTCGAATTTTTAAACTTCAAATTTTGCCGTAAGAAAAAAGTAGGAAGGAGAAAAATACATTTGTTGTTTGATCAATTTTTTCTTTCTCAATCAAAAATTTTCCTTATCTGAAAATGAAATCTTTAAAGAAAAAAATTTAGAATTTATGATAATATTTCAGTTACTTAAGTTTTAAATACCAAAAAAAAATTGTTGTTTATTTAATAGAGAACAATTTTAAGAGGATTTGATAAAGCATTCTACGGATGTACATTTAATTAATAGCTTTAAAAAAAACATGAAAATTACTAGTGAAATAAATTAAATTATTGAATGAATAGCTTACGCTATCTAGGCTTATTAAGATCTAAGCTTGAAACTAAAATATATAAGATTCTAATTTTTGACTCTAAAAGATATGGATTTTTTAAATTAAAAGATAAATAAACTTTAAAATTAAGTAAGATATTATAAATGGAATTAAGTTTGAACAACTAATTTTAATGTAACATTTATCTTTTAATTTTTTTTAACATTTATGAAGCATAATGATATTGTAATTGTTTTTTTTTTTTTTTAAATTGATAAATGCTTAATGTAATTAATGATTTAATAATAATAATTAATAATAGTGACAGTAACCAATAATAACAGGAACAGTAATAATAATAATAATAAATGTTTGCTATATTTAACGATATATTTGATTATCATTCATTTCATTTTATTTTGTTTGCAATTAATTTTATTTTTGAATCTTTTGATGCAATTATAGGATATTTTAGAAATTGTAAATGTCTTAAAAAAAAAAAATTTAACATCATACTGGCATACGTTTCTCTTTCATTCTATTCAAAGGCATTTTCAAACAAGTCTTTCCTTCATTTCATTCCTCACTCTAACATTTCAACATGACCGATGCAACAAGCGTGAAGAACGTTGCAGCAATATCAACAATGATTCGCTGCAAGTTGAAGCAATTCTTTCAGAAATATTTCCTAGAAGGTAAGATTAATTAATTAGTAAAGTCGTAGAAAGTAAATGTAATTAGCATATACAATTTGCATTATCCTAGAAATTTGAAAATAATTAGTAATTTTATGGTCAGTGGAATTTGTTTAACAATTATTCATTCAATTGCATTATATAATATAACTTCAGCAAATAAAACAATGAAATTTTAATCTTTTTTTTACTTCGTAATTTATTTCAGTTTTAATTAGTGATAAATTTTTAAGGTTTACTTAGCATATATTTAAATTAACTGTTTTCAAACTGACAGTATTCGTTTTTTTTTTTTTTTTTTTTTTTTAACAACTAAAAAAGTAGAAGAATCTTATATTTGTCGCTGATTACTTTATGCAATTAATGTTAGCATATTATTGAATTTGCAAATCAATGCAAAATTTTACTTTAGGGCAAAAATATTCATACGAGGAAAGAACAATTATTAAAGAAAATCAAGAAAGCATTGATGAATTGTTGATAAAATATCGAAAATTATTTGGTAAAGTAATGATTCCATAATTCAATAATAAATGCTATTACTACCTTACAAACATTTCAATTAATTATTGAAGTTTTTTTTTTTCTTGGAATTTTTAATAAGTAACATTTTAGTTGCAAAAAAAACGAATTGAACTTTATAAAAAATGATAAACAAGTATGCTAAGTTAAACTTCATTTAATTAAAATATTCATATCATTGGTTATCTTTTTTTTAAGGTTTTCTCATACCATTTATTTTTTTCCAAACAATATATTGGTTATTGGTTTTTCGTTATAATTTATATTATTATTTTAAAGATAAATATGTGATGACAATAGTGATGATTTTTGGAGCGTTAATTGGAGGTGTGTTTATAACTAATAACTAATTCATTGATTTTTTTATAGCGCAATATTTTCCTCTATTAGAAAGTGTTAGAAAAATTTAGTAAAATTATAATTTATTGTCAAATTATTGATTGTTTAATTCTTTCTAATTTTTTCTCCTATGTTACTCTTATTTAATGAATTATTATTGTTACTATTGCTAGATGATTTAATTATAAGAAAGGAACTTTAATAAAAAATTTTTATTAAAATTTATAAAAAATTTTTTTGAAAATTTTGATTTTACATTTTTGAAAAAAATAGTGATTTAGGTCTTTCTGCTATGAGATGCAACTAATATTTTGATTAAAAAAGATCTAAAAAGTAATTCTGAGAGAAATAGAATTTAAATTGGATTAAAATGCTGAAATCAAGAATAAAATGTTGGAAATTATTGATAAGTAATTTTAATGAAATGATAATAAGAATGATAATGATAATGATTTGTAGGAATGACAACAGAAGGTGGTGGAGCTATAGCATTTCCAATAATGACATTAGCTCTTAATATAAGTCCTGTTGTGGCTCGTGATTTTTCATTTATGATACAGTCTTGCGGTATTTCATTTCAAATAAATCTATATTTCGTTTCGTATAAATAATTATAAGTGGATTTTAAGTTAATTATTAAATTATTAAGTTAAAATTAGAAAGTTCAAGTTGAATAGTATGAACAATATGACTACAAGTCATTCAGTTAAGTTAATCTGTTTTAGTCTTATTGCAAAATGTTTTTATTCATTATAATATAAAAAATTATTAAGCTGATAAATATGAAATTTTGTTGCTAATTTTTAAATTTGTAATATTATAATTTTTTTTTTCAAAAATTTCACCCATTTAGTGATGAAAAGCCTAAAATGAAGTAAATAAATGATTATAGTAATAATTGGAAATGACCAATGGTCGAAAGAGTAAAACTTTTACTCTTTCTTATCATTATTATCACATCTTAAGGCTTAACTGCTGCATCATTTACTATTTTTTTCACTGGAATATTAATTGAATGGCATTCGATAATATTTTCAACAATTGGTGCTATTTTCGGAGTTATCATCGGACTTGAGGTTAACTTTTCTTCTATTCCTTTGAAGTATTTTGCCATAATAAAAAAAAGATTTAAAAAAAAGCGTGACAAAATGTAAAGCGGTTCACGTACGTTATAATCTATCTGTTTTTTTTTTTTTTTTTTCAATATACTAACAGAATATGAGATCCTCATTAAAATATTTAGAACAATAATTCTAGCCAACAATTTATTGACAATTAATTCGTCTTATTTGGTACTTATAAAATTTGAGAATACCTTTTGCAAATTACCTAATTATTTGCATTGTTGAATCAATGAAATATAAACGCAAAATTTAGAATTTAGTAGATAAGAATTTTCGCTTTGATCTAAAATTTTCAGATAGTTGACCCCTTATTGTCACCAGCAGAAAAGAAAATGACATTTGTTTCGGTGTTTTTTTCATTTGCGATTGCATTATTTATTTTAAATTCTGAAAAAAAGCGCAAAACATTTAATAAAATTGATCAATTTACTCTATCGAAAGCGCTTATTTTAATTATTAATGGATTTATTGGAGGTATAAAATTTTTTAAAAAAATATATATTTGAAGATTATTTCATATTTGCTCTGTATACTACTGTCCTTTACCTTATTTCAGCTTATTTGATGCACTTTAAGCTTTCGCAATTTGATAGAAATTTCTGATGCCATCTTGTCACATTTTTCATATTAGGTAGTTATCCTGTTAAAATGTGCAAATGAGAATTCTGTAAGAGAATTTTAACCGTACCATAACTTTCTTTTGAGAGGAAAATGAAAGTTATTTCAAATGTAATTGAAACTAAAATGATCATATCAATTAATTTTTAAAGGTATTTTTACCGGTGTTGCCGGTTCCGGCATTGATGTTTATTCGTTTTCAATACTTACTTTACTTTTTCGAATAAGTGAAAAAGTCGCAACACCAACATCTGTGGTACTAATGGCAGCAAATAGTATGGTTGGTTTTTTCTGGAGGCAATTTATGCAAAATGAAATTGAACAGGTGATAATTTCTGAATAAAATTCTGAATAAAATCTGAATAAAATAATCATATTAATTAACAATATACATAAAACATTTATTTATTTTTAATTTGTTTTTGGCACTTATTACGATGAAATAATTAAATCTTTTGCATTTCATTCTAATATAAAACAAAAAGAGAAATGTATTGCTAATTATTGTCACATATTTAAATGAATTCATCAAGAATTATGAGAACATATTTCAGGAATCCTGGGAATATTTCTCGGTATGCTTACCTGTAGTTGTAATTTTTGCACCAGTTGGTAGTTTTCTTGCATCATATCTCCATCGACTAACACTTGCTTCATTTATTTACATACTAGAAACAATCGCTTTGGTAAAAAAATAATAATTTCATTTGCTACAGATTATTCATCTCTTTTATTCATAAAAATATTACTTGTAATCGATGCAATTTTTAACATTTTTCTACTAAATTTTAGATTGGTGGTTTGATAATAATTAAGCCTAACTGGCGACTGCTTATGTTTACAATGGTTCTTATCAGTGGCTCATTGATATTTTATATGACAATTGCACGTTATGGGCAAAAATTAATGTTGCAGAAGATAAAAGCATCTGAATTGAAAGAGAAAATAAATAACGAAAACGCAATTGCATCAATTATCTAAACACAAAACTATTGATTGTACTGTTCATTTTAGAATAATTAATTATTACCAATGATAGCTTATCCTTAATGCCTTAATGACTATTTTATCCTTAATGAATAATTTTTATTACATTTCATTTAATTTTCCTTAATGACTAAATTTCATTTAATTCAATATAAAATGAAATTATTGAACTAGAAAAAAGAAAAAACTTTAATATTATCGTTTATTTGTGCCATTTTATTAACCAAGTGATTATGCAGATACGTAATTATTACAGAAATTATAATATGAGATAAAAGGAGATGAAAAGAGTCAAGAAAAGGACTATGGCCAGGTATTTTAGGACATTTTTAACCAAACTATGATGGTACGTACTTGTTCATAAGTATTTAAATTAAGAATAACATATCACTAATATGTCCGCTATTAATTTTCTAATCATTAAAAACATTTTTTGTAGTAGTGGTTGATCACTTACTGCTAGAAAACAGTTTATAAAAAGCAGAATTGAGAATGGTATGTTTTGATAGACTGCCGGAAACAATCGAATATAATCAATGACGCCAAAAACAAATGGATGAACAATATCACTGTTATCATATCAAATTAATTAATGCTGTACAGGACTATTGGCTACTCTTGAATTATTCGGCTCAATCATCGTACTGCTATCTAAATTAATTCACATAATTATTAGAACTTCACTGACACACTTGTAGAAATCCTAATTATCAGTAAATTTAGCTATTTGTTTTTATTAATTTTTTGTTTCGATCATTTCAATGCATTAATTTTTCTTTGATTGCATTTAGGCTCATTTTATTAAGATAATTACTGAATATTAAAACTTATTAGAATAAGTTAAATGTGAGTTTAAACACTAACCCCTCTATAGCTTGATCTTGACCTTTCACGTGGAAAGTTGATGCTATTTCATTTTAAAGTAACATATTAGGTGATAGTCAACTAATTATTTAAATTTTTCTTCTTTTTTTTGCCTTAATTTTATTTGATTTATAAGTTGAAATAAATTTTCTTCGTTTTAAATACTGTTTGCTTAATTAGTTGAAATAGAAGTAGAATGAAGTGATAATTAACGAAGTAAACGATGTGATTTTAACGAATATTTTATTTCATTTTATTTTTTTTAAAAATTAATATATTATAAAAACAAACTTTAGTAGCATTAACTGCCATATCATATCCGTCACATGTCAAGTTGAACAATTTTGAATGATTGTTATATTTAAATTGTATTTAACTGTCACACACTGGTTTAACTGGCTACCACGCATTCTATAATTCAGACATTTCTATTTCTTTCTTATAATATTTTCTACTAACTTCTTCTATCAGACTAATTGTTGATGAATATTTTAATTAATTTAATCTGTTATTATGAATTAGGCATTTCATTTGTGAGTTATCACATATCGTAGTCCGACGATTCATATCATTCGAGCATTGAATGTAATATAAATCTTAGTGATAACCCGCTTATATGCCATATTTGATATGTTCAAAATAAATTGACAATGAATGCTAAAAGTTTGTTAATTTTCACATTTTGTTCATCAATAAACCATTTTTCTCAAATTATTTTTGCTGATTGCAAAATTTAAATGCATTAATCGTTCTTGAAATTAACCTAATCAATATGACTATGATAATTTCATATTTTTTGAATGATTTGACTTTTACATATATGTAATCCTTAAACTATTACTTCTCTAATGAATAATGTAGAAAAAAAAGAGAATTTATTGTTCTGAAATGATTTATTTAATCTATAAACTAATTTCGAAAAAAAATAGTCAAAAAGCATTAAGTAAGCCTTCTTTTGGTAATTTCCAACACGAGAGAAACATTAGAGAAAAGTTCGATATCATGCACAAGCATATTATTATTGATATATAATATTCATATCATATTGCTAAATGCTTGAATACCTGTCGTCATGGAAATATCATTGAATATGTCGTTTGCTATTTGAATGAATGAATGGATTCCGATGTTCTCCACCTGAAACAAACTATTACTGACAAATTACAGCGTAATGGTACGCTTGATAGAATACAGGTATACTTCCTTTTTTTTTTTTAATATGACAAATTATTATTTAATTAATTTCGAGTGCAACTGGCAATGAATTACCGAATTATTCTCTTAATTGGAAATTTAAGGTTAGCCAAACTAAATAAATTTAAAGTTTAAACTTAGTTGAAGTATATGAAATATAGATATGCTGTATCACTTATAAGGTAAAAGTATTATCTGTAAAGAATTGCTTTTTGTAGCAGTAAAATCCTTTAAAGTTGAAAGAAGACAGTTAAATGAAATGTAAAATATATCAAAATGTTTGAACTACTTTCTTGTAAAACACTTCAGTATGCTTAAAAATTTGAATTCAAAAAAAACTTCAGTGAAGATGTCCATTTGTGTAACTAATAATTCAAAATATTAAAAATAGGCCAGGAAAAAAAAAAAGATTCATATACTTATATTAAAATATAGGCGGAATTACGATGCGCTGTATTTCTTGCAATTGAAAGTACTGAGGATAATGAGCCTGAAGCGGATGAAAGTAAATTGGACCAGAAGCTTGGCTACTCTATCATTTATCATTTCCTCAGGCAAAATCGATTCCTAGCAACAGCAGCAGTTTTCGAGAAAGAAATACATCAGGTAATAAAATTATTGATCATAATGTCATAAAAACATTTTGATGGCTAATTTTTTTTTTTTTTTTTTTTCAAATATATCTTTTGTTAGACTTAACATAGCCTTTGAATATTTCCACTTAAATTTCAGAGAATTATTTCTTTGGAAGAATTGAAGAAAGAAAATGCTGCAACATTTTGTTTCCAATTTTTTGAAGATAGTATTAGTTTATCTAATTTCAATTTAACCGGAATAACTAAACAAAACATAAAAGAAACATATTCTGCTGGAATTGAAAATAATGAAACGAGTAACAATGATTCGAATTTTATCTTATCTTTTAAACAAAATAACAACAAAAAGGATAATATAAGAGTTATCGAAAGGCAACAAACAGCTAATTCTGAATCGAATAGAACTATGAAAAGTTTTCTATCGAACAATGAAATATCAACTGATACAAAGGGATCCTCAGATAAAAGGTACTTTTGCCGTTATTAATTTACAAAATGCATACTTTCACTTCAGTTGTTTTTTTTGCAGCCATCTTTTACTTACATTCACCAACTATTTGTTCCATAACGTTGACAGCGCATTTTATCGTCAGTGACGCAAATACGTGATGTGATGAGATAATTATCAGTAAATTTAGCATCAGAAACGAAGGAAGCAATGAAAAGGAGAGATGGAATGATGGTGCAACAACTGAAAAATCAAATTATGATAATAATAGTGATAAAGGGGAAAAATACAAGAAAGGAAGGAGTTTAAGCTCAGACTTAGCAATAATTTCTGAACAACAACAACAACAACAAATTCCAAAGACATCTTCAATTGTGATATCGAAAGATCAGCAACAACCTACCAAATATATAACATCTTCATCATCATATCCCAGAAAACTTCCACCAATTAAATCAACAACAAATGAATTAGCGCAATCAACAAGATTACCTTCTATACCATCGGTAAATAATTCATCGAATCATACCGGAGAAGTACCATTTTCACATCTGCTAGATACCATATTAAATTCACCATCGTCTAATAAAAGCGAAACAGGTAAATTCCTAACTTAAATTCACCTAAGAATTAATGCCATTTTTGAAGTTCTCCAATAGTCTTAGTCTATTTAATTTTATCACAAAATCTAGTTCTTATTGTTTTTAGCATAGCATTTGCATTCTTTGTGCCAATTTTTAAAATTCTGGAGAATCTACTGATTATGTTGAAATATGTATTACAGAGGAAGATATTATGGAAGAAATCATTCCCGATGATCTGCTACAGTCCGATAACAATAGCAGTACCACTATTTCATTCTGAAATAGTAATCAAATCTTTTGGAAGTAATGTGGGTTGCAACTTCTTTTTTAAAAAAATTAACTTAGTATAAATTATGCCTGCCTAAATGCCAGCAACTCACTATTTTCCAGTTGTTTACTTCGAAAAAATATAAAAATGTAACCCTTTGAAAAACAGATTACAACAATAAAAACATTTTTTGATAAACAGAAAATACAAACGGCAAACTTGTAGAAATGAATTTTATTTTCTTACTCAAATATTTAGAATTATTCGTATTCGATTTCAAACAAACCAAACATAGAAATATACTCAAAACTGCGAATCCAGTAAAAGCTTACAAATACGTATTGTGGCACTTCGTGACTTTTAAAATTTTAACAGATTGATCGTTATGAAATATAAGATGTGAAATGACTATATTTATTGAATGTGAGATCACTAATTAACCTAGAGAAGAATATATCATCGAGGTTAATCAGTCAATAATGTTCAATACATTTCTTGGCAGATGTACACGCTTGAACAAAAACCTTTAAAATTATATCAAAAATAAAATTTCAAAATTAAACACTCAAATTAATTAATACAACAATTAAGTCAGCAACCCAAGAGAAAATACTGATACAGATTCCATAAAATGCATCTCAAAATGATTAATTTTAAGAATTAAACAAACTGATGCAAGAAAATGACACAAGAAAAAACATGAAATTAGGATCGAAGTTATGCAAATATATAGAAAAAGAGATAAGTAAACAATTTACAATATCGCTTTTAAAGAATAAGTCGTTAAAAAGATGTTCTTTTAGATGACTTGCTAGCAATCAGTAGAACAAATAATTCAATTTGCGCTAAAAAAGCATCACATGGATCGAGAAGTCCACGCTGTAATGCTTTCGGTATTGTTGTTCGATGGTCAAATATCTGAAGGCGTCAAATTTTAAATGCATAAATTTTCATTAAATAAATTTGGGAATTCATTGCATGTGAGATGATTTTATTTCTATATTCAAGTTCTTTCAGTCAAAATAAGCTTTGCTGTGTTTCTTTGAGGGAAGCTCTAAGTTTTCTCAGCGGTCGGACTCCACTAACACATTGTAACATAGACGATTTTTATCCTTGATCGTCCCTTTAAGTCTCTCTACGTATCATTTATCACTTAACTACAGTTAATACTTATTTTTTGAAAAATCCAATAATTAATGGGAAAGAAGACATTTGCTTTGGGGCTAATCTTATAAATCCGTCACAAGATAGTGCACGTTTCGTTGTTTTAATGACTAAATTTTTTAGTATGCGTTAAGTTTAGCATTTCTTAATTCAAAGAAAAAATCTCACTGTATTTGTTAAACACACATAACACAAATTACCTGCAGTTTACGTAAGATTTCATCAATAACAGGAGGATTCCATTTAAAGCGATCAATGAAACAAATTTTTGGATCCACCACCCACCGTTCACAGATGAATCGACGAAAATCACGATTTACATCGACTGCTTTTTCCTCCTCTGTCTTAAAACGCAGCAAGCGTCATCATATAGATAAACATAACAAAGTCAAGAATATCTAAACTTATACAACTGAATAAACTGATAGAATAAGTCAAAACAACGCACATAATCATCTGAACTATGAAAGGATTACTTTTATTATAGAATTACCTTTATTTTCATATATGTATTGATCAATTCGGGCAAAAAACTGACTTGTGCGCTAAAATCCGTCTGAACGTTCACTGAATCATGGAATTCACAAATGAAAGAACTGTGTACCTGTGAAGAATTCACAAATATATGCCAAAGATTAGTTTTTATAATTAAATATATGTATATAATGAGAAACCTCAGGTACAAGAAACTCTTCATCAGCTTCTATCCCTTGTTTCTGTAACGTGGATAGAACAGCATCCAGTGCAGGAAATCTGCAAGTTTTGACAAATAAATCATTTCCATCACTTTCAGGAAAGAAAAATATAGAGTATTCATTCACAGTCAAACGAAATGCAATGTGTATAAATTAATAGATACAGAATACAAATGATATTAAATGTTCCAGCTTACTGAAATAACTGAAGCACAGAATGATGCGCAGCTGGCTGATTCAAATTAGAAGGGATGTATTTAAGTCGTATAAGTACATCACCAATAACATGATGAAGACATGCCAGCACTGAGCTCATTTGTCGCACCATACTTCCCCTGCTCTGCTGTAATGAATTTACAAATTTCGTTAATAACTGTTTTATTGATAGAGTGCATCAAAGTAAGTTTTAGGATCATATTATTTTCTGGAAAAAGCAATCAAATTAACCTGAACACGACATACAACAGCCATACATTCGGTATCGCCATGCTGATATGCCATATCACCTAGCCTGATGTTAAGCCGTTGAGCAACTGACACACCAACATCCCGATTATCGCTAACAAAGATGTATCGTGCTTCTGGTTCAAATATGATTGTTGGTTGTCGCATATGGAACAGCGCCCAGCTACAAAGTTGATTGAACTGTACCACAATGGACAAGAATGAAACCACAAAAATGGATAGAACACCCAATCAAATAATTAAGCTCTTTTAATTTTAAAAATTTATGAACTGTTGAATATCCCGGCAGTAATATTTACCTAGTTGCATTCATTTCCCCATGCATGCAAGCTAAAGATAAATTTTGTCCAGACAGTTCCAGCACACCACCCACAATGGTCATCCCATCAGAACTCTTCGGCATTGGTAAAAGTTTTTGACGTGATTGAATATGTGTTAACAGATCGAGCACTGGTTGCCAATGATGATATTTGGTGAAATTTACAAAATTTTTGTCGTCGACTTTCGGAGAAGCTTCATTCACCGCCACAGCACTTCTGATACCCCATACCATTCGACTATTTGTTAGCTGCTCCTACACTGATATATGTCTTTATTGAATGACGTAGGCAATTGTTTTCAAAGCTAATCCCATCAAAACATTAGATTTATTTCACTTATAACTTATATATAATTTATTCACCAAGTAATTAAATTATCATACCATCCCTAATTTTTTTCGAAAAATATATAATAAAGAAAAGGACATTTCAAATATGAAATAGAAAGAAATTTTTTAAACCTGGAAGAATGACTGCAATTTTTGAGCGATTTTTATGAGATCATCCACGGTCACTTTTGTTATAATCAGTTGTAAATCTGACCAGGAACAAGTAATGTTGACAGCTACGGATGCTTTTACAACCTTAAATATTTTCCATGTGATATTGTTTTTTGAATGATATTTTGCCATTTAACCAAGATTCAAGGTCCAAACGGAATTTTGCTAAAGCATGAATTTAACTTAAAGTAACTATGAAAAAAAAAAAAAAAAAAAAACCAACGTACTTCGCCTGCATCGTCAAAAAGGGATATCCACTCATCTAAAAACGTGACTGATGGTTTTTCGCACTTTGCAATGAATATTGGTCGACTCATCCACTCAATTCGACTTTGAACTTCCTTCAACTCCAACTTCGCACAATTTCGAGGAGGTTTCTATAAAAAAAAAGACTCAGTAATAAAGTGGCATATTTATAGAACATTATAGCAGATATGAATACTTTTTTTTAATATAGATAAAAGAAAAAGAGACAACTACTAAAATGCAGGCGTGATGAATACGGCAAACCAAAGAGAACTTCCATGGAAACTTGCCAAAGCAGCTGTTTGATTTTTGCATGCAATGTGTAAAGATGTGATAGCAATTTCGCCTGATATTGCACCACCGTAAGCTGATAATACAGCTGATTCTAAACCAAAGTTGATTGAAATTGCTCTACTTTGTTTTGAATTAAGCTGAAAAAGAAAATTTTTGAAAATAAAGAAAAATTAATTTGGTGATCAGATATACATACGTTGCTTAATCACTGGTCAAACGACCAATGCAATACTTGTCCAATAAATAATTGCCAGGTAATTTATTTGATAGCAAACTAATATGTTTTTAATCTTAACAATTAGGAAATGACTGAAATTAATACATTACTTGACAGTAGCCACGCAAAACACCTTCACGTAAAATCAACTTCGTATTTCCCATTGTATTAGCCATTTGCGCACTGATATTGAGTTCCTTCCATTCCACACCACATATTACAGCAGCACTCCATTCCTTTTTCTTAAAGATGTCTTGTTCTGACGAAACCCTACAATCACTAAGTAATGACATAATAAAAGTTTTCGTGAATACAAAAAAACGAGACGAAAAAGATAAAGGTGAAAACGCTTCAAAAACACTATCACTTCAGAACTTAATTCATGAAAATTTGAGAAAGTGATCTAACCTTTAAAATGGTTAGAACAAATTCAATTAAATTTAAATCATTGAATAATTCAATCCCAACAACAGAAGAAGCTAACTTATTAGAAAGTGGTCTGGATGATGCGTGACTCATTACAAAAGAAGTTTCAGTATTATAAGTTGGAGTTTTGACGGAATGGTCTCCAATGAACAATCTGCGTACAATAGTGTGCCGGTACCACGGTTTCGGAAAGGAAATTAGTTCCGCAAGGCGACGCATATCATAATTGAAATTAGCTGATCCAATATTTGCAGTTAATACGAACTGTAAAAGCAAGCAATTTTGGTCTTTCTCCATTACTTCTATAATAATTTCTTATCTGAAAAAGTCTCCTCGTAATCATTAAGGTTACCTGAACTTTGTTGTCTGATTCCAAACGACTGTTTTTACTTCTCGAAGCTAGAATCAAAAGATGATCAAGTGTAAGCAAAAGAGCATCTTGAGCTGTAGAACGCTAAAATTTTGCTCAACGTTAACATATTTAGAGATAGCATTGGGTAAATGAAATTAAAAAGTGTTGGTAATGCAATCAAAATTTATTATAAATTCACATTAACTTGAACTTAAATATAATAAATGAACGATTACCAACTTAAACTCATTTACCGAAATACGAAAGTAACCTGACGAACTGAAAGTTGGTCAGAAATCCATAAAACATATTTCAATAAAACCTCACTTAGTTTATAATGGTATCATCATTCTAGAAGTATACCTGATGTGGACTATAGATATTCAACGAGAAAGCACTTAATGTTGCAGCAACGTGTATTCCACCTCCAGCCGTATCAGTGACACTACCAGTTGCCCCGTCGCAGTGCGGCCTTGTTGATGCCATTAGTGTAAGTGATGGAAGCTTTAGCAAACAATCAGCTGCAGCTGTACGCTTAAATGAATTAAACAGACAGCTTTGAAAACTTCACAATAAATTGTTCTTTGCATATTTTATTAGCTAATTCGTTGATCTCGATTATTTCACTTACACATTACCATATATTTATTGTTCCAATTTATTTATGACTCAAACAAACTGCAAAACTAGTATTATAAATTAATTTCAGTCAAATGAATTCAATGAAAATCAGTTCCGAACAAGTAAATCCAAAAAAATAACTTTACGAAGAATATTTACTGCAAGACTGCAAGTCTGCAGTATTATACTATTTTTCGAAATTTCTCAACAAGAGAAAAAATATCGTAAAGATAATAGGAATTACCTGTTGTTGACCTTCAAATCGAATTGCAGAAGACTGTACTGTTAAATGGAATAAAACATCAAGGGGAATTACAGAGGTGTCCATTTCAACAATCGATACATCATAATCAGTCATTTCATTCTGATCCAAGTTTGAAAGCTAAATTCTTGGATAATTGCTAGAAGTATAACTGTGGGTTTAAAACAGCTGAAACTTAAAACTGAGTAATAAATTTTGGTTAAAAGAAATAATATTGGAAATATAAAGGAGTAAAATAGCACACGAATTTTAAGCAGAAAAAACTCCACCTCGGAAGGAATTTAAAAAAGAAATCAATATTGCTTTAACAATAACTTACATTTAACGATGAATTTATATTATTTTCAGGAATTGTCGCAAACATTTGCTCAAGAAAATCGGCAAGATGTGGTGTTATTAGTGACTCTTGTGGCATGCTTGCCAATTCGACTGCAAGATAAAAGGCTGGCCGACGCCACTGGCTGAAAAAATTTTTAGATTGAACTACTTAGCCTCTACTCGTACTCGTACAATTCCTCATTAACTTTCCAGTTTTATGTTTCATGATGTATGAAATTTCTTTAAAAATGATAGTAGAGTTTACCTGGATCGTCCATATTTATGCAAAAACGTAGCTTGGACATGACGTGGTATTTGTTTGTGTATTTGACCTGTGTCAAGTGAAGTATAATAAGCTCGGATGTCAACACTGAAAAAGAAGTAAAGAACAAGGTAATAATGTCAAATATCAAATTGCAATTTCAAAGTATTATTTAAATAAACATTTAGCAATTACTGCTTTCCATTACGCAGAAGATTCATTCATTGTAACTAAACCTTGGAATTGCAAGTTTTGTGACTGCTACATATTCACTTGTTTGTGCCATTTTTGACTTCAAATCTCGTACAGACGGTCGTTTCGATGGCAGACCTGTATTCTCTTCTAATTTACCAAATGCCCGCAAAGTGCATGAACCAGATTCGATACCTACCTGAAATTATCTTCAATGATGCGGTACAATTCGAATTCGAAAATATCTCAAATTTCACTTCCAGGACTTAAAGTTTCTGGATAAAACATACCTGTACATCGATATTCATGTCAACTGTACTTGACATAACATTACTCTCTGATGAACGTCCGCTTGAAGACCCTCTTTCCGAACATTTAGGTAATCCACTGAGTTGCAAACCCAACACATTTTTTCTTGGAGTATCAGTGATCTGTGATGGATCGTCCGATTGTTCAGATGATAATAAATTTACCACTTGCCTTGCTTCATAATTTCCGACAGACTATAAAATTTTTTTTAATTAATAATAGGAAAAAACAATTCCTTTAAACAACAGTTTTCGGCCTCAAAATATTTGAATGATTGTAAAAAGTTTAACTGATCAACACGTTTTTATTTCAGAGCTGTAATGTACAAAATAATACAAGCAAAAGATGTGGTTTCGCAACTAAAAATTTTATTTATAATGAAATACTCTCGAAAATAACCTTCTTCGGCTCCATTAACTTTTTTCTTTGGCGACTGGCATTGCGTTTCAGCTTTTCAATTATTGATTTCCGAAACTGCCTAAACCGAGCCGACTCCAGTTTACGCAACGTTCGTCTCTCCTTTTCGATAGCCGGCTCCGATGCACCACATTGCATCAAGTCGGTAACCAAAACCGACTGTTCGTGCATCTATAAATCCAGCAAAAAAAAGTAGAAAAATTTTAGAGAAACGAAAGAATTGTGAAAAACAACTTCCAATATTGTAATTTTTACCTTTTTTGACACACTTTTTCCATTTGAAATTGAGATATTATGTTGTTTCAATGTTACTAACTTTAAAAGCATAAATGCTGCAGGACTAACTTTTCGCTCCAGCCACTGAATTCGTTCTTCAGGTTGCGCAAGACTGCCGAGTTCACCTGTAGCATCAATTTCAGCATCTTGTTCATCTTCATTACCATAGATAACTGATGATGACTCATTTGCCAATTCTTCCCAGTCTTCTTCACTAATATCGGATGTAAGCGATGAGAAAGTACTAATTAGAAGTGACGCATGCTTACCGATGCGCTAAAAGGCTATTTAATCACAAATATTCTATACATTTGTTAAACACAAAAACACAAAAAATTTACAAGTATTTTAAAGTTTTGATTTTGCATTCACATTAGAAAAAATCTTTTAAAAAACTTGAAAGGAAATGTAACAAAACGACATTGGTAGATCTAATTTGAAAAAAAAAAAAAAATTAAAGTTAATAGATAGCTTACTTGATCTAGATCGATCATCATTCCACACATTTGCCATTTTATTGATAAAGTCCATTTAGCATTCTCGGATGAGTCAGAAGCAGCCGTTGCACGTGAAACAAGTTGATAAGTACCTTGAGGAAAATAGAAGTAATTTGAGCGCGATGGATCACCAGGTTCCTCCTCAATCCAAGTATCATTCAGGGCCTATGAAAACTGATTATTTTACACTGCAGCATAATTCTTCCACAGTGGATATTGATTGGCACAATTTCTCGTACATATAAACATTACGAAGAAATTTTTATGATGGAATATTTAGAAATATTTCGATTACTCTCTTTAAAATTTACAAATTATTGTAAAAGTTTGCAATTAAAATTAAATTGACCAAAAAATTTCGTCTTATAAGAATAACGTGACTAAAATGAATATGGATTCATATAAATTAAATATTTACTAAGTAGCATTTGACAATCACCTGATCATCGAAATTGTCGATAAATTTGACTTTAAATTTATGAAACTTTGCTTGACATGCCAATTCTTTCTTCACGCAAACACTAATATCCGTACTTTGCAACGAAATAAGCAGCGCGGAGAGGTTTTCACTCAGGTCTGCACTATATAAGGGCATACAAACGTAAATACCATTGGTTACTTTCAACGACAAACTGACATTCACTCCTGTTTCTGCATTCTGCAAAGTAATTTCGAAGATATTTCGTATGGGATTTTGCATAATTTATTCCAAAATTATTTGAACTTATTTCGCTTATGTCATTCGATTAACAACTAAGAAATTTCTATAAAATAATTAACCTTCATTATAAAACAAATCATCAGTGAGCATACAAATAGGATATACCAAAATACAAGCATTATTTTTCAATGCCAAATTCCAAAATTTACTCGCTTCTCCTAAAAAAAAGAACTTACTAGAGGTGTTGAAACATGAGTTGTCGCAAGAGATGAACGCCGCGTTGATTTTAACATTTTCTTTCGTTCTTCATGCCAAAAGTCGTAAGTATTTTTGTAATTTAACCATAACAAGATTGCCTAGAAGAGAATGAAATATGCCAACTTAAACTAACAAAGCATACAAAAATTCTATGCAAAGGTAAGTTATATCCAGATGTAAAAAAGCTCGTTAACAAAGAATGGTAACTATTGATAAAATAACTTACTTTATCAATTGCGGATGATTTAATGAGAAGAATAGGACGATTTACCGTAACAACATAACTATATGAAGACGGTACACTGCTGCGTTTATTTTGTAGAGTTATCTAAATTTTAGCAAAAGTAACTGTCCATATTTAATTGCAACCTCATCAAAACCTTGATTCATAAAGACATGTTCATTTATTCTTCTTTAATTTGAAAGGCATAAAAAGTGTTTTCAAAATTTTGATTTAGTTATATCTTAAATAATTCTTTAAAAGAAAAGAAAGGCGAAATCAACGCTAAATCCATTTGTTTAAAACCAACTAATTTTAATTTGATAAGCTACAGATATTTTTAACTTGCTTACAATTCCTATGAATGATACTGCCAAGCTGGAACGTATCCTAACATTATTATTCATTCTATTAGCGTAGTAAGGTATTTAGTTGGCAGAAAAATTTTATGTTTTGAGGTTTGAAATCTGACACAAAAAGAAATTTCACCTGTGTCATAAATGTTGCAAATTCTTGTAGTTCAGTTTCAATTTCTTCAAACATAGCAGTTTTAACCAAAAGACCAAGTTTAGCACTCACACCAATTACCGCTTTCCCATATAATCTTTTCTGAACATTTATTCACAGTGACTTTGACTTTTCTGATTTTTTAGCAATCGAAAAAAAAAAAAAGAAAGAGGCAATTTCTTTGTTACCGCTAAAAAGAAGTAAATTCTCTTTGTTATCTTCTAAATATTTGCCAAACTACTCACTTCAAATATTTTGAAGTTCTAAAACGATACATGAAATTTACCGTTTCTGACCGTACTCCTTTTTGCATCCAACGATTCGTTAAGGTAGCTGTGATATTATCGAACGTTAATCGAACTGCAATTGAAGTCGGTGTACTGGCAGTGAGCTGAAGCCAAGGGGCTGTCTCTCCACGTAGCTAAAGTTATATATATATATATATATATAATAGTTTTGCTTAACTATCAAAAAAGCTAAAGTGCCTCATTCCGAATCTTGACATTTGTTCCTGACAAATTTGAGCAGGTAAATCATCATAGCATGAGAGAGCAATACGAAAGCAAGGAGTGCTATTTCTGCTATTTGTTACAGAACTTATGGAGTAGGAAAGTGACTAGAACTAAACGATTTTCCAAATTAAATGAAAAGTTTAGAAATTGAAAAATTGCTATGAAGATAAAGAAACTCTAATACTGTTTCCACGCTCATTATTAGAGGTTTTCAAAACGACAAAATGATTAATAACCATGTTTCCACAAATTAATTACTTAATAATTTAATCCGTATTAGAGTAAATAAATGTTGCTTTAAGAAGAAACATATGGTATTATCAAACATCAGATAAACAATAAATACGCGAAAACAGTAACCGAAACTTACGGTAATAGTGAACAGGAATGGATCTTGCGAAGGAAGCTGTTCGGAAGGTGCTGGTGGACGAATAGTTCGGTCGTCAATAATTCTGTCAATCAGCGATACCAGTTCAGTACGGAAACACTGTTCCGCAAAAAGAATTTGATTAAGTAAATCTGTGGTGAATACATGCTCTAATTTACCTGAAATTTGGAGATAGAAATAGAATTTAATACATTTTCAACAATAGAATACATTCATTATGACCTAAACAAAAAGAAAGATAAATAAAATTTTAATTATGCACACTACTTTGTTTAACATTTCGGCAAGATATTTTGATTAAATTTAAGTACTGAGTATTACCGACTGTCAAGACTACATCGATGTATCCACCTTCCCTGAAAAGTAAATTTTCGTCCCCCATTTCATCCATAGGCTCAATTTTCTCCGGCATGCGATATGCACCCTCAGCAGAAATGTGAGGAAGTACTAGCGTAAAGGTATCCGAATTCAAAGATGTTCGTTTTTCATCATTGGGTGCAATAACAGTGAAATGAACAACGTGGCTTTTAATTCGGCCGATAAATTTTGATGCTGATCCTCTGAAATTCATTTAAAATGAAAAAAAAAAATTTGGTTGCCGCATTAGATCTCAATTTTAAGGTTTCTAAACTTTGCATAAATCCACTACTAAAAGAAAACGAACGTATTCCCAGAACTCTGTGCTTGATCAAGTCGATATTTCACTTTTAGTGAGGGCAGTAACTGAGCAGACAGTTCAATGCTGCTTATTAGAAGTTCGAAATTCAGAACCACTACATTTTGTCGCTGTTGCAAATGAGCTGAATATTCACCAACGGGCTGAAATAGTTTTTAATTTCAGAAAAGGAAAAAACTGAAAAAAGAGAAAGCAAAATCACATTTACCATATTTTAACCCACTATTTCATTTATGAATAATAGAGCGCAGCAAACAAACAAGTGAAATACAAGAATTGATGATACACAGGAATACCGTTGGAGCGTTATATTCTAGACGAGTTATCTGCTCGTTCAATTGTGAAACATTCCTGAGGACAACTTCATGAAGATTCTGAGCATAAATAGGTGTGTCACCTTCGACATCACCAATTAGTATTTTAATACGACTTCTCACCGATCCTTTAATATATTTCTCCCTGTAAGTTAAGCTTTTCAACTAACTTTCGAAATCTCAATCCTTTTAAGAATAGATAAAAACAATAAAATTAGAAACCTTTCAAATTTTAACGAACTCGTTTTGACCAAAAAGCTAACGATATGCTTGGCATCGTGACCCAACACAAATTCAGATAAAATGAGATTAGCACGTTGAATGGATGCGTTCAATTCATCCATTATCTTATTATCTATTATCTTATCTCGCCGATTCACATGTTCAACCTGAAATGTATTTAACTTTCCAATGATTCTGAAAACTTGCTTAAAACGGAAAATAGAACCTATGTTCTCAATATTTTCTATCAATTGTAATTTTCTATTCAGAAACGAACCCGTGCCCTTTTTAGTGTCGCTGAAATATATAAGTGAGTAAGCGTCATTTCAAGCACAGCAACTTTAATATCCATGTTGCCATCCACTTTCATTTCTAACACCTCCCCGCTGAACTGTACAGCACCAATCCGAGAACTGAAATTTCATATAAAGGAATCTAAAACAGAATTTAAATCGATATAAGTAGCATAACAGGAAACAAATACCCCAAATAATCTTGCAGTTTATCGATCACATTATGTAACCAATATGTTGAATCGGTAATGCCAAATTCAGAAGCTCCGAGATTTGAAAGGGATTTTGAAATACGCATTGTTTCATTCGGTCCTTCGCATGTTTCTGCCATCTTCAAATGTGCGAAAGCCGATGTGCAGGAGCGAATTACTCGTGAAAGGTCGTTAAAAAGACAGACAGCCACAAAAGGAAATACCATACGTATGTTTTGTAGAGAAGAATTATACGATAAAAATATGAAAATCCTGGAAATTTGGATTTTATTTTATTGAATTAACTAATTTTCTAGAGATCTGAAGTTAAAATCTATATTTAATGAAAATCATGAATCGAAATTCTTTTTGTTAATGAAAAATCTTGACAGTAGAACAGAAAGTTATTAAATGATCAAAAAAAAGAAGAAAATGAAAGGAGCTATTTTTTATATCTATACATGCAGATTCATTCTGGGAAATGAAAACTTTTTTCATATACCTTGTAAGACGAAGTTTAAATTCATCAAAACGCGGTTCTGTATGAATCTGCCCCATCATATCAAGTGAATCCAGGTGTAAGAGGTGGTGTCTTGTAGTAGATAAGTAGTTGACGCTTGATGCAGAAATCATTTTTGGTTCCAGTATGTCAACCTGAAACAGCATATAGCGCATTATCACTAAATGCTTCGATTCGATTTTCGACTTTCAGAATTAGATTCTCGATTCCTACAATTATATTCTGTAAAAATTTCAGCATAGAAAAATTTTTTTTTTTCAAATAAAAATTTAATATGAAATATGGCTCTTTAAAAAAGAGCATAAACCAATGCTTATAGCTTACTATCCGACAAAAGTCAAAAAATGCTCAAAGAACATCACTTTGATATATATATAATCTTTATAATTATATGTGCAACTATTTATAAACTATTTTTGATCAATTTTTCAAGATATTCCTTTGTACGTCATCTGTGTTGAGTTTAACATTAGCTAAACAAACAACGAAGTACCAATGTAACATTAAGATGAATTTAAAAAGAGTTTTATAATAAATTTGAAATCTTTTTCCACATTGCTTTTTCATGTAATGCGAAAAAATCAACCAAAGATAGAAGTGATAAAACACTTTAGTAAATAGAGTCTCAAGACATAATTAAAGAAAATTTCAAGTTTTTGTTATATGTTGTTATATATCAACTAATTTCAAAAGTGAAATTCCATGTCATACATATTATTATTTCAGATCATTTAAAAAATTTTTGAATTGTACCTTCACCGATATTAATTCAACCGAAAACTTAGCATCAATGTTAGCCATCGGTAACAGAATATTTGCTTTTGAAGATTCAAGTCCACGTGCCTGAAATAGATCAATTTAAAAAGTGTAAACAGATCAATCGTAATATTCCAAGTTGCTGAAGTAGAAATTGCTGCAGGCTTCATTTTTACAATGAAATAAAGTGGCAAAACCTATCTTAAAATGTTATTTTATTAATACAGTGGGAACTAGTAATAAAAGATAAAATAAATGCATCAGAATACATAACTTACAAAACTTTCGTTTTTCTATCTAAAATGATACTATTTCAGACTTGTCCCAAGCATTTCGACCGCTTTGGTTACAGATAATTTAACATACCTCATAAAAAGACCAAAAGAAAGCAGACAAAGCAATTTCCATGGCATTTATCGGTGTATCATCCAGTAGCTTTTTGGTAGTTCTATTTCGTGCCGCAGCTTCTTTCTGTTCACGATGCTTAGCCAAAACCCAGTGATATAAGTCCACTGAAACATATATTTTTTGATCTTCTCAATCCTTCAGATCCAGATGAATCAAATACAGCATAAATACAATCCCCAAATATCAGCATTAAGTTAATTTAATATTAATGCAGCTACTGAAAATGAGATGAATAAAACATATCCATAAAAGAATAAAAAAAATCAAAATAGAGTAATTCTACTTGTTTATGCGTATCCTATCGTGCTCGTTTATGTACAATAAAATGAGTAAGCTTTTCGATAAAACCTGATCACAAAAAATTATATCGAAAAATAACATACTTTGATGAGATTCGGCAGTTGAACGAGCGCTACTGTTACCACTGTTTTTATCAACAGTACTACCCAAATGGTTTGAATCAACAATTATACGAATTTCATGTGAACTTGTGGTATTTTTCAGATGATGTTTAAGATATCTGTGTGCCAATTCAACATTTGAGATCTGCAGTTAACAAAACCCGATAAAATCAGGACCAACATTAGTGATTAATTTTGTGCCGAATACATTCTAAAAATACCAATCACCAGACCTTCCATTAAGTCCAATTGTTAGGCTGTCTAGGTAAGACATTTAGTATCAGTTGACCAAAATTGCAGACGATCCCATTACGATATATACGAGAAAATAAAGATAAAGAAAGCAAATAATGGATGGCCAATGGAAAACATTCTAGTAATTATCTTCCTTCAGATTTTCCGACACTTGCTTTCCAACCATAACCAAATTACAACTTATATATAAATTACATAAAAACAGTTGACTCCATCTTCAGAAACCATCACCTTGACTTGTGAACAAAGAATAGTTTGCCAGTGACTGAGCAAAGCTACTAATGCTTGTTTTCGCCGTTTTTCGTTCAAATAATGTCGCATTTCCGAATAATCTACTTGTTGCCAACAATCGCTCAGATCTTCCTGGGCAACATAACGCAATAAAACTATCGCTAACAAACAACTGGGACATGAAGCTGCAGCCTTATTATACAGCTGCACATCCGAAAAACAACTTTTTTCGAATATAAACAGCTGAAACACAACTTCTAATAATTATTAGAAGTTAATTAGAAACTGCTAAACTATATATAATAAAGTAACTAAAAGATAAATTATGAATAACTGAACACACAACATACAAGATTCTCCTATTTTTTGCGACACAAAAATTGCGCACCTGACCATTATTGCAATCCATTACTTCCCATAGCAATCTTATTAGTGCAAAATCTATCCATTCATCCATAGCTGCCATATTTTTTGTTAAACTTCCGCTTAATCGATTAATAGCATATATCCAAGAAGTTACACAAGGTGCAAAGACATCAAAAAAAGGCCATTCCACGCTTTAAAACGATGAAAAATTAGCAATCGCAAAACGAAATGGCTTTTACAGATAAAACAATTTTTCTAAGAACCATCACCAAAATCTTTAAAGATTTGAGCTTCTTTTTTGAAAATGCATCTTCAACAAATGATATAATCAAACCTGGCTGTTTGTCCAATTGGTTTACATAAACCAACTGTTAATCCACATGGTCCGATCATCAAAGACAGTTGATCTTGTGCACCGAATGCGTGTAATTTACTGTTCACCCCACCGTTATTCACTTTTAATGTGAGATCAGGAAGTTCACTATCTGTAAGAAAAAAGTGTAAAAAAAAAGTGAAAAAATATTGATGAAATTTTTAAAAGTAGTAAGAAACGCTTGTGATGCTTTTAAAACATAATCTGATACATAAATAAATATAAAATAAAAACGATCGCCAACTTTACTGCTCAATTGACAATTAATAACAATAATACATTAGATTATATATTGGAATAAAAAAACATTATTAGGTTACATTTTCAACCAACCTATAACAACTCTTAGGTCATATCCACGAAAACGATTGTTTAAATTCAATTGATTCCAGTTTGTACAGTATTTAAGGGAAAAAGATTTATTGTACGCGAAATCTAATTTCCATGATTCAACCAACTGGAGAAACTGTGCATGACTTTTCAAGGTTAATTCCATTCTTGGGAAGGTTTTCTTCTGAAAAGAAATTTCACATAGAAAGTGCAGCTGTGAAAATTTACTAGCATTATCATTCAAGAAAATTTAATCTTATCATTCAAGTTAAGTGAAGCATTGCTACTAAAGATATAATGAAATTATGATTAAATTCTAAAAACTGAAGAAAAATACTTACTCTATGGGAATCATTGTTTGAAAGATACAAAACAGTCTTGTGAAAACGCAATAGAATAACACTGCTTCGAGCTAGACGAGATACAGAATCTTCAAGTGATGCCAAGTGAATAGTTTTTTCAATCATTCCGCATTGGAAGAAAATGATATTGATGTCGGGAAATGTAATACTGCCTTGCAAACGCGATTGACTTTTTCTGTTATCTATAAAAGTATTAACATGAACACAGCAAATTTAGTTCTGCAGTTTGCTAATTCATTTTAGAATAAAACAACGAAGATCTAAAATTACCTGACTCAATTGTAACCACAATCTTTAGTATTCGAGAACGTACATGGATAACTCTTTATCCAAATGTAATGTAATAGATGTCAAAGTTACACATATAGATGGAATACATATCTTAATGGTGTAAACAAACGGTAATATTAGATTTTGGATGTTGAAAATAATAGTGCAACAGATGATCAATAAAAAACAACGAACTTGATTCGCTAATTTGAGTATTTGTAAGAGGTTGAGAATGATGTCGGAAGGAACACAATGTGTAGAGATGTTGAATGATAAAAACAGGATTTATAAGAATGAATCCAGCAGATATTTGCTCCATAATACGTTGTGTTACCTCTAAAGCCAACGGTGTAATAAAGACCTGAAATTAATTGCTCTAAATAGTGCTCAATAAATAGTTTTAGTACCAACAATGTGTTAGGTAGCTGAATTTTGCCATTTCAGTACTGGAAGAGTTTCGTTTCAAGCTTTATGACATTTTCAGAATCATAGAATCATCATTAGCAGATCAAACTGATGATTTGACGATTGCAACTATATTAGCTAATAGGTTGCGCAATATCATCCTGAATGACTCAAAACTTCTGGAAATGTCTTTATTAAGAGCATATGTTGCACTTTGTTTCCACAACATTAAATGTTACAATTTTCGCTGAGATGTACAAGTAAATTTTTTTAAGCAAAACTAGAATCAAAGCTTCTATCTGTCGATTCACTGTTTTTAATGAACGATCACACTTGAACAAATGGATCACCAACCAACTGTCGTGAATTATGACAAATTATTAGGGCAGCATAATACCTCGACAAATGCTTTATATTGGTGGTGCAATATTTGATAATAGCTTACATGCAACTGATTTCCTAAAACGCCATTTATCTTCATCGTATGTAGGTCAGACATATTAGTATCGACAGGTAATTCAGTAGTAGTAACACTTCTTTTCTTAATTAACTTCTGCTTCTCTTCTTGTTTTGTTAATGTTAATTCGTTGATTCCAGATGTTATCTTAAAAACTCTTAACTCGAGAAAATTCTGTGTAAAGAAGTTAGAATGAGCAATAATTTCCCAAAGAAAACAAATTAATCGTATAAAAAATACAAATGTGTAACTAACTGACTAAAGAGACAAAAATTCAATGAAAACTTTAATTTATTAGTGACGGAGAAATCCAAAAATTTCACCTTTCGGAAAAAGCTAGACTTGAACGATTGCGAATCACTATCACTTGTCATTTCATTTTCGTAAACACTTAAAAATGAAGCGTAATTTTCATGAAGGATTGCAGATGAAAGTATTGGACCAACCATATGGTGATATACATTAACGTCGGCTGACGAAAATGCAGAATGGAAGGAATCGTTAGATGATACTTTTCTTTCACATACAGTTTCCTATAAATAAAGTTTTTTGAAATCAGATATTAATTTTAATCTCATAACATTGAACATATATTAGCAATCACCTTTTTTCTATTTTCTTCGATAACAGCAAAGCTTTTATGCGCCACAAAATTTTTTTTGCTGATCATCCTGCAACACTACAAAATGATTGAAAGATCATCCACAAACAAACAAATAATTAAAATGTATAAAAGAAAAAAAATCACCATCTATCCTCATGAATAATACTTTGGCCAATAACAGGTTGCATGTTCTTCTCACTCCTAATACTGCTCCACAAAAACGGTTTGTTAAGTTCGCGCATCAGCGACAGCCCACTGAAAAGATATTATGTATCAACAGAAAGACTGAACTTTCTTCATAAATCAGATTAGAAATTCCAATTAACATAAGAATAAAAAGTAATGCAAATGATAAATGCAAGAACTTACATTCTATCAACAGAACCAAAAAACCAAGTATGACCAAAGCACGCGCAACTATTTGTATTATCCCACAGAAAATAAAGTCTACAAAAGAAGGAAGAAGCACATAGTTATTGTATATTGCTCTTGAATATCATTGAAATACCAATTCACTTCCCTCTTCGAATTTACTTCACTCTCTTTTACTATTGGAAATGTGAGATTTCATGAAATGAAATTAGCACAGAGATATGTACATGGGAAAGGGATTCGAGCAAAATGAAAATCATATTTGAATCTAAACAAATCATATAAACGTTAAATTAACCTTTTGGTGCGTTTGTCATGTTTATTAAGGAAATTTCTTCGCTCCGAGAATAGATGTGCTTCAGATATTCCGTAAGGCAAACATACATCGAAACTTATGTCATTCAATAAAAAAGAGCCACATTCAACCCATTTTTCTACATCTTTTGCCAAAACAAATGCAAACAGTTTCAATTGGATCTGGAAAATTGTCTTTCTTGAATTATCATTCAAGACATTCTTTTCACAATGGAAGTTATGGCAGCATTTGTTAAATTCATTTTCCATCCGTCGAAATGCTTCAAAAATAATTTAAATCAATGGCGTTCAAATCCTGAAATTAACTATTCATGATAAATCCGGCGGTATGACTATGAAAATATTAAACATATATTTTCAGTTTATCTGAAAAAAAAAATGATTCCACTTCTACCATTCGATCTCTCAACTAAATTAATTAATTTTAAATTGTACATAAATTAATTTCAAAAAGAAAGAAAAGCAACCTATCATTTCTCAACCTGGCGACTACAAAATTCCTGTAAGACATATCATTCTAAAATGACAAAAAGCTAACTGAAGGAAGTTTCAGGAGAATATTAGAGTAAAACGATGCATTGTGACAACTGCAATGAGCCAAACGAATTGGTGACAGTTCAAATTGAAGTGCACTTCGTTCTTCCATAACAGCTATTCTCACTTGTTCAATATTAATTCGCAGTGATTTATATTTTAACTGTAAATACTCTGAAGTAAAAAAAAAAAGTGGAACAAATAATTTATCATTTATATTCACAATTTCCACAGAATGGCATGTTCTTTTTGCATACAGATTTGGAAAGAAATGACTTCCTACTATCATCAATCATAAGAATGAAGAAAGTTCTGGAGTATAAAAACTAACTGTCTCTTCGGATTCACAATTTTGGACTGGTGCCTTTCGATGGACTAAATTTAATGCACCATATGGACAAGTGCGGGGGTCATTCATATGAATGCAAAAATCATATCTGAAGGAAACATAAATTAAATGATTTTTACCACGCTTATTTTTTGCATTCATATAACTAATGCAAAATAAATTCTTCAGCTTTGTAGTAAAAGAACTTTTTTTCCTACACGTATTCTCTCTAACGACTAATGCATTAAGTTTAGAATTAATTTTAAGCAATAATCTGAACGGCGAACTTCTCAGGTACTAATAATTTATCATCCGAGCAAACGGTCAATACCATTAACGATTCAATACACTGCGCAAGCACAGCAATCTGTAATAAAAAACTGGTTTAGATGAAATATTGAATATACCTAAGCTAGTGGATGAATTAAAAGAAGTTAAGAATCTGAAGTTAAGAAAAAGTTAAGTTAAGAAGCTTTTCAAAAAACTGAAAAGACCGTCCGGTATGCAATAACTGCCACTGTAAATACATCAAACTAAGTGATCAAAGAATTCGAGTCACTGAGATGTCAACAATAATTAAGTAAAAATCAATTCTGAAGTTTCTATTAATATTCATCTTCCAAATAGTAGATAAAAATATTCATGGTTTTTAGGAAAAAATTTCCGCACTTGACAAAATGAAACCTGGGAAGAATGAAGTTTACCAAACAACTGCTCAGCGTAAATCTCTACAAGCCAACCATATTCAAGAGTTGCAGCATCCCACGGAACATCTAGGTCCGAAAAAAGAGCTTGGCCACGAAATGAAAATGTTTCCAGTACGAATAAACCAACATCAGTACTAGGAAATCCGGAGGATGGTTTGAATTTTACCGAAGCTGTCCCCAAACCAACCTGAAAGTTGAAAATAAGACTTTCTTATGATCTCAAAGTTTAGGCTAATAATCCATCTTAAAAAATGGTTAACGTTTTACCTGAACCATCGCACCGTATGCATCCTTAACAATTTCCAAAACTATTTCATCAACCCGAACCTCTGGACAGCTACCTAAATTCAATCAATACAGTCTTTTCACCAGTGTTATTATCGATTAAATTTAATTAAGACTGTTATTATATAAGGTATAATGCAATATAACGTATGTATCCAAAAGCGAGCTTTTTCATAGGGAAGTGATCAGTGAAGAAATCAGCAAAGAAGACACTAAATGTTGAAATGCTATAAGTTATTACTCACTCATCGCTGAATTCATTTTTGAACTGTGAACCAAGCAAAATCCTTTAATTTTACCAACGCGTAAACAAAGACGCAGCAAAAGCGGTCGATATCGTTCACATTCACCGTAAATGACGTTGCCATAAAGTGGACTTGTTGGCGTATCAATATTAATTTTTCCAACATCAGTTAGCTATAAATTAATCGATTACAAACGAGAACGCATGTCCTGAGCAACAGAAAATTTTCATACAAGAGATTAGGAAATTGGACGAATTCAAATCTTTTTCTTCCGCATCAACTTTCTAGGATCTCCAAAGAATCACCGAACTGAAATGTGCAAAAATCACGCACAAAATAAGCTTCACCTGATCATATAATCCAAAATAATTATTTTTCAAATCGATAATGAAACGAATTAGTAGGCCTACTAGTATGATTTCTGAATCGCCTATATTGACCTGGAAATATGTCACAATCCTAATATATGCACTCGATTAAAAAGAAATTCAAGAAAACAGCGAGTTCAATAAACTTATCAGTAACCTATAGTCAATGAAAAAATGTCATACAGATTTATTGATAAAGATGTGACCCTACTGAAATTTCAATAATTCAAAAGTATGCTTCAAGAACCATTTCAACTGTTAATAGTTCAAGCATTAGGAACCTCAAGTGATAGCTGATCCGGAGGTAAATTAATTGGGGTTTCTTGATTTCTTGATGTTGATTTGATCGCATTCAAAGGAAGATCAGATGGTGGATCATAATATAATGGATGACTAGTATACTCAAATAAAAGTGTAACTGTTTCAGTTCTCCACAGTTCTACCCAGTCCTAAAAATGTTACAGTAACAAATAAAGCTGAGATTATAATTATTCAAAAAAATAATTTTAATGTATTTGGCTTAATGTACTTACTGAAATTTAGTACTGAAAACCAATTAAATAAAGAGACATTACATAGAACTCCTCAATACAAACTGTAAGTATCGCTAAAGTAAAAAAGAACAAGCGAATAACTAACTTGTGCTAAATGTGACATAGCTGATAAATTTTCGATTGTTGGGGAAGTCACAGTAAAAGAAGCATATTTGAGTAGAGAATGAAGGACACTGTAGAGAGGACTTTTAGATGGTAACCATGTGCGTAATGCAATCATGCCTTGTGCTTTAATTTCATAAACAGTTGTTACTGTTTTAGGATAAAAATCGACAAACGGTAAGGCGAACGATATTGTCACATTTTCGCCCACAATAGCAGCTAAATGATTTTCCGCAGATACTGAAGAACTAAAATTGTAAAACACTTTTTTTCCGAAAAGCACCCAAAAAATAGGAAAAACACTTTTTTTCCGAAAAGCACCCAAAAAGTATTGATTTACCTGGCATCAATCCAGTTATGTTCATTCAACAGTAATGTAAGTTCAAAACTATCCATAACATTAATTTCGAATTCCCATGTGTATGGAACGAATTTAAACAAATCCATAAGTGAATTTGAAGTCCATTCATTGATCAAATCCTAGGAAAAAATAAGCAAATCTAACTGAACATCTGCTCCGCATAATAAATTCAGAAATAGAAACTTGGATCCTTAAAGTTTTTCTTGCAAAAATTAAAATGGAAAAAAGGAATTTCCAGAAAGTTTTAAAAATTCAAAAGTTACAAATTTCAGAAAATTCATTTTCAAGAAAATATACGGCAAAGAAGTGCTTATGATCCCACACGATCCAAGTGCTTGCTTTATTAATTTTAATAGCACATTTCCACATTTGATGTCCATTGAAAATGCGTGGATAATGCACATTAAGTGTTAAACGCAAGGTTTCACATTGGAAAAATTTTGGATATGCAAGAGAAGTGGACGATTCAACGAATAAAAGACAGCAACGAAGGACAGTCTCATAGCCTTTCTCTGTTGTCACCCAAGGCATTTTCAGCTGGAATGTGTAACAATGAGTTATTTTTAATTCTGTAACCAAATTTTTATATTTTAAAATACTGCAATTCATATGATTTGAAACTAAAATTATTAAAGCAATTACATCAACAGAAGAGCCTTGTTTAACACGTAAATGTAAAGCATTCAGTTCGTCCCCTCTCATAAACCATATATCAACTGCTGCATCATTCCACAATGAAATTCTCATATCATGTGATAACAGAATTCGTCGCTCGCCTTCTTTTGGCATTACTCTGAAATCTAGAACTCACTAGCAAAGTTATTATTCCAAGCAAAAAAAAAAAAAAAATATGCAAAATGGGTAAGAACCAGAAATTGTGAAGTAAAATTTTGTGTTCCAAAAATTATAAAGAGTATAAAGTAATAAAAATATTTACTGTGACAAGAAAAAAATAACATAACTATAAACATACATTACTTCCGAATTACGATATTCTGGTGGAAAGAAAAAATCGTAGAGCAGAGCACGTTGCGCATCAGCCCAAGGACCATATGAAAACACGGTGTTTTTATCGAATCGCCATACGGATTCCCAAATTGGAAGATCTTCAGTCATTGATTGTTGACCTTCTTTCACAACACCTTGAAATGCATTAGCTAGATAACACCATAAAAGTATCAAGAATAACGTAAAAGTGTTTAACAGATTTCAATTCATCAATTGTAATTTTGCTATCATTGAATTTCAAAGACGAATACTACGAGCCGCATTGCAAATTTTTATTACAGTTCTGTAATTTTAAAATCAACTTATCAAAGCGATATTTTTTCACTAGTTTATTTGCAAAGTTCAAAATGATAAATTTTGTTAAAACTGCGAATTTCACACTGTCATAGATTGGCTATAAAAGATATTAAAAAGTAAAGAGAATATGAAAAAATGTACCGAGAATAGATTGACTGTAGAAGAAATTAAGATGCGCCGTTTGAACAATTGCGAAGCCATCACCCATTGTTCTAGGTGGTGGATCACATCGACTATTAGAACTCGTCGATCTTTTTTCTAAGAATTGACTACATTGTACCAGTGTAACACGAACGTTTTCCATGCCACCAATTATGCTAAGTAACGCCACATCATCACCTCTGCCATACTCCTTCAGTGAAACTTCTGCTAAAGTAACTTTTACCGTTCAGAAATTTGAAAAAAAAAAAAGAAAAAAACCAAAGATACATTGGCTATTACAAGAAAATATAATCTTAAGTGAAGGACTGGAAAACTTGATTTCCTCCAGATATATTTAAGAGTACATTTTATACAATCTTTTTTGATTGAAAAGCATTTCTTCGTATCATTTGCTGCATATTTAATTACCACATTGACACAATATAAATTAAAGAATACTTTACTATTTCAACGAAGTTTGTGTTTGGAAGAACCATCGAAAAGTTGTGAAATTTCCGAAAAAGATGTTAAGCCCTATTTCAGTGTATATCATTGCCTTTTGTAAAAGTTTATTTAATTAACTTACACGTGTAGTTCTCAAAAGATAAGACAATCATTGACGGCAAAAGTGAATTTCCAGCAACCAAGCGTCCCGAACTGATATCTAATTTAATATAACCAATTAAAGACCAGAAATTATCATAGTATTTGTCCCATTCCAGTTCTTTTTCCGCTGAAATTGCAAAAATTCGAAAAATCAAATTAAAAGACAAAGCAATTTAAAACAATTTAATCAGTTCAAATCAAGAAAAAATTCCAATGATATGATCCGACATTCATAAGATACTTTCAGCATTCAACTTAAAATCATTTTTTCTGAAAACAAATGTACATCTCATGGATAATGTAAATAAAAATATATTTACTTACTGGTAAATCGTCGTACTTTGTTAACATCAATTTCATCTTTTAAAGGAATAAACAATTTTTCGAGGCCAAAATATCTAGCTAAAGATCGATAGTTTGATAAGCGATTATATATATGCAATTGCAAGCCATTTAACGATATATGCAATCTCGAAATATTACTGAAAATTTTTACATATTATTTATTCTTCGACCAAATGTAACATTTTTCGTTTAAATAAAAATTATAATTGAAAATTTTTATTAAACCTTTTATGTGCATAATCTGATGGAATGTAATTCCAATATGAAAAGATAATCCATCCATCATTGCAACAGAATAAGAAATTTTGACACATACATCGAAAATCGCGAAACATTATTTTACCAGAAAGGAAGCTTATAGAAAATGAGCCTGAAAAAAATGGATTTTCCAACAGATAGTAACATAGTAACAACCATCAACTTAAAAAAATAAAAAACATGTCTGCACAGCACTGAATCGGATAAAAAAAACAAAACAAAAAACAAAAAAACTTATTTAAAAAAAAGAAAATAAATAGGATCCTAATAAACATTTAAAAGACAACATATATTGAGCAACTTTAATTAAATGTAATGAAGAGAATTGTAATTTCAATAGATCGAAATTCAGAGAAACAGGAATGTATCTATTATTTCAGTAAAAGTTATGCAACTGTTACTTCACATATCTTTTCTTCAGTAAGACTGAGACATATTGAAATTTTTTTTTTTTTTGTAATACTGTAAATTTTTATACCACTAAGGAAAAATTAAGTAAATCAACTTGGTACACCACATATAAATCTCATTTGCCGAAGAACTTTTCAAATGTTTGCATCTATTTTTTTAAATCTTTTCCCAAAAACTAAGACAAAAATCAATAGCTCCAAAAAGAAATAGAATTTATTTGATTACAACAGCAAATTAAATTAAAGTGTAAAAAACTGATTTAAAATTCACCCATCGAAATTTGTACATCATATCCTTTCAGATGAGCAATTCGCGTAAGCACAAATGCAACGATTGGGCCAATAATTCGAGACATGTAATATGTTATGAAAACAATCCATACAATAAATAAAAGCAGGCTTCCTAGCATAACCCAGAAACTTGCTTTGTCTGGCTAAAAATTTACAATAAATGATATTAACAGCAAAAATCACCAAAGATGAAGTAGTGCCATCAACACTCGTGCTTGTAATCTGCCATTAGTTGGGACGTAATCCCTTCCTCCTAAATTAACCTCTTGTATTATTAGAACCGTACCTGAACAATTTCTCGATAATCCTTCCATTGTACATTGATGTCTCCTGGTAGCTTTATGGAACCATTTTTTTCCCAAAAAGAAAAACCCTTGCCGAGCAGTAAGCCAGTGTAATTCATGCTATCGTCGTCACAACGATTTTCCCATCCTTTGAAGTTCCATATGTTAGGTATGACCAATTTTTTAAAAAAATGTTACTTCAAAATCAAATTTTACTAAGCTTAAATAGTAAATTAAATAAAGAAGTGTAGAAACTGATGTAAAAATCACCTACCAATATTTGCTCATCATATTCTTTCAGAATAAAGTATTACTTGTATGGATGTAATGAAACAAAAAAATAAAAAAAGCAAAACAAAATTCAATTTTTATGTAACATAATTCCACATGGATTTGTAAAAAGGATTTGCAAAATTCGCATGTACTATTTACAGAATTCAATTTTCTCAATAGGACTGACTGAATATTTACCAAAAAATATTTCATTTAAATAGAATCAACGATACTAAAAAAAAAATCAAAGAATGTCAGATTAAAATAACAGCAAATGTGAAAGTTTGTGGAAATAACAACAGTGACGAAATCCGAGAGATCGGAACATTACAGCAGATGTACACCTTTGCTAAATACATTTGCTATACGATTAAATTCTAGATAAATTTCAATGTCACTCACATAAATATGTTACGTACTTATAGTCAAAAAAAACTTCTCAACGATCATCATAAGCAGTAATTCATTTAATAGTAGCAGTGATACAATTTGCTACAGCATTCTACAAGCTACACAAAACATAACGCAAGCAGCATAACGTGAAAAAAACTACGCTTAAATAATGACTGAACATGAAGGAATATATGTTTCAGAAAAATTAAACCCGCTTCACTGGTGAAAATTACCAGATTTACATCACTAGTAGCCTGAACAACGAACAAATGCAGACGTTACTAAATGAATCATCAATAATGTATTATGAGATTCAAAACATTCTAGATTTCGAATATTAGGTTAACTAAGTTTGTGTTTCCAGAATGGTGCGCGATTCTGAATCATTAAAAAAGAATAAGGACGTATTTCAACAAATAACAAAACACAATAACAGAAAAATGAAATGAATATTATTCTAAAAGCTAGATAGGAAAAACACCTGTCTTCCAAAAAATTTTCATGATGAAATGAACATTGAATTAATTGTTTCCCTAAGTTGTGCTGTGCTACATTCTTTATTCAGTGCAAGTTTTCGTAATTCCGCCATACGTTCCTTTCGTGTTTTTCTTTCATCAAGATGACGTGAAGCAATAAATGCAGCTCGAATAACCTGAAGCTTATGTTTTAAATGCTCAACTACATTTCCACAAAAATTTGTTAAAAACTGTCATAAAGTAACAAAAAAATTCAAATACCTCTGCCTTGAGACCAGAAATTTTAGCAGCAAAAAATCCATAAGATTTTGGACACATCCCATCGGCTAGTGTATATAGGAAGGTAACATTTTCCATTGTTGGATCTTCAGCACTTTCATTTTCAACAATGCAAGCCTGAAAAAGTGCCTAAATTTAAATTTCAGCAAATTAAAGAAAAACGAACAAAACTGCTATATATATAAAACATAACTGTTAACAGAATTATAACGGTATTTACCATTATATAACTATATAATATAATATTACCACTATATAACTAAGATGAAACGTATCACTATTCAATTGTAATATTTTCCCAAAAGAATTATTTCTCGTGTGATATGAATAAAATCAACAAAAAGCATAGAAATTCAGAAAAAAAACATCGGCATGAAACCGAAAATATAACAGGACACCCAAAGGGATGTATTTCTATGGCTAAAAGTAATATAGCTGCACTTTCAATAAGTTTAAGCTTAGATATCGGTGTTTTATAAGAGAACGGTACTTTAAAACCGTGGTGACATACAATCAAGTTATGAAGGATGATTAGTTATAATGAATGCTTTATCAAAAACAAACAGTCATTAGTTTTGGAAAGTTAACTTAAAATTGCAGAGATATTTCTGTTACTGCTATTTTCAATAGAAAACCAACCATATGTGCTGCCTTAATGCTCGTAACATTTTCAACTGCTTTGCACAAAGTATGATAATGAGTAGAAAAAAAAGTACGACAGTTCAGCCGGGTTGCTACATCTAGCAGTACTGCGTATGCAACAGCGGTGCCATCATAAGTGCTATAACAGTATTAATTTTGATAGAAAAAATTAGCTTTCTAAAAATCACAAAACTGCTATACGATAATCACTAACATGCATCATGAACTTATCAGGACTTCAATTAAAGTAGATGACATAACTGGAAGAGAAGCAAATAAAATCCTAACAGCTTGTAAATGGATAATATACAACTAGATTAGCAAGAAGAGAACAAAATATGAACATTATCACGTAATAAATATTACGATAAATATAAATGAAAATGCTAATGTAACCTTGTTCCTCGACCGAGTTCATCCATTATAACAAGAGAATGTTTGGTTGCATTTCGCAAAATCAAATTTGTTTCATATAATTCAACATAGAAAGTAGACTGCCCTGAAATATAACTTTGAAAATACAATACTAATGTCTTAAAATTTTTGAAACCCCAAATGAATGTCAACCTGTAGTAATTCGATCACCTGCACCCATCCTTGTAAATATTCGATCAACTGGTGAGAGTTTCATTTCATTCGCAGGGACAAAGCTACCCTACAATACAGTAATGCGGTATTTTTTAAATAATAAGGAGAGACATGAAAAAAAAAAAAAAAAAAAAACAACGAATAACTTTGGAAATTTTAACTTGGTCTAAGTTTGCAGTTCAAATAAAATAATAACCGAAACTAAAATTAAGGCAACGCTGAAAATCTTCAGGACTAATTTTACAAAAAACTTAGTAGAACCTGAAAATTTTCAGATAAGAAAATAAACACTTTATTATTTTTTTTACTAAAAAAAAAACAAAAAACAAAAAATTTTATTAAAAAAATAAAAGTAATAAAAATAATAAAAAATTTCTGAATACGATCGTCAATTTCTAACCTTATTAAAGACCCTCTATCTTTAACAGGTAATAATTTATCTTTAACAAATAATGACACTAAAACATCATCAGGATGAAATAGTGTACTGAATCTGCAATATTTACCAAATATTACATAAAACGATACTGTGCAAACCTTTTTATTCAGATCCCGATTATAAATATGTATTTTTCTGCAGCTAACAAAAAGCACTTACTATTTGAGCAAGCACAACCAGTACACCAACTTGACGCATTAGTGTTGATTTCCCACCCATATTTGGACCTGTCAGCAGAATTATTGGTGGTTCATTTCCTCCCAATAAAACACTGTTTGGTATGTATGTAAAACTGCTGCCCGAAGCAGCCATCGCAGCAAGCGATGGATGATATCCAGACTTAATTTCTAATATAGGCTGGAAATATAATCAACGACTAATTTAAAGATTAATCATTCAATGCAACAGTAATTTTATAAATAACAATTTCAACATCCACTCATTAACTTAATTTTCAAGTTTTCTATAAATTAGTACAAAACTAGATTTCGATTATTTGCAAACACCACAAATATAAATAAATAAGTTTATAAATCATAATCTACAAACAAATAAATTTATACCTGCTTACTATCATAAACAAATTGTGGACGGCACATATTTAGACCACAGTCTTGACCATAACGAGTTAAAGAAAGAAGTACGTCGAATGTGGCCATTCGTTCAACAGCCATTGTCCATTTGGTGGATCTTCAAATGCAAAAAATTGATTTAATTATTACATTTTCTCTATTATCCCTATATTAATAATTCATATTTTTTTTCTTTTTCTGAAATTTTTTTCTGAAACTGTAAATTTTTGCGGCCCATTAATTTATATCAATTGGATGCTGATAAAGTTTCAAAGTTAAACAGATTAATGCAAATGTCAAATTATTATCGAAGAAATAACCGCACTCTATTATCACAGAATCTGCAAAAATAGTCTGTGTAAAAATAATATGTCACACTACTGCTGCATGTATTCACTTAAGTTTAAGATAATTATCATCATAAGTCATGATTAGCAACGATGAACAAGAAAATGAGATGCGTGTTAAGATGCACCACAATTCACTAGTCTCCAGCTCTCAACGGTTTCACCGCTGCCGTGTGACTTCGCGCGAAATCAAAATTCATATTCATGTCGATTACCAACATTAAGTATCTAAGAGTGATTTAAATTCACCGAACTGCCCATATAACCTTAGATCATTGTTTTGAATAGTCCCAGTCCCAAGCCAGCAAAGATCGAAATAGCTTAATATATCGCTACCCTACTGTTATGAAATATAGCTATAAAACATGTACTTACATTCATTTCTGAAATCAAATCTGAAATCAATTCCATTATTCCGAAATAATCGAGTAACATCATTTGCTTAAAAATCTGACCAACCTGTCGCCAAAATCAGCAAATATACGCCGCATGATGTCATGCCGTAAGATATCAAGCTGATTTTCGGCTTCGTCCAAATTTTTAACTAAGTTCACCAGCTCATCCGTTACCATCCGTTTGTATCCCTATTTCGAAAAATGACACCAAATAAATGGAGGGAAATACAACGGAGAAGAGGAATTTAGTTAACATTGTCTAACCTTTCGAGAGGATTTAAGTCCGAATTCATGGCTCAAATTCATAGCAATCTCTTCTGGTATTTCAAGCTGGTAACGAGATCGTCCGCTACCAAAGAAATTGATGTTCTGGAAACATTTGAAAACTTTTAATAGTTATGAAACTGAAAACAAATGACTTCTACATTTTTAAATGATAGCGTTAATATATAATTCCTGACTATTCATTTTCACGATAAGCAAAAAGATTACAGAACAATGCAGTTGCTTCCTGATGACATTCAAATACAAGTCCAATTCATGGATGCATTCCTTTACGTTACTAATCGCATCATCGTATTCCTTAATTATACCTTTTTCTGGTACGATAATACCGTCTTCTAGAGCTTTGTCACGATTGAATGCACTCTGCAATCGTCACATTTAAACTGAGATATGAAAAGAGGAGCTTCTCAATGATAACATGCACTCAAAA